TACCGTACATTGATCTATACTATTAGGACCACCAAAAACTTCAAACAATTATGAATATGCAGATTGCACTGCATAATAACCTGAAGAATCTGCCTTCTATACCCATTTATCTTCTTGTAGCACTTTAATAGAAACCCTATCAACAAGCTCCAACAAAAGATTAAAACTTGGGATCTCATGTTGAAAGAGTCTTATGCGCCAACTAACACTCCAAACCCACCTTGTGCTATCATGAAAACCATTTTCCAATATACAAGATTCATCATTTTTTGTCACTGCAAATAATTGCGAAAATGCCTCATTCAATCTCACCCCACCTATCCACTTATTTCTCCAAAAAAGGGTATGCAAACCTGTATCTACACTCCTATCCGACTTTTCATTTAGTCATGAATTCCTTTGATGAATAAACTCAAACAAATTACGTCAGTACAAAGAACATTTGTCGTGTACTAATGAACACAAAATAAAATAAGCTAATCTACCATACCTAACTTTCAACACTCGCACCCATAGTAAACTAAAATAATTAACACTTTTCCACAACAATTTACCAAGAATCGCTCAATTAAACCACTGCACATTCCTAATGTTCAAGTCAACATTTTTTCACGGTTTACAAACCGTTTTCTATTTCATCCAGTAGATTTTAGATTCATCCTTAACAACCTTTTATAGAAAATTCTGCTGGATAGTGACAATATCTTTTATCACTGACTTCGGTGCCTTAAAAAATGATAACGAGTGTAATGACATAGAATTAAGAACGACATTAATCAAAGTCACTCTGCCTCCAATCGATAAATACATATGTTTCTATGTCGCCAACCTCTTTTTAAGAGCCTCTAACACATCCTTCCACGCACAAGGCTTCCTCGGGTTAACACCTAACTGTAACCCAAGGTACTTTAATGGGAAGCTATCAATCTCATAATGTAGGAATTTCATAACCAAGTTTTCAAAGTCATCACCAGTGTTAATCCCCAATATACAGCTTTTATGAAATTTAATTTTTATACCTTACATTAACTCAAAACTACGCAATACTGCTTTCAGAGTCCACAAGTTCTGAATCGAAGCATCTCCTATATTCAATGTGTCATCAGTTAATTGCGACAAATAAATATTCGGTCCCCCAACCTCAATCTTCACACCAAAGAATAACGCACATACCATTACTTTTCGCATAAGAATTTCTAACTCCTTCACTGCTTATTGTTATTTCTCTGCACATAATCAACTGCCTTATTAGTCACAAACACACTATCTAACATGTTCCTTCCCAGGATAAAAGCTAAATATTGTTCCAAAATTATTGAATCTAGAACCCTTTCAACCTATTTGCCAAAAGTTTGGAAACAATCTTATAAAGGCAACATAGCAATGAGATAGGTCAAAAATCAAAAATTCGTTATGCACAGACACTTTTGGCACAATCACTACAAAGTAGGATAGCAAAGACTTAGGTAGTTTCTCATTTCTAAAAACATTCAGCAAGCATACTCATCATTTTTCCCAACCTCTTAAGGAATACAAAATTAAAATTATCAGGCCCTGAGCTTTTATCCCCTTCACACTCCAAAATCATCCTCCCCACTTCCTCCTCTAAAAAAGCATAAACAAACCTCTCATTCTGTAGAACTAAAACTCTTGGTAAATCGTTAATATTAATTGTAGGTCAAAACCAACCTCTACTACAAAAATTATCTGCAAAATAAGACACCACATTTGCTTTAATCTCATCAACCTCTTCGACACTTCTCTTCCCAATTTGGAATCCATGTATATTATTCTGTCGCCTCCTTCCGTTAACACACAAACAAAAGAACTTTATATTTAAATTATTCTCCTTCCCCCATCTTACTTGAGCTTTTTGAGCTATGAGACTCTTTCTATTCTCCTGAACTTCCAAATATCAGCCACAAATATCTGTTGATGCTCCTTCTCCACATCAGAAAGTCCCATCACATAATTCTTATTATCAATCAAGTTCAACTTTGTTATCAAATTAGAAATCACTTTATCAACATTTCCAAACACCTTGATGTTCTATTTTTTCAATGCAGTCTTAACATTTTTCAACCTCTATCTAGCTCTCTTTTTTACGCTTCCTTCACCACCTCTACAATTCCCTTATGAGTCAGTCAGCAATTGTTAAATCGAAACAGTTTCGGACCCCAATTGACTACCTTATGCTTTAGAATAATTGGACAATAATCAAACATATCTCTGCTCAGAACCTGAATAAAACTATCTCCTCAGTAATCAAGTCAGGTACTAGAAATAAGAACTTTATCAAGTCTACTCATCATAGAAACATCCCTTTTTATCCATGTAAATTTCTTACCCACAAGTGGAAGATCCACATGCTTCATCTCCTGAATGAAAGAATTGAAGCCACTAATTTCAGAGATATCATGATCTGCCTAATGACCTTCTTCTCTTCCACCCGTTTCACAACATTGAAGTCACCAAATATATACCATATAAATATGCTAAAACCCCTTCTTATCATGAGCAAATTATTCCATAACTTTCTCTTCTCACTTAGTCTACACAATACATAGTCATTCGCCACAACACATTGGTTCCTAGAAGCCAATACCTGCAAGTAAACACCCAAGAATCCAGTACCAAAAAAAGAAAAGAGTATTTTACCTTTGGACGTGTCCCAAAGTAAAAGCATACTCCTACTTCTGCCAACAAAAGGCAAGGCAATCCAATCAAAATCCACAAAATCCCACAAACATGCACATAAGTTGCGATCATATGTCTAAAATTTTGTTTCTTAAATTGCCAAAAACTCCAGACCTTTAGAATGAACAATCTCACATACCTTCTTTCACTTCACCTTACTCTCCAGCCCTCGACTATTAAACAAGTCAATGTCCATTTAGAACCAAAGCGAACTCCATGTTCATTTGCAATCATTTTGTTGCGTACCTCTATCTCAATTAATTTCTTCTGAACTTGCTCATTGTTCCCCTGTACGACCATACTAACCTTCTTACCAATGTCTAATAACTTCGATGCCACTTCCTCGTCATCATAATATGCATCATTCGTTTACTCTCCCACCTCCACTAAAAGATTGGAAAGACGTGAATTGTAGGAGCTCTCAAAACCATGACTAATTCGTGACATTTAATATTCAGCCTATTAAGTTTAGACTCAATTAATATTTTTAATCAAACTCAAAGTTTAATTTTAAACAAATATTCAACGAGTCAAGTTTATATAATTTATAAATATTTCTTTTTTTATACTCCTATTTAGAGGTTGATTAAACTTATAATGAAATTATTCGAAATATTGTATAATTTTTATCAAATACCTTTAAAGTATTCATTAAAAAGACATAATTTTTAAAATATATTATAACCATTAAAAAATATAATTAATTCAGAAACTATTAAAAAATTAAATAACACGAGAAACTCAAACTATTAATATATATATATATATAATATTTATATATATAATTCATTTTATATAGTAATATATATATATATATATATATATAATATTTATATATATAATTCATTTTATATAGTAACTTAATGCGCCCTATGCTTTTAGTCTAATTCGAGAGGCACTTGAGTGTTATAACGATAGAGAGTATTTGACATTTCATTCATTATTTCTAAATATTATTTAAAATGATAACAAGCTGATATAATGAAATATCATTAATTGTTTTTTACAAGTTACAAGAGCATGTTGATGAGAAATACATTGATATGGAGTATGATTCCCAACTATGTATTTAAATAGATTTTGTTTCTTTTTGCATTTTACATTTTTATTCTTTATCACGTTTCATGTTAATTTATTGAGAGCATTCAACTTTTTTTTGTACAAATTCAACTTATTAATATTATATATATATATATATATATATTAATTTATAAAATTATTAACTATTTTTAAATGATTTTCTAAAAATATGATTTTCAATCTCTTTAAAATTAATTTTTTAAAGTTAAGATTTTTCATTTTTAAAATTTTTATATTTTTTATTCTAAAATGATTAACTATTATTAAAAATAAAATTCTAGAAGGTTCAGACAACATGTATCTTGATTCTGAAAACAATTTTAAATTTTGGCTAAGCAGAGTTAAAATATTATGAATTATAAAACTCTCATTCCGAATATATGTATTTTTGAAATTTACTATTGCTACTTATATTTTTGTAATTAAAATTATAGAAACTTTTTTTTTACAAACTTTTAAAAATTAATTTCTAATAAAAAATTTAAATATTATTTCATAATTTAAAACTCTGTCCAATGTAAAAAAATATAAAAAATGAAATAAGGATTTTTTTTAAATTATCATAAAAAGCATAAAAGATATTTTTTAAAAATATATAATTTTTTAGATGGAATGTAAAAAGAGCGAAAAAAAGTTCCTGCAAAAAGTAACTCCTACTATTTAGATTAGATTAAACTTCATTATTATTATTTTTCATATTTTCATGTACTTGACCTTTTGATTAGCAATTTTTTAAATAAAAAACTAATCAGCGAATTTTTAATAATTTTATATTTTTATTCATATTCTAAATGATACATTTTATTTATTTATTAAAAAATAAAATTCCGGACTCTTGAAAATTAATAAATAAAATATGTAATAATATGAATACTCAATCTCTTATAAATTACAAAACATTAGCTTGAATTGAATTCAATATAAATTTTAAAATTGAATCACATATATTTTCTAAATAAATTTAAATCAAACAATACTAATTCCTGTTAACAATATTTAATATATATTAGTAAAAAATTTTAATTAATTAAAATTATTTAATATTTTTATTTTTAGGATATAATAAACATTTTTTGACATTTACTTATAATAAATATTTTTATTATTTATTAGTAAATGTTTTAAAGACATTTGTTTTTGTTAATCTTTGTCCCTATTATTTATTAGTATTTTTAATCCGTACTTTCCTCTTATTTTATTTATTTATTTATGACAAAACTTAGAGTGAGACTGCAGAATAGAAATTAGAAGGAACAGAAAGGAAGAAGTGTCGTTGAGCTCGCTCGCTCGAGGCGATCATATTTCTTCTACCTGTTCCAATTCGAACAGACCCTTCTCTGCAATCAGGTAAATTCACAATATTTTCTGTGTTTTCTCACAACCCTTCCAATTTTTCATCCGTTTTTTTAGTTGGAAAAGATGATCGTTCTCTACAGTTGAGTATAACTTTGCTGTTTTTTATTGGGTTCCTGTGATATGCAGTTGCTGACTTTGCGGTGAAAATAAAGGTATTTGGAATCTCCGAAGAGGTTTGTTTCTATGAATATGGCAAGTAACTCAGCGGCGCAGCTGGTGGGTTCAGAGATACATGGATTCCACACATTGCAAGGTACTTACTTCACTGTTTTTCTTTGGATTATATCCATCTTTTTATTTTGCTCAAGCCTTTCCTTTCAGTATCAAATTTGAATTTTTTTCTCATTTGTTGTTTCTCTCTCTCTCTCTCCCCTTGTATAAATGCATGTATGTGACTTTTAATGGGACCTAGGACTGAAAAGGACAAGGGGTAGGCTGTCACAATTATGTCTCCAATTCCAGCTGAATGATGTTTTTAACGGTTCCATGGGTTGATTTCATTGTGAGAACAATGAGTACAAGTAGAAAACATGCTGCTTCTTTTTTTTGGTGTGTCGGGTGTCTAAGATGTAGTATCTGTTACTTTTTAGTTAATAATTAGTTTGGTATTTCATTCAGTGATGTGGGTTAATTATATTAATGATGTGAGTAGTACTAGATGTTCAAACATAATGGCCTAATATTTAGGTAAAACTTTGATGATTTGACACTGATTGGTGCCTAAATTTTATAAATCATGTTGGAAGTAGCTATTGCACAAATATTAGTTTTTGTTAGGGTATGTCAAAAGGGAACTAATGAACGGAAAGGATTGAAGTATTTGAACATAAAGAAGTTGCTCATTCAATATGGTAATAAAATGGTATAGAAATTCATTCTTTTTAAGATTAGATATTGAAAACCCCAATTTATATTTTCACCGGTGCACTTCTGTTCCTTTTGCTGCTTCACACTGCAAATCTTACCTGGACTACCAATTGCTTGACAATAGTCAATGCATATTAATCGTCTCTGTTTATTTGTTGTTCTAAAATATTTTCTTATATATGCCCCAGATTTGGATGTGGGGAGCATTATGGAGGAAGCAAGAACCAGATGGCTCCGTCCCAATGAGATTCATGCCATGCTTTGTAATTACAAGTATTTTACCATTAATGTCAAGCCAGTGAATTTGCCAAAAAGTAATTATCAATTAGCATTAACTTGATGTTTGCAAAGTGGACATGTATCATTTCCATTTTGCTCTCTCATTTATTTTCTTATAGACTGTTTCTCATCTCATCATGTTAATTCCTGTCTTTTTAGTTTGCATCTTAATTTCCACAAAACATTTTACCCATTGATAGGAAGCATTCCATGATAATGACACTTCAGATCATTTTATCATTTGTAGCTTGTTTTATAAATTGTGAATTATTCCCTTTAATTATTGCTTGGTTTATAAACTGATCTTTTTTAAAATTTTCTTTTTTTAGGAGGATCTGTTTTTTTTTTTTTTTTTTAATAAATGCACTGTTTAATTGTTTATATCATGAATAAAGCAGTATGATGTCTCACCGCAAATGACCTTTCATTGTATATCAAATAGAATTTTTATTAGTTATTTTGCATCCAAATAACGAGTTTTCACCATTAATAATTAGATGATGTCAAATATCTGATTAAAATGTTTTATCATCGTCATCATCATGTGTAAGCAGGTGGTACTATTGTATTATTTGACCGCAAGATGCTTAGGAACTTTCGAAAAGATGGGCACAACTGGAAAAAGAAAAAGGATGGGAAAACTGTTAAAGAGGCTCATGAGCACTTAAAAGTGAGGACTTTCATTTTCTTGGGTGTTTATATTTATGGAAATTTGAATTTGTGGTGGGTGCACTATATTGAATTTAGTTTCTGTAACTGATTGTATATGGGATAATTCTTCATTTTCTGTTAACATGGAATATGAAGAAATAAAACAGTGACGCAAAGATGAGCGGGTATGGAAAGTAGCCTGATTAGCATTAGATGTGGTTAAATCTTGCAAGACATAAGGCTTCCTGGAGCTCAGTTTTTTACTTTACTGGTTTTAGTGATACTATTCAATTCGATATGTTTTCTCCATAAGTAGTAGCTTTTTTTTGGGGTTTTGGTGTTCTCTAGTTTTAGATTCCATCCTCTGTTAGATTTGTAAGTGCTGAAGTAGCTAATTGGATGATATATAATTTATTCAATGCTTATCTCTTTGTATGTTGTAATTTTGTACAATGATCTGGTCACATTTATCATTCTTTCTAGTTAATATTTGGGAAATAGATCATGTTTCTGGCTTTCTGCTTTTATTTTTGTTATCAGATTCAGTGTTTATTATGTATGATCACATTTCCTTCCTCCAGTATTTGTTATTATTGATTCTAATGTTTGATTCATTCATTAGCATCATATCTGATTTTTGACATTCTTTGTGGTCATTTTTTCCGTTTACCTGTATATCAGGTTGGTAATGAAGAAAGGATCCACGTATATTATGCACATGGCCAAGATAACCCAAATTTTGTCCGTAGATGTTATTGGCTACTTGATAAGTATGCATATTAGTTGTCTCTTAAAGTTCCAATTCCAAAATTTTATGCATGTTCACACTTCTGAATGATGTTGTAATAATGGTACTTCTATTATTCTTGTATATATTGGTAAAGTACAAAACTAAAATAGGTTTGCAAATAATAATGTGACTTGAAAATTGTTTTCACTGTTTTCTTTTCAGGAGTTTGGAACACATAGTGCTTGTTCATTACCGCGAAATACAGGAGGTTGTCTCCTTTTCCTCTATTTTTATCCCTTTCAAAAGTTCAATTTAACTTAACAAACCACTGTTTATGTGTGTCGTATGTATGCTGTGTTATCAGGAAGAAAGATCATATCCATATATCACCAATACTCAGTTGATTTGCTGATCCTTCGGTTGTTAATGTAGTTTTAGCCATTTGAGCATGTCTGGACTGGATACAACATCATTACATCTATAAGAAAATATTCTTAAGGCCAAACTAATTTTCAGTTGGTCTGGATGGAAACTTAATTTGTTTTCTGTGTATAGTGCACAGGCTCTTTCATTTGGTACTATGAAGCTGTTTATACAGTGTTTTTACTGTTATATATTTGAACTTTAAAAGGATGTCCAAGTCCAACAATGGATTTGTACCAGATTTGATGAAGCATATAAGCTCCAAAAAGTTGATTTTAAGAAGTAGGATAACCATCTATTTTGGTCCAGTGTTTTTGGTTTATTTCAAATGTGGACAGTTGCATTGTGGCATGACAAAATATTAACAGAACCATCATTAGTAGGAGCATGACAGTTTATTAGCTTGCATTAAGACGGCCAAGTATAGTTTTATGCATTCTATTGTAAAAGAACCCAAACTTTTTGAACTGCTAATGTGAAGCAGTTTTTTAAAAGTTGACAGTTTGTTATCTTGCTGAGCTTATTCTATTGTACCACATATGTTATACTTGTTTTGTTTTCCTTAACATATGCTTTGAGTTGGAATCTAGTTTTCTCTATTTTATTTATTTTTCAGCTAAAGGGGTAGCCCTGTGGCTTTTTGTGGCAGAGGTGATCCATATCATATCCCTGGAAAGATTTAAGTTTAGAAGAACCAAAGGCTGCTTTCTTGCAGTTGCGTTAAAAAAAAATGTTTCTAAAAAAGTTATATCCTATTCATTGTTTCACTATGCTGAAAACTGCATTTATTTCTCCTTCCAGTCTTCATTTTGATTTTTAGAAGAAAGTTCATTTGTTTTCTACATAAACGGAAAAAGCACTTTTTGAAAAAACTCTTAACACATCAGTGCTAAGATTTCATCACTTAGCTTTCCTTTGTGTGTGACATTTAAAAGTTATTTCATTTTTATAATTTAGACATAAACTCGTGTTTAAGGTGCTATTTGTGCTCTAAAATTTAGTTGTGAAAATAGATATAACTTGGCTTTGTAATGTTCTTTGGGTTGTGGTTTATGTTACAGGTGCAAGGTTCTCCTGTCACTCCTGTAAATTCATACTCTAGTTCTGCCTCTGATCCTACTGCACCATGGATTTTATCAGAAGAAATAGATTCAGGGACCAAAACTACATATGCTGGCGGTGAGAAAAACTTTTATATTATTTCAGTTTAATTCTTAAAAGTTTTATTTTAAAAAGCTATTAGTATGAAAGGCTCATGAGTCATAACATTTGTTTAAAATATTTTTCTTTTAATTTTGAAGATGTAAGGGCTTGTTTGGAAACTCTGAGAGACAGGATAATGAGTTATGAGAAAAGAACATGTGCCATGTGCACATTGTTATATATTGCTCATAAGTTCCTGCAACCTTGTTTTTATTCTACTCATCTATTCGAAGGAAACAGTAAAAATAGAGTTTTTTTTGTTAGCTTTTATGTGCTGTATATATCTGGTTGTTTGGTTGATGCCTTTATTGTATATAAAAAATGATTAAGTAGCCTGTTGACTGACATGATTTTATGTGTATGGTACATACAAACATGCATGTACGCGATACACGTAAAAATCATGAACACTGCAGTTGTATTTACTTGTTAAGGTATGTATTCTCATCCCTTCTATTTTGGACGGAAACAGATATGGGTAACATCCAAGTCAAAAGTCATGAACTGAGACTTCATGAGATTAATACACTTGAATGGGATGACTTAGTTGTTGCAAATGACCTTAATGCCTCCATTGCGCCTAATGGAGGTAATGGTAGTTGATTAAATTAAAGCACAATCAATCAGTTATCTGGATGGAGAGCACACTATTATTTTATTATAACTGCAAATTAACTTTTTGCAGGCATTGTTCCGTATTTTGATCAACATCAAATTTTACTGAATGACAGTTTCTACAATGTAAGATGATATTATCTTTCTTTCATTTGTATTCACTATTTTGTTCTTTTTTGTCCTTGAAATAATAGTGAAGGCAATCTTTATTTTTCTATTATATACCTTGTGTTTGTATCCTTTTTCTTTGCTTCCTCCTCCTCCATTTTATACCTGTTGTTTCTGTAGTTATTCAATTTAAAATAGCTCCTACTGTAACCTATATTAGGGTTTTTGTCACCAGGTAGCCAGCAATCCATCTGCAGATATTTCTTCTTTCAATAATCTAACTCAGCCAATTGTGAGCAGCAACCGTGTTCCTTACAATTTTTCAGAAAGTGTTAATATGCAGACAGTGGACAATCAGGCAAATCCAAATGAGCAGAGGAGTAATACTGTTTCTTTAAATGGTGTTGATTCCCTGGACACTGTGGTCAACAATAGATTGCAAAGTCAGGACAGCTTTGGAATGTGGGTGAACAACATCATGTATGATTCACCATGTTCGGTAAATGACTCAGCTCTTGAATCTTCAGTTTCATCTGCTCATGAACCATATTCATCTTTGGTAGCGGATAATCAGCAACTTTCTCTTCCAGAACAAGTATTTAATCTGACTGATGTATCCCCTGCATGGGCACCTTCCACTGAGAAATCAAAGGTTTTCTGTCCCTTCTCAAATATCTACTTATTAGCAAATATTTCTGTTGCTACCTGTTATTTTGCTATTGTTTCTAGGGTTTCTGAATTTCTTTACTTCTTTCAGGTCCTGGTGACTGGATTCTTGCACAAAGACTATATGCACCTTTCAAAGTCTAATCTATTGTGTGTCTGTGGTGATGTCAGTGTTCCGGCAGAAATTGTTCAGGTTGGGGTCTACAGGTGCTGGGTATCACCACATGCTCCAGGATTTGTGAATCTCTACTTGAGCTTTGATGGCCATAAGCCTATCAGCCAAGTTGTTAATTTTGAATATCGTACTCCTGTTTTGCATGATCCTGCAGCTTCTATGGACGAGAATGACAATTGGGACGAGTTTCGGCTTCAAATGAGGCTTGCTTATTTGCTCTTTGCTAAACAACAGACCCTTGATGTTATCTCTGGCAAAGTATCATCTAATGGACTAAAGGAGGCTAGGAAATTTGCCTTCAAAACATTATTTATTTCCAATAGTTGGCAATACCTAATCACGTCAATTGAAGACAAAAAAATTCCATTTTCACAAGCAAAAGATGACCTATTTGGAATTGCATTGAAAAACAGACTAAAGGAATGGCTGTTAGAAAGAATTGTCCTAGACTGTAAGACTACCGAATATGATGCACATGGCCAAAGTGTTATCCATCTGTGTGCAATTTTGGACTATACTTGGGCTGTTTCCTTATTTTCATGGTCAGGGTTGTCACTGGATTTCCGTGATAAATGTGGATGGACAGCTCTTCACTGGGCAGCATATTGTGGAAGGTATAATACACAGACATCTCTCTTGTTGCAACTATATTGACCTAAAATTCTTTTTCCAATGTGGTGGCCGTGGCACCTTTTTTGTATTTTCTCTACCAAAAACAAAAACCAGTCATTAACGTTGGTCCACTTTGGATTAGTTTCTAACTTGTGAGAGTTTTTTGTGAAATTTGTTAGTACTTATGGAGAAAATAACAGTCTTGAAGTTTGATTAATATTATCTCCTTGATTCATTTTGTTTTCTTCATCTATATGTGTTTGTTGAGAAGTTTATTCAAATTGATTTTATAATCTGTGAATTTAGCATGACCTTGGGTACTGTAGGCTGTTTGAACTTTGAACAAAATGTTTCTGGTATATATAATTTAAAATTTATATCTTTAGGGAGAAAATGGTTGCAACTCTGTTGTCTGCTGGGGCAAAGCCATATTTGGTCACCGATCCTACTCCACAAAATCCTGGTGGATGTACTGCAGCTGATCTTGCTTATATGAGGGGTTATGATGGCTTAGCAGCTTATCTTTCAGAAAAATCTCTGGTTCAGCACTTCAATGACATGAGCTTAGCTGGAAACATCAGGGGCTCACTTGAAACTAGCACGACTGATCCAGTAAATATTGATAACCTCCCTGAGGATCAGAAGAACCTGAAGGATACATTGGCAGCTTGCCGAACCGCTGCTGAGGCAGCAGCACGCATCCGTGAAGCATTTAGAGAACACTCCCTAAAACTGAGATCTAAGGCAGTTGAGCTTTCCAATTCAGAGGCTGACGCACGAAAAATAGTTGCAGCAATGAAGATTCAGCATGCCTATAGGAACTTTGAGACAAGGAAAATGATGGTAGCTGCTGCTCGCATTCAGCATACATTCCGTACATGGAAGATTCGTAAAGAATTTCTCAACGTTCGTCGGCAGGCTATTAAGATTCAGGTAACAGCTACTCTTCCACTTGGCTTGTACATTAACAGCGGACTTTGTTGTGCAATTTGACTTCTTGTTTATTATAATTTTGTTACAATGCAGGCTGCTTTCCGGTGCTTTCAAGTGCGTAAGCATTATCGCAAAATTCTTTGGTCTGTCAGTGTGGTTGAGAAAGCAGTGCTGCGTTGGCGTTTGAAGAGAAGGGGCTTCCGAGGGCTCCAGGTCAACGCCATTGAAGCAGAAACCGGTGATCAGGATCAGCAAAGTGATGTAGAGGAGGAGTTCTTTCGGACTGGGAGGAAACAAGCTGAAGAACGTGTTGAAAGATCTGTGGTACGCGTGCAGGCCATGTTCCGTTCTAAGAAAGCGCAAGAAGAGTACAGAAGGATAAAGTTGGCCCTTAATCAAGCAAAGGTGATGCATAATTTATGCATTTTATCATTCCTTGGAGGATTTAATTTTGTACATCTTTTGACTTGTAGAATATTCTCTGTGCAGATGGAACGGGAATATGAACAATTTCTGAGTACTGAAGTTGACATGGAGGAAATGAATACATAGGTTACCTTAAGTTACTATACATGTTCTTAATTTTGGGATGCAGTTTGGTTTTGTATATCCTGTAGATCTTGTAAATTTCCCTTGACCCCCTTTCAAATACATGAAGTTTTTGTGTCATTGGGCTCTCTATGGTTGATTCTTCTGATGCATGATTTAGTTGCGACTGAATTACTGTGCCACAAAAGTTCAATATACACAATAGTTACTGCTACAGCTACAAGCCTGGTTTCGAGATGGTAAAGTGCTTCATTTCTTTGCACCTCAAAAATAGGAGCTGAGGCAGCCAAAGATCAGTGCTGAAATTTTTTATTTGTTGGCACCAACATATTTTCAATATTAATCAATTTATAATCATACTTTTTGTTTTTAAATACACAATATCAATGATCTCTCTAAATTAATGATTAAGTTAATTAATGCATTAAAGCACAATTGTGACATGCATAATTGCGAGACTACCTTTTACATACATGAGGTAGAACGTGAATAGGTAAAAAAAATGATTTTTGTAGAAAGTTAAAATTATCTGGCATCATTCAACATGCATCATGCTGTGTGTCGATACATTTTCGGTCATTGATTTGCATGACTTACTGTGTTTGTATCACCGTTTGGATTCACTTAAACATATGTTGATCCTAACAACATCGTAACTAGCGTCTCTTTGATAAACATCCATATAATAATTTTAACAGCTAATCTAAACCCACGCTTAGTTACGGGAATGGAGATGCAAACAAGCTGTGGAATCAACAAAACAAGGTTTAGTAATACAAATCCAACGGAAAAATTGGATACTACTTACTAGCATGAATTTTGATTTTTTTTTTCCCCCGATATTCAAAGAATCGATTTTGAAGAGATGTATCAAGAGACGGTGTTTCTTCCATTGTGAGAGGAGCAAATATATATTTACTAATTTTTTCATAATTATCAAATTAAAACATAAAAATTAAGTATATTTTTAAGTCAACAATGATTATATAACTTCAAATAACCTTTGTCTTCATTGCTAATATATTATTCCATGATCAAGATTTATTCTTTTATTTTACATAAAATCAGTACAAAAATTATAATTTTAAATTTTAAATAATCATAACTCTTAAAGGATTTTAACTTTTAACTTATATTAATCAATATCAATTAAAAAAAATACTCTCATTTAATACGTTTTATAAATTCTTCAAAACCTTCCACAAAATGTTTTTACATTCTATCACATTGTAAAATATTTTGTTTACTATTTTTCTCCTTTCTTTCCCTCTCTCTTACCTCTCAAACCCTTTCGCTTCTCTCTTTTGAACTTAAAGAATGAGCAATTATCTTCTTTATTGGTCAAAATTGTCCTAAGATTACTGCCACCAAAAATATTACCCTTCTGGCCGTAGATGTGAACAAATTTCCCGGAGATTGTCAACCAAAACAAAAAGCACAGTCAAAGGTGCACAAAGCCATTTATAACATTCAAGCCACCATTTATTAATTCTGTAATTTTAATAACCGATATAGACTGCAGCATAAGCTTGTCAACCAACACAAAAACAAAAAAAATAGAAACAAGCATGTCTCATAACAAAGAAAGGTAAAAACTACCATTAAAGTATCCTTTTTACATGAGCAAAGACGTTTTGAAACTACACAATGCTAAGGTGGAGACTGCACCAGTATGATGATAATCAAGAACGCCGAAAACACTTGTCTATTTCACTTCCCTATTTAATGTACTGAGAGAGCCACTGAAAGCCTTCACCATATCCCATTTTGCGGACAATACTGCACATAAACACCTCCAAAGGACGAACATTGGAGTCAGCCAAATTCACCTTTCCCTTGCCTGTAGTGAAGTTAGTCAGGCCCATATAATGACGTAACTCGTCCTCTGAGGCAGCATAAGGTATGTCAATCTTATTTCCCAAGATAAGAAAAGGCACATTCCCTAGTGACTCGTCAGAAAGAAGAGCATCGAGCTCCTTCTTTGATTCTGAAAATCTTTCCTTGTCAAATGCATCAACCAGGTAGACTACAGCATCCACCTACATGGTATAAACTTTCAGTTAACGTGTAAGCTCTCCATAGGAAGCTATCATCATGCAAATTAGGCTTCAAAGGAATTCCTAATATGACAAAGGCAATATTTATATCAAGTTCCTTATGTTCTCATCATCAACTTCTCAAATTGAATAATGGCATGTAGACGCTTTTTCCAACACTAAAAAACCACCATTAAGAATGTGTTTGAATATTTTTCAAAAATGTCCATGTGTCACTGTTTGATTTAAGACCTCGATAGCAACAATCCAAGACATTTGATCTCAAGGTTTTATCCTTGCTAATACTTATTTGACACTACACCTATAACTCCAAGGCTCTTTGTAGAAATATATAAGCAGTCAAGAAGCTGTTCGTAGGGATTTTGAAAATAGAAAATAAATAATAGAAAACAAAGACTGAAGTCCACAAAATAATCTCTCTACAGTCCTTTCCTCTCAGTATGTGTTTTTCTCAAATCACCCACCTCATTACATACTTATACATTGAAGTAATAGACATTACATATCGAAACTAAATGTAAAATTTGCCCTGCTGCACCTTAAATGAAAGGCCAGATTTCTCCCTTTCCCTCAAAGGGCAAAGGATTATTTGAGTGAAGGCATTCACAATTCACTGGCACCAGCTAATGCTGCTAACCCCCAACAATTAGTAAAAGGTAACCAAGAAGAACATAGCAAAAGGGCAAGGTGGCTCAGATTATAAAATGTACACTGTTTGGCATTTGCTAATTCCATAACCAAATGGCATCATGGGATGGTATTTACAAAACAGATTTAAGTTCAAAAGCACCCTTAAAACCATCAGTTCAAAAACCTTTTAAGGTGTGAATTTGTATTTGCATCCAACCTACCATAGCCAATCATCACCATCAAACCTACCATATAAAATGATGATAATAATGATGATGACAAAATTGAAGCAACTAAAACCATTCAAATGTCCTGTATTCACAAACATGAATCCGAAAAAGTAATTAAAATAAATAAACAATAAAAAAACAAACCTGAGCGTAATAGTCCCTCCACACCCTACGAGCAATCTGGTGGCCACCCAAATCGAAAGCCTTGAACTTTATCTTCCCAATACTCAACTCCTCCGAAGTTGGATACTGAGTAGGTTGATGCTGAACTAATCTCTGCGAAATTTCAATTCCTCATCAACCACTACTGAAATAAACATATATAAAATCACAATAGCAAAATTAAAAAGAAAAAAACAAAAAACCAAAAACCTCATCTTTGAGCATGTGAAGCAAAGTGGTCTTCCCAGCATTATCTAACCCTAGGAATAAAATCTTCGCCTCCTTTTGCCACAGACCAAGAGACGCCAGAATTCCATAGAACCAATCAAAAAGAAACATTCTTTTTTTTTCGCTTGAAAAGTTTCTCAACTGGTGTGAAAAACAAACAACAAAATCTCCGCCGCCGGTCGCCGGAAACTTCAACCGGTGAAGCCAAGAGAGACAACTGCACAATATAATTGAGAAGAAGAATCGACAAAGACACCAAGAAAACGCAACACAAAAAGAAAGAGTTTTCTTTTATTATTATTATTATTTGAGTTTTTCTTCCTTCGGTTATTGTACGATCATTTTTTAGAACATATATTGGGATGTGGGATACCGGTTACCGGCGTGGCCAGTGAAATATGGGGTGTGCGAGGGGCTTGAGGAAAGGTGCCCAAAATGCTTACAAGGGCAAAGTTGGGGGAACTGGAGTAGCCGGTTATTGGGTGGAAATTCCACTTGTGTGAATTTGATTGGTTGGTACGCGTCATAGCATTTAACAGTTCACACAGCTCCATAAACCACAGATTTTTCTCAAATTGTTAGCTACAGAAAAACAAAACGTCAAAAGCAAGACAACAAAATAAAATTTACACATACGTGAAAAGTTGTTGTGACTTATCTACGAAAAGAATCGCTTGTGTCAAAGGTGATTTTGAATTCATTCGAATTCGATTAAAGGAATTGCAATGCAACAAAATGTTGTTCTTTTCCTAACTATTCTGTCATACTAGGAGTTACTAAACGTAATTGTAACAATTTAAATTATTTAAATTTTCTTAATAATCTTGTACCCATTTAAAATTTATCCTACGAGCTTTCACAATATAGTTTTGCTGTGACACTGTTTCAGACCCCACCCGATTCTGAAACATGCTTTCTATGCCTTTTTTGTTTCCTATGCCGAGATTTTAAAATATTAAAGCCCGCAGCTTGGGCCCACATATTGTGGATGTTGCTGAAGAACACTTGGTGGTCCAATTAAGTTATCTTTACTGTGATCTACCAATTCATACTATATATTTAACAATCACAAGATTTACTAAAAAAAAAAAAAGTAAAATTATTGAGTATTATTTTGATCATCAAATATATTATAATAAATTATACAAAATTGTTTTAATAGATTGTATTAAAATTTTATTAAATAAATTAAAAATAATGAGAAATATAAATAATAAATTGTTTTCAAATGTTATTCTCATTATTCTATCAAATAGTGACTTGAATATTAAATTTTTTTTTATAAACCCTAAGTATCAAAAATATATTTTTAAATAATATATTATAACATGTTAGGTATCAATTCCTTAATGGCTTCATAAGAGTTTTTTTTTTCCCTTCTTTTTCAAAGTCTATCACTAATGTTTCAGTGTCAATATTTTTTATCTGAATATGATTGCTTTGGAAAAGTTTCATACTCTAATATTAGAGTATTTTATTTTTTGTCTCTCTTAAACTTTTTCTTGTGAATTTTTTTATTTTAAATATATTTTTTTCTCACGAGCCATGACTGTTAGTAATGCCATCATAACCACCGTTTCACAGCGTGTTTAATTATATTTTAACAGTTAAACTTCTTAATTAATAATATTTTACACAATGTTATAAATTAGTTATACATAACATTAACATTTACATATTATGCCAACACATCAAATTTTCCAAGTCTTATTTCATACATTATAAGATCTTGATCAAATCTGATTAGAATTTAAATAAATGATCTTATTACAATTTCAAGTCAAATAAAGACAAGTTAAACTCATCCCAAGTAATTTTTTAAACACCCTTACTACTAAGAATGTGAAATGTATTGCTCTTTAATGCATGAACACATTGCTTGGTTTAAAATAAATAAAATAATTTTAAAGTTAGTTTGGTTTTAAATTATAAATTAAACAAAATTAGTGTTTTTATATTCCAATTTAAAGTTAGGTTTTTATTTTGTCTTTTAACTTTTTTTTTTTTTTACTTTAATCCTCTAGTTTATAAAAAAAAATATTTTTTTAATTAAATTTTTTTATAATTTTATACAAGTGTACTGCATCCTAATATTTATGGTCTTACTCTTTGGATTTCTAATACCTATTTTTCTTCCTCTTCTTATCATTCTTTCTTCGTCCTTCCCACTCAATTTTTCTTTAATGGAGAAGTGAAACGATAAACAATAATATACAAAGTATGTGACACAATAAATAAATATTAACAAAGTAAAGGTTTTTAACAAAAAAAAAAAAAAATTTAAAATGTTTTTATGTTAAAAAATTAAAAAATGAAATTAAAGTTTATCTTAAAATTAGAGGTAAAAAATATGTAAATATTTGTTGAAAATTTGGTACATAATCTTTCACTCTCAATTAAATTACTTTATTAGAAATGAAATTCCTAAAAAAAAAAAGATTCCATTTATGAAGTTTGGTTATTATTCAACTTTCTTATGAACAATATGTTTACACTTAATCATCATAAAAGGAAATAATAACTTTACAGTTATTTATTATAGGGATTTTTATTTTCACTTGTGAAATTGGAAATAATTTATTTTCATTTATTCAAAAATTAACATTCTCAATAATCCTTTATTCCAGGAAAATTTTTTTATTCTTTTCTAACAAAAATGAGAATTTTTTATTCCCACTTCACTTTTCCAACAATATTAACATTTTCCTTGTACCAGACGCCACTTGAATGATTTAAATTTACGATGCATTTTAAATTAAATCCAAGGGAAATATATTACTACTTGCTCACCGTGGATAAATATTTTCCATTAAAATAGCTTATTTTCATTTGTCATTTTCAGTCTCAGCCACAGGAGAATCAAATCTTCATAGAACATGCACAAGTTGATTCAAATACATCCCCTTTCTCTCTATTCTCATACTAGTCAAACATAATGAATTCACAAGAAAGAGAGCAGAGAAAGCTCAGCTTCCAGTCAAAATCCTCTGGGATTAAAGTGGAAAAAGACTTGATCCAGATTTATTAGACATTGTGTTTCTCCCCAATCATACCACCCTACAATAGAACCCAGTATTTCAAGTTTTCAACAGAAAATGTCCCCCACCTCACAAAGAAAAATGTTTCTAGAGATACAAAGTGTGACACATAACATTACTGCAGTTGTATCAAATAATAATCCAATCAAAATCAAATCATCAAAAGCAAAAGCAAAGATAAAACCTCTTCCGATGTAACTAACTGCAGACAGTGCTAGTAGACCAAGCAAAGGGAGGAAAAATCGATGCCAACTCTACTTGATATATTGAGAGACCCACTGGAATCCATCACCATATCCCATCTTGCGGACAATGCTGCACATGAACACTTCGAGAGGCCGAAGGTTGGACTCTGTGAGGTTTACCTTTCCCTTACCCGTAGTGAAATTGGTTAGGCCTAGATGATGTCGTAGCTCTTCTTCAGAAGCAGCATATGGAATGTCAATCTTGTTGCCTAGCACAAGAAATGGAACATTTGCCAACGCTTCATCTGAAAGCAAGGCATCGAGCTCCTTCTTTGATTCCACAAACCTCTCTTTGTCATAGGCATCAACGAGGTATACTACTGCATCCACCTGGAAAGCCAACATGTGTGTGAATTCTAAAGCAATACCAAATGCCTCTATGCAGAATTGGAGCCATTGCAGATTAGGTATATGTTTACAAACAGCAATTACATTAGAACCAGAAGAGTATAGTGAAAAACAATCATTGTTAAATAAACCTCCAACTTCAATACATTATAACTCAATGGAATAGGTCAAATCAGACAAGAGCAGGAAGCTAAAGTATATAATTAGAGTGTTAATGGATGATGATTTGAACACTACATGATAACCATCGAACTAACTTCATGCTAATCTAAATGAATAACACTCCTCTCTCAAGGTGAAAGGGAATATCAATTTAGAACTGCTGCTTCTTAACTCAAATAGGATGTATATAAATAATTAGAAAATATAATAACTAGCTACTTTGCAGATCTATGCATCCCTTCCTAGCATTCTTCTGTGTGTTCTTTTCTTTCTAATTCATCAGGAAAATTTCGGACGTGTTAGGAATGATACTAGTAAAACATATCCTGGAATGTTCAAAGGAGTGCTATAAGTGGAACCTCTACAGTAAAAAAATTGCCTCCTTCAAATCAGATAAATTTCAAAGAGCTTTATCTGAGTCCGTGCACACATGAAATTAAGTCAGTTGTATTGGGTTATAATATATCTTGAACAAGAGGAATGGATTAGACAAAATTTTTCGAACCATAATCTAAGATAAATAAAATATACTAGGAAATTCAAAGGAAAGCAACAATACATCAACAAGATATCACAGGGAAAAAAAAGTGAAGAACGAAACAACTCATGAAAAGTTAGCACTTCAAAAAGGAAGTGAACAATAATGAATAAGCCAACCAAAGTAAAGTGCTGTCGTAACAAACTGTATCAAAAGCAATTGGGATCAAACAAAAACAATGTTCCATCACATCTAACAGAAAGCATATCAGCACTAACGAACTAACCAGAAATATTTGAAAAATATGCATTATCAATAGCAGGGGAAGTACTAGGTGGATTCACAAAAACAAAAGAAATGTCATTTTCTAGAAACTGCAGATCAAATTGAGGTTATTATTTATCATTCAGTATTTGAAATAATTCACAAATCGACAACATCTGACTGAAAGCAAATCTGCACTATGGCACTAACATAATAATAAGAATGCACTATCGATATTATAAATGATATTCAAGTAGACCCCATTATAAGGTACTTCCTCGACCACTATCCAAGTCCCACTTTTCAGAAACTTAAAAAAAAAAAAAAAAAAAACACTCACAGTGCATATAACATAAATTCATCATCAAAGAGAAAAAGAAAAATTACAAATTGATAGCCACAAATCAAGACATTGAAGAAAATGACCTTTGCGTAATAGTCTTTCCAGACTCTGCGGGCAACTTGATGACCACCCAAATCAAAAGCCTTAAACTTTATTTTCCCAATGCTCAATTCCTCTGAAGTGGGGTGTTGGGTTGGCTGGTGTTGAACTAATCTCTGCAATTGCATTTAAAATCACAATTAAAAAAAAACTCATTTTTCCAAAACAATGTAAATGAAAAAAAATAAAATAAAGGAAAAACAGATTAGGGGAAAGTTACGAACCTCGTCCTTAAGCATGTGAAGGAGGGTGGTCTTTCCGGCATTATCGAGACCCAGAAAAAGAATTTTGGCTTCTTTCTGCCAAAGACCAAGTGAAGCTAGAATGCCATAGAACCAATCGAATAGGAACATGTTGTTTTTGTTTATGGGTTCAGATCCAAACCGAAGGGAATTGCAGAGTTAGTTTGAATCTGAGGGGAAAAGTCCCAGATCGGTTGTTGAGGAATGAGAAAGGAACTTAGATCCCACCGAAGTCGTGGGTTGTCTTTTTAGCCATATACCACCAATTAATTCAGCCTTTCAAAGCATGTGGTAGGAATGGACTTGAATTTTTTTTTGTCCCAAATACAACATCTAACTAATAACAGGGACCCATTATTCTAAACTAAGGATTTGCTTGTCTGGCTCTGTCAATTGTGATTTTCATCCTCAAAGACCGTTTATTTATAGAAAAACAAATATTTTTAATATACATATCATAATAATGTTGCATAATTTAATAATTTAGTAAATAAAACAAATTTAATTTTAGTGTACTATTATTGACCTAAAAAAATTGTATAAGTTAATAGTTTTTATTGATATAATCATTTATAATTAAATAATAGTATACAAATATTTCAACATTAGTGTATTCTAATTAAATTTAAATATACTTTAAAATATAAACTTTTCAAAATTTATTTATAGACATTAATTTTTTAAAATTTTAGATGCTTGTCCATTAGACAATTTAAGCTTTTATTCGAGAAAGTAGGTATTTTATATAGTTAACTGGATCAAGTTGACTTCCAGCCATCGCCATTTTGGATTGTCACTTAAAAAATAATACTTAAATTTGTTTAGAAATACAGATGAAATCTTTATCTTTATATATATAAAAGTAGGTGAGTTTTTGAGAAAAAATTGCAATGAGCCTTATATAATAATTAATAATTATTATTTAATAATTAATAATTATTATTTAATAATTAATAATTATTATTTAAGACTATCTTAAATGCTTTAATTCAAATTAATTAAATCTATTCATTTTTAATTAGCAGTTTTGATATATCTTTACTTTTAAGGCCATCTTGAATGGTTTAATTTAAATTAATTAAATATATTTATTTCTAATTAGTAGTCTTTATATATTCAAAAAATGCATATTTGTGACAAATTTAAACCTTAATATCAATGTTTATTTTAAATTTTATTATTAAAAATTAATAACTAATAAAATTATATAAAATTCTTGAACTTTAAATTAAGTTTATTATAAAATTAAAAAAATAAGTAAAAAAAAGACGTAGAAAAAAGTGAAAAAAAAATCAAATATATTGATTTGATTCTCAATTACTTAGAGTGAGTATTATTTTATAACATATTTTAATGGCTAAGATATTTGTTTAATATTTTTTCTCTTTCATTACTTTATACTAATTAAGATTATATTATATTGAATTTGTTTTGTAAGTATCAGATAATTGTTTGCACTTTATGGGAAGAGTTTGATGATCAAATGGTTGTTTTTTAAATAATGAAAATTCTAATGCTTTATCTATTATGATTATTCAATTATGTAAAGTGAAAACATTTGGTGGTATGATTCTTTATCTATATTGAACTCTTTTTAATTTATGATAGTTATTATTATCAATAAATTATATTTTATAGTTGTTTCAGGAACTTTAGGCATATCAAATGCTTATAATGAGACAACGTTGTATATAAATCTTAACATAAAAGAAACTATTGATTACAAAAATAAATAAATATTTTAATTTTTTTTTATAGAGACATTATTATGTTTTACATGATGTTTCCTGTTTTTGTTAACTTATAAGCTATCTAATTTGTAGTATATGATGAATATGAATGATGCAGGTATAAGTCAAGTATTAAGTCCGATGAGTATTCTTCGGTTTCAATGGAAAATAATTTGCTCTAAACTCAAAGTATGACCATATATATATATATGAAATAATTGAGATAAATTATGTATGTTTTGTATTGAAATGATGAAGTGAAACCTATATAATTAGCAGTTAAATACAATTTTGAATTTTAATATAAATGATTTACTTTAAATTTTATTCTTGAAAACTGATAATTTGTATATGATTAATGAAGAATAATAGAATAAATGAATAAGAATTGATGAGTATATATATTCTAAAAGTCATTTATGTTATATTTGAATCTGTTATAAATAATCAAATGAGAACTATATGAACAAACATAAAATATTTAATAAAGATAAAAAAATTATATTTTATTTAGTGTGTATATATATTAACATATTTGTACTTTCTTTTTAACTTTAATATTAACATATAGGATCGTTCATGAAAAATAGTAAAATAAACAAATTATAATTAATTAATTTATATATTTAAAAGGTCATATAACAATAGAATAATAAGAATTAATATTAATTTAGTATTTATAATTTAAATATTATATGAAAAAAGTACAAAAACCGTTAAAAAGTTGATATACAAGGAAATCTTTCAAAATATAAATTAGATTTATTATAAAAATTATAACTTTCCTTTTTAATTAATGTCAATAGAAAAGAAAAATACTTTATAAAGTTCTATATTATATTTTTTTCTTTCAAATAACTAATTTTTTTATTAATAATAATATTATCATATATTAATTAATTTTAAACTTTCAAATAGTTTAAATATTACTATAAAGTATTTCTTATCATAATATTTGTCAATATTTTATATGTGACTCATGAATTTTATATTATATCAACATGTGTAATTTTAATTAATATAAAGATTTATTTTTGTTTTCAATAAAATTATTTTTCTCTTTTACTTTCTATTTAAATCTTAATTCAAAATTTTAAAATATATAAAGTATATAAAATTTGTATATAAAAATTTATTTATCTTATTTTTCAATCGATTTATATTTGATATTATTCAATATAATATAATATTATTATATATTTTTATATTTAAATTATAATTTTATAATATTAATATATACTAATTACAATATAAACAAATTTTTGTGACATATAAATATATTTACTAATTTATAATTAAATTTTTTATAATAATATTTATAATATTTAAAGTCATATATAAATTATTTTTAATTATTATATTTATTTTTTATAGATAATTTATTTTAAAAATAATCAAAAATTTCATTTAACATTTTTTATCTTTCTGTTATATTAAAAATAATTAATTTAATATTTAAATTATAATTATTTTAAAATTAAATTATATATATATTTAATTAATAAATATACGATTTAATAATAAGAGATTAAATTATGATACTTAATACATAACAATAGTTTCAGAAACACAAAATAGACTTATTTAATAAAAAATTATTTATGTTTATCCTTAAATGTTGTGCTATATAATTTTATAAGATAAAATAAGATATATAATTTGATTCCTTCAATAATTTTTACCTTCAAATATTTTAAATATATTAAAATTTATTTTTTTTATTAAAAATCCTTATGTTGTGGTATGTATATATACATGTTAAATTATTACAAATTAATTATAAGAGTATTTTTAAACTTTATAGAATTAAATTCATAATTTATAAATTTAAATTATATTTGAGTTTAACCTTTTACTTTTAAAGTTAATTTATAAATATTTAAAAGTATATTATAAATCTTTATATAACATATAAAATCATTTTATTAGTAATAATATTAATATATACTAATTAATTTTAAAATTTAAAATAATTTAAAAGTATTTTTAAAATTTATAGAATTAAATCTATAATCTTATAAATTCAAATTTTATTTGAGTTTAATCTTTTTACTTTTAAAATTAATTTAAAAATATTTAAAAGTATATTATAAATCTTTATATAATATATGAAATCATTTTATTAGTAATAATATTAATATATACTAATTAATTTTAATTTTTAAAATAAATTAAATATTATCATATATATTTTATAGAATTATTTTTTATTTTATAATTATTAATTATAATATTATATTATAACATAATAATTTATCCGTGCATTGCACGGGTCATGTATAAATCTTAATTAAAATTTTAAAATATATAAGGTATCCAAAATTTGCATATAAAAATTTATTTATCTTATTTTTCAATCTATTTATATTTGATATTATTAAATATAATATAATTTTATTATTATATTTTTTATTTAAATTATAATTTTATATTATTAATATATACTAATTACAATATAAACAAATTTCTGTGACATATAAATATATTTACTAATCTATAATTAAATTTTTATAATAATATTTATAATGTTTAAAGTTACATATAAATTATTTTTAACTGCTATATTTATTTTTTATAGATAATTTATTTTAAAAAAATCAATTTTTTCATATAATATTTTTTATCTTTCTGTTATATTAAAAATAATTAATTTAATATTTAAATTATAATTATTTTAAAACTAAATTCTATATATATATATATATATTTAATTAATAAATATACGATTCAAGAATAAAAGATTAAATTATGATACTTAATACATAACAATAATTTCAGAAACGTAAAATAGGCTTATTTAATAAAAAAATTATTTATTTTTATCCTTAAATTGTGTGCTATATAATTTTATAAGATAAAATAAAATATATAATTTTATTCCTTCAATAATTTTTACCTTAAAATATTTTAAATATATTAAAATTCATTTTTTAATTAAGAATTCTTATATTGTGGTATGTATATATACATGTTAAATTATTACAAATTAATTATAAAAATATTTTTAAACTTTGTAGAATTAAATTTATAATTTATAAATTCAAATTATATTTAAATTTAAACCTTTTACTTTTAAAGTTAATTTATAAATATTTAAAATTATATTATAAATCTTTATATAACATATGAAATATTTTATTACTAATAATATTAATATATACTAATTAATTTTTAAATTTAAAATAATTTAAATATTATTATAAATATTTTATACAATTATTTTTTATTTTATAATTATTAATTATAATATTATACTATAACATAATAATTTATCCGTGTAACGCACGGCCTTCCTAGTACTTATAAACAATAAAAAACCAAACTTTTGATATATAATAAATATAGAAATTTAATCATAGCTTATTTCTGGTATAATTTTTCATATAATATCAATCAATTAAAGATATTTTGTTAAATCATTAAAAATGGTTTATTTTAATGATAATAATTTTAAAAGTCATATTTAGAGTATTATGTAATTAATTGAAAGTAATATAGAAATTTAATTTTAATACCTACTCTCATAATTCATATCAAAATAAAAATCAAACTTACGCGGCATACAAAAAAAATACATAACATATTTATCCATTGTTCTTCTTTAGTTTTAAATATCTACAATTACTCCCTTTTTATATATTTTTCGGATAAAAAATTTTATCTTATAAAAAAATTGATTAATTATTTATTACAAATTTTAAAAATATATTTTTATTGAATTTTTTATCATTTGACAATTGACAAAAATAATTTGCAATTAATAGAAATTTAAAAAACACCGTGTCATTTTCTTAATCCCTCACCGGCTCACAAATCTGTACTGCTTTTGGCCCTATAAAAAATGTCAAGGGACAACAGAACCTTCTTAAAAAAGTAAGACACAAAAAAATACACATAAAATCTTCATCCGATGACTCTATTTTATTTTGCAAAATATTTTTAATCCATATCTGGCTTTCTATTTTAGGTCCACCATATTTTTGCCAATACAAAACATTAAACTAATTCCAATTTCTTCAGTTGTGGGCCTTTTCAGAGTTCCCAAAATCAAGTTCTTATGGGCCGCAAAGCCCACTCACGACACAAAGGGCATGATCGTCATTTATATGGGCAAAATTGTTAGGGTTTCTCAACACGAGGCCACATATATAACTGACCATCTGCTACGATCCTAATCTTCTGTTCCGCAGAAAACCCTAACTGTACCGCTCCTTCACGCATTAGGGTTAGTATCCATCAACTTTTCTCACCGTTTTTCTATTTTCTCTTCATTGTTTAACCTCGTGTGCGTTGAATTGCAGAGATGGCAAAGTCGAAGAACCACACAGCTCACAACCAGTCCTACAAAGCCCACAAAAATGGCATAAAAAAGCCAAAGAGGCACCGCCACACTTCCACCAAAGGGGTATTCTATTTTTTCTTTATTGATCTATATTTATTATTTTTCCGATGACTCATTTCTTTTATTATTATTTTAATTGTTTATTGTTGTGAATTGATGTAGATGGATCCCAAGTTTCTGAGGAACCAGAGGTACGCAAGGAAGCATAACAAGAAGAGTGGTGAGGCAGCCACGGAAGAAGAGTAAAGTGCTACTACATAATGGGGCTGTTAGGATCCTCACCTTAGATTTCTTGTTCGAGCTCTACATGTTTTTTTGTGTCAAATTTATCTTCAGTAGTGTAGTCATTTTTATGCTACTCTTATAGCATTGCTACTGGTTTATGTTGAAGACCCTTGAAATTTTATTACTGGAATTTTTAGTTGCTTGTGTTTTCAGTAACTTCTATAGTAATGTTCAATTTTGATGTTATAACAGACTGTCAGGTAATGTTGCTTTAAATACTGGAAGGGGACTACAATTAATTTCTGAGTTGTGCTTTATTTTGTTTATAATTGGGCTGAAGCAGGAGTTGGCATTGTGTATGGCATGTACTCAGTGTGATAGGGGTTATAGTGAGATATAACTCTTTTTATAATAAGAGGAATACGCCAACTTACTGATTGAAGTTATAAGTAATGATCAATTTATCTCTTAAATCTACGGGAATAATAGTCTTTGATGTAAAATTACAATGTTAATCATTTCCGTTTCTAACGTTAAGGCCTATTAATTAGATTCCTACTATAGAAATTATTAGTCGATTAGTCAAAATAGTCTCTGACTTTGATTTCTATTAGACAATTCAATCCATGGTGCCAGAGACCAAATTGACTCAGTTATCTAATTGAGGGATTAAATTGATTGATATGGTAATTCTTTGGGATTAAATTGTTTGACAAGTATTGGTTTGTGGGACTGAAATGTCTTTTTATAATGATTTTAATGTTAATGAGTTTAGTCTCTAACGTTTATCATTTTTATTTGCATATGGGTGGTCGGAAAGCTAGTGTAGCTGTCAGATCTTAGAGTCATATATTTTATCTTGTAACAGTTATATGAAACTTATGTAGTGCTTATTTGAGTTTTTGAAAGTGGTTTTTATAAGCTTTTTACAATGAAATATTAATTGTGAAATTAGCTCTTAATTACTTTAATTTGTTTTAGGGGCAACTTTTAAATATACTTTCATATGGCAACTGTATGGGTCTTGTTAATCCGTCGAGAAAGTATTGATATAAGAATCAATAAATAAATAAATAATTAGAAATTAAGGTATGTTGTATTGAGGTGTTTGTTTCATTTCATTTCGGCTTTTCTCGAGTGGTGTGGGTCAGTCATAGAGTTGTTCTTTTATAGTGCTCTGCAATTTCTTGGCCAACTTTTCTTCTTGAGATAATGAACTCGGTTATTTAGAACTTTTTCTAATATGGCTTGTTTGCTAAATAAGTTATTTTAAAATATTGTATGGTGTTTGGCTAACCTGTTTTTAGTAATTACATTTTCATATTGTTCACTTTTGATTTTTTATTTCAGAAAATTGTTGCAAGAGGCTATTTTAATTAAAAGTACTTTATAATCGGTTAATCACGAACTTTTATTATTTATTTATTTTTATACGTAATCACGTAAGATTAAAACATACGAGCCCAAAATATGGATTGACCACAAAAAAGTAATAAACATTTAAAGTAAGTCTCATTTAATGTTGGAAACTTTATTAGGATATGAATATACTTGCTCAAGTTGTAATTATCTTGTATCTTCATTAATATATATATCGATCTAGTGGCTAAAATATCAATTTTTAGAATGAAATTAATTTTTTATTTCAAAAAATAAATTATCTTGATGTTTAATTTTCCTCAGATAATACTGTTATAAAATCCTTAAACTTTCGAACTTTAATAATTTTTAATCAATAGATTAGCATATTCTGATGTGTAATGATATTTAAGTTTCATAGTTTTATTTAATATGTTTTGTTCATTTAAAAAATTTTCCTTTTTATTGATTCCTTAGCAAATAAAGTTTTTAAATTCATATTAAAACAATAAGATATTAAATATTAAATAAATGCAAGGAAGCATAAGTGGCTATTTAGTTTTAATTATTTTAGAAAAATAATCGCTTTATTTTACTAGTTTACTATTAGTTTATAACAAACTATTACTTCTCTTTAAAATAGTTTTACTAAACATGCTATCAGACAATATTCTACAAAGAATGCAAGTTCAATAAACGTTCTTTTTCTCATATTTCATAGAGTAAATATTTTATTTCATTATTTGAATATGTTATGATAGAATAAAATAAAATTTTATCGTTATTTGGATAATGAATAGAACAAATGGACTATCTATTTTTATTCTTATATCGGGTAACAGTACAAGTAAGTGAAAAAATTATATCATAACTTTATGAATATAAAGGTTTTGGTGAGAGCCGAATGTTCTCATAAAAAATAATAATAATCATTGGTTAAAAATATATTAATAATTTTATAATTATAAAAATAATTTAACTAAAATTCAATGACATATCTCAAATTCAAATTGGATGGAAACAAAAGTGAGAGTTTTAAATGGAAAGAGGTAAAATTTATCCCTTTAAATACCAGTCAATTATAACAATGGTATCATTTAAAATTTTATTCCGTTCCACTCTATTCTATCCTTCACTACAAATCCAAAATTACCTAAATATTTTGAACAATTGGTATCAAAATTGTTACAAACTAAGAATAACTAAATGGGGAAAAAATTATTCTTGTAAATCAAATAAAAAATTAACTTGTTTATCAAAAGATTTGGTAGCTAGTGTATTTTTGTGTATTAAATAAATATTATCAAATTAATTTTTTTTAATAAAAGTGTATGTATAGTAAAATTTTATTAAAAATCGTAAAATGTTACAAAGTTTAATGCATTGTCAATGTATGGAAAATGCAGTTTTTTTTAACTTCTATAGAATCTCTATTCAGTACCATCTTTGATCAAAGTAGGTACAAGTTATGCTTCATATTCTCATCTTGCTGTGCCAAAAAATGTTGATAGACCGATGCCAGTGACATTTATGGGGTTGGGAGAAAACCAAAAAGCTCATCAATCCCACAAGATTTATTTAAAATATATTTGGAAGAAAGTTCTTGTAGGAGAAAGAAAAAAGAAAAGGAAAGAGAAAAGATGATATTTTTAATTTTAATTTAAAAAATTACATATTATTTATAATAATAAATACATTATTAATACATTAATTTTATGTTAATACATCAATTTATTTTTTTTATTTAAACAAATTAATTTTAAATATAGATTTTTTCTTCCCCTCAAAAACTCTCCTTTTAAACCACCCTCAGTGTATCGTGTGCCAAAGAGATTACTTCATAAATAATACCTTTGAGAGAAAACTGCTAAGAGTACATATGCGGGGTGCAAAACTACAAGCACTCTGAAAAATATGCCACTCTCAAAGGCCTCTCTCATTGACTATAATTAGGAAAAGCAAACTAGCTTAAAAAATACAATAACAAATAATATAAGCATCTTTGACAGGCAATAAAAATATCAAGTAAAAAAGATACCAATACATGTAACCTTCGGCGGATATCCATTATCAGGCCGTTATTGATCTCCCTCAAACGTTTCCCTTCTTTTAGAGGAATCTGCTCGTGTCTTCCGCCTGAAGATGTGTAATATTTTGGATGTCCCTAGTACAAGCAAATTTCTTCAAAAATTTATAGTTTGTTCAGGAAGATTAGACTGCAACTGGTTCACTTACTGGGCTAGAAGCTGGTGCTTTAACCTGGGCTCAGTAATAGAAGAGGGCTCTTATTAGTGTACATGCTACAATAAAGTAGCTGTGTATGTGTTTGTAAATGCATGTCTGAATGTGAGTTTCATTTTTCAAGTCTCTTCTATGTATAAATAATAGAATTTTGTAAACCTCAGTCCTAATAATAGTAAAATTTTATTAAAAAGATAAGTATTTATTATATTTTTATAACTTTAATATTATAATTGTGTACTTTTTTCATAAATTTTTTTTATTTATGGATACTTAAACTCAACTCTAAAGATTGAGATTAACAAAACCCTTAATAATAAGCTCAGTGTAAAATAATAATAACAATAACCTCTCCCACCCCACTGCTCCGCTCCTTTAAGATAAGTTTAGATTAAAAAAAATTGACAACCATGAATCGGTCAATGCCTGTCTACTCATTCTCTTAGAAGGCTACAATAGTTTTGCTATTGAAGGTAACCCAAGGATTATCTCACCTTTGCTGATTTAAATAACTCATCAAGAACCTCAGACAAAGTTGGATGTGCATGAACTGCAAATTTTATGTCCTGCATTGTATCACAAACCAGTGAAATTCACCAAATAGACATGATAAGAAAGAGTGAAAGTTGACTATTATTAACTAAATGCCAAGTGCACATGAATAACAGCACTGGTAAATAATTTACCTGAATACATGTCCCTAAAGCTATTGCATTGGAAGCTTCATGGATGAGATCAGCTGCATGCAAGCCAAAAATATGAACTCCTAGTATCTCCCCATTGTCAGGTCTGTATATCAACTGCATGCAAGCGTAACTGACAGTTAGTGATGTCAAGCCAATGAGAACAGAGAAATAAATGCATCCAAAGATGAAGTAGAACAAGTCTTGCAACCAAAGAAAATTTGAGCTACCAAAGCAATTATTTCGTTGAGAACTCAACAGAAAAATTTAACACTTCTATAAACTTCTATACAGTAATAGCGTTAAAGGGGAAGTTACAAAAGTATTACCTTGGCGAGTCCCTCCCCTTCATTTTCTGCTAGGGCCTTTGTGTTAGCTTTAAAACTTGTTTTGGCAACACTTACTTCAAATCCCTCTTCTACACCTTTCGCCCTTGCTTGAGGCTGCAGATTTTATGTTTGGCCACAACACAAGAATTCAAATGCAGGACAACAAGCAATAATTTTATCATACGAATAATATAGGGGAAAAAGAGGAGGCAGAGCTCAAGAATGGAGAGAAAGTTAACCACACTTATGAAGGAGAATTCATTCATCGTAGTATCTTTTGCAGTGAATGACACATCAAACAAAAGCTCTGTTATACCTCTGTCAATCCAACCATGCTGATTTCAGGATGAGTGAAACAAGCAGCTGGGATACTTAAATGATTGACCACATGATCTCTTCCAGTGACTTGTTCAACCACTGTCAGAAAAAATTTTCATCGGGTGAAATTGAAGTCAAAACCTAAATTAGTGGAAGAATTACATCAGTTGATACTTACCTGAAATTCCTTGTGCACTGGCAGCATGAGCAAGCATCATCTTGCCATTTGCATCACCAATACAGTATAAATGAGGTACCTATCATTCCACATCCTACGTCAGTAACAATAAGTTAGAGACGGATAATTAGTACATAAGAAATTGACACAAACCAGTTTGCCATTTGCATCCATTACTTGCATACGCTCATCCACAGGAACAAAACCACGCTGTGTTACCACGTCAATCTGTGGGCACAATTTAAAATATATATATACAATTACTTCCTTCCATAAGAGGAAAATTCCTATTCTAAACACAACTCTGTTAGAAATGCATACATTTTCCAATCCAAGACCTTGTGTGAATGGAGCCCTTCCAGTTGCAATTAATGCAGTGTCAACCTGCAGCAAAGCAAAGACAGCAAGTTATGATAAATCCAAAGTAATTTAATATACAGATCAAAACAAGGAGATCAAACTTCATGTAGTTACAACAATGCCACAAATCCTAACACTGCAAATACTTAAGGAGCTCATAATATTACAGAGCTGCTTCGCTGGAGCTAAGGATGGACAAATTCATCCTTTAGCAAAGCATCAAAAAGAATGGACAAAGAGAAAGAAGCATAATTTAGTTAAGAATCAATCAGACTTAATTGTCTGCCACAGTGAAACAAAATGCACTCATAGTTCTTTATATGCTAAATGGATGGCCAGGTACAATAACCACTTCTGGCTTTTCAGAAAGAGATCTAAGTTAATTGACAAACATCCATACCATGCACAGGAGTCCGGGTCCCTACAAAGCACACGTCCACAGGTACACACAAATAGTGAAACTGAATAGGTTTGTATGACTGTGTTCCCTGCTCACTAGTTCTCAAATGAGTCAAATCTAATTTTGGCAATTGTTGAAATATTGGGTTTAAGTTAGGAAAGAAAAACAGACACTGAATAATTAGATATATTAGACTGATATGGTGTATAATAATTATAATATGATACGACATACAAATAACTAAGCATTAATTATGCTAATATTAGATTCCTAATCCTAATTAAGTAAGGAAATAAATAATGAAATGTTATTAAAAATATAATATGAAAACCACTCCTAAGAGATTAACTGCTCAGAGGAGCCAAAGAGCCACAGCAAGGTGGCAAACATAAGCAATGGGACTGGACCAGACCAGAGATGGTACAGCAAGGCAAAAGATAGCATATGCAGAAGGAAAAAGGGTAGCATGCATGCAAGAAAGGTTTGCTGGATAGATTCTGGTAACCAGTTGGAAAACGTGAGGCAAATTCTAGAAAAGGAGAAGCTGAGGTAAATGGAGGTTATGAAAGCCCAGCAAAATACATAAGTGCACATGTCCACATGCGCCAATAGAAGGTGTTAGACACTGGAAGCTTGAGGCAGCACATGGAACCACAAAAAATTGGCACTATCATAGGCATGGGACAATCTGGACATGGTGGCAACAGTGTAGTTAAACAAGTGTGGTGCACAACAGTTACAGGATCCTTCACAAGGGATAGTACCACTTCACCTTAGTTAAATTAGAAGATCAACTTAGAAAAGGATGGAAAATAGAAAATAGAGATTGAACAAGGATATATTAGACTGATATAGTGCATATAGTGTGATACAACATACAAAGCAACAATTCCTACTTTTATGAATACTAAACTTCTAAACCTAATTAAAAAAGTTAACACACACACACATCTACCTCAATACTATGTCAAACTTGGATATTTGCATCACTTAATAAATTGTTATAAAATGTGAGATTAATTAATCTAACAGTTGAATTATGTTATATTATCTTCATAATCATATATATGAAATAGATGGTGAAATAAAGTAATATAATGAAGAACTTACTATTTTTTTGTATAAAATTTTATAAAGTTAATCTAATTAGTAAAAATCTTCAAATCAATGGTTGAATTAACTAATCTCATATTCTATAAAAAATTATTATATAAGTGTCCAAGTTTAACACTTAATATCAACAGATCTTGACTCTCTCTCTCTCTCTACATATATACATATATATATATATATATATATATATATATTGTAAAAACATTTTAAGTACAACAATTATATTGTATAATATTTTCTAAAATTCTGACAACAATTCATAATTCTCTACCATTCTCCCGTGGGAGAAATGTTAACAATTGAAAACAAAAAGATAAGCCAAAAGCTTTTTGTGAAAGATTAAGTTACCTCCAAAGTGTCCTTTGGTTCCAAAGTCGTTGCATCAATAAGCTCAATCAAGACAGGTTTTCCATCCCTTGCAGGAGTGATCTACACAGAAACAACAGGACTGTGGCATGTCAAAGTAGCCAATAAACATAATTAAATAATCAAGTACAAGATGTAGTCACCTTATTTGCAAAAACTCCAGTATGATAGTCTATGTTCCGCGGATTTATAAGAACTCTTTGAGCCAACTTGCTAATTTCAGGATCAAATCCAGGCATAAGTTGATCCACAGCTTCAATAAAAGTAACCTGCATAACAACAATAATTAGCTTATCTTTTCGGCAACAAATTAGGATAGTAAAACTTACTAATAAGTATAAAACAGAGATAAAATATTTAACTTCCCATACTGATGAAAAGTACAAAAAATGTGATATGATTTTACATCCCATGCACAAATTTCAGATGCCAAACAATAGCAATATAATTATCAATCTCAGTTAACAACTCATAGCGGCTAACACAAAAAATGCTATAGAAGGATACCGCATAGTGAGATAATCACCATTTAGAAATTTTATATACAAAATAAATAATTAATACTATATATAAATGCTAAAAATAATTAAAAATACTCAAAATTTATGACATTTTCATAATTAAAAATAAAAGGTCAAATGTCTTAAGAAAACATACAAGTAAATAACAATAAAAGTAAAAAATCCCACCAAACAGAAGAACAAAATATCACAAAGATGTGCTACCTCACTTCCAAGTGCTGTATATACATCACTAAACTCAAGCCCAATATAACCACTTCCCACAATTGCTATCCAATCAGGAACAGACTCCAGTTTGAGTGCATGGTCACTGGTAATCACAGTCTTCCCTGAAGGTGATTAGTTAGTAAATTTTCATTTCAAAGTAATTATATCCAATGAATCTTGAAAGTAATCAGGAGATCGAAATACATATATACACGGCATCAAAATTATGTTGTGAATTAGAGAGAATTTTAAAAAATTGGATTGAATGTAAGGTAAATTATACATTGCATATCTGTACTTGCTAAGAAAAGGGATAAATTAGGATACAGGGAACTTCTTTAAAAATTTTAATTGCTAAAGAGATAGTACTGTTTCACTCTACCTATAATGTCCTCAAGCAGATGGAAAACACGTACGTGGCCCTATCTCTTCCTCTAAAGATTGAGTACATATAGAAGGACTGTAAAAATCACTAAATTAATTTTTCAGATTGTAAGTCAAAAGATCCATTCTACACTGAACTAAGATCTCTTTATGCACATTTCAATGGAGTCTATCATCCTACATCTATTAATATCTCTAGGGTATCACCTCTTTTTCCATTGCATGCTTAGTAACTAATAGCACACTAAACTCTTTGAGATAAAAGACAATCCTAAATCCACTGAATAAAGCAAAGCTAGAATGAGGAAGCTCAAAGTTTAATGTTGTGAAAGGAAAAAGAGTTATAGGTACCATCAATTTCAATGCCCTTAGGAACAAAAGGAACAGAACCAGTAGCAATGATGATATCTTTAGCAGTTACTATGCTATTTGAAGAGCCAACTTGCACCTTCTGAGGACCCTGCACAGGTTCATAAATAAGGCATCAAAAGAAAATGTCAAGATTTTCTTTGGCATTTTCCTGATAGTTGATTAATAAACAAATTGCTCAATTCCCTAAGAGTGTGTTTGGAATGTAAAAAAACAGAATTTGATTTTATCTGTAAATCAAATCTTATGTTTTAATGTTAAAAGTTCACAAATGGTTTATTTGTTAAAATTTCAAGTATTTTATAGCTTTTATTTTACAAATACAACCATGTTTGGAAGATTTTAATTGACATTGACTTGATTTTAAATTGAACTGTATGCACTCCTGGCATTCCTCGGTATCTTTAAATCCAAGAAATACAACATAAAAGAAAAAAATTTAAACTGTAACAGAGATATGCATAGTTTAATCAGATAAAGTCTAAAAATATAGATTAAAAAGTTTAAAGTTATAAAGAAGATATGTATATTTATTTTTAAAAACATGAATTTAAAATTTAAAAGAACAAAAGATAACATCAACATATGTCCTTTTTCTAATGAGAAATAGATTAAGAAATGAAGTCGCTTTTAAAAAGTGTATTTTAACTTAATATAGAGAAAAATATCAACTTAGCCCTCCAAAAAATTCATCTATAAAAAATTTACCATAAAAATAAAGGAATAATTTAATATTAACGTGGTGACACATAATTTTAGAATATAAATCAAAGGCTTTAAGATGGATTGTTCGAAAATATTTGACCCTTGATAGAGTCAATATCTACAGAATTTTATCAATAGAAATTTAATATTTATTTAAGCAAATATTAGTAAGGAATTGACGGGCAATTGATTAAGCAGAAAATGGAAGTTCTCAAAGCATACTTTCAATACAAGGGTGAATTATATAGATTGACCATTTTACCCTTACTAAAGAGTACATTTAATAAGATAAATCAAATCAAATCAATTCCATTTTTAATGAATTCCAAACATATTATTTGATTTCAAATCCCATTTTCATAACAGGGTCCAAAATATAATTTAATTTCTAGTTAGATTTAATTCAAATAATTTCCTATTTTCAAACATTCCAAACACAAAGTAAGTGATTACACTGATATTTGTTTAGAATGTCATAGGATCCATAGAGCCTAATATTAACATGCCACTCACCAAAATAGTTCCATAACCCGTAAGTATGTCTACTCCAAGCGCTTTTAGTGAGTTGGTCAAATTACTACGGATTTTCGAAGCAAGATTATTAGCATGATCAGCGACTCCTTGTCTGTCATACCCAGCAGCAGAAACCTAAAACAAGCAAAACAACGGCCAAATAATCATGTAATCGCCAACCGCTCTACACCTCTACCATCTAATGACATTCTGATTTCATTTTTACCCAACAAAAAAACAAAAATGCATTCGAAGGGAGTCTGATACATAACACTCTTACCTGTAAGCCAAAGGACTTCAAGTGATGATCGCTCTTTAGTTCTCGCATACGACCACTAACAGCCAAAAGAGCTTTCGAAGGAACACATCCTCTGTTCACACATGTTCCTCCCACCACATCTCCCTCTACAATGGCTGTTTTCAAACCCTGCAGTCGCTCCGTTATTAAACAAAATAAGATACCTACTTCCTTTCTTTTTTGTTTCATGTTTTAAGTTTTGCACACGAATCAATAGATAGGATCAGTATTCTAAATTTCATAAAAAGTTATTACCTAACTTATCATTACATGTTCATCTTTTGTATTAATTATCTCGCTTATTTATTATCTTTACTGAATAAACATTAATGATTAAAAATAAAATGATAAAAAATAATTATTTATTAATTTTTAAACCGACGATGAAGTCGATGAGGAAAAAAACACAGTAAGTACTCGCTTCTCAGCTTACTTCATCTCACAATCATATCAGTCAACAACGGCTATTTCTTAATTCATTATATAAAGAACAATTTCCATACGCATGCTGCCTTGTTGAAAACAATCATCAGTTTAGGTACAAATTTGACTATCAAAGAACGAATCTCGCGATAACAACTTGACGTGAATTTAATTTTTGAGATCGAACCTTCTCAACGGCATGAAGCGCGGCACCGTGGCCGCCAACGCCGGCACCAATAATCAACAAGTCATAGTCAAAGGATTTGGAAGGACTACCATTGTCAGAGAGCGCAGCCGAAACAGAGGCAGAGTGAGGACGGCGAGGAAGCTGCGAACGGTGGCGATTGAAAGAAGCAGTGAAACCTAAATCTAAACCTAAAGCCTCGCGCCTCAAGCCGCAGAAGTGGAGATTGAGAGGTATGGCAGCGGTGGCAGGAGAAGAGTGGCGCGATCTGAAAACGGTGGCGGCAGAGGAGCTGGAAGAGAATGAGAGGGATAGTGAGGAGTGCATTGTGGAAATGTGGAAATGGCGAAGTGAAGATACAGAGAAAAAGGAAGAGATCTGAGAAAGAGGTTATAAGAGACAGTGGGACCTCGAGGAGTCCGTTGGGAGTTAGGAGAAAAATGTGAAGGCAGAAGAATGGGGCGGAGAAATCAAAGAGCGGCTGATGAACCACTTTTGTTTGCTTTGCACTTCGCTTTATTGCCTTGTTTAGATGGCGCCTCGCGTTATTGCTCAATTGTTTAATATTTTAAATTCTCGAGCTAGTTTTCTAATTATTATTATTATTAATAAACTTTTAAAACTAAACTTTATGATGGGAATATGGTACGATCTTATAAACCTGAGTTTGGGGTATCTAAAATCAATTAAATTTCTTTTGGATTTTTTAATTAAGTTTTTAGTTCTACAATTTGTTAAAAAAATCATTATATTCTTATTTTTAAATTTTTTGAAACGAAAAATTTATAAAAAAAATTATAGGGTAATGGTGTTTTTCGTTTAATTTTTTCACTTGTTCCTTCTAAATATTGCTTTTCCGTTTCTTCATTTAAGGAGGTTAAATAAAAAATTGATGATATTTACGAATATCAAATAAGAAATTTGTGGTGCTTAAGGGTTTGCTTAGGAGTTAAGTTTAGGAGGAGAAATAATGAGTTGAGAGAAATTAATTATTATTTGAAAGTTAATTAATTTAGAGAGAAAAAGTTAGAAGATTTTTTTAAACTCTGCAAAATCCTCTTAATCTTGATTTTGTGAGTTCTCCTATTTAAGAGAAATTTTTTAGTCTATTATAATAAATTTTTTCATATTAATTATTAAATAAATAAAATAAAATAAATAAATATTTTTAAAAATAGTGTGATGTTAATTTTTTTAAAGATAATAAAAAAATGTTTTTAAAAAACTGTTAATTTTTAGAGTGAGAATTTTTAAAAAAATATAAAAAATAAAAATATAAAAATCAAAAATATTAATTTTTAGAGAAAGAAAAATATATATTTTGTATATTTTTTAAAATAATTAAAAAAATAATAGTAATAAATTAATTTTTGTTCAAAATATATTAATTTTTAGAGTGATAATTTTTAAAAAATTATAAAAAAATTAAAATATAATTTTAAAAAAATACATTTTTAGAGTGATAGTTTCAAAATATATTAATTTTTAGAAGAAGAAAAAAATATTATTTGTATTTTTTAAAAATAAAAAAATATAAATAAAATGTTTAGAAGACAATAATCTCATTTATATAATTAAACTTTTGTCACCCTCTCCTCTCTATATCTAACATCTAAACAAGAAAGAGTTTTAACATTTTTTCTCTTTCTTTCTATTTCCTTCATTTTTCTTTTAAATTCTTTTTATCTCTTTCCTCTAAACTCTCAAACAAAGTCAATAGGTTTATTTGGGAGTTGAATTTAAGAAAAAAAAAATTAAAGAGATTTAATTGTTGTTTGAGAGTTAATTAAGTTGAATGGGAAAGGGTTATGGAGTTTTCTAAACACTTCAAAATCATCCTAACCTTAATTTTGTGAGTTCTCTCATTTTTAAGTTTTTTTAGTCTATTATAATATTTTTCTTTATATTAATTATTAAATAAATTAAAATATATTTTTTAAAATGTTAATTTTTAGAGTAAATTTTATTTAAATTTTAAAAATATTATTTTTTAGAGGGAAAAATATATAATTTAAAACAAATAAAAAAAGCAAAAAGTTAATTTTTGTTCAAACTATATTAATTTTTAAAGTGATATTTAAAAAAATAAAAAATAGAAATATAATTTTTAAAATATATTTTTAGAATGATAATTTCAAAACATGTTAGTTATTAAAAATATTAATTTTTAAAAAAAAATATATTTAATTTTTATATTTTAAAAAAAATAAAATATATAAATAAAATATATAAAATACAATAATATTATTTAGATTATTAACACTTCTATCACTCTCTCCTCTCCATATTTAACATCTAAATAAAAGAGAGATTTAATTTCTTCCTCCTCTTTTTACTTCCAAAACTTCCAAACAAAATATAAAAAATAAATAAAAATACAGATTATAAATTAAACTATTTCACTGTATAAAAAATATATATATTTATTTTATAAATTTTATCAATTTTTTGAAGTAAAACGTCTATGTTTATTTATTTTTATCAATATACATGGTACTACCATTCTTTTACTGTAAATAATATATGGTATATTTAACTAATTTTAAATCGTTTATTTCTTATTAAATTCTTACTTAATCTCCCTGTATTTCGTCTACGTGTCTTTTATTATTACAATTTTTATATTTCTCAGTGAATAAATTGATATTGGGTGCTTTTTTAAGTTCTAACAAATAATTTAATATTTTTCTAAATGTAATATTTTCTAATCGTGAACGTGACTTTTTTATCACTGTATACACAGTTGTTCAATGACAAAATACATCAAAGGGATTATATATTAAAATATATATTTATGATATTTTATTGCTTTAATATTTTGTAAGTTTTTATATTACACTGGAATGAATCACTCATTTTAACCCGTCACAACGTTAGTCTTAAATTTTTAATTGTATTTAATAATTTTCACGTGAAAAACTAGACAGGTGATTACTTAATTCAAAAACTTGGTTTTAGGCTACACGTAACACTGTTACAAATGATGCCTTGTTTATTTTTAATTTTTTCTAGTAATGACTTGTTTCTTATAAGTTGAAAAAACAAGTCATCGCATTTTTAGTGAACAAAATATTTATAAGAAGCTATAATTGAAAAAAATTTATATACGTATCCTGATTATATTCAATGATTTTAAAAATAATATTATTAAAACTATTTGTATTAAACTTTAAATCAAATAAACATGAATTTAAGTTCAAAATAAACGTTAGAGAATCTGAAATTGAATAAAAATAGTCACAAAAAAATTTAAAATGGAAAATGTCACAGGAAAATATATTATTTTTCATTATTATAAAAACACAACAAACAAGAAGTTAAGATAAAAAAACACAAATTTGTAAATTAAATAAAAATATTAAAATGCAACGATAAATTAAAAAAAGGAATAAAATGTGAAAAAACAGGTCATGCAACATTATAACGAAATGAATTTAATATTTATTATAGATGTAATATATTTTACAATCTCATAGATTATACATGTAAAAATTGTAATATATTGATATTTCCGATCAATGTTTTGGAAATAACATTGTCAGACTAAGTAGTAGACACAACAATCAACTGTGTAATAAAAAAATAATTAATATAAATGAAAAAGAGGTATAAATGCATTTTCAGCTCAGAACAAGGACATTTAGGATTGGATAATTTAAATTTTTTTATTAATAATCTTATTATATATATTGTTATTTCTAAAATACAACAACCGCGTTATATTGGAATTTGAGTGTTGCATGGGATGAAAAGCTTAGAGGACGAGATCCTGGTCAGTTTTGCCGATGAACAAAATGAAGTTCAATGAAGATGGTTTAAAATTATCATCTTAACAGGTTGTGGTGACTTACTTCTTGTCAACTTTGGTGATTTTGGCAATGCTGGGGTTTCCTTGTTGTCTATCAAAACTAAAACGTGGAGTCTCATCTGAGGTTTTTGGGCGGTTAGTGACTTTGACAAAACGACTAGTGTACTCTTGGTCAACAAAAGGTTTATCGCTTCCATATATATATATTTACATTTTTTCAAACTAAACAGATGATAATTTGTTTACTTACAACTTTTTTTTTTAACCAGGATCAATTATATAAAATCATTTTCATTTAAACTTAGATTGATAAATGTTCATACAAAATACACATCACACACATACAAAATTTTTTAAATGTTTTTAACATATTAAACATGATTTTTTACTTAGTGCTTTTCATAACAAAAAATCAATAGAATGATTTATTAAGCCATAATGTTTCTTTTGTTGCCTAACCATAGTACAAACAAGACTGAGTTAGTCCTAGAACTTGTAAAATTCAATGAAAATTTTAAAAAGTAGGTCGTAGGATTATAAGGTCTCAATAATTTAAAAGATGTCAAAGCATGTAAATAAGGGTTATATCTCATGTTAGGAAAAATTTAAATTGAACGACCCATCTTGACCTGATTCATAGCTTTTCTCTAAATGATATATTTTTTAATAATTTTGTCAAGTAATATTTAAAATGAACTTTCGAAACAAAATTGCCCAATTGTCCCATCTTTCATTATATATATATTTACATATAAATTAGTTACTAGTGTGTGCAACACATGGATATTATTTTTAAATATCATTTTATTTATATTTAATATAATAAAATATTTAATAATAATATCATTATTAAATTTTAAAATATTTATATAATAATTTAAATATTTTTAATGTAATAATATCTGTAAACTCGTTAGTTTACTATAATCTTGTTTGTTAGTTTTGATTACGATGACATAGTCCTTGAAAAACATTAGAGCTTAACAAAACTTAAACTAAACCATTTTAATCGATTTATAGTTATGATATCAAAATCAACCCTCTCCTTGATTATAGGTTTGTCGGTTTAATTATTTTGAAAAGCGAATTTAAAAATACACAAAACCCCCAAAAATTAAGAGATTATTTATAAAGCATGAGCTTTTTTTTTTCCTTACAATTCTGAAAAAAAACACCTTTTATTTTAAAAAGTCATTATAAATTATAATTAGTAAATTTTCATAATAACTGAAAATTCATATATTTTCAGATTTGAGTTTCTTAAGAAACTTAAACAAACACATAAAATTTTTTTTGTAGTAAATTTTTTCAAAATAAATGTTACTTTTTGTGAGAAAAAGTTACTAACAATCAGCTCACAAAAATTAACGTATTAAAAAAATACTGTATGGGAAGTGTGTCTCCCTTAAAAGTAGAGAGGAATGTGAAATTACAAACTCAAAGAAAAACGGGGGAATCAGTGCGGCGGTGTACTTCACAACGGCCCCGCATTCACTCGGTCCCTTGTGATTAAATTGCGAAGAAAGAAAGAAGCGCGCAATCACATGGATCAGCGCGGGCACTGAAGTCAATGGCTTATTCGTAATTGACAAGAACCCCAAGGGTATTAATGCGATTCCACATCATTAATCCAATACGTTAATAGTTTTCTATTCCTCTTTTTGCTTAATCGAAGGTCGGGGACAGTCTTGCACAGAGAAACAATATTAAAGAGGAGGGAGAGAGAGAGAGAGAGACAGAGAAGAGGAAGGAGAAAGTTCACGCTGCTATGTTAATGGCGGTTAGGGTTTCCTGCTGATCCCGCGAATTTCAATTCCTTTGCTGTAATCGCTTTCCCTGTCATTCTCCTTCTCCTCAAAACCCTAATTCGACGCCCCCAAGATTGAGTATGCTCGTTGTTGCTTGAATTACAAGGAGTAGTGATGGGAGCGCCAGAGAAATCACAGCCAAACGCTAATTCGATGCAGGCAAGTCTGCTCTATTGTAATTGAAAACCTTCAGCTGTGCCCTAGAATCTAATACATGCATATTTCTGCTATTGATGTTGTTTGGAGTCCGCGTTTCGATTTAATTTATTGAAGGCTTTTGATATACTCTAGTGTTAGCATGTAGTTTCTTCAACTTTTTATTTCTTTAATTTCTATTTTTTATGCTATGCATTTTTTGCAGTTAGTAGATGGAAATCCTTTTATTCTACACCTGACGAAAACTTTTATGTATTTCTTAGTTGTGATATCAACCGCGCTTTTTAATGGCAGTTGCTCACTTGCTCTTAATGTGGCTACCATGTTCATACATACATACATATATATATATATATATTTTTTTTTTTTTTCTGGTGTGTATAATAGATAGTTCATCTCATAAGAAATGGACTTTTTAAAGTCATCTAGGATTGGTTAGGCACTCAAATATGGTTCTGTTCTTCTGTCCGTTGAGAATTGGGGTTGTTAGGTGCCAACTAAATTATCCAAGCATAGCAAGTAGGCTAGATATATGCTTCTTGTTGTAGTATTAATAATTGGCTATAATTTTATGTAAATTATGTCCAATAATTATTAGGAAGTTGGAAATTTAACTGAAGGGTAAGAATTTAGTTGTTACCTTCAAGCCATGTCATGTACCTGTAGTTTATCAGGGTTTGGGCTCATGCTCTTTACACTGCAGTTATTAGACAAGGATCCAATAATATTGTAATGTTTGACTTGAGAACTTTCACTAGGCACAGACTAATTTGTAACATAATCGAATTTCGTGATGCCAGATCCTGGGATGTCATATCCAAATTGGTTGAATAATATTCTATACTTTTTATTTTTGAAAATTTTATCTTTTACTTTAATATGCGATGATGGAATTTGGAAAGTTGTTGTCATTTCCCTGGGAAGTGCCCTAGTTGTGGAATCATAGTCCAATTTATAGTCTTTTGATTCTGTCAGCTTGGTGGTTACTAATGTAAAAAGCATTTTTTTCCCTCGTGGGTACCGTCCTCAACTTTTTGCTTTTGGCACCCTGTATGCAGTTTGACATGCTGCATTTGCCGTCAGTAGTTTTATATTTATATTTTTAGTGCTTTGATATTGGTTCTATGCAAAAACACTCCTATTACAAGTGAGAAAATAATATCATATCTGGTGTTAATATTCTCGTGAGAGGTTCAAACCCTTGTTACATTTCTATAACTTTTGATTCTTTGCATGCCAATTTCCTCAAACAGTTAGAATTAGCTTCTGAAAAATAGAAAAATGTGCCTAATTTGATATTTTCAGCTGACTTGGAAAGCTTCTTCAGTTCATTTTGGAGAAATGATTACAAAAGATGTTTTCTTGCACAATTAGGAACCAAAAACATTATTCCACTTGGTTTTCAGAACCGAGAGACGGGGAATGGAGTGAATTTGTATTAAGGATGCATAATAATGATAATTTTTATTTTCAGTCTTTCATGTTTTTGAAATACTATTTACCTGTAAAGAAACTTCTTTTGTTTATACTGTGTAATTTGGGTTTATATGTCTTTTCCTCCTTTTTCTGATTCTGCTTCTAGTCTTCTACCAATTATAACATAAGAGAACTTGGAAGTTGGGGCATTCTTGTTTCATTTGGCTCATAGAAAGCATTTTTCTTTTTGTTCTTGGTTTGCAGCTAGTAGTTGCTTCACATTCCTTCTATTTGTTCCACAAAATTATTTTTGAAGGAAAAAAGATAAAAAAGATGGCTGAGAAAAGGAATTATGCTTTAGATTTCAGTGATTCAATCACAAAAAATAAACTATTTTTACAAGCGTCAGCATTTGGTCTGCTTAAGATCAATGTATGTAGTTATTTGCTTTTCTTTTTACTCATATTGTAATGCAATTTGGTTTTATATTGCTATAATCTGTGGTTGGAAGACATATGAATGATATCTTTTTACTTAATCTCTCTTCTAATTGGATTTCAGCGTGTCAAGGTATATCGTCTGAATGATGGTGGGAAATGGGATGACCAGGGCACTGGACATGTCGCCATTGATTATCTGGAGGTTTGTTGTTAATCTTTTTTATTATGATGAAGATTTCATTTGTGACACGCCAACTTTATTAACTTCATCATTTGATAATGTAGCCAACTACTACACCTAGTGGAATTTGTTTTTTGTTGAAGCTTGCATGTGTGATTGACATGCTTGTTACATATATTTGGTCCCTTAATATTTGTTTTTGAGCATGCCTTAGGCATTTTTCTTTACCTTTAGAGTTATAAATTTATAGTATTATCTATTTTTTGCATATTCTCCTTAAGAATGGGTGAATGTATTAGTTTTACTGATGAGCACTGCTTTCTTCTGATATCTGATTACCTTGCATTACACCTGTCACTTTCCCCATGTTAAAATATGTGTGATTTAGAGTTAGTATGATTTTAGTATTCAAAGGAATAGGTAGTCAAAGGTATAATGCTGTATGTAAATGCATATTATTTTAATAGCTGGCTTTTCTTTTCTGTTTTCTTTTTCTTGGACAAACGTTTAGATTCCTTGCATTGTGAATAAAAATTCTTATTATGCAGCGATCAGAAGAGCTGGGCTTATTTGTTTATGATGAAGAAGACAATGAGACCATACTTTTGCATTGCATCAATTCTGCTGATATTTATAGGAAACAAGAAGGTAGTTGGTAGCTTTTGTGCTCCCTTTCATGCTCTTTATCTCTCCGTGTCAGTCTCTCTCAATACTGGGTAGTAGCCATTCATTTATTCATGAAACTTGAGGGTTTCATTGTGTTTATCTGTTTGGTGGATGCTTTTGTCCTGCAGATACAATTATCTCATGGAGAGATCCAGAATATGCTACAGAACTGGCACTTAGCTTCCAAGAGCCAACTGGCTGCTCTTACATATGGTAGCAAATAAATAATGATTTAAATTAGATCACTTTTTTTTTTCCTGGGTTTTGTTTTTGCTGCTATAGATTGAGCTTAATTACCTTGCTTACTTCATTCAGGGACCATATTTGCAATGTGCAGAGGAATATGCATTTTAATACTTTAAATAGTAAGTTGTTGCAATTTTTTATCTCATTATTACCTGTGCCTTTTGAGTGTACTTCTGCTTTTTGTAATATATTACTGGTAATGTATTATTTGAATTGTGATATGAAAATTGATTCTTAGGAGCTGGTTGTTAGCTTCAGTGACAAAATAACATGTTCTACTGAAGTGTGCTGTTTACATACTGTTTGTAACCATTGCTTTTGCTATAGTTGCCTAAACAGCTTGTTGGCTATTTTATGGACTAAGTATGACTATTTTTTGGCTTTTATTTCAGCTGAGCCATTCCACAGCGTTAATGGCGATTTAAGGGAGTTGCCTGCTGTTGAGCTATCAACACTTCCTTTGATTCTAAAGGTTTGGAAATTTCCTTAATCTTCTTGTTTATTTCATTTTTTTATATTTTGTATGTTTGGTTATTTATTTATTTTCTTTCACAACTGTTACAACACTCACATGCATGCAATGAAACAATTATATGTTCATCAATTTTTCCTTTTTCTTTGCAGACTGTGGTTGATAGTGGCATTACAGATCAGTTGCGGCTTACAGAACTACTATTAAGTGATGTAAGCAAACATAAAACTTGGGTATTTCTGCATGTTTTGTTCCTCTCATTCATTTAAGCTTTGATCTTTTGGTTGCAAACCTACCCTTTTTGTTGTATGATTTCTAGATTTCTAATGTCGTTGATGGTGGAGAGTTTTCTGTAACTCAGGACCTAGAGCTTTTGTATCCCAATAACAATGCATTACAAACTTATTCTATTATATGAGCATTAAGAGCATTCATTCAGTAAAGTTTTGATGTAGATTTTGCAGTGGTAAAAGGCATATTATTTGTGCAATGTGGCTAGACAATGGAACTTTTGATTTTTCTAACATGCAAGTTTTTTTTATTTTTTTGTTGGCAAATCTTATCTAAAATCTAATTTGGATGATGTTATTACCATATATAAAATGTAAGGTATGTTTCCTTGATTAGTTGTAAGGAAAAATATCACAATTCCTGAAGATGTTGTGCTTCTCAATGTCATGTTATGAATATGTATCGCACAGGAGTTGGGGCATATGTCATCCTGATGATGATGACTTCATTAATTTTTAGTTGAAATATCATAAATGATACACATCACTAATGTCTATCTTGTTTGCATCATAAGCTGGGTTAATTCATTCCTTTATGTCTTGTTCCTTTTTCTTATCTTGAAGCCTACTCATTCATCTGTGTGCCAGCATCTAATAGACTGTACAAACAAAATCTTTTTTCTTGTATATTTTATATGTGCATCCTTTTACATTGGTGTTTACAATGCAGCAAGAGTTTTTTCTAAAGCTGATGGAAGTATTCAGAGTGTGTGAAGACTTGGAAAATATGGATGGCCTTCACATGATTTTCAAAATAGTCAAAGGGATCAGTCAGTATTCATTTTTATATCATTTTAATTTGGATCCCTATTTTTTCATTTGTCTTTATTCATTCTTCTGATATGTTTTCTCTATTGCAGTTTTGTTGAATAGCCCACCAATTTTTGAGAGAATTTTTAGTGATGACTATATAGTGGACATTATTGGTTCCCTTGAGTGTAAGTGGATTCTTCAGAAATTAATTTCCCAATTAAATGAGGTTTTCATATTTAGCCATTTTTTGATATATTTTTTCTGTTGCAGTTTTGCTTTTAAATTTAAAATGTTTTTTTATGATATGTTGGTTGTGTTTTAGCATTCCTTACCTGTTAATACTTGTTTAAAGTTGATTAATGTTATTTATAGATGATTTCATTTCGTGATTCTTTGGCTCTATTTCTTAAGAGTTCTGAACCATGTTTTAGCAATTTGCAGATGATCCAGAGGTTCCTTGTGTTCAACATCATCGTAAATTTTTAAAGGAGCATGTTGTTTTTAAGGAGGTATGTTATTTCTTTCTTTCATTTCTTTTTTGGAAATCTGCAAAGTAGTAGGTATATCTGTAGATGTGGTAGGAAATTTTACCAGGTAACATTTCACCTATTTTCTCTTGTAGGCTATACCTATAAAAGATCCTGCTGTGTTGTCAAAGATACATCAGACATATAGAGTTGGTTTTTTGAAGGTGAAGTTCTTACTCTTTTTAAGCCTTTTTTTGCTAATAGCTTTATTCTTTTATGTGATCTTCACCTTCTCTTCTCGCTTTCAGGATGTTGTTTTGGCTAGAATCTTGGATGAGGCTACTAGTGCAAATCTTAACTCCATAATACATTCAAACAATGCCTTTGTAAGATTTGATTAGCAGAGAATGAAGACATATAATTCAATACAATGAGTGTTGTCCTTATTGTTGACTATTCTGTTATTTTTAGGTTGTCTCTTTGTTGAAGGATGACAGTACATTTATCCAGGAGTTGTTTGCTAGGCTAAAATCAACCACCACTTCTCAAGAATCAAAGAAAAACTTGGTAAGTCTTGGTGAAGATATTTTTTCATTTACTTCTATTGGCTATACTTGGAACCAAAGCTATTCCCCCCACCCCCCCCCAATGGGCCTCATCACCCACCAATTTAGAGGCTAACAAAGAGTGAACATTAGAGGGGTATTGAGTTCTCCTCACATACCCTTATCCTTACATTTTGAACTCTTGAGACAGAGAAAACTATCTGCTTCCCATTCTTTTATCCAAAAAGTCGTGTACATTATGATGCACCACAACAGAGTAACTAGGCAGTTTCTTGAGCATTTATTTTGCTATCAAAGTAGGGGCTGTGTTTTACATTTTCAGATGGACTGTGTAAATCTTATCATAGATTGAGGTTTTATGCTAGTGTAGAATTCTTCCTATCTTGTAAGTTGTACTGTTATAGTGGTTAATTGTTAATGCTGCCATGTTTGATGTTCATTATCTTCCACAGATTCTTATTCTAATTTTCTAAATAGTATTTGCCTCTTATATGGGATGGACAGGTCTATTTCTTGCATGAGTTTTGTAGTTTGAGCAAGAGCTTACAAATGGTCCAGCAGCTTCGGCTTTTTAGGTATGTCACCATGACATGGTACATTGTGAGACAGCCTGTTTTGATGCTTGTCTTCATCAATTTCATATTCAGTTGCTGATGTTCATTTTCAATCTTAGAGATTTGTTTGGGCAGATTTTGGTTTTACCTCTTGATTCTAAAATCAGTGTCTCGCTTGCTTTTTATTTATTCTTTTAAGAGTTTATTTGGCAAAGCATGTAAAAAACTGATGCTGCCTTCTTTTCCTCCCTTAATTTTGGAAGTGTATGGTAGCTTTCAGTGGTTATCAGTTTTTCTTGGTCTGTTATAAAGTACCCATTTGTGGACCTAATTAGAGCTTTTCAACTTAGCATCGGTGGAAGTATTTAAATAATAATTTGCACGCGCAGCATGGTATTTTCACATAATGTATGCTAGCAAGTTTTACTTACTATATCACAGCTTGTCAAGGCAATTTTTATGTTTCGTTGTGAAAAATCACTTTAATCTTTTTAATGGAACTATGTTAGCATTGGGGATTTATTGAATCCAATTGGTTATTAATTGCAAATTCTGAATGTTTGTAGAGATCTGATGAATGAAGGCATCTTTGATGTTGTCACCAATGTTCTGCAAAGTCAAGACAAGAAGCTTGTGCTGACTGGGTATTGATTTCCCCTATGTCAGTTTGATCTGCATAAAATTCACTTGATTGTTCTGTTTCTTTCTAATAGGATAATATTGTGATGGTTGCAGAACAGATATCCTCATTCTTTTCTTGAATCAGGATCCTAATCTTCTGCGATCCTATGTTGTTCGGCAGGAAGGAATTGCTCTTTTAGGACTTTTGGTATGCTTTATATGCAACCGTGTTAACATATTCTTCCTATCTAGATGACATGCATATGTAAAGTATTAGCAGAAATCAAGTAACCTTGTAGGCTAACCTATATATGATGCGCTCTGCTGCTGTTATGCAATTCTGAAACCAGAAGTCTGTTGTGTTGTTTAGCAGGATGTTTTGCTTGTTTCCTTATATGTAGATGCTTGCTAGTTTGAAATATTGCTGCAACCTGTTGTAGAATGAACATGTGTAGTCTGATAGTAAAACTGGTGTATTACTATAAAGAATGAATGCAAGCCATGGTATAATCTTGCTAAAGGTTGACTTCAGAGCCAAAGGTTGATTTCAGAGCCAAAGGAACGGAATTCAAGATTGAAACAATGGTCTGTTTTGAGAGTAAAAACTGTCAAAAAGTTAATGTAAGAAGTAACCGCGGGTAATTGTTTTAGTAAAAAATGGAAGATGAGGGAGTAGAAAGATAGAAAGGAACCTGAAGAAGTCAAGCTTCATAACTTCTAAAATTCTCCCTGAACTAAGTATTGCATTAAAAGTAAACGGGTGTTTGTCAAACTTTTAAAATTAGATGAGTAGGATAATTTTTAGTCTGTGGAATTGGTTTCCAAATCTTTCTCTAAAGTTCTCCTTGAGCTGAGTATTGTCTTAAAAGTAAAAAAGGGTTTATGCAAAAACTTTACCGGATGAGTAGGTTAATTCAGTTCTGTGGAATTGGTTTCCAAATTTTCTCTAGAATTCTCCTTGAACTGAGTATTGTTCTAAAAGTAAAAGGGTGTTTGCCAAAATTTTAAAACCAGATGAGTAGGATAATTCAGTTTTGTGGAATTGGTTTCCAAATCTTGTGTGTTTGCCACCAACTTGAATTTTGAAAATTCAGTTCATCTGTAGTCATTTTTAAGTGAAAACTAGACAAAATCACTGAACAAAGTTTTCAAATTTTGAATATTATTATTTTTCTTTTTAGATTTTTACTGAATAAAATTTTTTAGTTCACTCTTTTGAATCTTTTCCTGCTTCATTCATTTTTTCAAAGATGACTCACCAAGCAATATTTTGGTAAAAAAAGTATTTATTTTATGGAAGAGTATGAAGAGGAGGATACGACATTCTCACTACCCTAGAGCCTGAGTCCTGTAATAAGCATGCCAAACTTTCTGAATGTCTAACAGAGAAACACCTTCAAAGGGACCATGGGCATCAGAGAGAGGAAAACATAATGCATCATAGAAATTTTGAGCTTGTTAGAACAGCAAAGACAGAGCATACTACAATTTCTATGATTCTGAAGTTTATTTCACTTTATTAGAATATGTCGACTGTCAAAATTTAATCAGAGACCAGAGTAATTAATATTGTCTGCTACACTGCTGTTACGTATTGCGGCACCATGCCATGGTCACTACAGTTCTATCATCTTGTTTGCAGTTGAGATAGCAGCTGTGATGGCTACTGTAGTAAACTGGAGGAGACTCCTGTTTTGCCTGCCGATTTTGGGATCCCAACCCCCGCTAGAGATTTGAGAAAAAAAATTTAAGGAATATTTTTCATATTTTAGATCCTTTTCTCCATCAGAGTGAAACTGGGGCTGAAGAATCATCTTTCTTTGACAAACCCTGCTGCCAATACCTTTTCTTTCAAGCAGCAATTAAGCATGTTCCCAACCTTTCTTTTACCAGCAGAACACCTATTTGCTTGTCCTTTTTCATTGCTTAAAATTGTTTTTTCCTTAAAAGAAATTCTGGTTCTAGTCATTTCATTGCTTAATTTCACTTTCCTCTGTTTCCAACCTCAGTTGTGTTCTTCCAATTCTTTTTATTACCTTATGTTCATTGACTCTCCTTGTACACTTTCTATTATTAATAATTAATAAGAATGTTTTAAGTTTCAAATGCTTTTGATTTTTGAACATTTATATGTCTGTGTATAAATTATTTACACTGTATCCACTATATAAGTACAGCAGCCACTCCATGTACTTGCTTTGTGCTAGTCTCTGGAAGTTACTGCTATATTAGGAACTAAGTAAAGTCCAATTATTGGGAGGCTAAATATTGATCCATGAATGCTATCTACTGGGTTCCAATATTTATCATTTATCTGTTATACACCTAGTTATAGTTTTTACCTTTTTGGGAAGGCTAGTTGAGCATTTATTTATTACTCATGCTATCATGTACAGGTTAAAGGAATGCTAACAGATTTTGAAGAGAACATGCACTGCCAGTTTCTTGAAATTCTTCGCAGCTTATTGGACTCATGCACATTATCTGGACCGCAGGTTCCTGTTACTGTTATTTTCTTGAAACTTTCAATTTACCTTGTTTTCAAATTGTTTTTGTTTGACTGTTATTCTTCTTGGATAAAATATATTTTATATTTGTGTTTATTTTTGTACTTCTTAATTTCTAACGAGAGAAACCTCATCTTTGACTTAAAATTTATCTAGTTTGGTTCATTATCCTGACATGAGTTGTTTTGCAATTAATCGTTGTATGTAGTTTAAGTGGTAAATCTTTTTGCTCCTTATCATTAATATTCAAACTTCTCTGTTGGTTTTATGCTTGATCTGGTGTTGCTGCAGCTTGCTTATGTAACTTTTTATTTGGGGGGTTATCACCTACTGGTAGCTTTGTATATGGATTTTGGAGTCAATTCAATTTTGCTGGTTCAGATTTGAATGTTGTGTTCTGTTTGACCTTATATTTACTCATTCTTCAAAAAGTTTGTCAGTTAAAATTAATGTCAGGTTGAAGTTTTTTCTTGCTTAGCATTTGAAGTCAACATATTTAAGTTTTGTTTGTGCAGGTATGAATTTTGAATGTTAGTTGTATTTTATAATATATCTGCTGAATTGTTGGAAAACTTTGTCAATTAAAGTTTCACGTAAGATGGAAGACTTTTGTTATGTTTGTAAGATAGGCACTTTGGAACTTGTTTTATTGATTGTTTTAGTTTTATCTGACAGAGGGACACTATTATTGACATTTTCTTTGAGAAGCATTTGGGTCAACTGATCGAAGTTATAACAGAATCTTGTCCTTCAGAAAATAGTGCTGATGCAATTGGAAAGTCAATAGGTCCTGGACTTCAAGTTCAGTGTCAAAGTCGAACAAAGCCAGAGATACTATCAAACATATGTGAATTACTATGCTTTTGTGTCCTACATCACCCATACAGAATAAAGTATTTCCTTGTTGCTCTGCAGTATCAAAGTTGAGTCCTTGCTGTTAAACATGAAAATCATGGATCTCTCTTGCTGTTTTTAGGTGCAACTTTCTTCTTAATAATGTGATTGAAAAAATTTTGCTACTAACACGGAGAGCAGAAAGATACTTAGTTGTTGGTGCTGTCCGATTCATTCGAACTATTCTCTCCCGCCATGTAAGTTTAACATTTATGCTAATACTGTTGACTTGAAAAAGAATATATGAATAATATTAATCTGATGATTACCCTACAAGGGGAATTTACATTATACAGACAGATTCCTTTTATTACTTTTGTATAATAGAGCTATGTTACAGGCTATAAATCTCTCCTAATAACAGGTAATTAAGAAATAAATCTGTGCACAGAAAAATACCGGAAAAATAAGGAAATAACTGTTAATAACTTTCTAAACTGTTCCAGTGTGAAGTGTGGGGAAAATGCAAATTGGTTGAAGATGCCAAGGACGTTTCTTGTTTAAGTTAAATATCTCACTTTTGTCAATAGCAGCTGCCCTGGTGGCATGATATGGCAATGTAGGGGTTCCCACTGTGGTGTTGGGACCATGACATCTGCAATGGCTGCTGTATCTTAAATGATGACTTTTACTGTAGTGAAACGAGTTTCCATTTTTTTATAGAAAGTTTTTTTCATTTCATTATACCTTGGTATGATTAAATCATGTGGTTCAGTATGATCACAAATGGTATAAACCGGAGAGGTAATCATGTGGTGGCCAAAATAACCGCGGGAATTGTGTGATACTATTAAGGAGTAGTGAAGTATGGAGTTCTGCTGTTTCAAGATCCCCTGGCTTTTGCTGCAACATGCAGTTAGCAGAGTTGGATCAAGGATGACCTGATGCAATCTGAAGTGAAAAGACGATGAACTTTTTAAAATTTTTTTTTAATAAAGTTAGGCAAGTAACTTTCTGCTTAAGCGTGTAAGAAGGAAACCTATTTTATTAGTCTATTACTGTGTATCCTTTGCAGTGCTTGAGAACAGAGCAAAGGAATAAAAATTGGAATTTGAACTTGGGTGATTAGGTTGTGCATGAGTTATGGGTTTATTTTAAAATGTCTTATATATGAGTTGCTTCTTTACTTGCATGTTATTTTATAATTATATTTTGTTAGATTTGTGTTTAAGTTGTTTTCAGATCAATTCTTCTTTGAAGAATTATTGCATTAAGCATTTTGTTTATGATACACTTATAGATCATTTATGTATTTCAACTATTTTTCATTGTGTTTCTAAATCTTATGATTAAAGAATTGAAAATTAGCTTATCTATTTATGATTTGAATCATTGTCTGATGACCTTGTACCTCAGAATTATAAATTATTTTCTTTCTTGGATTTGCTTTTGAACCATGTTTTGAGCTAGAGTTTTGTCTATTGCAATTTCGTCTTTCTTTAGATATCTTATTTTCTGCAATTAAGTTGTACCTCTGGTAATTTGGAGCTCATCATCCTGACTGTTACCAAAGTAAATGTTTTTCCATATAGAAGCAGAGTTCATTAGCATGCTCTATGTGCTTCTCATCTAACAGTTTGGTGTGTTAACCTGCAGGATGAGCATCTGATAAATTATTTTGTTAGGAATAACGTTCTTAAACCAATTATCAATGCCTTTGTTGCTAATGGCAATCGCTACAATCTATTCCATTCTGCTGTTTTGGAACTTTTTGAGTTTATTCGAAAGGTGACAGTCTTAATAAGTATTTGTTGTGAATCTCAAATGCCTCTAACAATGTTGCACTGATAATGTTGTTGTATTGTGTAGGAGAATCTGAAATTGTTGCTGAAATACATAGTCGATTCCTTTTGGGACCAGTTGACGAAGTTTGAGCATTTGGTTTCAATTCACTCGCTGAAAGTAAAATATGAGCAGGTTAGTCTTTTTTTATTATCATGACATCTGGGCCAACTACATAGTTTTGAGTTGACATGCTTGCTTGCAGTGTTTGGATAATGGTGGGACAAAAGATGCTGCTACTGTAGTGGACCTTCGAAGACGAAATGATGAGCGTGCTCTGGAGAAAGAAGAAGAACGCTACTTTAGTGAGGATGGGTACATATCTTAATCACTATAGGTGATTTTCAATTTTTTGTTTTCAATTATCATGGAATTTCATAACTTCTGGTGATTTGATCAAGTGATGAGGAGGATATTGCTTCTGCATCTGTTCCATGCAATCAGAAAGGACACCAACAACCTAATCTATCCAATGGAGTTGCTGCAAGCTATTCACAGTTAAGGTAGATTTGTGTTTCTTGTTATTTTGTTTAACTTTGCGGATGTCCATATGCTGTAAGGTAGTTTATTGATCTTGATTTTCAGTCCAAGGTCACTGGTGGACTATGATGATGATGAGGATGATGATGATTACAAACCACCACCAAGGAAGCAGCCAGAAGCTTCTGAGGAAGATGAGGGGATAATGGAATCTCTTAGGCTGAAGAGGAAATTGCCTTCAAAGGATAAGGAGCCTGAACATTTGAAGAAACAAAAGTTATCGAAGAATTCAAAATCTAAAGAAAGTGTTTTTGCTGCCTTGTGTTCAACATTGAGCCAAGCAGTGCTACCTAGTAAGAAAACAGCAATCAACATTAATACAAGTGCTCGGACGGTTGAGGGGCGGATGGGCTCAAGCGAAGACAATCAGGAAGATGGACCAGATCTTTCTAGAAGCAGCTCCAATAATAGCAACGTTGCAGTTGAAGATAACCATGTAGAGAAAGATGCTGCAGCCCCTAGAAACTTTTCTGATCGCTTGCATGCAAAATCAGACAACAATCACAACATGCAATTGGGTGGAGAGGAACGTCCGTTAGTTACCCCGAAATCATCGCCAGAGATGGCTGTAAATGGATCGTAAGCTTTCAGAATCATATGCAGGAAGGCAGATTGTTTGTTATATTTGACGTATAGATTTTGATGGTGGCTAAGTGGCTGGCTGACTACATGAGCGACATAGCTTTGAGACAAAGGAATTTTACCTACAAAAGGGTAAATTCTGGTTATGCGTTGCATCGAGGACGTGGACATGGAGATACTGTACAGTGCCACTAAGAGGCGGGAAGATATTAATATAGCGATGGGTGGGTCTGCTCCTATTCTTCAGTCTGTTATTTTGGGCTTTGAGCTTAGTAGTTGTTGCTTTTGTATGACATTCCTGAGCAATAATTTTCTGTATTTTCCCCATCTCCAAATTTTACCTCTTCCAGCTCGTTAACTTTCGTAGTTTCTGCCAGAGAATCCAGGGTGCAGTTGAGGGGTGATCGTGTTATCATTATTCCCCTTAAGTATTTGAAGAACTTGATAGAGGGCGCCAATATCTTGCCCTGCACAGGCTTTCGTTGTGTTTTTTTTCTTTCCCTCCTTTTTTCAGTGGTGGATGCGTTAGTAGGAATACGTGCAGTGAGTTTCGAAGGCCATTTTTTCACAAATGTAGGGAATCATCATCTGTTGTAAATCTCTATTAACTGTTGCGTATGCAATGGACTCTTCATGCAGTTCTTCCACATCGCCATCGGAGCTGGATTTACACTACTACTACTACTATTATTATTATTATTATTATAATAATAATAATTATTATTATTGCCTGTGACACATCGTTTAACTTTACAGTAGATACGGCAAATGTGGTTTTGTATTTCTCATTTATTACAAGTTACAATAAATTTAATTATTTTTTTGCTATAATATTTTAGCCTTAATATGACTTTTAAACTTGTGATGGATTCAAGAAATAAACCTTATGTAGGTCAAAATAAATGCTGGTTACGTATTAATTTTAAATAATTTGCCCACAATAATATGAAATAATTTTCGTCTGTCATTCAAATAATGAACTTACATGACTTGATTGTATCAAAATGAAATTAAGAATTCTTTTATTGTAATTTTAAGAATGTAATCTTGTTATATATTTTTAGGATCGAAATGATGATATTTCTTAAATAGTAAAAAAATCAAAATTTTTTTTATTGTTGAAGCTTATTATTATTATTATTATTATTACTGCATGTCATTCAAAACCTTGTAAAAATTAAAAACATTTATATAGATTTTTCGTTGATTAAATGTACTATATCCTTAAAAGAAATTTGAGCTTTTATAATATAATATTAATATTTTATTTTGAATTTTTTAATATGTGTAGGCCAATAAAATTATTGTAATGTAGATATATTTGGTTAAGTAAAATTAAATAAAGTTATAATAAAGTAATTTTTAATAAACTCCCAAGTACATAAAGTTTAAGGCTCACACGGATTATAATAAGGGGAAATGAGCCTTTAGAAGGACCATTTGTAGCGTCCATTTAAATTCTCTCTATGTATTGCTCAGCATTTATGTAAAGTTGTGTCTGATTGAATAACAAATTATAAGATAGATTTTGAGAAGTAAAAAAATTCTAATTATGTGAAAACCGAGTTACAATCCCTACATAAACAGGACCCTGAAAAATTGTAAAATCTACCCATTTCTTTCTCTCCAACATCTTGTCATAATCAAATGAAGGAAGATTGTGCTGTCTCTTCCCGTCCTTTCTCTCACCCATTTCTTTCTTCATATTTCATATACTAAACAGTGTTTTAAACCAACTAATATACCAACTCTCAGAACATTGTCTTAAAATATGTTTATACTCAGCAAAACTTCAAGAATTAGGCTTTAAACGTCTTAGGACTCAATAAAATGCTGCTTATACGAAAGTACATTATACGTTGGTTTGTATTTTTCTTTTTTAACATAATGAAATGTACGTTGTATGAATTACAAATAAAATTATATATCATATATTTGTTTCGGTTAAAAATCATTCCTTTTAGTCATTTTAGTAACTATTTTTTTTACTGAAATTTTTTGTCCAGCTGTATGAACTTTACTCTAAAAGAAATAAAATTAATGAAAGATACTTCTCTATTAAATATTACAATTAATTAACTCAACTTATTTTAATTCGTAAGTAACATTTGAAAACAAACAATTATCTTTAGTTTTTAATAAAATCTTATTATTTATTTTTAATTTGACATAATTGATAATGCGAAGGTTTTTATTATTACAAGATACAAATATGAAATGCATTTACTAAAATCTTTTTAACATTGAAATATATCTAACATATGATAATCTCAAGAATGTAATTAAAAATTTAAAACTTGGCTTGATTTGGAGATCGTGGCCTAAGGATCAGGATTTAGTCCCGTTTTGGCGGAATCTGGAACGTCAGGTCAAGCAAAATTTTGCACACTGTGGTGTAGTTATGGGACTGAATTCGGATCCGAAGTAGACGACTCAGTCGTAAGTTTCAAGGAGTTGTACTTGCACGAGTGAGCTGAATTCAGCCGCCATCATCGGACTTTCAGTGATACCAAAGAGATACGTGTCATTTTCACTGACAAATAGGTTGCCACCAACAGCGCATTCTCGTAATTTAGGAACTTTCACGTGTGGGTCATAGAAACACGTGTTGTCCGACCCATATTTTCTGCATCTCGTGTCTCTAATGGCTTTCTTTTTCTTCTTTGTTATTCTCACTTTGTTTTGAGTTCGAAATAATAACAAGAGAGGATTTGAACCAAAATATTGTTGGGTGTAGTGAATGCAAATTAAATTAGTTAAGATGAACAGCAGCAGCAACTTGGAGACACGATCCCTGCTTGATGAGCTTAGTAGCTTTAAAAAAGAGGGACTCTTCAACCTTGGCCACCCTCTTTTCAATCGCATGGTTGAGTGCTTCGTCAAATCTGCTGGGGTACGTTCCAAAATTACTCTCTCTCTACTTTGCGGTTTGTTTCCATTTGATTTTTTTTTTTTACTCAAAATCTCATGCAAGTCAAATATCTAGTTCCATTTAAATTTGATTCGGTTTTTTACTCAAAATGTCATCGAACCAAACATAAAACTTATATATAGTTCAGTTTAATTCGATTTGAATACGACATGAAAAATGAATCGTTTATATTTATTTATTTATTTATTTATTATTTTTGTAGTTTTTAAAATTTTATGTATTATTATATTACTTCTAATTTTTTTGTATAAGTAACTAAAAATTGAAATTAAATCTATAAAAAAAATAGGGGAAAAATTTTTACTATAAGGATAAAATTATGAAAAGATGGTAAATTTATTGATTGAAAAAAAAATTCAATTGAAAAAAAAGATGCTATACAATGTTATGATGAAATTTATTAACAAAAAGTTTTTATATAAAAATTGTAATAAAAAATAATACAAATATATTTTAAGTACAGTTCGGAATAACTTTAATAATGAAATTGAAAATTAAACTGAATTGCAATAGAAAATGCGTTTTTTTATATTTTTTATTTGATCGATTTTTCATTTTATCGTTTAGCGTTCTAAAAATGGTTTGGTTTTGGACACCTCTGTACACAATGGTAGATTTGAATAATAATTTAATTAAGTATTTGTTTGATAATTTTTTATTGAAAATTATATTATAAATTTGATTATTAAATAAGATTTATTAATGTCATTTTTAAAAGGTTTGTTTAAATAAAATAATCGGAAAATTTTTAACGTAAATTTTCGAAATTATTAGCTATCTTTTCAATTTCTTTTGAACATGTTCAATATTATCGTGCGTGCACATATGCATGCATGTATGTGAATTTTAACTCTCTTCACTCTAATAGTCTTGCTACTTGGTAGTTGCTATCGCTAGCTGATCGGGTTCCTTCATTTCTTCCAGATTGGAGCGATTCAATATGTGTTCCGCGAGGCCTATTTCTCAGCCGTTGAAGGTGCAATGATTCCCCCTCCCCTTTGTTGTTAGTATTGTTGTTGTTGTTTATTTTGCAAGTCTTTGCAGATAGAACAGGATAAACAGGGTTAGATTGGAATACTAATTAATATTTTTGTTTTACATGTTTTGTACAATATCCTTTTATGTAAATTACTTATCTTTGGAGACTTGCACTCGACATAAATTTCTTTTTTAATCTTAAAAGTTACACTTTGGGGATTGAATTATCAATACTTTACCCCGCTTGAAAATGAAATGGAGGTGATTGAAATTACACTCACCTTCTTTAAACCTTAACAGAGTTCAGTTTAATTTTCCCCTTTTTCATTTTTTGCATAAGAATGTTAACTTATCGATCCTAGAAAAACTAATAGATATTTATTATTTATTAATACTATCCATGATATGGGTTCATGTAGGTCCACAAGTTCCTGGCGCCAAGAAGCATAGTTTGCATGGTCTTAGAGGTAACAGTCCAATTATAATTTTTGAAATTATTAAGAGTTAGCAGACATTGATCCTCCCCAAGAAGAAAATAAATTTTGGGTCTTTTAGTTATTACTCGAAGCTTTGCTGGGGGTCCCAGGGAAGCTTTAAATTGGGGATATGGTAATATTGATTTCACTCTCTTTCGTACATGCAGGAGAGAACAACTGCAAATCCCTTGAGGCCATGGTGAGTTTACATAAGAACTTCCAACAATAACATATAACGCTCTAAGTGAACTTGTAATGTCAATCTGTGCTATATTAGATGCACCTTTGTCATATTCCATTGTTTTTTTTCCCTTTTAATTGTTGTCTTTTTGTTCCTCTTCTTCAGGTGAAGAATACGGGGATGGAGTCCCTTCAATGGGGTAATGATACATTTTCTCAACCCAAAAGGACATCGTATGAATTTACAAACGATTTGACTGTAAAGTTGATCATGACTATTAAAATGTTTGATTTCATGTTAAATCTACGTTTTATTCCACGTTATTAGTTGTAGTTTCTCTTTTAGATCCATGTTTACATGCTTTCTAACGTGTTTTTAAACCGTGTATGTTTTCTAGTTTCCTCATGCTGGTATTTTGTGTTAAGCCATATTCCATAGATCAAATCGTTAATTTTCTCTGTTTTCTGTCTCTTCAAGGAGGATTATGTAAGACCTGTGCCACATTTTAAGGTTCGATGACAAATGAACCTTGATTTATATAAAATGCAGGATCTACTGCAGCACTATATTCAGGGCTCACATATTCGCTGAAGGAAGCTCGTGGAGTTCAAGATTGGGTAATGTTATTCTAAACAACAAAATTTATACGCTTTTTTTTAATATATACAGAAAGGAACAACAACGAACCTCCACTGTTCACTAGGGTGAACAATTCATGCTTATTGACTTGCAGATTTGGAATATTTTGGCTTATTTAATCATTTCAATCAATAATTAATTAGTCCCTTCTTCTTGAACAAATTTATTAACGACTCTTGTATATTTTCTTCGTTAGCATAGTGGATATGCCATCTTAGTATCAGCTCATGTTTGGTAATAGATTGATTAGAAAAATAATTATTTTATTTTTAATAAGTTATCTTAGAGAACTGACAAAAATATTTTAAAATAAGCTGAATCAAGCATACATGCACGTATAATTAAAGAGCACATAATCATTTTTTTACGTTGGGTGCAGAAAAATATCGCAGTCGCGGGAGCCATAACTGCGGCGACAATTGCAGCTGCAGCAGAAAACCCAACTCCTGAACATATTGTGCAATGTGCTATCACTGGAGCCGCAATCTCCACCGCTGCAAATCTTCTAAATGGAATATAAACGAGTGTCGTATTGAGATTGATACCTTTTTTTCTTTTCTCTTATAAATAATTTAGAAGGTTTTTCTCTTAAATTTGTTTGTTCTTTTAATCACTACTGTTTTGAATTCTTGAGGTAGTAGGTAAGCCCCATTTCTTATTAGTAGCTCTTGATTTTCTCATCAAAAAGAGTAGCTAACAATCTAATTTTATCAACTTCAATACAGAACTTCAATAAAAATAAATAATTTTCTTGTTGGCTTTAGAAGATGTTTCTCGTTATCCACTTTAATCTCCATCTTTGTACTTACTTTATGCCTTTTTATTTGTTTATCTTTTTTATTGCTCTCTCTCTCCCCAAGCTGTGTCCACTATTGCTTCTGCTTCCTTTGGATACAAAGGAAAAGAAGAGAGAGGAGGGGGAAAAAAAAAAACGGATAATGATTTATTTGCTTTTATTGAGTTGAAGGGAAAGTGAAAGAAAAAGAAGAGAAAATTTTGGATTCTAAAAATGAAACTTAAACCTCTTCATTCTTTTATTTTTATATTTTTTCTTCTACCAAACAGAAATGAAATTCAAAATTAAATAGCACTAGTATAGGATAGGAGTGAAAAACAAAAGTTAAAAATTTTAGCCAAGTATTAATCTACATATTGTATTTAAGATAAGCTTTAATTGAGCTTTTATAATTATTTGTTTTTAGTTTTTATATTTAAAATATTTACTTAAGTTTGCATCTTTAAATTAAATATTCTATTTTAAAATTTTATTTAAGAATAATAATTATAATAATTAATAAAAAATTATAAATAAATAGAGAAAAATATGAACTAAATGAAATATTATAAAAAAAAATTAATTTTAGGTTGAAAATTTTAATTTCAAGTGTTTAAAAATTTATAAAAATTAAAAGATAAAATTGCAATCTATGATAGTACGACAGTGTTGCCGATTATGAAGGAAAATGTATTTTTAGTGTATTGAAGTTAAAGAAAAGTAATGAAAAATGATAAAATTTTATTAAAAAATAAAATATTTGTTACTTTGATAATATAAAAATATATTCAATGTTATATTTTTAATAAAAATATTTAATGTTAAAATTGTAAAATAAATGAGTAACTAATATTTTGAGATGGTTAAACGAGTAACTTATATTTCAAAATGGTTCTTTTATCAACCTATATCAATGCATCAATTTCATGTTTTTTTAAAATTGGAAAAAGTAAAGAGATATCATAATATATTTTTAAAATTATTCACCTATTTTTAAAAATTAATGTATTTAATTTAGGTAGTTGAATTAGTCTAATTTAAAATTATTAAATACCAAGGGTATAAGACCATTTATTTTATTTTATCCAATGTAACTTTACTCTCTTTTTTTTCTTTTAAATTTTTGAGCGAGTTCTGATGAAGCATCATAAGGATATCCAATAAGTACTAGTTTTTAAATTTGTTTTGAGTATCAATTTATATTTATATTTTTACATCGTTCAATATCTGTCATATTGCATAATTCATTAAATAAAAATATCAACTTATAGAGAACCCTTGAACAGACTATTGCTTAAGGAGAGACACGTCGACCAGAATTTAAATTCTGTCGAAAAATCCAAATATATTTCATGAATATTAAACTGTTATTCTATCACACTGTATTTCAGTGTTTGTTTGTGAGTTTATTTTAAAGAATAAATATTCTTTTTATTATTTTTAATCAAACTTAAAAAATGATTATATATATTTTTTATAAGAAAGTATGACTAAGTGTGCATTTGTAAATGTAATTAATTAACATACATTAATAAAAAAATAAGATTTGTAATTATATTATATTTTAAAATGTAATATATTTTTATCAAATATTTAAATTTAATCTATTTTTAAAGTTTCTGAAAAAATGTTAAATATGTTTAACTAATTATTTTAATTATTTAACAATGATGTAAAAAATTATCATATATATACATATTTCTTTTAAATAATTTTTTTTATTCTTATCAATACATGTTAGTTTTTATTAAAAACTAATTATATATATTGATAATTTTATAAACAATTGTATATTTTTTATATTAAAAAAATAACAAAAGTCATCTCACGCAATTTTTTTATTTTTATTATTAATATTTATTATGATACTCTTAAATTTAAAAAATATTAAATACTCTCTAAATTATATTAATATATTAAAAATATTTATTTATTTAAATAAATTACTATTAAAATAAATTGACACAAATTATTCTGTATATAATAAAATAAAATATTAAAAATATTTATATATTTTTTAAATAAACTACTAATTTTACTGTTAAAATAAACTCTCATAATTATTCCATATATATTAGAACATATAATACCTTTCAATTTTCATGTCACCAAATAATTTACCTTTATTATTTGCCTAATATCCTACTGTCGGTTTATCGACGAGGCTTTTTATTTCAAATTTCATTCTTCAGCGCATTCATGAACCCTAATTTCCTTACTCAAACACGCGCCGCACTGACTGAACAGATTGGAGTCCTATCCAATTTCCTCAATTCTTAATCTAAGTTTCAAGATCGGAGAAAAAAGACAACTTCTTCCTCATTACCGGTTCAGGTAAGATCTTTATCCGATTCACTTCCTCTAAATTTCACACAATTCCTCGATCTTTATTTTGGTTTCAATTCTTTTAATCTTTTGTAGATTTCAAAATTATTGTTGATATAGGGGTTCGATTTGTTCATTCTTTTTCTTTTCTTTTCTTCTTTTATAACTGTACAAGAACCCTAACCCTGATTGCGGTTGCATTCTCAGCGTGCCACAATGCTCGTGATTCATTGAGTTTTGTAAGATTTGCAACGTTGGTTTTTTCGCACATTTGTAACTGGATGATTATTCTGTTTTTAATTGCAGGTGTTGGCGTTCATAGGTTGCAATTAGTTTTGGGGGAGGGGGAATTTTGATGCTGTTGAGTTCATTTGTGTGTTGTAAGAGCTACGTCTGAGGACATACATAGAACATGTCAAGTAAGAAGGAAGAGAAATCTCAGGCTGCGGCTGAAAGAATCAAGGCTGCAGCCTTGAGTGCTGCGAAAGGTCTTAGTCGTGCTCAGGCCGAAAGGGCGGCAGCTGCGGCTGCCCGGAATGTGAATGCTTATGGACAGAAGGAAGAAGGGCCTAGCAGATGGCAGGAGAAAAGGGAAGCAAAGAGGCAGATGTATTTGATGAGTACTGAGAAAGCTGTTAAATTAGGTGAAAGAAAGGACCTTAAACCGACAATGTCGACTGTGGGTGGCACAGCTCAGTGCCAAAAGTGTTTCCAAAGTGGCCACTGGACATATGAATGCAAGAATGAACGGGTTTACATTTCAAGACCATCCAGGACCCAGCAACTTAAAAATCCTAAACTGAGGGCAAATGTCTCTGTGACTTATGATTTGGATGATAATAATAAAAATAATTCTGTTGCTAAGGAGGAAAAGGCTAAAAAGAGTTCCAAAAAAGCCAAAAGGAAGCATCGGTCTGACTCTGATTCTGGCAGTGATAGTGAGGATTCAGTTTTTGAGACTGATAGTGGTAGTGGGTCATCATCTGTTACGGGATCAGATTATTCTTCGGAAAGTAGTTCAGGTTACAGTTCATCATCTGATTCAGAGGAAGAACGGAGACGTAGAAGGAAGAAGAAGCAGAAGAGAGGAAGACGGAGGAGGTACAGTACATCAGAATCAGATTCTGTTTCAGACTCTGATTCTGATGATAGAAGCAGCCGGAGAAAGAGGAGACATAATCGAAGACGGTGAGTGAAACTGAAGAATGTGCGGAGCAGCCTAGAGTTTGGTGGGTCGGTGCTGGGTAAGTTACTTGCTACATGGATGCAATCATCAAGTTTCAGCAGATATGGTGCTTATTATGATATGGGTAATGTAGAATAAGCTTTGCTAGCTGCTGCTGTGGTTGTATTAATTTTCTTTTATTACTTTGTTTTCCTGAAGATATTCCGAAGTTAGATTTAATCTTTCACATTTAACTTCATGGACGTGCTCTCTATGTTTTCGTTAGATGTTAAGCAGTAAGATGGTTTGGTTTTTGCAATTGATCCTAGTTTAAAATGCTGTCATGCGTATACTCTCATTTACAACTTACTTATTGTATAGTTTGAGAGTTTCATAGCTGAGTTGTTTCTTGCATTTTCGATATCTGAGGACTTTAATGCATTTTGATTATACATCAAATTGAGCTTGAGCTTATTGCTGTTGTGATGGGGATCATAATACTGTGATTTAAGTGGAAGCGTAACTTATTTTGAGGCCTTCGGCTTTTTTTTTTATCTCGACTAGAGCTTAAACACTACCCCTGTTAAGACATGATGAAGAATGCAAACCTCCTTACGCATTTTGGTTGAATTGAGCTATCTGGTTTGTTAAATTGCTTTATTCATTGGCCTTTGTTTGTGAGTTTGATTTAGAGGAAAGGGGAGGATTTGCTATAAAACTACTCATTGTTTAGGAATTATTAAAAATAGAGGGGAAGGAGTACGAGAATTTTAGAAGCCCTCTAAAACTCTCAGCCTTTATTTCAGGGGTCGATTTTGGTAAAGGGAGGATAAATTTTTAATTTTAAATAAATATATTTAAGATTAATTTTTTAAATTGAAGTATAAATTGATATATTAATAAAAATTTAATATATTAATCATGTATTTTAAATAAATATATCTTCATTTAAAAATTCTTTTTTTCAAACATCTTTAGGTTATATTTGAATAGAGTGTTCTAAAATTATTACAATCTATGATTTGAATTATAAAAAATAATTTTAAAATATAATATAATCTTAACTAAATGATTTTTATTTTTTTTATTTTTTTGATAGGTAAAATAAATATTATTAGAGAGTTTAAGGAAAACTTAAAATTCATATACACAGTAAAAAATTACTTACTCAGAGAAATAAAAAATAAAAATATACTTATACAAAGTTAAGATAGATGTAATTTCGTGAGTTTAAATGCCATTTCTAGGACATCAGAATAATAGAATCTAGGACTTTCTTCTTATTCAAAACTTCCTTCTTATTCAAAACACCAACAATTCTATTTTTATGTAACCACAAAGACCACACTGTACTTACTCAAACAATTAATAATTATATCCCTTCTATTTTACTACAGCTAACACTAACCTAAAAAAGCAAGTGAGTCGATAAATCTGAAGACAAAACTAATGAGAATCCAAGCTAATGCATAGTAAAGTACTAGAAATGAGATGAAATTAAGCACATAAAATTAAGTACGTTAAAAATAAATGAATTAGAAGTTCTTTCAAACTATGACAGAAACAACAAATTATATTATCAATTTGAACATCACGATCAATAAACAAACCTTTATATAGAAGAATATTCAACAATAATTGCCAAGAAAATACCAGACACTTAAGAGGAACTTTATCTTTCCATAACCTTTGCAAGACATATGTCGTACATTGATCTACATTATTAGGACCATCAACAAGCTCAAATAGTCATAAATACGCAGATTACACTGAATAATAATATGAAGAATCTGTCCTCCATACCTATTCTCTAATACACATAATTCAGGATTAAATAGAAATAATTTATTTTAAGAGAAATTTTAAAAAATTTATATTATATTAAATATTTTTTACCATTTAAAACTTTTTTTTTTTTTTTGTATTTGACTATCACTCTAAGCGTATCTCGTTATTACTTTTATATTTTAAAATTTTTTCATTCAAACGACGTTAAAATTTTCCGTCGCATCAGCGGAGAGGTGAAACACCATATAGGAGAGTTTGCAGCAGAAATTAATACAAGTGTGTTCTGTCCAGGGTGGTTTGTGTTCACTCCCCAATGTATGAGATTATTTCTCAAGAGGATAAGGAATGCTCTTACTTTTAAATTGTTTTATTTCTTTAATCCATTATTACTATAGAAAATCGGGTTAAATTAGATCAAACTAAATGTTGATTTCAAACTAGGATTTGAATTCTTTTCCGTTGTAAATTTTATTAACTTAAAGCAAAAATAAAGAAAAATAATAAAAGTTGTTTAAGTGAATTTTTTTAATTTAAGTAAATTTTACCTTTTTTCTCTTTTTCAATTTTTTACTCTCTCTCTCCTCCTTTACTTAAACAAAAAAATTTGTTTTTAATAAATTTTACGTAATTTTTTAATTATTTTTTCTATTTTTACTTAAATAAATCCATTTTTATAAAAGTAGAACTGCACGTCCAAGTTCTCCTGCTACAAGAGAGGATTCAGATCCTTTCAAACTAACGAAAACGCATAGCGATGTGGGAATATTAACACAGTTTTATTAATTTTAAAATGGTTCTTAAAATTACTAAATGATTTTCTGTGAATATCTGTGGAATCTGCTAGTTGATAATTTGATACTACTCCCTTCGAATTGGAGAGATCATGAAGTAGGGTTCTGTTCCTTATAATAAAGTTTTTCCGTACAATAGCATTTGTTTTTGTATTATTAGGGGATTTTTCTCTCTTCATATTTTAGATCTGGTTGATTTTTTATATTCACCGTGCATCTGGTCTTGATTAATTTTTGTAGAATTTTTAAATAACTCTCAACAAGAAAAATAATTTTGAAGATAAAAATAAATTAATCAAAGGACACGTTGCACTTTGATACAATTGTTAAATGTTCCATTTTAGTTTAATGTTAATAAAGATGGCATAGCGTGTAGTGATAGAAAACGCAGCCTATACATGTTTACGACTTAACCTAACAAACAAGTTTAGGTTTTTAGAAATATATTTATATAAATAGTATTTAACTTACCATATTAGTCTGTTCATACATTATCAGCGGGACGTTAATTTAACTTGTATATGCTTTATTTTCTTTTAGGTTTTGAATTTTATAATTGTGTATAGAAATTTAGCTAGAAATAGCCTTTTCATGTTCTGAATTTTTTATCTTGAGTAAAATTGTCTCTTGTAAAGAACAATGATGGTTTAGACTAAAAAATTTACTCATTTATTATTTAATTAAAATTTATAAATTTTTGGTCCTTTTGAAAATATTTATGTAAATATTTACAGAAATTTTAGATTATGTCCAATTTTTATATTTTCACATATAGTTTGATAAAGTTATATATAAAAACAAAAACTGTAACAAATCATTTACATTTGTTAAAATAATAGTATTCACACAATATGTAATGTAATTATGAATTGGGATTGATTGGTAAAACAATAAAGTAACTGCTTTTAGGCAATATGTGAGACTGTTGTGTTGGAATTTTGCGTAACTTGATTTTATTTTTTTGTATAAAAAATTGATTTTTGGGCCAAAAATTTAGCTAAGTTATTCCTGGATTTTTTTTTTCAAAAGTTTAATTTATGACCAAATTAATTCTTTAAATATATATTTTTTTTCATCCCAGGCGTCAATAGGGACTAATATTATTTTGCTTGAAGAGAAAATAGGAACTGTATGCATTGCTTGTTTTATTTCTTTTCCATTTTCAAAAAAAGGTCTAATATAATGATGTTTTATATTTTATAGAGATTAATTTGATACAAAATGATATCTTTAAACAACTAATTTATTTTAAAAAAAACTAAAACTAAATAGACTTTAAAACAAAATTTGACTAAGCTATAAGGCAACAATCAAGAGATCAAAAGTAAAACATTTTTTTTCTTGAAAATATGTTATTTAATGATATTAATACGTTTCTATTACAATTTTACATAAATTGCTTTATTTGTTGATTCTTTTAAAAAAGTATATAATGAATAGACTTAGGGCCTAATTATGATAGTAACCAAAGTTTGGAAGTTTATATATATTTTATGAAAATAATAAATGGTACGAAAATAAGATAGACGAAAATTATGTAACCTTAGTTTTTGTCAAACACTTATTATTCATATATATATATATATATATATATATATTAATTTAATAGCAGGACCCTACTTTTTTAAATAACTTTTGAAGTGAAAAAGACTTGCATTAAAATGAAATAGAATTATGCTTCCTAAAAAAAGTCATTATAAGTGGATAAAACTATTTATTTATTTTTTCAAATTATAACGTAAAACAAATCGACCTTTACTAAAATAAGCTTGATGTGATCACCAAGCCTTACAAAACGCGTGAGTCGTGACTTAGAGAGAGAGAGAGAACTACTGTAGTCAGAAGAGCCCGCCAAAAAGAGTTTTAGTATATTAACAAACCGAGAGAGCCAAAGAGCGATGAACTCTTCCTCTCTACTCTTTACTCATTACTCTCTAATCCAATCCTTGAATTGCAGTCAAAGATGAGTGACATGAAATTTTGCTGCAAATGGTCTCTCTCCATTTCCTTCATTCGTCATTCTTTCTATTCTGTAGATATGAATATGAAATTATGAATATATATTATCATTAACCATGAAATTTGATTAATACTTGTTCGTTTCTTCTTAATTTCACAGCAACAACCTTCTGTACCCAAAGGAGAACAAGGAGCAGAGGATTCTTCTCTACGCTTGCCGCACCTGCGATCACGAGGTTCTTCTTTTTCCTTTCACTTCTATTTTATCGCTCAATCTATTGCTCTGTATCAATGTTCCATTTTGTTGTTTTCTTAAGACCCTAACTAGTTCGCCTGCTGATGATGATTGTTACGTTTACGTTGGTAACGACTTCTTTGTACTGTTTTGGTGCTTGACTAAACCGAAACGTCAATGCTTCCATGTATTTTCCGCATTCAGAAGCTGATATAACAATTAACCGATTCACATTGACCATTCCGCTGATTAAATGTGTCTAGAATGTATTTACTTGGGAATGAAATTAGTACCATACTGTTGCTTTTGAAAATGCACTCAAATATGAGTAGTCTTTGATGCCTTGGTTTATTGATGAATCTGATCAATTGGAGATTGAATTTTGGAAGAGCTACGATTCACACATTCTGTTTTTTAACAGGAACAACATTTATAGCCTGTTTGTGTATAAAACTGCGTTCTGAAAGAATCGCATGCATCGTAAAGAGGCCCCATATATTTCTCCTAGGTCCTAAGGAAAACAATTGACTTATGTATGGGCTATTGATTTTATATTCTGGTTTCACAGTTCTCATGCCATGCTTTTCATAGTGGATTTTTGTGTTTCCACCTCATGTTAAAAGCAAATTTAGCGTTGACTAACAATGTTTCTTTGATATATCATGTCTATTGACATTGCTTCAAGGGCTTAAAATCTCTCCTTTAATATTTATTCAGTTCTCTCTGTTTTCCTCTTTTTTTTAATATAGATACGGGAAGACCAGTCATTACTGAAATTTTTTTAACTTCAAAAACATACCTCTCTTGTCATCATTTGGTGCTTTGGTGATCAGATGTTGTTTTACATTTTTTAAGTCATGTACATTTTATTGTTTTTTCCACAACAAATTGTCGACTTTAGTTTTTGTTATGCATTGCAATGGGCCTCATCAGGTTTTGATGTCATCAGTTATTCTCTGTTGATCAGGAGATTGCAGATAGTAACATTGTCTATAGAAATGAGATACGCCAGTCTGTTGAACGGCGCCCTGAAGAGCTGGAAAATATAGCTTCAGATCCAACTCTTCCTCGCACCAAGTCTGTTCGCTGCTCTAAGTGCAATAATGGAGAAGCTGTCTTTTTCCGAGTTAAGTCCTACTGACTATGGCAGAGAAATTTTTTTATGCTTATGAGTTTAATGTTAATCCCGCATTTAATGGATACCTGCATTTTTTTGTGTTTGTGGAAAAATGGGAAGAGAGAGGGGGTATGAAGGCGATTAGGATTTCCGTTGTGCATATTTCTAGTGACCACTGTGCATACTAGCAGTGATGCCTCTTCTTTCTTGATCATGTTACTTTTCCAGCCAGATCTTTTAGATGTACGCCATTCCAACCATCTGTGCTAAGTTTTTTCTTTTTTTTACACTTCCAGTGGCCATCTTGCATTTTGCATCTCCTCATCATCCCTAACCAGTCTTTCTAATTATGGTTTAATGATCTCACATTAGTTTTATATATATTTTTTCTTTTAGTACATTTATTTGTAAAAAACTTGTGTCTAGTTACGTGATTCATCTAGTCAATTTCACAAATTTAGATAAGACTTTTTTTCTTATATGTTTAAAATGTGTATTGTGTGCTTGAATTCGCTTGTTTTGTGTTGAAATTAAATTATTTTCTAAACTTTATCAAGAAAGCTTTGGCTTAAAGACAATTATGTTCTAAAAGATAATCAAATTCAAACATGAAACATGCATTTATAAAGCTCAATAAGTTTTGGCTTGAAAAGGATGTTGAAATATTTCTAAAGTATTTTAGAATAGTTAGTACATTTTTATAATATTTTAAAGTTTTGTTTAGATATTTGGAGGGAAAGAAATGAAAGTTAAACTCTCGTTTAAATGTTTAATATTAAGAGAGAAAGATAATGAAAAATTTAATAATAAAAAATTTAATTATAAACGATATTATTGTCTTTTATATTTTTTATTTATATTTTTTAAATATAAAAAATTAAATATTTCTCTCTACAAATTAATGTTTTTTTATAATTAAAAAAAATTTTAATCGTGAAAGAACACAAAAAAGTAAGAGAAAAAAAAAATTCAAAATTTAAAAAACTAACTTTACAAAAGTTTTGAGAGGTTTAAAAAAATTTTCTAATCATTCCTCTTTTAATTAGTTAACTTTTAGATGAAAGTTAAACTTCATTAATTATTCACTTCTCCTCCACTCTCCTCCTAATCGTAACATCTAAACATAGTCTAAAAGATATTTAGAACATCTTAATAAATTAATTAATCTTATAATTGAAGAAGCAATCTCAGCTGTTTATTTCTTAATTTGATTTGTTTCCTTTTTATTAGAGTTAATAGTCTTATTTTCTATGTGTCTTGTATAAGTAATACTATACAAATTATTAATTATTAGTATAAATAAATAGTGTTGTTATATTAGTATTTTACATTAATACATCATTACACATTATATCCATGTCATTTAGAGGTGATGATAGCTAAATTCATATGTTCACTAACGATCCAATTTTTTATGTATAAATTTAATCAATTCATTCAATTATAAAAATATAAAAGTTAGTATATTATCATTTGTTATTAGATAGATAATGAACTATCTAACATATTTTATAATTTATTAAATCAAGTAGTCTAAAGTTTTAATGGATAATAAACTGTCCACCATATTTTGTAATTTATAATCATATTTTATTATAATATTTTATATAACAATAATATTCAAGTTTTATTTATTAGATTAAGTTGTTACATAAAATATTATTAAACTCAATTAAAAATTAAAATGTTAGAAATTTAGTTAATTAAAATATTTTTTAATAACTTTATTTAAGAATTTTTTTTTGTCTCTCTCAATCTCTTTATATTAGATTAAAAGTCGTATAATATACTTTTTTTATTAACATTTTTAAAGATTTGTATTTTTCTTTTTTTTTTATTAACATTTTTAAAGATTTGTAATTTACTTTTTTTTATTAACATCTTTAAAGATTTTTTCTATACTGACTACATCACTTAGAATAATTTTTAGTCGTAAGAAATTTAAAATAATTTTCTTTTGCTGAATTAGAAGCTTTAATGTTTTATGTGAAGTTGTAAACCACTTTCTTTGTTAAATGCTAAATTATTTCCTTAACTTCGCAGCGGAGAGCGCACCGTGTCTCTCCTTTTATTTGCAAATGTCCATGCCATAGTTAAGCCATTAAATTCTAACATGCATCCGTCCACAAATAGTAATGCATAAATGATGTGAAGGTGTAAGAAGTTTCATTGTAATACCTTGAATCTGAAATGATATAATCTCTTTTGTAGTAACGTTGAATACATAATCTTTCGATTGCAATTTTTAGTTAAACTTTAACCTGCACGTTCGGAAACCATATTTGAGATAATTGGGGACATTCTGAACTTTCTAAATTCTGTAGGCAAAGGCCACAGGAGAAGACGACATGTCACTGGTTTTTGTTTGCTCCAACCTAGCTTGTAGCCACCGTTGGAAGGACTAGGACTCTCCGTACCCTGCTCGAGTCAAGGTTCAATATTGGGGAAATTTGCAATTCGTTTGTTTGAGCTTTACAGACATTTATGATAGGACTTCATTTTTTAGGACTCTCCATACCTTGCTTGAGTCAAGGTTCAACGTTGGTGAAATTTGCAATACGTTTATTTGAGCTCTACAGACATTTATGAAAGGACTTTAGTTTTTAGTACTCTCCCTACCTTGCTCGAGTCAAGGTTCAACGTTCCGAAAATTTGCATTGCGTTTATTTGAGCTATACAGACATTTATAAAAGGTTAAAACCATCAGTGGAACCTCCAATTCCCTGTATGTTCGACAGAGATCCCCCCCCCCCTCCCGGCGCCACCACTGATCGGAGTACGCCGATTTCCCCCCGAACCGTATAAGAGAGTTACCGCCTATCATACGGTTTTCTTAATTCACATTTTTTTTTCCTGGTCGCTTCGCTCTGTCGATGGATGGTAGTATAAGAGATCCCATAGTCAGCATAAATATTTTTATTTCTTACATTTTAATAAATTTTTTATTTTGTTTTTAATTAATTTTTATTTTTATAAATTATTATTTTAAGTCTTTCTAACTAGCGTGTTCTAACCTACAATTGACATTTAACATCTTAAGATTAAATCAACAATAAATACTAAAAAAATTCATAAAAAAATAAAGACTACAAAATTAATTAAAAGGATTAAGATAAAAAAAGTGTTAAATATGAGGATTAAAAATATATTTAATCCTTTATAAAAAGAAATTTAATTTTTAAGATTTGAATTTGATTAGAAAGAATTAAATGAATTAGAATGGTATTAAGTGTTATTGGTTGGATTGTTTAAAAATATGACGTAATATAAAGGAAGTTGATAAAAATATATTTTATTTCATTCTATTCATGGGACATAGAAGAACTCATTGAAGTAGCTTATAGTTTCTTTTTATCTTATTTTCGTAATTTTTATGGAAAAGTTTATCAAAATGAGCTTTTTTTTAATGGTTTGTTTTAATGCTTGTGGAGGTCGTAGAAGTTTGTTTTGCCTCTGGAATTTTTGAGGTTTTAATTCATCGTTTTCTGTGGAGAATTTGTTCTCGGACGAAACGTAGCTTGGGGGACTTACTGGTACTGTACAGTGGGCTTAAAGTGTGTTTGGCATGTTAAATTATTGTTAATTTCTAACTTATTTGATTAGTTTTCCTTGTTTAACCAACTTTAAGTGTTTGATGTGTAGGCTTTAACAAACTTATAAGCTACTTCAATTAGCTTATAGCTCATAGGCTTGTGACTTTTTCTTTTAATTTTGTTTTTATCTTTACTATTTTAAGACACTTTCTTTTCATCCTTTCTTTCTTAATTTTTTTAACATTACTCTTTCTTCTTCTTTGCCATAAATTTACTGAAACTGCAAATTATTATCTAAAAAGCGGGTAAATAAAACAGGCAACTTGTATAAAAATTTACATCAATATATTTTTTAGTTATTTCGATAATTAATTATCAAGCGTGAAAGTTCCATTACCGTCGCCCTCTACGGGAGGGAATGGAGTATTGGAGTTGGGATTTGCTTGAGGCTGAGTTGGCAAACCCTCGTACGAAACCTGCCATTGGGTTAATCGCAAGGAAGCAAAACTCCGCTGTAAAGGACAGAACTCTTGTAGGTGCTTTCTTTTATTGTTATACGTAGTGTTGAAGAGAAATACCCAGTTAGTGTATTTTTTGCATTTTTTTTAAGACTTGAACAGTTTCCTTAAAAAACTAGTTTCAAAGTATAAGCTAGGTTCAATTTCTTTTTTAATAAATCAAGTCACTCCTTTTTTTTTTCAAATTAAACAAATTTGATCCTCTCATAAGTTTTATACATCTAAAATCCTTAAAATATTGTTTTTTGGTACGAATAATTGAAATTTTATGATATATTTGATATATAAAATAAATTTTATAAATAAAAGTCAAAATCTAGCAAAAAAATAAATGAAATTTTAAGAGGGAGATAAATTTTGATTGGTGAGTTTTAAATAAAAAAAAAGGTTTAAAATAATTTCAGTAAAGCCATACTACTAGCATAAAATTACAGCGATTACTAAAGGTGTACATGAGAGTTAGTTTTTTTAAAAAGGATAATTTTTTTATTCTTTATAATATTTATAAAAATAAATAAATAATAAAATACTAAATTTATATTATTTTATTGGTTTTATTTTTAAAATTATTAAATTAAAATATTGATAAAATTTCTAATCTCTTTTTCTTTTTCCAATTTCAACTCTAAATATAAATAAATAGAAAATGACATATGATATTTTCAACCAGTCACAATTTCTCTGCGCCTATCTATCCGGGGTGAGAAAGATCTCTCACGTTGGTAACGTTTGTGTGTTGTGTACTAAGGATTCGGAATGCTACCGTGTTTGGGAATGGCCTCGTACACAAGCTCACACACAGACTTCTGCTTGAACTTACTGAGGGTGAGTTTTATATAAGCGAAATGGCATGACTTTTAAATGTTGAAATAATTGTTCTTGAATTCGTTTATATAACTCCAATTCATAATTTTTAGATTAATCAAAACATTAAATTAACTCACCTGCTTAATCCATGATGTATTATTATTTTAATAATACCAGCTTCTGATATCGATTTCAAAATGCCCATGGTTATTGCAGGGGAAAACAAATTCAATATATGAAATTATAAATTTATAGATCAACCTTATAAGATGGTGAATAAACGCAATCGGATGATGATGAAGATGTGGCATGATTATAAACTGTAGGATTTATTTAGACACTTATAAGAAGAGGTATGAAAACCTCATCATAATAATTTATTGGAAACTACTAGCTAGAGATACCCCAGATTCAGTCATGGTTCAACATGATATACATCATAGAAGATTATATTATATATATATATATATATATATATATATATATATCCTTGCGAGGCATAAGAGATTAGTAACGATAGTTTTTGTTGCGAAAGTTGTTGGCGTTGTATTTGCTGTGATAGTTGTTGTGGCTTGAGTCAAAGCCACCAAAGATGATGGATCCGTTACCATTACCCTTGGTATAACCCGTGTTGTTGATAAGACCATTCATGTGTTGTGTGCCTGTGTTGTTAAATGTTCCTCCGGAATGGTGAGCTGCAACATCACCGGCGTATTGAGAGCTTTGGCGGGGTCGTGTATCCATTTCTGGTTCGTTACCATCATCAAGGAGGCGAAGCAAATGCTGAAGAGAACTTGCCATTGTTTGCAAGCAACTATATGTGAAGCTAAGAGTTTCTGTGGCTTAGCTAAGTTATATCGTTTTGGATTCTTTTATACGCCGTGTGAGGAATATTGGGGTAGTAGCTTCAACAATAAGCAAATATTAATTAATGTTTCATATTTAAAGAACTTGATCTGTGTTCTCACGCGCGTCATCTAGTGCGGTATGTGATTCCACAAATGAAAATTATATTTGAAAAATTGTTTTCATGGTAAAATTACGGCTTATAATATAATGAAATATTCAAATTTTCTATCCCTTTTCCTCATAAAAATCTTAACACTTTTTTTCCCCACAAATATTGCGAATCCAGTATGAGGCTTTTTTGTCGTCAAATATTACAGAAGACGCGTTATTTGATATTAATTACCCTTAATTGTTCTCTTCCTCAATATGACAAGCTTGCTAACATTATAATTATGGATAAATTTCCACGCCAATTCTATTTATCAGCCAAGAAAGATAAATAAAATAGCTAGGTACAGGGGATACTGAATCCTCACAAGTAGTCCAACAAAATTACAAGGCTCTCAAGTAAACCACCAACAAAATACAAAGTTACATAATCATTTATTCCAGGAGATCGTGCTCTAATTATTATTGTTTTAATACTTGGATGATCCTCTTATATACATCTTCTGCTAAGTAAACCTGCATTCATATGTATATAGATGCGGTTTAGGGAATCCAGCAATAGACACTATGCTGCAATGTTTTAAACCATTAGTTACTTTGTAGCGATATCCATGAAAATGAATTCGCTTAGTGGAAAAAGAAATTTGGAGAATATATCATACCATCGTCAACTTGATTTTTAGGGTTACGTAATTCAAGAACGTCATATATATATATATATGTGTGTAAAATTCTATTCCTTTGGAAAACTTATTTTCCAAATTTTTGTTAACAACTAGGGTTTTTTCCCCTTTGGATTAAAACATGCTTTTTTTAGCACTTTTATTCTATATGTAATCTTTATACTCCATTAAACAAATATTCCAAAGGATAAGGGGATAATGTGTAGATTAAAGCATTTATATATAACAGCAATAACACGTAACTAGTTGGATGAAAATATTATTCCCGGAGGTACGACATGTGTGACCATAATCACATGAAACTATTTTTATAAAAGTTGCAAAGCAACTTTTATATATGGCACAATGATATCCAACTCCCTACTTTCTTTTTCACATTGTTTCTGACTTGGTTAGTAAAAATGGTTATAATAATAATAATAATTATTATTATTATTATAAAGAGTTGTGTGGACGCTTCAATTTCTGCAAAAACTTCCTTAGACATGCTTTGTTTGGGTCGACATATGGCGATGTAGAATTCACTACTACCCCCTACCTACAGGGGAGGATTTGTTGAATTTCTGCATAAATTTATTACGTTAAAATTTTATATCTATTTTTCTCTTTATAAATTTGGATAAACTCTCACCTCTTTAATATTTACGAAGAAAACGTGCACTGCAGGAGTATATGGAGATGAATTTTAGTTTTTTTTTAATTCCTTATTATTTTTGTTTTTCCCAGATAGGATAATAATTTCAAAAGTTAGAATAATTATAACCCTAAATTCTAATTATTAATAAGACCTTAATTCAATTTTTTTCACTTGCGTAATTTTAAAAATTGGACAATAGCCTTACGGCCAATTGGTTTAACTGTGAACTCTAAGCTAGAATATTAAATCAGGCTAGTCAAGTCATTCAAACAACTCATTCAAAAATTGACTTCGGAATTGTTGAACTGAACGAAAATTGGTGAATCAGCACAAACAAACCATTTGTAAATTGGGGCAAAAGAGGACTAAACCCTACTCCTTGATGGTAAGCATGCTAGCAAACCAATTGTTGATTCAACATGTCTCGCTGTGCTATTATATGTTTATGTAAGGATATTCAAAATTTGTCGCAGTTCAATTATTGAATCGTGTATTAACACATCTTCTAATATAACAGTTAGTCCAATTTTAAAAGTATTATCACCTTAACATAAAATAAACCACCCTAACACTAAAAAAGTAAAATAAATGAAAATATATTAATTAAAAGATATAACTTTCTATGTAATGGTAGGTATAGGTAAGTAGATGAATACATTTGCTATTATTAAAAAGTTATTCTCTCTTATTTCTGAGGTCGAAAAACTATTATTACACGATTCCAAGATATATATCAGAAATAAGAATTTTTAAACATTCAAGTGTGGTTTGCTACATATGCTAGCCACTCATCCATCCATGCAAGTATCAACAACATCACTTTGTTCTAAAACAAAAGTTAAATTTATTTATTTATTTATGTATTGAAGGACAACATAAATTTTAAGCTTAGATCGTCCTGTATCATACTTCTACCCCCATCTTATTCTTCCTACTATGATGGCTTTGACGAGTATATAACACATCAAAACGATAGGCAACAGCAGAAAGAGTTATTTACTTAATTATTGAGTTGCCTTCAGCAGCTATATGTTTTTGCTTTCATGCATGTTATTAGAAGACTCATTCTTCCCTCTGAGCAGCAGCGGAAAGGGTGCCAAAGTTGATGACCCCATTGGCGTGGCCCTTAACATATCCAGTCTGGTTCGTAAGACCCTTTATATTTTGCTTAGCAGAATTGAAATAACCGAACTTTTCAGATGGCGTAGGAGAAGTACTGTTAGTGTTAGTGGCAGTGTTACTGGGAGCAGATTGGGCTTGTGATTGTCTCCTTCTACCATCACCTGATCCAACAGCGAGGGAGCTGATTCCAGATGCAATACCTGCCATTGAATTTGAAAGCTTGGGTTCAGAAAAAGGAAAATTCTTCGATCGGCAATTATGTTTAGACAGCTTTGGGAGTAATAGACCACCCTTTTATAGACTCGGGGAGAAGAAGATTTAATGAGTGCATATGAAATGTGAATGCAAAGATAGTGAGAGGAATATGAATCCATACGGTGGTGCTTTTCTCTTTAATTACCGGTCGTCTAAGCTTGTCCACATTGCTTAAGGTGCTCCAATCTGTAGAGTGCGGAGTGATTCATAGCTTTTAACAATGTGGACTTATGCATATGGACGGATAAAACAAAAAAGCTAGATTCTTATTCACACCCATCCAAAGCTGGGTGGAGCAGGGAATCAATGCAAAGGTAATAGTTATATTCGTTTTCATATTTTGTAGTGTTATCATATAACTAATACTTGTTGAAAATAATAATAATAAATTTGTATCGCACTTTTAGGTGGGATACATAGTACTGATGTGAAAAAAAATTCCGAACATAAAAATAATTTATCCTTAATATGATATCATTTTAGTTCAACGTAACCCCCTCCACTCCCCGTTCAAATCCATTTTGATATATCCGCCGCTGGCTACTATTCTTCTGTGTTCTGAAAGATGTTGAATGACACAATTTTTTCTTCCAATAATCTTTTTAAAAACACTATAGTATTCTCTTTTCATCTGTTCGCCGATTTACCCTCCGGTTGGTTAAAAACTCATTCTTAACAAATTTTGTAAAATAATTTTTCATTTCAAATAACATTGATTGTCTTTTCATTTTTTCGCATGGATTAATTCAACTTCTTAAAGGTCCTGATTTAGCCAGGCTTTTCTTCCCTATGTTTTAAAAAGGTACATTAACATCTCCTATATGCATAGGTGACTTATGTTACGGATTATGGGGGAAACGTTACCATTAAATTTTAAAATTTGGTTAAATTGCAAATATAGTTCATATACTATTCTTTTCACAAAACATTTTAAAATGCGTCAATTGCCAGTTGCTAGTGATCAGTAAGCTATGCAGTTACAATTAAGAAGCACTTGAAGTTGACAAAATAATTTGTTTGGCGTGATTTATACAAAAACAATGTTAATTAAGTAATGCTTTTAGATCCTAAACTATATACAGAAGACAGATAATATTTCCACTTATGCAAATTAAGATTACTTGCGGCTACTGGTTACAATTAGTGTGATTTTATCATTATTGTTGTTATTATTATTTATAGTTGAAAAGATGTATTATATATATCCTTAAAAAATATATATCAACAAGTTATAACTTTAAATTTAATAATATATTATTATGTTATATTTTGTGGTTATATGTATTATTATTTTAAGTGTTTATTGTTACTTTTATTTGAAATATTTTTCAATAATATTTTAAATAAAAATTATTTTAATGAAAATAATAATAGACAACAATAAACATGTCTCACTTTCTACCAAACTAATAAAATCAGCTATTAAGCTGCAACATGTAGACTCACTTTTTGTTTCGTCAACTTCGATTGCGAATTAATTTTATGCTAGAGGTAATTACGTAGAATGATTTGAAAATTAAAATGATGGATGCATAATTATTTAGTAAAAAAATTAAACTAAATTTGTTTCAAGGTTTATGATTACATTCCTAAGATTACTATAATTAGCAACGTTATTCTTAGATAAATTGAAAATGTTGTTTAATTGAATTTTAATGTTTTCTGCAATATTTTTAAAATTCAAATAATAAAAAAAAGTGAGACAAAAAATTAAAGTTAGTTGGGTTATAAACTAATCTCTCGTATTCTCATTGGAATGCTAGTTAACCCCTCCTCAATATATGAATAAAAACCAAGCAAAACATTATTATATACCACGTTTTTTGGAAAAGTCAACAAATCCATTTTACAGAGCTCGTAGTGATAAAAAAAATGTCAACTATATCTGCTGATTGCACCATACGATTAGTGGTGTATTGTAAATTAGAAATTTGATTCGATTATGGAAGAGAAAAAGAAATTAAGGCAAATAAAATCAAATTAATAGTTCAGTTGAGTAATTCATCAAGTTTGTGTGTTTAATCCAATCAACAACAATAGATCAAGCTGAACGCGAACTGTATTGGTGACAGACTAACATTAGCAGCATCCTAAATTCCTAATCAATGAAGCTTTGTAAAATTGGCTATGAAAATTTAGCAAAGCTGATATATTATTGTTTCTGTTAATAAAAGATGTCTCGTATATATATAATAAAACAGCTGAACATATTGGAGCCGCGCAAACTGCAAAGCCCTTATTCTAAATACGTAACACGATTATTTATGTATTTCAAGAACTGACTGCAGCTTCATACATCGTGTTATTCCTTTTGACTTTGGAGTGACTTACACATTTAAACTGCCAAAGTTGATGGCTCCATTAGCGTTGCCTTTGGTGAAGCCTGTTTGATTACTCAGACCCTTAATCTTCTGATTGCCAGTGTTGTTATATTTTCCGAAAGAGCGATTCCTTCCAGGCATAGGAGCAGGACCATTGACATTGGGATTATTGGGTGGCGTTCCATTTTGAGGTTCATCCTCTTCTATGCTATTAAGCACACCAACAAGACCCTTGAGAGCATCAAGTTTTTGTTGAAGGTCAGCCATGGACTATATATGAACTATATATGCTTAAATTTTTATGTACGATCTAAGTAGAGGTCGATTTATTCTTTTAGCATACCGCAACTCTTCTTTTATATATAGATGCTGATGAGGAATAATGGTTCTCAGAGTCATACATAATATGCAAACTTAATAGTGAAGTATGGACTTCCGAGTTACGAATAATCTCTCAAATCAAGCTATTCTTTGTGGGGCATAAAGTTCCATTCGTTGGTATGGTATATTTATTATTTCAACCAAATGAACTGCAAAGGGGCAGCATCTTCTTCTTGATATAACAGATATGGTTTAAATTTTTGTGCCTTTCTTAATCATTCGTCTCGCTTAGATTGGAAGCATATATTCACACACGATATGCGCCAGTTCATCTCTTATTACATGCAGGTTATGCTTTTTACAAGATTTTATAATACAATAAATAGTGGTATACTTATAAAGAAAGCTACGTTAAGAAAAATAAAATCATAACGAGTAATTGTACAACTTTTGCCTTTCTTAATAATAATAATAATTAAACAGCTCAAATCTCGTGTGAAATGACAAATTTTTTGTTACGCAAACTAATTTTAATCTTTATATGAAACTAATAATTGTAGGCATTTTTATAAAATTTTGAAGCTTAATTTACTTTTTTTTTCTTAAATTAACATTCTACATATAAAAGTATCCTAATTCTACATACACAATAATTATTAAAAATCTAAATATATAAAGTGATTATTGTCCGGACAAATAAAAATCTAGGGTAAAAAAATTCTGTGGCTGCTGGGATTCGAGGCCAGGTCTCCACGGCCACAACGTGGAATTCTTACCACTAAACTACAGCCACATTGACGAGGAAATGATCAATTATAGAATATTTATTAGACGCCAAAATTTTTCTTACCATTTCATATATCTCAAACTTTGTTGTTATATTAATTTAATGAGTAATATAATGTAATTTAAAAATCATATCTTATATTTAGACTCACACATGACGTTTATTACTTAATTTTAAGCTAAATCGCATTTATATCAAATGTGCAATGAATTTTGGAATAATCCATGTAGCTAATAAAAACACTTGAATACAAAGATAAATTTAAGTGTAAAATGAATATATAAAAATCTATTTACACTGATATTGGTGTTTCTTTTACTATAATTCTTCCTTAAAAATCAATTTATCCTTTATAAAAGTTTCCGAAAAGATTCAAGTTGTGGTTCATCTCTTATGTACACTTATAAATTTTGTAATTTAATGTTATAATACAATTGAAATTAAATCAATCTAACAACATTCAAAGGCTCAATAATGCCCATAGTGTCGGAAGATTCGGACATAAAAAACAGACAAGAGCCTATGATAGCAAAAACTACACGATATAATCAAATAATAAGGAAACAAGCTAGCCCTTCCAGTTATACAAGGTTATGAACACTAATACTCATACTCCCCAGTTAGTGTGGTAACTTAATCGAGTATCAAAATGTCTTTTACAAATACCCTTTTGCTTCCATACTTGGGCTTGAAAGAGAAGAGATTGATGCTCAACCTTGAAGAAAGAAGACCGAACTAGATTTTCAAATCTTAGCTCTATTGGCTAGGTCTATCCCTTGTACAAATCCATCCACCTTATACAAAAACTCTTAATTCCAGCTGAAAATCGATCTAGAAAAACTGCTTAATTCTGTCTGCACCATTCCAAGCCGGGTCTACACGCGATCTTTACCCGTAAAATTGTAGTTGCCTCAACTTCACAACAATTTCAAGCTGATCTAGTTGTACAATGCTAATAATTATCATTTAGAATTGCTTTAAACCAATCGTTGCCTCGGCATCTTGTTGAAGAATTCAAGTGGAATAAAACGATGCAAACTGTATACAAATTTCTGCTTCGTTATTTAAAATAAACTTGGTTTTTCGTTTTCTTTAGTCGTCTTCCAACTTCAGAATTCAGAAACCAAGTTTCTTTTCTTCTTTTCGCTGAAAGGCTAATGGTACATTGACTTGAACAAAATATAAGGTTCCAATATTATGCTGTATCTACATGCTAGAGATTTTGCCAAGTAGCAGCATTCCTTCATTATTTTTCCCAGTTATGGTTTACTCTATTTATTCTAGGAAACAAACATTCCGTACAGTACTTTACGCTGTAAATTGTCAAATAGAAACAACATGGGCGGGCCTTGATTATTTCATCACAACAATGATGGCTTTAAAAAAGAAATTCAGACATTTCCACGGCTCATGTTCCAAAATTCAACTTCGTGCTCAAGAACGCTTAGTAACATAACTTCCGCCTTTTTGAGTTCATCGTCAGAAGCTTTCTGTAGGCGCCGATTGGCAATATTTTGCAGAGTTTGACAATACTGACCAAAGCCCTCATTGCCCCATCTTTCACAAGTCTCTTTCAGTTCTGGTGGGGTTTTGGAGCCTTCTTCAATGCAGTGGGCAAAGCTCTCTTGATACACTGCTTCAATGGCCCAAAATGCAGTAATAGCCACAGTATATTCCACCTCTGGACTTATTAAACTTTCCAGCAACCTGTCACATTATGCATATATTACAACGGTTTGGCTATGCACGGCCTTAATGGTTAAAAAGTCAATAAATAGAAAGTTATTGTTAGAAATCACAGTACATTTGTAAGATTAACTTCTCAATAAAACATCGAATATTACAATACAAACCACCTTGCAGGCAAAAGTAGCTTATGATTTGTCTAACCCCCCAAATATCAATGTGTAAAATATGTTTCCTCCCCGGGCTTCTCACAAAACCGTATCATGATTGCATAAATGCTATATCATAAGGAATAAGGGCTTTCTTCTTTTTTTCTAACTTAGGAAAGGATCTGACCAGTAAAAACAACACCGGGGCCACTAGCCCATAGCCAATTAAGCTTGGTATACAAGGCTCTTTTCAAATCTATGTTTTGCTACAAATTAAATTCATGAGTAAACACCAATTTGTGTTCTGAAAAAAAAAAAAACCACCAAATAGTCCTTTTAAGATTGCAAATATTACAGATGTGAGACACTTAGTCCTTCCATCCGTTTTAGTTAACATTTTCAAAGAACAATTTAACTTGCTAATGATTTTATCAAAGACTAAATGGGTACACAATTTACGCTTTGAGGGACTAATCTCATGAGCTAAAAATGGAAGCAAAATGACTGAAAATAGCGTTCTACGTGAATCCATATTTTCAAGCTCTATATGATCCGAAATTAATATATATCTTAGGCCTCTAGTCCCAAATTAAAACCCCGCCTTCCCAATGCACGAGTATGATAACAGATGACTAACAAACCTACCCACAATAGTTTATGTTGGCCTGCTGAGGAACAACATCAGAAAGTGAAATACCCCACTTGTCGGCTTCTTTCTTAAACCATGATATCTCATCCTCTAGACAAGCAATGCCCCCCAATATCACTTCCATGTCACCATTGTCATCTGATTCCTTCCAAGCTTTTATCAGTACACTCGCCGCGAATGGGACAAACGCTCGAACGAACAAGTAATCTTGTGCCTGCATAACAAGCATCACACAATTATAGTAACAGTTAATAGCGTCCAGCAAAAAGGATGAATCCAGTCACATTACAAACCCTTCATCGAAAATTGAAAACATTTGTTAAACCTGAACTCAATTATATAACCCAATAATCTGAAAAAGAATTTAAAATTATAACTCAGAACAAAAAAGGGTGAACTTTTAGTTACTAACTAGCCATGTTTTGAAGGAAGGAATTTGGATGGTGCCATCACGAATGCTAAGAATAAGAGGGTGTTTGGTGGCTCCGGCGTAGAGAAGACGGTGCTTCCTCAACCAAGCCTCGATCATACCAATTTTCTTCTCCTCGGCTTTCACCTTTTCCTCCATCTTCTCACAGCTTCTCGCTTTCTCGCTTGTGTTCTTCTTTCCTAGTTTGACATGCGTGCACCAAATCACTTTTATAAACTACCAACAAATAACGCGTCACTTTGAATTAAAATTAATTTTGTATTACAATAATAGATATGAATTTTATTTTTCAATAATTAAATTTAAGAATACTCAAGACAATTTTTTTAATATGTGATGAAATATTTTTTAAAATTATATAATAATTTTTAAAAATTATAAAATATAATTCATTAATATTATTACATATTATAAGTTTAATTAATTTTTTATTACATGTCTTTAACTATAATCGAGCTCAAAATTTTTAATTGGGATTAAATTTCTCAAACTAATTCAATTAGCAAAAAACAAAAATGGTATAAAAAATAATTTATTTCAACTTTGGTTGGACTACACGTGCCTTTGGAGCAACAGAGAAGCTCATGCACAGCTACGTTTGGCAATCTCGTTGGGCTTTTATGAATTAAAGCCCTTACAAGTGTCCAACGCTTTCCAGAAACCTCCAGACGAATTTAGACCAAAAAACACAAAAAACCCAAACGTATTTAACTACGAATCGACCAAAACCTAATGACAATTGAACTGTGAATAAAAAAATCTAAAAGAGGGATAACAAAGGTTGGCAAAAGAAAAATGTATTTACAAGAGTTTGTTGGTGCTAAATCGTCCAATGTGGTTAGTTCAAACTGACTTGAAGAAACTTTTTCTTCGAGCTTAGTTAAATTTCAATTTTTAGCGCATAAATTACTTATTGATATATTTTTTATAACTTTTACATATTTGAATTATTAAAATGACTTGAAAGGTCTAAGTGATATTCACTCTTATATTGTCTTTATTCTTAAAGAGCAGTATTACTCTTATTTTTATTAAGTTACTCTTCCATCTAGTATTAAATACAACTTTTTTAAAAATTATAAGAGGAAATAATTTTATAATAGAAATGATCACATGCAAGAGTTGTGTGTGCAAGCATATGTTGTTCTCTAGACTGTGGAAGAGGTTTTTGACCAATTCGGATATTGAATCTGTAAACAACCCTAAAATACTATCAAAGAGTATTAGGCTTTTTTTATGACCCTAAATTAAAGACATAAAAAATCATTTATAATTATGTCAATTTCGTTCCTGTATGTTACTGATACTTGAGCTGTACACAAAAATCTTATTCGTTGTGAGATATCTGATATATTCTGTGGTAACTACAGTGGTAAATATACTAATCTGAGCATTACATCATGTTTATAAGAACATTGTCCTCACCATCTTCACCTATTCTTACACCAACAAAGTAGCAGTTTTTTTTTAACCTTATTAAGCTTAATTTTATTAGACTCACCAGAGTGATAGTAAATAAAAATAATAATAGTTTAATTCAATATAATCTAATATAAAATAAACATAAATATGTTTCACTAACATTACGTGTGAATATATATATATATAAAAGCATGTAACTCATACTCTTTTTTTTTTTTTAATGTGTGGAACGTTGCATTTAATAAAATTTTATCGTATGCTACACCGTTAGCCAATCGTGGATTATTACATCATCAAAAATTAAATTAAGAGTTACATGTTTTACATAATTATGAAAATTATATATATTTTTTTATAAACTCTAAAACACTTTCTAAATGTCAATTTAAATTGAATCCCTTTCCTAAAACTCTTTTTAATTAAGATTTTTTCATAATGCTTTTAATTAAGCTTATCTTCCTATTACACGTATATTCTTAAGCATACTTGAACAACTTATGTCTATTTTAAATGTCAAAATTTATTGTGGAAGTTAATGTAATATAACATTACTTTTAATTAAAAATAATATAATTAACAAAGAAGATGCACTAAAATTTTATTCCTGGGAAATCTTAAGGAAATAAGTATACAAGGGAGAATGAACACGTCATCTCCACACTTGCATTATGACGTGTCCAGAAGAAGCAACGAACACGTCCTCACGTCCTAAGTGGAGGGGTCCTCTGTAATTTCCAATCCCACATTCTCTGCGTATTAACAACACAACAGAAGAAGCTTTTGTTCTTCTTCCATTTGAATTTGGAGCACACGATCTCATCAGCGATGGCAGAGAAGTACAACCTCAGAAACCCAGCCGTCAAGCGAATTCTCCAAGAGGTTAAGGAAATGCAATCAAACCCTTCCGATGACTTCATGAGCCTCCCCCTCGAGGTTCCTTTTTCCTTTACAATCTTTTCATTTCTATTTTTCTTACCGTTTTAAGGTCATTACGTTTCATTCTTCAATTTCGATGTATGTGCACTGGGCCCAGATCATTTTCATATTTATTGCGTATACAAAATAAATTGTTAATATGATTTTGTTAATCACGATTTTTGAAGTTAAAAAAAACGGAGGTGCTATCTTTAAAAAAATCAAATTCCTGGTTTCGGTTACGATGATTTAGGAAAGGAATAAAAAATTCTTAGGTCCAGTGATTCCGTTTTGGGAATTATGATAATGCATTCAAGTGTTTTCTTACTGGATTCAATGTCGTGTATGTTTTCAGGAGAATATATTTGAATGGCAATTTGCAATTAGGGGGCCTCGTGATACTGAATTTGAGGGTGGTATTTATCACGGTCGGATCCAATTGCCTTCAGAGTATCCATTCAAACCTCCTTCATTTATGTTGTTGACAGTAAGATGTTACCCTCTGGATTGAGTAGATTTTATTTTAATCGGTTGATCTGAGTAGATTTCTATGTTTAAATTACTGAGACTTGAAGGCTATATTCACTTTTATGTTTCAGCCCAATGGTCGTTTTGAGACCCAAACCAAGATTTGCTTGAGCATATCAAATCATCACCCTGAACATTGGCAACCATCGTGGAGTGGTAAGCAGTATCCCATTCCACTCGTGACTCGGTGCACAAGTGCATATGATAAACTGTATATTTCATGTCATGTTTGGGAGCACATTTTTTGGTTTAGTTTGCCTTTTCCGTATGAACAAGCGCAGTTTCTTTAGGTGTTTTTGGTATTGTTTTTCATTTAAAATTAGACTTTCACCTTCATCTCGTGACAACCTTCAATGAGATTTTACTAAAGTGAAATTCTAATTTTAATTAAAAAATAATACCAAAAACACCTAAGGAATTGCATTCAAGTTTTATTCTTTTTCTGTATTTGTCACATTATTTCAAATTAATTAGCTTCACTCAAAATATGTTTGTACATGTAGAATGGGACTGTACATATGTTTTTTCCATCATTTACATTATTTTTTTTTTGCATCGACTACACAATCTTACTCCAGGCTGTAATGTTGTATGTATGCCTGCGACTCTTGTCAGTTACAACCACTAATTATAGCCATTGAAGCTTCATTTTTTTGCATTTGATGGAAGGTTCTCACTTGGCTGATGTAATTTTCTTTCGGCAGTAAGGACTGCTCTAGTTGCGCTGGTTGCATTCATGCCCACCAAACCACATGGTGCACTTGGCTCATTAGACTACAAAAAAGAAGAGAGGCATGCCTTGGCCATTAAATCACGGGAAGCATCTCCAAAATTTGGGACCCCTGAACGTCAAAAATTGATTGATGAGGTAAATGTTGCTCATGGTTTTTTCTCCAGTGCTGTCTTTCCATAATATCTTGTACTGACTTGACTTCTTATCCCAGATACACGAGTATATGCTAAGCAAGGCACCCCCCGTTCCTCAACATATCCCCTCACAAGCTTCTGAAGAACAATCCAAAACTGAGGAAGCCGAGTCCCAGATTAATCCGCAAAATCCTGAGGTTTTACCTGCAGGTGATGGGATTCCAGATCATGTAGGTGACAGAATAGTTGAAGAACAAGAACTCCCTGTCAATGCTAATCCTAACCCTGCAGGACTTGAAGCTCCAACGGAGAATCCATCCAGCGTTTCAAGCAACCAGTTGCTCCAGAAGTCAGATACAAGGGTTCAAAAACTTGACGATCGATTGTTCACACTGGCAGCTATTGGACTTACTATAGCAATTGTGTTCCTTTTGCTGAAGAAGTTCGTTAAATCTACGGAACATGGTGCTGTTTTCATGGATGGATCTTAGATGTATATTCTTAGCTCTGTTGGCTTCAATATCAAAATTCCTAGCCCCGTGTAGTCAGTAGGAATATCCAACGCTTCTAAAGTGAAGTGATATTATATGATCTTTCGATTATACTAATGTCTTGTAATTATGATAATACATAGTATGTGTGAGCAAGGTTCTACAATGCGGTATCGGCCACTCCTACTCCCCGTAATTAATGCCATATTGTTTGCTTATGCCTATCATTATTTATGTATTGACCAAACGTTCTCATCAATGATTAAACGTGGGATTAACAGCTTCATGGTTTATTAGTTGAAATCATTTTTGTATTGATTATTTAGATAGATATCCTTTGAAAACACCCGTTCCTCAGTTGTACTTGTTGGAGATCAAATCTTACAACTACTTTCTTCCTTTCTACTATTTAAAGGGACTAGCATGCAACCACATGTTGGATCTTCTCGCGTATTGCTTTGAAACAACCAAGACTACAGAGAGGAAGCTTTGACTTAGAATCCCGATACTTGTATACATTCGTGCAGTTTGGACCTGCGCATTTTTCTCTGGGGGGTGGATAGCTGAAAAATCCATAACATAGATGCAGGCTTTTTAAGCATACAGTATATTAGAAATACATAAAAAAAAGATAACAACATCAAAATTCATAAATCCTTATGTTGAGGGACTAAGTAACGAAGCTGTACCTGCTACGTATCATTTGGAAGATACTGGGTAAACCAATATCTTCGGAAAAAGTCACTACTGTTCCTTGGGGACCCATAGTCCATCGAACAGTATTTGATCCTAAAATGAGGGTGTTGGTAGATTTTTCCTGCACAACCGACATGTCAGAAATTGAAACATGTTGCTAAGAGGAAGAAGCCAAAGCTGGTCATCAAACTTATCTAGACCTTAGCAAATTCATCTCTGCGCTTATTCATCTTTTCCTGTTTCTTCTTCCTACCAGATTCTTGACCAAGTATCTTCCTGATGGCGGCCGCCTACAAAAGCACAATGCAAAAACTCATTTATGAGAATCATTGTATAGAACCTGTGTGTTGCATCCCAATGCTATTCTACAATATCATTTGCTAGATCAAAGATAATAAGTGAAATCACAGCATCACATGCAAACCTCAGCATCCCTAGCTGCCTTCTCTGATTGAATTTTACGTCTCTGTGCAGCCTCAGCTTTCTTTAGTTGCAGCTCCATTTCTGACAATTTGCCCCTTTTCCCTTATCAACAAAAAAGAAGAAGAAGAAAAATATGATTAAAAATTATTCCTGGACAAGTATATAATTTAATTTTAAGATCTGAATAAACAACGATTTAACAAATGAGTCAATACCTCGTGTTGATTTAATTAGCCCATTTAACAAGGTATTTATAACTTTCAATGCATATTCATTGGACCCTCTTCCATCAGTCTTACTGACACAAGGCCCGAATTTAATTGTAAAATCTGTTAGGTAATAATGATCTCAAAAAATGATCACTCCCCCAAAACCTCCTATTCTTTAGAAATTCTTATTTTCATTGTTAATTTCAAATATTTAGATGTCATTTAAAAGCAATATGCACAAACACAAAATACAATCAATCACTATTATGGTTGTTTATTTACTTTATCTAAATAATATGCCGCAGTTGTAATTTACACACAGAAAAACTGAAAAAAGATAGAACTAAAATAGCATTAATAAGTAAAAGTAAAGATAAAATATATAAATTTCTCACTTTTAGACACTGTGGGAACCGAATCATCTGAGATGTCGACAATGCTAGATAAAACATCTTTGAATGAGTCAACTGAACAATTTCGATTAATGATGGTGCCTTCTTTTCCTTGGACAAATAAATGAACAGACTCCCTCTTTGACATTTTTCTCTCTGACTCTGATTCATCACTTGATGTTGGATCTTCTTCCACATAGTCCCAATCATCAGATTTCTTCTCCAAGTTCAATTTCTTCTTACCATCTTCAATTGACCCTGGTGTTCCAAGGTCTATGAGATCATCAATCTGACTTCTCTGTGCAACATAAAATTTGCCAGGTACTGTTGAACTTCTACAATCATCTCTGCGGCGACTAACAGCTTGTTTTGAGGCATGGGATGTTTCACGATAATGAAGTTCTGCATCTTCATTATCCTCATCACTAAATCCCACACTCAAGGCACCTTTTCTAGTAATACGCTTGCTCTTGTGGACACGCTCATGGATGACATTTACACTTTGCTCAGTTCTCTTTCCTCTATGAGAATGATTCTCTGCTGTAAAACCAGATTCGGTTCTAGAGGGCTTTAGCGATGCGTCACCAAGGCCTCTCCTTTTATCAAAAGAACAAGCATCATTACCATTTGTATCATCCTGTGTGCATTGATGAATAATAGATAAGAAGCCTTTAAGGTTTATAACTTGTTATTAGAAGGAAATATAGTTGCAAGAGAATACAGAGTCAACATCTTGAGCAAAAATTTCAGACTCATCTAAAGGGGCACCGGAAGCCACTTCTGCAAATCTATTAATTTCATTTCAAGAGCTGGCATAAATTTCAGGTTACCTGAGGCTTAGGACCCTCAGAAAAGTTTGTTACAAAAGAACCACCGCTGAAGCCAGTTTCTGTCTTTGACTTGGTATGAATAGTATGAGTAACACCCCCAAGCTTGAGCTTTAGCTTCTTTGGCTTGTTGCCAGTTCTTAATCCACCAGAAGCAACCATTGTATCCCTCATTTTCTCATTCTCATCTTGCTTTCCAAAAGGTTCTTCAAGTGGCACCCAACCAAAATAACACTGAAATAGTGCATCAGCATTAGCCCGAGGTCTACGTGATACCCTACTCCTTTTTTTCTTCATAGTGGAGTCAATAGCAAGTAGCAACCCTGGATCCACCAAGAATTTCTATTAATGACGAAACTTTTAGGGACTTACATGGCAGCAAATCAGCTTACAACATAAGGATACTTCAACTAGAAGAATCACAAAAGGCAGATATATAAGATAGAACCAAACCAGTACAAATTGGACTTTCAGTATAAACACACGCATAGGAAAATGATGAAACAAACTTGAATTTTCGATAATTATGTTCACGTTAGAGTTCATCCACAAATTTTTAATGATAACTGATAAAACCAACTATAGAAACAAAAGCAAGTTTTCTTTTAAAGAAATTCATAATAAGAACAGCTTATAGAGTACAAGAAAGGAAAACACGTCGCCTTTATTTTCTATTTTCTTAATGGCTTAAGAGAACAAAAATTGAAGATGCATGTCATTCTCAAAGCCGAGTTTCAAGAGAATATTTTATCCAGAGAAATTTCAGTTGGGAACCGAATGGAGTAGAATCACGATATGCTCACAACAATTGGAGGAGGGACGAACACAGAAAATCTCTCTTCAGCTTTTCGAAAGATCAAGAGTACCTGTTGTAATACAAAGCTGGAGATCAAATTGCGGCACCAAAATCGATTCTGTGTTTTAATAATTTACGATTTTCCCTCTGAAACTGGCAACAATTGAACTGTTCTTTCTTTGTTTCTATGAACTTTAGTCTAATTCAATGGATCCGTCAATGTGTGAGAGAGAGATGTGGATACGGTGGGCCTTGGTTCTGGGGCCCAAATATAGAGTGAGATCCAGTAGCATGCCGTGTGCCCAAATAAGGAGTTTCAACTTAATCAACGCGACAAAAGAAAAACAGATATAATTTAATTTCAGCTAAACTCATTTCAATCTAATTTAATTTCAGTTGATACGACGTAAAACTGGACTGTTGTGAGTACATCATTCACAACAAGAATACAACAAGAGTAATGTTATATTCTTTTAATAAATTATAAAAAGTGTATTTAATGTCTTGAAAAATATGAAAACATTCGATATTTCTCTTGTTTAGTAATTAATTAGGAGAATTATTAGTAGAATATTGTATGAAGATTTAAAATTATTCTTATTTATTCAATATTTTCCATAAATTTTATTTTTTAGACACTATTTATTCCTTTGCCAACCCAAAGAAACGCTGGATGTGGCTATGTGGGAACAGTGTAACACGAGTGTCAAAACTGCTCCTATTGGAAAGTCACTGCATTCCAAATTCAAGTTAACTTTATTACCAGAGCAATTTTTGTTGTGTCCGTTCTTTAACTTTGTTTGATTCAATTGCAAATGAAGCTATCAAAATAAATAAATAATGCCTGCAAATAAACTTTTATGAGTTTGCATACAAATGCATTAACACTAATACTTTATACCTTAGTTTAAAATCTAATCCAAGGTATCGATTTTAAAATTCAAAAATCTATTGTTTAAGAAAATATATTTATTTAATCTTATCTATCACTTAAAAAAAATCATAAGACATTATTATTATATCTTTATTTTGGGAAATCCCGATACATTTATTGAATAAAAGAAAAGAAAGGAACCAACGAAGTAATGCTAATTTAAACATTTTTAATAAAGATTAATATAATCAGATAATACATTTTTTGGGATATTTTAAACAGAAAAAACTCTAATACATACACACAACTTTTGGAATTTGGACTTTACATTATCAATTATTAGCTATAACCAGTAATTTCGATAGCTATCTATAGTCAAAATCACGGTAAGCTAAGGTTGTTTATCACCAAAATGTTGGCAATCATGAAAGAAAGTGTAAACAGTAGTCAAGGTAAAAGTAAGATGCTATCCTTTATTAGGGAAAGACACGCGAAAAAGCAAAATAGAGGTGTGCACAGCATGGAACATATTGCACAAAGTCAACCTCGTACTCCAAATTGACATTGACTTCATGTAGATGTACGAGTTTTAAGACAATTGCAATTCAATATTTTCTTCCAACTCAGACTTCTTTTATACTCAATTATATGTTCAATCTGCCCCGCAAAATAGAAATTGTCCTCCACATGTTCCATTTCCTTGCATAGCCTCTTAAAAATATCACAAACATCTTTCTCCATGAAATTATCTATGATAAGGATCTTTAGGCGGCGGAACAACTTCACATCACTTTCATTGCAAACCATGTCTTTCATTAGGAAGGCATAAGATGTGAATGGTTGAGGACCATTTTGTTGTTGCTCAAATGCTATGAGGTTGGAAAATAGTATTTCTGTATATTGGTGGATTGTAAGGGGAGGAATTTCAAGGACCCCATTTGCAAACTTTATATCTAGCAAGCTCCTTGTGGAACACGCGAACTTAATACCATCCTTCCGAAGCTTTGTTGCACACTGAAGATTATCAAGTGATACATGCTTTTTTAATTGTAATCTAGCAAATGTTGGTAGGTAACATTGGCGAATTAAGTCAAGCAAATGATAACCTTCTTGGTTAAACTTTTCATTGACAATTTCCTTATCTCCTAGCAACATATTTCTGAAGAAATGAATGGCCAGCTCGGAAAGGGTCAAGTCACATTTCATTGGAGTGACTACAATTTTAAACAACCTTTGAAGAATGGGTAGTGGTAATTGGTTTTCCAATAAGATCAGATCACATCTAACATTATTGAATAACCCTGGTGTGGCATATATGGGGTCACCACTGCGTCTTATACCCTTTAGCGCACGTTTCAAGAAAAGCTCAATGATGAAACAACCATCAACTAACATCATCTCTATAAATTTATTGCTTCTGAGATTGAATTCTTCTGCATAGAAATTTCGTGCTATGTTCTCTAAATAGCTTAATGCATTCACACATTCATGCAAGCTTGCTTCAAGGTTTGGTTGTCGACTGAGCAGTGTGAACAAGTAATGCCACTTACAATCTTCCATGTAGTTCAGAATTTCCTTACCATGATGGAGAGGACCAATTGAAACCGTCCTAGGGACGTACACCTTCTCATTTGCTTCTAGAAATTTCTTCGGGACACTGTAGATAGATTTCAAAGATGAAATTGCTTCAAATTTTTCTTTAATCGATGATACAAGTTCTTTATTTCCTTGGGCGAGAATTGAAACAGGGCTATGATCCATGTTTTCAAACAGCTCCTTGGATATATCAATGCTTGTTTCCTTTATAATGATCCCCAAAAAGTAGTTTTACTGTTGTGCAACTCCACTGGGGCATATCATGAATATCATTAGTAAATCACATACACACAAAATATAGTATGAATTACTAACCAATGAAATTAATGTGTTGAATGCGTGTGTTTAATTAAGAAAAAAATTGAAATTGAAGATATACAGGCTCATACTTCTGGAATATATGTATGTCACAAGACATCAAAGTGTAAAAAAAATAATTCTGATTTTTAAATACTTTAACAATTTTAATATCTTATCCTTTTCTCTTTTTTTATCTTTCTCTTCTTATCTCATCACATTATCTATCGGATCTATTGCTTCTTTATTTTTAATTCTTCTCTCTCTTTGACTGTACACACTCTCATAGGTATCTAAGAAATATTTTTTGTAAAAAAATAATGATAATCATATTTAAATTAAAAAGAACAAAAAAAGAATGTTTAGTTTGCAAGACTAAACTAATGAAAAATGCCTTTATAAGGCGAAGAAAAATGAGAGCAGTGACCTAACAAAAGGTTCACTTTCAGTTTGGCATTTTACGCATTAATTAGTCTGCTATAGTCTGCAAGATAGCTATATCCCATACTTATCTATCCCATTTTAGAATAGGTTTCCAGTTATTAAAATTCAAAATTAGCAAGATCAGTTTTGTACATTGAAATCAATAGATTTTACAAAACGCCAATGTCAAACGAACGTGACTACATGAGAGGGATGTCATTAAATAAGTATCTCTTTTGGTTAACCAATCTACTACGCAGCTACTGAAAATCCGGTTTTAATTAAGAATACTATTTACATATTATGTAGCATACATCAGGTTCAAAAGATTCTAAATATGGACAAGGAGAACAAGGCATGTCACAGCAATTAGAAAAATACACGGTTTGTATAAATTGAATATGCTCTTAAAAGGCTAAACGTTAATTCAGTAAAACAAAGACCACATATAGAGAAAAACAAGCTTGTTAATTAAATCAGCCGATAACCCAAAGAAAGGGCAATTCCTGCTTAGTATTTGCAAAGTATGTTATTGCCATACATTTTTATCAATAAATTTCATTTCCCCACTGCTTTAAGAATCGGTTGTGTGCACTTTGTTGGTTTTATTTAATTAGTTCATGAAAATTAAATTATTGAAAATCATTAAAAAAAAAAAAAACAGATCTTGTCAAAAAGAAAACTTAAACTTTTGGGTCTCCTCAAGTTTTCAGCTCAAAGTTGTTTTAAAATTTATTACCAAAAAAATTGATCAAGGAAACATAAAAAAAAATTGCAAAAACCTGGATGTGAGCTATTATGTCAATGATTTGAATCTCTGTTTGTCGCTAATCTGTTTGTGTTCCTCTCCCTGCATCCAATGCAAGAATGATGCAACAATTGCCTTGATATGTTGACACCTCGATAACTAACTTTTTGTAAACTGTTAAAACTTTATATATATCAGAATCTTAGATAACTTGAGAAGCGTGGCAAGAGAAAGTAATTAGATAAACCAATGATTAAGAAATGGAAAAAAAAAAAAACTTAGATTAATTCCAAATTCTACACACACAAAAATGCACAAACTGGCGAAGTAAAGCGAAGAACGATAAGAATTGGTTACTTAATATATAATTTAAGAATTATTGTCCCATCGATCATCCTGGTTTCTCTTTCTTTTTCATTATTTATATTATGTCCTTTTATTCCTTGTCTTGGCAACTGAGATTCCTTAATGAAATGTTGCACATGCCAAAGCATCACAGTCGGATGGAAAGGATCCTGAATAAAGACTTTTTGAGTTCTATGACAATGTTTGGATAATGGAATTGCAAAAAATTAATTCAAACGAAATAGAATGAAAAAAAATGTAGTTATTTTGTTAAACACATAATTTTTTTATGGAATTAACTTAGAAAATTTAAATGAATTTTTTTTTATTTTAAACAACAAAATTTGTACTTTTTTCTTTTTTTTTTTCTTTTTTTCCCCATCAATCTATGTATAAAATAAAATGTAAATTTAGGCGAAGCTTGAATCTCTCATTATTTATAATACTAATGGATGTGCTTTAAGCAAATCTAAAGCATTTTTACCTCAGCTATAATATGAAGTTCATACTTCATAGAACATTAGTGACAATATTTTAACTATTACATACACTAATGAGTACTTGATCCTAGCCCAAAATTAAGATTCTGATCCCGCACTACATACATATAGAGAAGAAGAATGAACAAACAACTAAAGTAGCCTTCATCAATCAACAACATTGACCTATAATCAAGATTATAAAGGGTCAATGAACTAAGTTCCGAAAGCCTTTGAAAAACGTTAGCATTCATAACTCGTATTAATGTAACTATAAAACTGACATTCGTCGTTTATACAACTTAAAATAATCTCTTCATTCAAGTGTGATAAATCATTTCATATTGTGTAAACACGCAAGGCACGTGAGAGAGGATTTTTTTTTTCGTGCATAGATACATAGATTTTGTATGGGATTCACAAGATATCACATTGATGTGTGTGGATATATGCAAGAGTGTCGTGTTGGAAGACAATCATCGTTATGCGTTCAGCACATTAGGAAAAAGTATATTTTATTTCCTCAAAGTTTAAGTTACGTGTGAATCAATTTCTAAAATTTGATAACATGTAAACCAATCATTAATATTTATTTGAATAAAATTTCGGGACAGTTTTTTTAAATATTTGTAATGTTATTAAAATTATTTTTTACATTGATAAAAAGTTTGTACTTAATATTATCATAAATTACAGAAATAAAAAATTAATTTTAATAAAAAAATAATAATAAAACTATCTTAAAAATCACACTTTAATGTTGAATCCTAAAAAAAATCAATTTGATGGTAAAAGTTTTAATGATCAATTAACAATAGACATTCTAACCTAATGGTAACAATATGCCCTTGACTATTAATAGCATCAACAATAATACATGCATCAAGCAAAAGCTAAATCCATTTGTGGAAAATTAAGTTCCTAACATTATATATAAAGCAACAAAACTGATTTAAATTATGGAACAAATTAAAACTTTTCCAATAAAATTGTATATATGACTGTTGAGTTCCTCACTTGCTTCTTAATGGAAATACTCTCTCGTCTTTCGTGCCAAATAGGTATAGGTTATGTTTAACTTCCCTGCAATGTCTTACTCATCAGAGAACAACATAGTTAGGAATATTTCAATATTTATGATTTTATGAACAACGTATCTCTTGTATACTTATACAACCAAAATTTTGAATTTTTAAAATGCGAGATTGGGAGGAAAGATACAATCTTTCTAAGTTAAATTGGGTGGAAATAAAATATCTTCAAATTAGTTCTGGATTTTCTAAAATTAAGCATCAACTGACAAGACTAATAACAAACAAAATATATCATATATTATAAAAGTAACAAATTTGTCAACCAAATTGATGTTAATACAAAGTTACCCTTAACATACTAAAAATACACTCAAATTGAATGATCCATTAAATGTGTATATATCTTGATGCCTATCTATATATATGGGCCTGATCATCCACCAACATCTGTTGCAAATGTTTTTTCCTTTTTCGCTCAACATATTGGCATGTTGAAATAAAAAAAGTTGCACTTGACTTTATTGACGTTATGCCATGACCGTAATTTTCATAAAGAAATACACAATCTATCAAGTTAAACTATAACTTTTTAAATGTGCTTGAGTAAATAATTTAATTAAACACTTATTTCATATATTTTATATAATAAATTTAGTTATAGTTTATTAAAAATATTAAAATAAAGTAAAATATTATAAAACTATTTTTATAAATTCTTCTAAATTCTCCTTAAAATTTAATAAAAAAACCTTAATCTATAAGAAAATTATTAAGTAAATAAATGTCAACTCACGCACACACATCATGTGTAAATCTACATTTGACAAAAAAAAAAAAACATAATTATATTGGATGGGGAACTACTCAGTCTTACATATAGAAAAAAGAAATCGAGTATCTACTCGGCTCAGTTTGGCCGAATATCTCGTCAAGATTTTAAGATAATTAACCCAATTAAGAATAATAATTAAAATATTATTTACTTTAAGAAAAGGGTCAAAATCAAGGCTGACTCAGCAGACCTATTAGTTCATTATAATGCCTATAAAAGGAAGGTAGGAAGTACAGGTAAATGATTGAATTTTTCATTATTAAATATATTTATTACTCAAAACCGAATCTTAATTTCAGTATGGAAGTGTCTTTTACAGGTACCTTCTCACGTCAGCGACAGTCAAAAGGACGTTATTGTTTTATAATAAAGATATGAAGATCAGTGTTTCTCTAACAGGAACAATAATATATATATATATATATATACTTGCACTAAAGATTAAAATAGGATATAATAGTATATTACAAACAAAATTAGGATACTTCAACCTGTAAGTTTACAGTGTTATGTGTAATAGCGACCCCAAAGAACTCAGCTAACTAAAAAAATGTGGTGCTTTCTCTTAAACGGCGGCAAAACTATCGTGATCGTTATCGTTATCGTTATCGTATACTACAAATATTTATATAGTAAAATACTCGTAAACTAAGTCCGGTGCGATTTTAGTCCAATAAAAACAATTATACATCTATCCTGCACAGAATTCTATGTGAAATATTCGTTAGAGAGAGATCATTGTGAAACATTGAAAAACAATAAAAAGTATAATATAAACAGAAGTATGATAGTTAACCTTTTATTCCTTTTCATGAAAGAAATAAAAAATGGTATGCTTGTATGATAGGAAAAATAAGCCAGTGTAGCAAGGTCACGGGTATTCACCATTTCCTTATATATTGTCCCTTTGTAAAAATATTGGAAGACCAATTTTGCGAGTTGTAAGGATTTTTTTTTTTCGGCACATATGCAGTACCGACTCTTATCAAAACAAAGTAACTTAAAAAAAAGGAGACAAGATACAACTTGAGATGAAAAGTTAGATTTCATTGTGTCTTGTTCATAAAACACTGTTCTACGTATAATCATCATCAACTTTGTTATATAAGACTAATACACTTATGGGTTCGAATTATGGTACCAATCATCTACATAATATTGATCACACAACGGTGTGCAGTTTTCTTCCAAAATGAAATTTGTGCCATAGAACAATTTCCCCTTATGAATTCGTACACGTGCATCGGTCTGGCATGTGTAGATGTGAATATGGCCGATTTGTCTTCGACGTGTGTCTTGTCTGGCGCCAACTCAACTTCCATTTTTACTTGGTTCCTATGACATAAATTGGAAACAATTACTGCCATCATATCCACCATTAAGATAAACCCTTACTTTAGCTTTTATTACTTGCAGAAGAGATGTCGAGGCTGTTAGTTAAGCATATCTTCGTGTTCTGTATGTTGCCGAAATTTGGAGGAAAAAAAAATGCCTTTCTGACTTAAAATAGTAACATCTAGCTTTATATGGTTGTTTTTTAAAATTAAAAATAAAATCTATTAAATAAAGAAAGTAATTATAAAAAAGAAGGTACTTAAGAGTATGTTTAAAAGAATATTTTTAAAAGAGAAGAGTGGATATATTTTTTAATTTTAAATTAAAAGAATTATATATTATTTATAATCATGAATATATTATTAATATATTAAATTTTTGTTGATATATTAATTTATATTTTTTATTTTAAAAAAATATTAATTTAAAATATACATTTTGTCCTCCTTTCTCTCTCCTCTAAAACCTTTCTTCTTAAACAATCTGTAAGAGTATAAACTATTTTCTCAAGAAATTCAAAAGTCCCTTGAGCATGCTCCCCTTGTCCCCAAAAGAACGCGTGTAGTTCATTGCAACTGTAAAAACATTAATGTGAGAATGGGTTAGGTTTTGTTTTTTTAACATTAAATTAGTTACATGCATTTTAGGTAACCGTATCTATTAGGACTAACAATTTATGTTAAGGGGATCCATTTCACTAAATTTATAAATATTAGGGTTTGATTTACACATTTTTAAGCAACAAAAATGAATTTGCACGTAAACTAAACAAATTAAACTTTTTTCCTAATACTAAATAAACACCCAAGAATAATAACTTCTAAAGAAAAAAAAAGCAAAAATATTCAATTTTTTTAGTGTGCAGAACAATTGAAAATCATCATCATCGTCATCTCATTTTGAAAAAAAAAAAAACACTTTTCTTATGCAAATGCCCTTTTGCTACTAACAAAAGACGGCGCATGCCCAGATTGGTTTTTAGAAAAAATAAATAAATGAAACACTTAATTTAAAAAATATAGTAATAATTTGGTTCCTCAATATTATAATCATGTCATCCAGTGAATGAAAGAATTAAAATATTTTATATTTATAATCTTAAAAAATTATTGAACAATTCTTTTGCAAAATCTAAATTAAGTTGAATAAACTTTTTTCATTAATATAAATCAACTATTCACTTTAAAAAAAATTCCCGAGCTTCCAACACCTGAAAGTACTTTATATGTGATAGAGGATAAACTCTAGAGGTAATACTTTAATATTTTTTAGTGTTATTATTTTAGTATTCTATTAAAAATTCAATACCTTTATTATTATACCGAATATTAAAATGAAATTTCAATTTTAATTAAAATCAGCACACATCAATATTGTCCAAGTTATTGTGTCACATATCTAGTAAAGCCGTGGAATCATAATAGACACATATTTGTTAGGTACACAACATAGACGTATTATCATTGTGATAATAACGGAGAAAAAATACTTTGCAAGTTGAATAGATAAGTTCAGACTACCGCTCAGAACAGTCACGCGGGTCATGGTGTTGGGATTTGCGAGGGAGGGAAGACCTGTTGTCTCTTAACCCATTTTCTAACTCAAAAACATTAAAAGATACCACTTGTCTTCATTTATTTTATTTGGATTTTAAACGCTCCTTTCCTTTCTTCATAAATCGTAATAAAAAAAGGGAGGAAATAATGCAAAGAGAGTTATACGAGACCCAGAAAAGAAGTAAAGTGCAATAAAAAGACAAGGCGCATCACGCATGGAATCTGGTTTTTTCTCCTATTTTGTGCCAGTTATTAAGCAATTGAAGTACTATATGTATGAAATTTTTCCGTTTCGTGTTTCGCTTGACAAAGATTTGCTATAATAAATATTAATGTGAAGGATGCGCCTTAGGTGACTAAGAGCATTGTCCTAATAAACACTCTGCAGAAGCTTGGAGTTAGAGATTATTCATTGATCGAAGCCCTAGGTGGCTTTCTTTCGACTGTAAGAGACGCGCTCTGAATCTGGGAATTTCCAATGGCGTTTTGGTGGCCATTGCTCGTTTTAGCATTCGCTTACGGTCTCTGTAGGTTCCTTCTCATGCTAATTCCTCCCAAGGTTCCTTCCATCGACGTTGACACTTCCGACGGTACTCTCTCTCTCTCTCTCTCTCTCTCTCTCATGGAAAATTGTGGTAACGGTGAAAATTTTATAATGACAGTGTTGGACGATGGAAACCAAGCGCAGGAGAACAGCTTCATTTATGTGAGTTTAACTTTTCCTCTATTTTTGCCTTGGCTTTCAAATTGTAAATGAAAAACTCTTGCAAATCATTTAATTAAGTTTAATTATTATTAATCTGCTTATGCATTTTGCGCGATCGGTAGGATTTGTTCTATTTTTAGTTTGATACTCGGTTTAATTTGACATTAAAGTGTGCATGTAATGTGTTGAATATCGTTTCCGCTGAATCGATACATTTCAGTAACTAACCAACTTGTCGCGTTTCAAGCCATGTGCGTGTTTTAACTTGGAGGTCTGCGAAAAAGATGCTATCCTATGTATAAATTTTAGAATTCCTTCAACAATCTTCACGCTTGTTAAATAAAGAAAGAATTGAATGCATGTTATGTTTTCAAGACATTAAATGCATTCATATTTTCATTTAATACTTACTTTAATAAAGTATTAGTAGGAACATATTGTAGGAGGATATAGCATTACTCTGAATTTTTGGAAGGATTAACATCTGATTGATTGCTCCAATTCAGGTGCCTCCGAGAGGAACATCACAACAATCGAGCAGCAGGATAGTTCAGTGCTATGAGCCTGCAACTATGAAATATTTAGGATATGTTCCAGCATTGACACATGATGAGGTCAGTTAGGAGGCCCACATCATTTTTTATTAAACTTATTTTGTGGTAAGTGTTTGATGAAGTGTGATTTTAAGAATTATTTTTCATAGCTAAATAAATGGAGGGAAAAAAATACACAATCTACAACGACACCATTGTTGTGCAAGAAATATGCTGGTTGTGCTGAAAAAAATCTGACATGTCATAGATTTTACCTTCTGGCTAAACTTGTATCCTAAACTAGAACAATACCAGTGTTTGTTTACAAAGGCAAAAAAAAAAAAAAACACCTTCCAAATAGAAAAGCTTTATTTTACAATAACATTACCAGAATACCACCGTTTGAGTAGGAAGCAGAATTGTCAATGATTGACATGTCTCTCATCAGGGACAGTTTTAATATAATTATTGATCATTCATTTTGTTGTCTATGTTGAAGTACAAATCATATGGAATTATCTGATTTGTATGCTGTTTTCACAAGTTTTCCTGAAGTTGACCATATCTTTAGGTTCAATCCATTCTTTTTATGAATGACTCCATATGCCTTTACTTTTTTATAAAAATAAATTAATAGACCACGTTAGCATTCCTATTGATTCCAAAGCTAATAGGGGGAGAAATAGATGATGTAAAGTACCAGTTATTGCAAGGCACACACCATATAATACCGGTTCCTAGTTTTTGAGTAAATTTTGTACAATTAAAGCACTGCTAGATTAACTAGAACTACTTTGCATGTACAGGTCAAGGATCGAGTGGCAAAAGTAAGGAAGGCACAAAAAATGTGGGCAAAGTCCAGCTTCAAGCAAAGACGCTTGTTTTTACGTATACTTTTAAAGTATATAATTAAACATCAAGCGCTTGTATGCGAGTAAGAACGCTTCTCATCCATGGTTGTAGGAAGAATTTTATCATCACTTTTTTACACTGCTTGGAAGTTTTGTGCTACAGACTTTAGTAATTATCCTTAGTTTTAGTATCCAAGTCATTTGGTCTGAACTAGACGCAAATTGTGCTAATTGCATGGGCATATTGATAACATATTCTAATTTGTGTGCTTTTATTAGAATATCTTCACGTGATACTGGAAAGACAGTGGTAGATGCCTCTTTAGGAGAAATAATGACAACATGCGAAAAGATCAATTGGCTACTATCAGAGGGCGAGCAGTGGTTAAAGCCTGAATACCGGTAACTGCTTTGATATTTCTTTCTTTAATATACTATTTCCTCATTTCATTTAAACCATAAAACACGATAGTAGCTCTATGCATTTCTTTTATAACAAAGCAGGTTTGCCACTATCTTTCCTTTCCCAGTAGTTGACTCTATTCTTTCCTTAAATTGATTCGATGGAGTAGCTGTCTCATATTTTCTGCTCTTCCTGTAACCTTTTTCCCCCAAAAAATTAAGCTTTATAAGTATAAATTTTAATACATGCATTGTTTTATTAGAAAAAGAAAGTTATAACTTCTTCCATATACATATGTAGTTTTAATATCTTTACGGTAAAATTTCAAACTATCTAAACTCGTGATCACTTTCTTTTTCTTTTGGGTGTGGTAAATAAAAAACCTTGGCAGGTCTTCTGGAAGATCAATGCTTCATAAGAGAGCCAGAGTAGAATTTCACCCCCTTGGTGTTATTGGAGCCATTGTTTCATGGAATTATCCTTTCCACAATATTTTTAATCCTATGTTGGCAGCAGTTTTTTCTGGAAATGGTATTGTGATTAAGGTATAAAATATCTTACTATCTACCTATCCACAATTGTTCTTCCATTCGGAGGGTGTATTATGTTGTTTTTAGACATTGCTTACATTTATGCTTAATGTGAATTAGGTTACTTTCCCTGATAAAATTTTATTGAAAGTTTGGAATCCTGCACTGTACAATACCTACTCATGCTGTTAGAGATATAAAACTGTTCTTTGACTTATGCTCTATGAAGCCTGAATACTTGATACGACACGGATACGATACAGATACGGGAATACAGAAAACATTTAAATTTCAAAATACGATACGACTTAGATACTTTAACTTGAATTTAAAAAAATAATATTTATAAAGAAATATTGATAATTAAATTATATTAATGTGTTACATTTACATATCAATGATCACATTTTACAAAAAATACATGCGATCATATCTTTCCCTTGTCTATGAACACATCAAAAAATTATATACTTTACCCCCTATTCAAGTTAGAATTCCACAAAAGAAATGGTAGTTCTATCTAAAAGAAATATAGAACTATCACAAAAAGAATATCGTGCTTTTATACTATTTAATTCTAACATTGTCACACTCATTTTCTCTATACCCATAATCTATAAAAAGTATAACTTCTAAGTCTGGTTCATCAAGAGATAATTCAGCAAATTCAAAAAATCCAGCACCATCATCAAGTGGATCATGTTCATCATCACTCATATCCGACATCCTTGTCTTTCCTTTAGTATACTTTTCTTCTCTCTTAGACAAAAGACGAAGATTGGAATGCACATTAACCAAATTCTCAGCCCTTTTTGGATCTATTTTGTTTCTCTTCAAAGAATGAATGAACGAGTACGTACTCCAATTTTTCTCATAGCAAGATGAGGAACAAGGCTGTACAAGAAGCTTTAAGGCAAGCTTTTGAAGTAAAAGAGTAGAAGATCCATGTATTACCCACCAAGATTTTGAGTCTAATGTCCACCTATTTTCAATGGAATCAAAAGAAGCAAAGTTACCTGCACAAGATGAGAAATTCGAGAATTCAAGAAAAACATTTTTTCTTTCTTTAGCATTAGGAAAATATCTCTTCAAACATTTGTTCCTTTCTCTCAAAACTTCATCATCTTGATGTGAAGGAACTCTATTTGGAGTTTTCCTAAGCCATTCTTCACTATAATACTTATATAAGATTAAAAGATTTGTTATAATATGACTTTTATTTTTCAAGAGATAGTAACTAAAATAAATGTCACATTTTCTAAGCATGCTACATATAGGATCTGTGAAAGAAAGAATATAGCCTAATTTATCCCACCATATATCATTTAAAACAAGTTCTTTCACATGGGCAGCTTTACCAACATCATCTTCTCTATAACTATTCCATTAGTCACTAATGACCATATTTTGTAAAGCACGTTTCAGCAACTTCAGTCTTTTTAGCATGACAACAATTGATGTAAAACGGGTTTCTGCAACAGAAAGCAATTTAAGAGATGAAAACTCATTAAAAATAGCCAACCTCATAGAGTAAGTTATTATGAAAGTCTTAATAAAAGATGCATCATCAACTAGGAGAGTGATCCAATGACACTCATTGAAAATATTTTCATTTCCATCAATTTTTCAAAGTATAAACGACACAAGGAGTCCAAAACACATGATAAAACTCAACTTCAATTAATATCACAGCTGCCTTACAAACAGGAGCATTATCGATTATGATCCAAACAACATTTTTTGGCCCTACTTCATTAATTACATCCCTTATTATGCTGGCCATGTAGTGTTTATCCTTGTACTCCTTAGAACCATCAACAACCTTTAAAAATATAGGCTCTCCTTCACTTACAGCCATGAAAATCAATGGCTTTCTTTGAACATCTGTCCATCCATCAGAAACTAATGTAACTCTTTTTACAAGCCATAAAAGTTTTATAGGTTGGAGCAATCTTTTAATATGAGATTTCTCTTGTTGTAAAAGACTAGTTCTTAAAGCATTATAACTAGGAGGAAGGAAACCACTAAGGTTATGGTTGGCAGCACATGAATAAGAGTTAACATAGTAAGGATTTCTAGCAAGATGAAAAGATAAGCCAACTGAAAAAAACATTCTTGCTATTTCTACTCTAAATTGATTCCTTTTATTAACATTGAAAGCCCTTTCTAGTGTACTACTTCCTGTTTTTCTTCTTTTTTGGGATAAGGTTACTGGAGCTGAAGGTAGTGAGATAGTTTTAGGCTTAATTTTATTCTCAGCTTCTTTACAAATTCTTTTCAAATCAGCCAAATACTCAGTAGTGACCTTCGGACAAAGAGCAACACTAGCACCAGGTATTCTTAGTAAATGTGCTTTCACTCTTGAATATGAATTTTTGACCACTTTCTCACAAAAATTACAACTCCATAGCCTGTTGCCTCCTCCATCTCCTAACTTATCCTTTACAGTGACAAATGTCCAAAGTGGAGCATGATCATCTTGAAGTTCTAATGAACCAAAGTTACTTAGAATTATAAAATTAGATTCAGCATCAGAACTCATTTTTTGTCAACAAACACAGCTGTTGGAAAATACAAAAATAACATTTTTACTTTGTTGCTGTAAAAAGAATAGAAAAAAGAAGATTAGAAAAGACAAAGTTTGTGAGATTTTACCGCAAATGCAATAGAGTAACGTTTAAGACTGTTGCTGTAAAATACGGAGAAGAGTAACAAAATTGTTGCTAAAGTCCAGAGGAGAGGAGCAAAGTTCAAAACAGAAATCACGTCACCCACCATCATGAATTGGAGAATCAACACCTCAGGAACTTGCTCAACCAGAATTGATGCCTTAGGAATTTGCTGGACAAGAATCGACCTCTCAAAACACTTCAAATCACCTTACTTTCGCAATAGTTCTCGTTTCTCCAAGAGAATCGCAGCTCGACGAAGCCATAGCTGGGTTTTGATTTTGGGTGAGGTTCTGGAGCATTTCTATCTTGCAAAGTATGAGAGAAATGGGGAAATGGGAGAAGAGAATCGCAACTTGAAGAAACCCTAGCTAGGTCTTGATTTTGGGTGAGGTTTTGGGGCATTGCTATCTCACGAAGAATGAGAGAAATCGGGAATAGGAGAAGAAAGAATGAAAGAAATGGAGAAATGGAAGAAGAAGGATTGAAACGCTCCGTTTCAATAATAAATTAGCCGAGCCATATCGGAGCCGTATCACATGATTTAAAGCCGTATCCCATCTGAAATTAATTTTTAATATTGAATTAAATTACAGATATTTTTGGGATACGTATCTAGGCATATCTGACACGTATCGGTATCGGATACGTGTCCGACACGGATACTTTCAGTGTTTTCACGTATCTGGGCTTCCGAGCTTATGCTTAATAAATTAACTTATAAGGTTGATGTGATTTCCACTAATCCAGGCCTCTAGGACCAGGTTTGATCCATGTCACCCAATTCTTCATTATTAAGCTGAATTTCAGCAACAGTTAAACTAGCCTGTGCATTGTCCATTCTTTAAATAAAAAATGGTTATTGCATGAAGATCATGTTAGAGTTGGTGGTATAAAACCATTTTTTGAGCTTCCACCTAATAGCTCGAGCTTTTAGGATTAGGAAGATTGGTATTTAATGTGAAATGTTTTGATGTTTTTCAATTTGATGGAAAACCATGTACTTCTGATTTTAGATATCAGAACATGCAAGTTGGTCTGGATGCTTTTACTTCCGGATCATCCAATCAGCGCTTTCTGCCATAGGAGCTCCAGAGGACCTTGTTGAAGTGATAACAGGGTAGGGCCTTTTGTTTTATGCTTTTTCCCTTTTTTTTCTATGGTCGTGTTTTCATTTGTGGTATTGATTGGTTCCTTCTTCCTAGGTTTGCTGAAACGGGAGAAGCATTGGTATCTTCTGTTGATAAAGTCATATTCGTTGGATCTCCAGGTGTCGGTAAGATGGTATGATTTCTCTGGCCTATCAAATGAGTTCACTGTGTGCAACCTAGAATTGGGTCATAATGCATTATTTCCATAAATTTATTTGGATTTCTAAGAAATAAAATGATTCGTTATGCATGTACATAATGAATAAAGAAACTCCAGAGTCAATGCTTCACACCCCCTCCCCAAAAAAATAAATAAATAAGTAATCATGAATTGTTCAAAACTTTTTGCCATAAAAGTTGTAGACCTGATTTTGAGTAATGTCTCATAGACAAAATCAATATATAGGGATTTTCATATATTATTCCATTCTTTTTTATGATGAGATTCTATATCCAATGAGATTAGATGTGTTTTGTGCTACTCTAATATGCCTCATTTTTTTTATGCAGATAATGAAAAATGCTGCTGACACACTTATACCAGTGACACTAGAGCTTGGTGGAAAAGATGTATTTATTGTTTGTGAAGACGTAGATCTGGACCATGTATAAATCCCTTCTACCTGTTTTGATTCCCCAAAACTTGGATGCAATTATTGATCATTTAATTGGCAAATGCTATCATAAAAGCTTAATGAAATTTTCATTGTTGCGTGGCTTAGTTTTAACAGGCTTTGGTTTGCTGGATATTAGGTTGCTCAAGTTGCTGTCAGGGCTGTTCTTCAGTCAAGTGGACAGAACTGTGCTGGAGCGGAACGATTTTATGTCCACAGGGAAATTTATTCTGCTTTTGTCAGTAAAGTTACCAAAATAATAAAGTCTGTAACAGCTGTAAGTGCTTTTTTAAATAATATTTCACTGTTAAAATTAATCTTAGTCTTTTGTGTAACTTTCATCATGGGTTTCTAATGCATATTGCCACAGGATTGTTGTTTCAGAAATCTATCGACTGTTTATACATCTGTTGTAGCTCATTGTCAAAAACTATGAGAAACAAATGTCTATTTGAATCAGGATACATTGCTTTGTCATCTATTTTTGTTGAACGTCTGCATACTTTTTGTTTCTCTCATCAATCCTTTCTGTATCCCAAGGGACCATTTGCTACATTAAGGTTTTCAAGAAAAAATATTTCTATCAACTTACTACTAGCTTTATATTCTACTTCTAGTATGTGTGTGTGTTCTATGTATTTGGAACTCTTAAAGATGAATGGTATTTGACAAGAACGGCTCTAGGATCTATATGGGGCCCTAGGCAAAAATTACAATAGCAACCTTTTGACAATGTAAAATATTCATTTTAAAATTATTCAAAATTTATTTTCTTGCTTTTTGTAATGCACATTTTAAAAAATATATTTAAAATTTGTTGAACTTTTTAAAAAAAAATCCTATTTAATGCTCAAAAATCAGTGTTTTCTTCTTTCGAAAATGAAGACATTATATAAAATGACTTAATTATAGTTATTAAAAAGTTATTGTATTATATCACAAACATGGTATTTAAAACAGAGTTTCTTAAAATATATAATGTACTTTTATGTCAAATATGCTTAATGAAGTATCACTTTTTAATAAATATAATATAACTTTTTAGTGGGCCCTAAAAAAATGCAGCCTTAGCCATAGGCCTTACTCGCCACCTTGCTTTAGCTAGCTCTGGTATCTGAATTGTTCATGTCTAACAGATAAATAGAATTCAGTGATGAACAAATTTTGTGGCATCACTGACATACCCAATTCTCTTCTGACATGTTTTCCTTCAAAAGAGAAGCACTGAAATCTGGGATTCATGATTATATACATATTGAGAAGAGGGGCAAAAGGATTAGAAATTTATGTTTTCAAATATTGCATTAACATTGAGGACTACAATATTACAAGAATTCATTGCTAACTGATCATTGAAGAATAGACTTCTATCCTAGAAAGATTGAGTGTAAAGAAGTGCATATTTTGTTTGATTTGTTGGTTATTGATTTTTTATAGGGCCCACCGCTTGTTGGAAAGTATGATATGGGAGCTCTATGCATGCATGAGCATTCTGAAAAGCTTGAAGGCCTTGTAAATGATGCCTTAGAAAAAGGAGCTGAAATTGTTGCACGAGGGAGTTTTGGACATATAGGTGAAGATGCAGTTGATCAGTATTTCCCCCCTACTGTGATTGTGAATGTGAATCACTCAATGAGATTGATGCAAGAAGAGGTAACAAAACTCACTATTTTTTCTACTTTAGACGTCTGCTTTTTCTTTTTTGGTTAAATTATTAGAAAGATCCTACAAACACCCACATGCCTTCAAATCAGCATAGTTTCATCTTCTAATTATAGTTGAGTACATCATATTTTTTGCACACTTACCCTTTGATTTTGCCACATAGCAGTAGTGAGTCAATGTAAACCATGAAGATGTGCTAGAAGTGTTATTATTGTTGTTGTATTAAGTGCTAGTTTCACTGATAGCGGGTACACATACTTTCCATACTTAGACTTAAACCATTTGAGCTTTTTTGAAATTTGGGTAATCATATCCCGTGACAGTCATGTATGCACTGCAATTATGCATTTAAATTCAAGAATTTCCCTTCTATATTGTATGATTAACTGCTTACTAGATTCATCTCTGCAATTAAATGACAACCAGACATTTGGACCAATCATGCCAATAATGAAATTCAGCTCTGATGAGGAAGTTGTCAGGCTTGCAAATGACTCAAAATATGGGCTCGGCTGTGCTGTTTTCTCAGGCAGTCAGAGCCGTGCCAGAGAGATAGCTTCACAGATACATACTGGGGTAGCTGCAGTTAATGATTTTGCAGCAACGTACATGTGTCAGGTAAATTTATTTTATCTTTTAACTCTTGAAAATGGTTCACTTGAAACATCTAACAGTGTGACATGATTTATATTTTTTTTGTTGAACTTGCATCTAACTGCTAGTTTAGTATGCGTTGATCTCTTCTGAATGTTCAACAAATGGGCTGACTGCAGAATTTCCCTGCTTAAAAGAATTGGACTAGAAAAGTTCTGCAACATAGTATTAAACCAATTAACTAGGGCGTGACGGTGTTACCAAGCAAATGTTTGCTAGGCCGATGAAAAAAAGTACCTGCACCTGAGTGCTGATTAGGAAATTGGTGTAAGGTTTGAAATCGGCCAATTTGGTTCCACCAAGTAACCATTTTAGTTCCAAACCACAGGATTGTTAATGAGCTCATCTCTTTATCTCATGAGAAAATAATATTTATTTGCTAATTTCCTGTAACGTCGACTTTGGCATGAACTACTTATGTCGAAAATAATTTATGCTCCACTTGGCACGTCTAATTTCCAATCAGATAAAGATACATGTTTAGGAGAAAGAGATGTCATTATTTTATTTATATTGGCTGAATTGTAAACAACCTGCTTTAACTTCATATTTTTGGCAATTACCCCCTCAAATTTTATTTTCACAATTTACCCACTTGAACTTTAATCATTTAGCAATTCACTGTTTTTATTCCCATAATCTTGATTATAATGACAGCCCAAGTTTTGTAAACTTCACTTCTCTACTGGTAAGCATTTGGTTTACCTAAGAGATACTTTGACATTAAAAATGTAAAGACTGATAAAAATAATAAATTACTAATTCTTAAAATTTATGATGGATAGTTTGCTACAACTAGAAATCTTCAAGATGTAATTTACCAGAGGCCTGAAATTGAAGTGGGTTTAATCTACGGTTTTCCACTGAAGTAATGATGCGTTGTGATTTCGCAGTCCCTGCCATTTGGTGGTGTGAAACATAGTGGATTTGGACGATTTGGCGGTGCAGAAGGATTGCGAGCTTGCTGTCTAGTTAAAGCAGTTGTTGAAGATCGATGGTGGCCATTTCTGAAAACCAAGATACCTAAGCCTATTCAGGTCAATCCGGAAGTTTTTTTATTGTAATATTCCATTCTTTTATTTCACTACAAATAGAAACTTTAATGAGCTTCTTGTTTGCCACAGTATCCTGTTGCAGAGAATGGATTTGAGTTTCAGGAGTCACTTGTTGAAGGGCTTTATGGTCTCAGCATATGGGACCGTTTGCGAGCATTAGTAAACGTTTTAAAAATGCTTACTGAACAGAACCCTGCCGGCAGCAGCAACAAGCGAAAAAACGAGTAATTTTCATCTCAGGTAACATGCTAAACGCTTAATAATATTGTCATAATCAAACCCTGCTGCTAGCAGCTGTAAGAATTGACTAATTGTCAAGTCAGGACAAGCTAGATGGTGTCGAGTTCAAATTATGGGGGATTTCGGTTGTCCTATTTATCTCGAACTGTAATTTTTGGAGTTGTGCCATTTTTTTTCGAGCTTATTAGTTGTCGCCGCTGGTCATTTGTGAAATTTTATGATCCTTATGTGACGTTTAATCAAATTAGGATGAAAAAGGTTCTGTGATCCCATGCTAGATGGTTACGTGATTGTCATTCGAATTCTCACAGTTCATTGTCTTGGGAAAAAAAATAGGAAAAGATCATTTAATGCATACACACCACTTCAAACTTTGTTATTTCTATCCAATGTGAAAGTTCTTTAATGACGGATAATTTAAAATGTACGTTCCGAATCCAAATGGAAGGAAATGTGCCTGTATAAAACAGTAAGACAAATATTACAATACAATAATTTTAAATAGATGCTTGATATTAGACTTGTTTTGTGAAGAAGTCATAAAGCTTGTCCGTTTCAATTGTTTTCCTCAAAAATCGCTTATTTAAAATAACAGTTTTGAAAACAACTAAAAAGTTAGAAGAAAAAAATATTTTTTGATTGATTTGAAAAATTAACTTATGAAAAACTCTAATTATAATTATTTGCAACATTAAATGTTTTTAATAATTATAGTTAAAAAAATTAATATATATAAGTACAATGTTTTTCTCTGCACATACTTTCCATTACATTGTGGATGATTATTTTTTTTTCGAAGCACTCAAAAGGCTAAATTATTGATCCTTGTATTCCTTTGGTATAATGCTGCTTGGCGTTCTCAAAAATGGATGACTCTTGGTGAATCACCTTGAGCAGTGGATGCCGTCGATTATAAGGATAGAAATAACTACCAGGCTTCCATTAATAATATAACACTGGAAGGAATAGTGCGATTAAAAACTCTGCAAACCCAGCTCCCACTTCTTTTATACAGCCAAAAAACTCTTCCATGTGCATTCAACAGTTATCCACATTTGTACGCTCGTGTGATTTCCCACGAAATTAAATCGTCTGGCGAAAGGCCATCTATCACACAACCGTCTCGCTTACAATTTACTAATGCCACCATAAACCTCTCATTTTCTAACGACGACGGATATATTAATTGTTCTTCCTGAAACAAAAACAAAAACAAAAAAAAAAAAAGTGTTATTTTCTAAGCAAACATGTAATTGAAGTGACTCAAGATTGGCGCTTAAGCTCATATTCCCGATTCGTACATCTATGTCTGAATTCAATGCATGGCAACTATGCTAAAATATTTGCTTAGGAACACTGTTAGACTCGAGAATTGCACACACAAACTAGATAGTTTTATTTATATATTTTTTGGATTAAACCAGACAAATGTTATAACAGATACCAAAGGGCAAAAGAAAAACACGTCTCAGAGTAACCTCTCAGTACACAATGCAATACACGGATTCATGCCTTAAACAGGGTCTTCCTCTCTCAACCGCAGACTGACATCACATTGAATGGAGAAACTGACATGCCATATACACTAACACAACTGTGAAACGATAACTAAACTTATAACTACCTTTTATTCTTATCAACTCTCTTTTAAAAATATTTTTTTTTTAAATATTTTGTATATTTTTAAGATAAATATATTTTTACTTAATATTTATTTTATTGAATTAAAAATATTAGGAGAATGTAACAAGACTCATTATTAAACACACAAATAACTGTCAGATTATTCACATCTGTCCTAACACACAAATCTCCCAAAAAAATTTTTTAAAAAAAGTGACTAACGAAGCATTTAAAAAAGAGCTTACTTGACCTTATAAGAGTAACCTATAAACTATCTTTTATTAATTCCAACAAGTTTCTTAAAAAAACTTATCCAAATAATCTTTGTTTTCTAGTTAATTTGAATTAACTTCACAATTAAACTTATGAACAAACTTTCATTTAAAAATATTATGTGTTCAATTAAATTAATTATCCAAGCGCTAGCCAAAGTTTATAAAGGGAGCTGAAGATTGAAAAAAATAAAAATGTTTCTAAATTAATATATTGAACTTTATATATTAAGATAAGTAATGATAACATACAATGGAGTTAGATAGGAAACGAAATGTAAAATTTAAAATTGTGAAATATTAAACTTAGAAAAATGGCGTACTATAAGTAAAACACTTTTTTTTTTTAGAAAAAGGAAAAACCATAAAAATATATTATGTACAATATAGTAAAATAATTGCCTTTTGAGGTTCTCATTAATCAACAGGAAGCCAACCCTTGTTTCATCCATTCAACAAACCCGAACCGGCATGATATATCTAACATTTTAAAAACAATTCTTCTAATTCTGTTTTTCTAGATTTTTTTTTTCAATATTTTTAGATAGTACTAGTTCAAAAATATTTGTTAGAAATATACCGGCCTCAATCTGAACTGAATATGATTAGTTGATTCAGTTTGAATCAGTTAAAAACCCAGCAGTTGTTACTGATTTGAATACATTTTTTTAGGCATTTTTGCAAGTTTTTTATTTTAATATTTTTTGCAATTACTTTCAATTTCGATTTTGTTTTACTGGCCTGAGACTTTACAAAATTCACCTGATTATGTCTTAACTAATCAAGATATCTTTTAAGTAGTCGGGAGATATTACCTCTGGAAGATCATAAAAATCATCAGGAGATATCTGCAACAAATCCATAGCAGTTTGACCAGTACACCACGCTAAAACTTTCGTGCTCTTATCTGCAAGAGTAATTTTCAGGTGGAAAGTGCGTACTACCTCAGCATCAGAAATTGTTCGACAAAAGCTGCATTCCACCAATCTACCAGACATCTTGTTGACAAAGTGACCACAGAGAGAATGTGAAAATCTTGTATTAACGTAATAATACGCAATGGGATCAAGCCAGACTCGACATATCTGCAAAAATATTGAGTAAGAAAATGATCAAAATTGTAAACAAACAATAATTAAAGGAGATACTGTATAAAGGGAAGGCATACAGGGCAGGGAAATATATATATATATATATATATGTCTACCGTCAGATTATATCTGACAATAATAATATAATTTGAGAATTGAGCGCTATAGCACCTTGACGTTCCACATACATATGTTTGTTTCATTTCCTTTATGTGAAAAACGTGTTTATAGACGAGGCTATATTTGAATCTGCAGTAAAACCCTGAACATCTTTTTAGTCGTCATTCAATCAGAAATTTTAAAATTCTAAAAAATATAAAAATAATAGTAAAAAATGCTTAGAGTGAGGATTAAGTATAAAAAAATAAAGAATAATAATACAAAATTAAGCATGATAAAGATATTTTGAAATTCTCTCCAAAAATAAATTATTTAAAAAAAATTATTTAGTTAAAATTTTATAACATTTTAAAACTATCATTTCATTCTATCTAAATATATAAACCTTTCTGCTTTGCTTTTCTCCTTTTGGGATGTTAAGCACAAACGAATCAAATCTCACTGAAGTAGTTGCGATTGGCAAGCTCCAAGCTAAAAGCATGATTAGTTTAACAAAACTTTTTAAAATATATATATATATATATAATGAAAAAATTTAAAGGTAAGTTTTTTTTTCCCAAATTGAAGCTAAAATTAAACATGCTATTAGATCATCACTTGTGCTTCATCCATTATGGTCGAGCACGGCCATAAAACATGGAATTTGGTCAAAAAATAAAATAAACTAGCTACGGTTATTGCAAGATGTATTATTTCATGTGCGAAACATGATGTCATGTCAGATTGCAACGACTATAATTGTGCATACTGCAGAGGAACAGGGGCTTAAAATAGCATTCAAATAATACTAAAACGCAATTCTTACTTGAGCATAGCTAGTCTGACTAGAAATATCAGAGAGTTGCGATAGCTTGTGAAGGCAAGAGGAGTTGATTAATGCTGGTAAACAACTGAGATTGATGAAAGAAGCCCCAGTACCAGTCTCAAACCATGATGCTTCCAGACTGTCAAGCCAAAAAAACATTCAACTTCATCGTAAGATTATGTGGATTCTTCAACCAGAGTATAAGAACGCAAATTATTCAGGCAGATAATGTAGAGTAGACAATATGATGGCAAGGGGTGTGATAGACAGCACATTGAAGCATATAAAATAGTATGAAAAAATCCATTCAACATTAAATCTTGAATTTTCACAATTATTTATCTAGGTGGTGGCTGGTGATGTGCACCAGTTTTTAATATTCAAGTTGGATGTGCTCACCCCTTTTGTTTCGACATGGTGCATGTCAAGCCAGAAATGAAAACAGTGTGACCGAGACTCACTCTTCCCAATGACCTGAAATATATTATAAGATGATAAGAACGGGGAGTACATTAAGATGAGAATATTTGGAAGTGCAAAGATGGTTTTATTATACTGTTCATTAATTACTCCCCCTTAAAAGCTTGGGTCTATCCCTGCTTGCAATGCAATATTGCTTACGCACATTCAAAATAATACTAGTATTGCTTGTATTCATTACCAAGATCTGGCAAAATGGAGCTTTGCCCGAATTTCTCCGCTCGTATCCGTTATGTTTAAACAGAAAACAGTTTCTTGGTCATTATCTTCTTTGATAATATCTGTAACAACACCATAGAGACTGATGCCAGTCATCTTGTTCCGAAGATCGACCACATATGACTGCAAAACTTCACACAGGTATTGAAGTTAACTAATCAATCATAAGATATTGATTTTTATTTTCGTATGAATTAAATAAATATTGATTTTTCTAATTTATATAACGTAGCGTAAGATAAGAGGTTATATATAATAATTTTTTGTTAAAAATTATAGTATTTAATAGTATTAATTATATTTTATAATTCTTAATAAAAATTAATTAAAAAAATTTATCCTATTTAATGAAATACAAATTGAAAAAATAAATAAATAATTACACCTACATGACATAATAAGTCTCACAAAATTCTACTTAAAAAATGTATTTCTAATATTTTATTGTAACAAAATCATACTCAGTCACATGATTGGCCTGCTTGAACACACACAAGCTAGTACACCTATGTTCAGAGAGCAACATAAACAAATAAGCTAAAGCCACGTCCATAGGCTAAAGCCAATAATATAATCAAATCACCGACTATTAGATTTGCTAACCAAAGCTCTAAACTAACTAATTAAAGAATTGATAAACGATAAATTTTTATTAAAAATTACATTAAAATACATTAAAAATTACGAGAATGGATATATTTTTTAAGAGTTTTCAACAAAATATTTTTATAACTAACTAATTTTAATGAGTTAGTGATTAACATTTTTTTATAAATAAATGCTTTTTAAAATAAATAAAGTAAATAACATGCAAGATAGCTATTGAGATCATGACCAAATAGAAAATAAGGAAAAACTATCCTCTAATTTTATTTGGAGGAGTGGTAAAGGGTAAACTCACCCGAAAAGGGTAATTACTGAAATCAATGGTCCCCTGTGAATCACGAGGCAAGCTCACTTGAGACAACCGAAGTTCCTGACTGGGATTATACGAACCCAAGGGCCGTGAACCCTGACGGCGATTTGGTGTCAATGTTACGCACACCTAATCGACCAAGCTGCTTAATATTTTCTCCATAGGACATTGACAATAGTTTAAGTCAATTAAAAAAATCCATAAATCACCTGTTCTTCATGTTGAATATAAGGCACCAAATATAATTGTGTTTCGCTTCCATATTCAAGACAAAAATCCTCACTTGTTTTAATATCACACTCCACGGAACTTGCAACGTATGGCTTGTCCAGGGCAAGCATGCTTCCCACACTGTAACCCTCAAACAATGAATGTTATACGCATGTAAGAAAAAAAAAGTTATTCAGCTTTAGAAGTCCGATCACTGCAACAATTCACCTGAGAAGATTGGCAAGGAGAGTCTGCTCACCCCACAAGAAAAAATTTAATATGACACCATCACCGTCAACAAGAGTAATCTGTTTTCTTTGTAAGCTTCCAAACCTCCTTAGAATTTCCTCAGATTCAATCCTTTCAATCCTATAATCAATATAAGAAAATAAAAAGTCTATGTTTATAAACGCATATGTGGAGGGACATTCATGAACTAGTAAATACTTTGAACCTCATTATCTGCCCTTGCGTATTTGTAGAAACATTAAAATTAAGCATGAAATCTTAATATCAGAAAATGACGCAAGTTCACAAGAAGCTCACAACAACAAAATCAAGTGAAAAATAAAGCACTAATTGCAAGTAGTTTACCTGGCATAAAGTGAATATGCAGCCCCTTGGTTCACCGCATTAAGAGAAATTGAAGAGAAAGAATCTGAACAGAAGTGAGCTCTAAGTAGCATTGCATCATCATCCTGATTCTACGGGTTTCAAGAAAACAGCAGACTTATCATCCTGATCGGAATCTCATCTTTAGGTGCAGCATGAAGACCACAAGGTAGAACTAGTCTACAGCAGCAAAGATTTTTTCCGAACTGGAACTACTTCCATATGAAACTACAATGATTAAATCTAAAGACGACAAATTTGGATAAATGAAACTTTTGACCGTTACCTCATCCAATACAATCACAAGATACTCCGTTGGCAAAAGACGAGGATGACCAGAACCTTGACTGGCGCTTCGGAGGTAGCAACCAGTAAGAAAAATCTCCCTCCCTCGCTTCAGAACTCCATTCTGCATGCCGGCCAAGTTATAGAATCTGCAGGACAAATATAATATGTTTAATATTAAATGAAATCCCAAATAAGAGTATGCCAAGTTTTTGTTCCAAATTACTAGCTACATGTTCAATAAATGCATGAGGAATATTTAATAAAATGTTCCTCATTGATAGATTAAAAACATTACCATGAGAAAAGTTTATTCAATAAACAATGGAAACCGCGAACAGTCTGTAGAGAGAATATCTTCTTAAATATCATTACCATTGGATTGTCTCCCGAGTAAGTTGAATAAATAATGCACTCAGATATAAATAAAAATACAAAAATTTTAAGTATTTCTAGGTTTGCATATTTTCAACAGTAAATCAGTAATAGAAACAAGCATAGTGAACGAAAAAGAAAACTAATAGACAGTGCAAGCATAGAGTAAAATCTTTTATTCTGTTATCCACCAAATTACAAAATTGGGTTTGACATTGATTGATCAATGTTACATTCTGCAATTACCTGCGGTGTAGATAGAGATCTATGATATTGGAGCTCCAATAATCCCCTAATGTAAGCATGTGGATGTTTGTGCCTGCAGATGATAGGAATAAATCACTACAAAACCAAGATAGAAATTTTAAAACCTAATCCAAATAAGTAGGATTTGTAACATGAATTCATGGATGCCAATGGGCTCTATCAGAAAATCAAATTCTAGAGCAGTTAAGAGCGGGGTCCTTTCTACTGATTTTGCCTAAAATGGATTATTTTCCAATACACCTAATGTGGAATAAAATACTAAAACAGATACCCATTTGTACATATAACAAAGTTGTGCTTTGTTGGCAGGTCATGTGCAACAGCAAACCTTCGCTAAGGCTTGTGGCATGTCTTGATCTAGGAACGTGGCAACCTCTCATCTAGCCCAAGCTTTTTACAATCAATAAAAAAAATGTGTAGTTAAATAGAGAATAAAAAAAAAAGGTAAGAATCCATGGTCTGGTTTGCGTAGTGCGTTTACTTCGGCACGTGCCTGCATTGTTTGGCATGAAATTATTTTGGCCCCATGGCAGTAACCTAGACCTGAATCTGGGACCTCTCACATATTGTAAAACAAGCATTCGGTTGATTTACTTTCTTATTTTTGTCCCACCTGATTGGATGCCAATGCGCAATGGTTCACGCTTTTCGTAAGAGATAAATGCTACTAGAGTTTGATCAGAATAAATCAAGTGCACGAAAATAAACTCTGTTCACTTCCCTCCACAAGAAAACCAATACTCAGGAGGGAAATTCTTAAATTCCAAAGTACCTGGGAGCACAAATGCATCGATAATAACAACTTCCAGAACACTGCTCAAGGACAGGAAGTTTTTCTCGTATATGGAATCAATGGTAACAACGTTTGGAAGCTTCATCCGCCGATAATCCTTCTTGAGATGGTTAATCAATTCGAGCCTCTTCTTCGGAGCTCCCACCCTGCGCTGTTCACTCCACGCCTTCCATAAAAAATCAACGATAAGAAAAGCAGCCAAACACAGCGTAAACCAAAATAGACTCAAAAACACGTGACAATAACAACTAAACTTTCATTGACAACTGTAACTGCGACATCGACCTATCTAATTCCGAAATATGTGAACGTAATCGACTCTAAATCCCTAATTAATGCATTTCGTAGCTCGCACGCTGAGGAAATTGCTTCAGAACTATCCTCTTATTGAAACCAAACACACAAAAAATGGACGAGCAATGGTGAGATACCTGAGAGAGTTCAGAGAGCAATATCGCAGGTGTGACACCGCTTGAATAAGCAATGCAAGTCTTGAGAATACGAGATACGATCCAGCTCCATCCAAATCCAACGGTACCTTCACTGCCTCCATTTGAATCTTCTTCCAATGCTAATAGCTCTGATTTTACGTAATCGACAAATTTGAGGAAAGGATCTTGCTCCTCCTCCTCTTCTTCTTTTTGTATATCTTCTTGGCGATGATCTATGTCCATGGCGGAATCTCCCTTCAGATTGTAGCCACAATCGCGATGCTCCGTTCTCGATTCACTTAGCTTTCTGACAAAGAGATGGAAGCGAATGAAAGGACTTTCTTATTGAAGGGGAAAATGCCAATGGTTGTGTGTATGTCGGCTTTGGCGCGGTTTTCAATTAAAAATGCTCCTTTTGTAAATAGGTATTCCACTTTTTCGCGGGCACTAGTGGGTTGGGCTACTGTACAAAATTTGAGCCCATAGAGAGCTGGCCTAAATTTTTGGAGGGTGAGTGTTATTGAAAAAGCCTAAAAGTTATTCATGACGAAAAAAAAGAGTGCTGGAAAGTTGTTGAATAAGCCTTAAAAGCCTTGAGTAATATTTTTATCCGAAAAATAGTAATTATGTATGAGTACGTAGCTAATTGGGGTAAAATATATAAAAACTCAAAATATATTAAATTAGAAAAAAAAACTACACCTTTGTCAAATTATTTTAATATCATTTTAAATACTTTAAGCACGGAGTGTTCGTTATTTTGTTGATTCAATGAACCTGATCAATTCAACTTAATTAAATATTTATGAATTAATTCAAATAGATGAATTAATTTGAGTAAAAATATTGAAAGTCAGTGAAATATTTTTTAAGTTCTGAGTTTATAATATTAAAATTTAACTTAATAAACTCAATAATTCTATCATACGTGGATTATTTTTAAAAAAATTCTGAACCATTTTGACTTTTCTTAAGTTGTTTTAAAGTGGAATTAATCCATCTTTCAATTTTTAAACATCATATAATACTTTAGATTATAAAATAAATATTAGATTTTATACTTTGTAATTTATAAGAGGTCGTGAAAGTTTATTTTTTATTTTGTACTACTTTAACTCTGTTTTAAATTAATTTTAAATTATTAGTATTGTATTTTGTTTTAGAATTGATAATTTCTGATTTAATTTTAATATATTTGTTAATTAAGATGTTGTAATTGATTTATCAATCGCAAACATGATTTTAAATTTTGTAGATGATATTGTAAGTATTAACTTAGCTACTCAATTAACATGTAGTCAAGTCAAGTGAAGTTTATTTTATTTTATTTTTCAAAATTGATCAACTCAATTTATAAATTTTTGTTTAATATGGGTTATTTTTTATATTAAAACATACCCAACTCAACTCATAAATAATCTTACTTTTAAGTAATATTTTTTACACACTTACCCTTTACTATTTTATCTCTTAATAAAAACAAAGATAAAAAGCTTCATTTATCTAAAGCATATCTGCACAATTATACCTTATTCGAGGTTCTCTAATTTCTTTTTTTTTTCTTAGACTTAAAAAAATTTAAATTGATATAGTATAATAGCTAACAAGTCTTGATTAGTCCATATATGGACTATTTTTTTCTTTTTTTTTTTTATAAGCACAGTAGTTTCATTAATTAAAGAATGAGAGTATTTAATTCATATCTACAAGTATTATGCACCGTATAATAAATCTTGCAAATCAATCCAAAACAAACAATCTCTCCTAAATCTACCATTCTCTTATGCAGTAAAAAGAAAAATATATTCTAAAATAATAGCTCATTGTTATTGTGCAGGAAATAACAACTTCATGGTAAAAATGAATTCAAAGCACTAAGCAAAAAATGAGAAGCAAATTATTTTAACATGAGCTGCAAGAGTTTATCATGTCTTTAATTTAATCACTTCTTACACTTTCAGAATGTCCAATTCACAATTAGAAAAAATAATTTTATTTTTATGTTTCTAAATACACCACAATGTCAAGTAAATGGCCTTTTACTGTATAAACTGTTTAAATATAATTAAAATTTTATTCAATCTTTGGATTAATTATCAAACTATTACTTTTAAATTTATGTCTTATTTTATTAATAGATATTTATATAATCTACTTTTATTGTTATTAATACTTCTAATTTTTTTTAACTCATACAACATTTCACAAAATAAGAAAATATATATAGTAAATTCTTATTAAAATATGTAATATTTAATAATATTAACATAATTAATTACATTAAATTTTAAAATTTGTATTAGAAAATTACTACATATAACATTTAATTTATCTTATGCAATATTTCACACATTATCGAATGGACTATGTTTTGACAAAAAATAAATAAAGATTCATCACTATTGTCATATTCTTTTGTTCTCTCTCTCTCTCTATATATATGTATAAAAGAAATCTGATGAATGAGCAATGTATTTAAACACACTCGTCAACGCATGCAATTCTTAGGAGGGAGAGACAGGGTGTGAAATAAAGATACAATAAACGATATGATGAAATGGGTAAATATAAACAAGTATAAAGTGTGTATAAAAAAAATTTTTTTTTACATTCATTCTATATTTCCAACACTCTCCCCCGCATAAGATTCTTATAAACTTGAAGACTAAACAATGAACAAATCACCTCTTTCTTGTGCTGAAATTAAACTTTTTTCTTATGAAAAAAGAACGAGAACAGCAGAGATCAAACTCTAAAACATATAACCATAAAAATTCGGATATCACTATCCTAAAAATTTAATTTCTTTGTTGAAAACACCTGAATAATTTGATATTGCATTTTTTAACGTCATGTACACCCAACAAAAAGGTAGAAATGGAATTAGAAGCGTGGTTACTATTCCAGTGGCAACAGGCTTTAACTAGTGATTGGAGCAACAGATAGAAATGGACAAGACGCTGAAAAATTCGGGATATAATACAGTAGTCGATGTATTTTCAGAAATAATGAAATAAATGCAGAATTTCTACAACATCTTCATTGGAGTGCACAATAGTCAAACTCCTTCTTATAAATGATTCGTAAAACTCTGTAAACCATAAGAAAAATTTGAGAGAAAATTCTTAAAATGAAAAGGCAAAAAATTAAAGGAATCTGACACGGCCCTACCCTCATGTTTCTCGATATTTTCCATCAGTTGGTTTTTTACACGTCTAAAGTAGGCTTGTGATAGTGATCTCTGCAGCAGACATTAGAAGGACAAAGCAATTATAAGTTCAATGACTAAAAATAAACGGAACAGTTAAGTGATAAGAAACAAGCGAATATATACACAGGTTATACTACTGCGATTTAACTGTATTCCTTGAATGGCAGTGGCTGCCTCTTCACGTGGTTTCTTCATCAAAGGTTCCCTAGCTTGCCTCCTCAGTGAAGCTGTGATAACCAGAAATAATAGTTTAATATATATAATGCATTAATTCAACTTCAGAAAAACTATAGATAGCAAGAAAATAATTTGAATATCGTCTCGTCTTTTCGTCGACCAATTAAGAAAGGTTATTAACATGCTGAACTCTCATTCTTGAGACCAGGAGTTGGGACCAAAGTCATTGCGTATGTATATCTTGGTCAATTATTATATGATATATGACTAAATTTTAGCAATTTTTCATGAACTAAAAAAAATCATATATTACATGGCAATTGACTAAAATTATAGATATGTCATGAAATTTGACCACTCATCAATAATTTTTTCGAGAAGAAGGAGGTGGGGTTGTGACGTAATAGTAATGATTTCCTCTAAATAATTCATTAATTTGACATAAAACAAACCTCCAATCAGGAAAATTAAATTAAAACCAAAGCTAATTTTGTATATGGCATTATGTAACTGTGTACAGAATAACACCATTGTCTTTTTGAACCCTAGGAATTATTACTGGTTCAATATGAAATACGGATTGATCTCATACAAGAAAATTATGAAGAATATGGTTTGTAGTTCTTTCATATATGCTTTGAGTATATATAGATTGCTAGGGTACTTTATGAGCTGAAATTACATATCAAATATGCGAGGGACACTAGAGAATATTTAAAGTGGAAATTGAATAATAATAATAATAATAATAATAACAATTTTAGATAAATTAATTAATTAAATATTTATTTAATAAATATCGTTACATGAAAATTTATGTCCTTTGTTTTATTACAAGACATATTAAAATAAATTTAAAAATACTACATGATTTATATATTTTTAATAAATTTAAATAAGTTTCGTAAAATTTCTTTCAAGTAGTCCTTTATTCTGGACTTTGGAGATGAATAATTAAGTTAAAATAAAAATACATAGTAAACAAAATAATGAATTTAAAGATATGTAAAGTGAAGTTGAAGTGGTAAAATTATGCAAGTATTATTAATAACCAAAGTCAATTAATATTTTTCATACACACACATATATTATAAAAATAATAATTGGATTTGGAGTTAACAAGGGATACAAGCCTATTAGACATCATACACAACAAGTGTTGTTAATTAATAAACAAATTTAAGTACGATATAATAATTTTGTTATTATAGTTTTTGTGCAATAAAAATTGTTAATATCAGCTTTGAATTATACTACTAAATAAGGCATTATAATAATATTTAATATCTTGATAACATATTAATAATTTTACTAATAAAATTATATTATTAATATAAACTTATACATTATTCATATTAATAGTTTTTTTTTGGTTAAAAATATATATACTAACAATGATCGATCTACCATTAAATTATTAATAAATAAAATTATTTTTGCAATGTGACACATCCCAATCTCAATCGTGATACATTCTTATGTGTATGGTACATTCATGCACCATATATGTATCTCCATACATTCATTGTATATTAATGCAATCTCTTAAAAGTATTTACAAACTCATAATTTCCTAAACGACAGGCTAATTAATGATTAAAAAACATGAATTGGCTGAAAAAAAATTATCATACCCGATTATTTATCTCGCAATTTGTATTGATAAGGGTAGGGATCCGTTGAAAGAAATGATCAAGCACGTACCCCCCGAAACCCCGGGCCCTCCTAAAGTATCTGTCACAAGCGACTACAACACCTGGGGTAAATGATCACTACGTTACCACTATAATGAACACTTTTGTGTGTTGAATAGCAATTAGATTCGTGAAATGATTTCTTAGGTGTATAGCAAACGACACAGATGTGTCTTTTTCATTAGCTACGAACATTTTTTTAAGCTTGTGAAAATCATTACATAGATTCACTGGATCATTTTGAAAGACTACTGTTTCAATTTTGTGGTGCAACCCGTGTAGATAGTGTACTTGTAATTGTCCTAATGACAATGACCGTAATGAATATTGTCAACGGACACATCAAGTTGCGTGTTTTAATAAAATAGTTATTAACGGTATATTTTGACGGAGAACGACACAAGATCATAGGACATTGTGAATTAACAACTAATAAATTTTCACCCTATATAAGGATGCAACATGAATTAATTGGATGGTTGGGAGTGAGCCCAATCGAGAAAGATCCAATCTCAGAAAAAGAAATCTTTCCTTTCCCAGTTCACACCTCATATCTAGTACATCACTTGCTTCTTTTATCTAAGGAGAGAAGAAATGGTTGACACTCGCAGTATAGAGAGCAGGGTTCTTATAAGAGAGTTTGATGAAGATAGAGATGTTAAGGTGGTGGGGAAGCTTGAGAGAAACTGTGAAATTGGGACTAAAAAAGGGGTCTCCATTTTCACCAACATGATGGGTGACCCTTTATCTAGGATTAGGTTCTATCCCCTTCATGTTATGTTGGTTGGTAGCTAATATACCTTTCCTTTTTGCCCTTTACATGAGTATCTTTTCATATCCACACTTGGAAACTTGGGTTGAAGTTAATTATAAATATCCGCACTCCATCCATCAAGCATCTTCATATTCTCCAATAGTCCACATTTTCATTCTACTTCTCTTTTATGATAACTTTACCTATTTCCTTACATACGACATTATGTGCAAAGCTGCAAATCTACATACTAATCATATGCTTCATAATGCTTACAGGTGGCTGAGCTGCTCGAAAGCAGGGAGCTTGTCGGGGTGGTTCGAGGATGCATTAAGAGTATGGGAACTCCTTCTGAATCAATGCTGAAGATAGGTTGCATACTAGGCCTTAGGGTCTCTCCTACACACAGGTAATACTAATACTAATACACACACAATTTCGTTTACTTAACAGGATATGTAAAATCTTGAAGTTGGTTCTGAAGCAATAGATTGCATGCAATAGTTAGTGTTGTACTGAATGATGCCACAGAACATTTACTCATTTATGCAGGAGAAAGGGGGTTGGACTAAAACTTGTCGCCTCAGTTGAAGAATGGATGCTGAGAAATGGAGCTGAATACGCATTCCTAGCCACTGAAAAGAACAACGATGCCTCTAGAAACCTATTTACCAACAAATGCAACTATGTGAACCTAAGCTCACTTGTCATATTTGTCCATCCAATTAGTTTCCCGGCAAAGCATATTTCCAAGGATATAAAAATTGAGAAGGTAAACATAGACCAAGCAATTTCCTTATACAAAAGAACCTTGAGGGCCAAAGAGTTGTATCTACTAGACATGGACGTCATTTTGAAGGAGAAACTCAGCTTGGGCACTTGGGTGAGTTATTACAAAGATGAAGGCTGGCTCAACTTGCAGAGAAAGAAAGAAAGTGAAGACATAATCAACAATGAAATCACAAGCTCGTGGATCATCTTTAGCATATGGAATACTTGTGAAGCTTATAAGCTTCAGCTTAAAAAGTCTCAACCACTTAGGTTTCTTCACACAACTTTAAATCATGCAAGGGACAAAATTTTCCCATGCCTGAGAATGTCGGTGAGTGGCTCACTTTGTAGACCTTTTGGGTTTCTATTCCTCTATGGACTTCACGGGGAGGGAGAGAACCTCGGGGAGCTAATGGAATCTATATGGAGGTTCACATCAAGATTGGGAGAAAGTTTGAAGGATTGCAGAGTGGTCATAACTGAGTTAGGGTTTGGTGATCCACTAGTAAACCATGTTCCTCAAACCGCTTCTATGTCGTGTATCGATGATGTTTGGTACACAAAAAGACTTTCAAACCACTGTGACGAAAAGGATGAATTGCTGATGAAGAGACAAATAGGGAATGCATTTGTTGACCCTAGAGATTTTTAGGTATATAACTTTCACGGCTACTTAGTTTCTTGATCCATTTTTTCGGTCAACAATTTCTTGATCAGAAATTGGCTTCTAGCATCATGGTGTCTGCATATTGAGAATTATGTAAACCATTGACTTGAAATTATCTCTTTAGCTGAAGGAGTACATTTTATTTTTTTATTATTAACATCAATGCATGTCCTTATTGTTTTACTTTTCGGTCTTTTCATTTTCAAATCCGCATTGACGAATCGTCATGGCAACAGTTTTAATTATCTCTCTCAAATATTGATGGACTTAAATATAAATATACTGGCTGAACTTAAAAGACAATGGAAATACCTATTTGCTTTCTTTTGAATTACAAGACAAATTCCAAACATAATCCCCTCCTACTCTTCAGGGATCACGTTTAATAGTTGAACGTATAGCCAACACCCAGTTCCCCATTGTTTTCATTTATTGTATGATTATTTCCGTTGACCTAGAGTAAACTTTCCCTGAAATTTGACTCTTTTATTAAACATATATGAGATATGGGCATACATATTGTTTACTATATTCAACATCATTTCAGTTTTCATGCAGCCATAGGGTTGATTGGAAGTTAAGGTACGAAGATGTATCACGAAGGGTGCAATTTGCTTAATTTGCTAACTCAACAGTTGGAATTTGCTAACATCTCAAGTATAAAAAATTGTACAGCTTTTAATACAGCGGTATCAGACGCATTAAGAAAATAATAATTCTCACAATATTTTTTTTTAATCTTTTTTTATTGCATTACTTATTTTGTCTTACACTTTTTTATTTTCTTTTGTATCTCTTTTTCTTATTGCATTACGCACATTAAGAAAAGAATAAGTCTCATAACAATTTAGAGCTCATTTCAATTACTGAATTGGAACGTCCAAATTCCGCCAATTATAGATATCGAATGATTATTTTGTCCTATGAATATCTGTTTATCTTCTAAAAGTATAAAACTTGATACGTGTTTTGTAAATTCCAAATATTATTTAGTCAAAAGTAGTATCTTGTTATAGATAAAAGTAGTAATTTCTAAAACAAATTTGGTTTTCTATTTTTTATTATATTTTGATTTTTGAATTTTTTTCGGTTAATTGTAGTGATTTTTAACTGTAAAAAAATGTGATTTTTTTTGTCATTAGTTGTGGTAGCTTTCATTACTTGTGATAGTTTTTTTTTTATCACCGCTCAAAATAATAATTTAACAAAAAGGATCAAATTAAATAAAATAATAATAACTGTGTTGCTAAAAAATAAAAATAACTAAAAACTTGAGTATGAATTTTATCTTTATTATACGGGCTCAAAATAACTTTTATATTACTTTGACGGCGGTACTGATATTATCAATAATAATCATCATCGCTTAAGATATTTAAATAAGCTTAAAAAAAAACGTATTACAATAGATTAAATTAACATTTACATTTAATTAGAAAATCATAGCTTTATTCATAAAATCATATTTCAATAATTATCAATTAAAATTTCTGAAATAAATTAATTCAATTATATACACGATTATACTAAGTTTATTTATAAACGTATTAAGTCATTTAACTTTTAATCAATTTTAAATATGTTTTTTAAAATATAAAATGGTTCTTTATTTAAAATAAACCAATTTAAATATATAGTGTATGTTTCACAAATTTCAAAAGTTAATTTCTCTTACCATGACACATGTTAATGTAAAATCTGTTACTAAGATTAATTTGCATGCAGATCTCAATCAATTTTAAGATTTAAAATTAATAATACCAAACTCTAAAACAAATGGATCCATAATTATTATCAAACAAAATCAATGTGTTAACTTTTGAGGGGGGAAAGAATCAAGAAAGATGAACTGGGTCTAACGAAAGCCAAGTTTTTTTTTTTTTTTGGGTGTGTGAAAAATATGATACGGAGAAAATGATGCCTCTAATCCTATGTTATAAGGTACTAAATAGCATGTCAAAAATGCTAAGAACTGTCTAATTTAGAATATTATAATACGGGCCAAACCACAAGCAATTTTATTTAGTTGTAGCTACTCAACTAACTTCGAAGTGTTAAGAGATCTCCTTGATGAAGAATCCCTAACAAATCAGATATACTAAAAACCCAACATTGACAGTGAATATAAGTTTTTTTTCGGATCCCTGAGTATTTGTACCAACCTCCATTAATTGTTACATTTGGTTATTCTATATGGGTAAGCATACATTAGAGGATACACACATAATCTTGGTCTGCGTCAAATTACGGGTAAGCAACACCAACGCTCTTCACACTATACTTAAAAGCAACTATGCTATACGTATGTATGTTTTGTGTCTGTGTGTATGTACAAGACAAAAATGTTATCCCCCCACAGGTTTTGCAATTGAACTATATTTTTTCGTAAACTTTTATGTTTTTTTTTTCTATCGAAATATTCCTTCATTTCATCCTCACCCATAATTTACTATTTTCCTGTGACTTTATGTGATAAACCCAAAAAAAAAAAAACTTAAACCGTGGAACTTACGATATTGTTCAGTCCTTAATTTTCATCCCTATGCTAAAATTAATGCACCTTTTACTAAACTCATTATATCCATTATACTTCATTTTACTTTTTGATTTTTTATCATACATTTGAAAATACATGTTAAAAATTAAAGAATTAGTCAATTTTTAATTAAAAAATTGTAACATTTAATATAATTAATATATTAAATTTTATGATATATTATTATTTATAATAAAAAAAATTAGTATACATATGTTTTTATTTTGTATCTTTCAGTATACGCTAAGAAAAGTCGATTACTTTTACGTAATTAAAAGTCACACGCCTCTGAATATTCTCTCCACATTTCTAACTCCCCAATTTTTCTTCTTCAACTTGCAAATGGGCATCTGCAAATAACATGCATTGTGGGGTTAGTTATTGAATATGTTGAGTAAACATATCAACATTCAAGTTTAAAAAGTAGGACGACAAAATTAATCATCGACTTTTACAAGAAAGTTTAGAGAGAGTTTAATAATATATTTTCTCTAACACATTATTTATTATTAATTACAATTTATTGAAAAATTAAATAAGTACAAAAGAAATATTAATTTAAAAGTGAAAAAGAAAGAAACTCACATAATTTTTAAAGTTTTTATTAAATTTTTGTTTTTGTTTTTGTTTTTATTAAATTTTAACCAACAGTAATGTGTTACACAAAATATATTAGAGAGTGTAATATCCTTACTCATAAAATCATATGTAAACCCTAGCATAAATTATCATTTCTAGTCGTGAACTTATTTTACATATATTTGATTAATTAAATATATACAACATTTTTTTTTCTTGTCCAAAGTCGTCTATAGTACCTTTACATTTACCACATTGGTAAAAACCATGTATGCCTTTTTATTCTCTCCCGGGTATCTCTCCACCAATCTCTTTAGCATTTGCATCCATAATTAACCCTTTTTGCATAAAATCAAAATTTTTTTTCTATATAAGACTCTTATTTTACTCCCCCCTAAATGTTACCCAACAATAACACTATCATTTTCAGCTAAGCTGCAAATTTTAACCGATGCTTCAAACTCAATCAAAGTCCGACATTTTTCAATTTTGGCTGATTTTTAAAAGTCACAAATCAACTGAAAGTGTTTGAAAAAGACAAAAAAAATCCCCACAGCCTTCTTAGCTGAATCTTGTACATTATGTAGCTTTTCGTCAGAGTAGGGAACCGAACGCAAATCAGGAACACAAGAACTGCATTGCTCTCATTATATTCACGGACGCACATTCAAAGCAGAATATCTTGAAGAAACGACAAGACTATACTAAGTGACACTGTCTCTAGAGCTAGTAAATAAAAAAATATCCACTGTTGATTTAATTTGAAGTACATCATAATTATAACCTGTTTATCTATAAGTAAGTACACAGTCCTTATTCACTTTGGAAAAGAAACATCTTTCACTTGAAGACAAATATAACGATGTTAGTCATTAGTATACTTTGTTCTCATTAAAAAATATTTCTTATAATGCTGTTTTCAATACAAGGCAAGGCACCTAATTGAAAACAAATTTTACATGACACCATTCTGTATAGCTAATGGCCCAACCCTAAACTATAATATTGTGGACTTACACTTTGGCAATTCTATTATTTGATCGCCATATTCTCCTAGTAGACGTACTTTTCTTCATAGAAGAAACTTTTGGTGTGTCCAACTGAAATTCCAGATTGGACAAATCTATGGATAACCGTTCCTTAATGAAAGCATCCAAATCAAAGCCACTTTCACCATCCTCGTCATCACCATTATTGTCACTAGAAAAATCAACCCTGTTTTTATTTGTTCTGGCTATACTTATCAAAGAATCCAATGGCTTGCTGTACGAATTTGGGTCCAGCTTGAGGAGCCTCTTTAAACTGTCAATGGCCGGGTCTAAAATATCTAAGAACCCCGTAACCCATGAAGCATCGTCTACAACTTCTGTGCGCTGTTGCATGCAACAAATAATATTTCAAATATTAGCGGTAATATTTTGCTATTATTCTTTAATCAAAATTAGAATTTCACAACTCAGCATAACAAAAGTTGACATTACAAGTAGTTCAAATCACAAGGTGAAATTTTGATTGGCAGTACTAAAAACAACTGTGTTACTAAGCGAAGTTTTTTACCAAAACCATAAAGAGGAAATAACGGTTACAAACAACAGCATAGCGATATACTAGGAGAGTACTCCAACAAACCAAACCTCAAGATACATAAAATATTATTATGTGCTAATCGAACAATAGCATACGAACATAAACCAGTCAAGGTTTCTTATGGAACAATCTTATATATAGAGGAGCATATCTCGAAACCCTTGGATTTGAGAAAACTTAATTAAAAGATTGGAAATATTTTAAAGAAATTGTATTTCACACGTAATTTTCCCTTCTTTCTCTGATCAAAAGATAGAATAAGGTATTCAAAATTATCATTATTAAGTCAATTGGTCAACTTTGGATTATCTATTACCAGTACGCAGTAGGATATTTTCTCAAAGCACAACTGATCTACCTGTTGGAAATAGAGGTTACGAATCTCTTCAGCACGAACAGAATTTCCTTGATCTTCTTCCAATGATGCCCAAGTCATCCATGTCACATAACTCTGAGAATTTATATTCAATGAGGATTTGAATAATCTACGGGCAGCTGAAAGATTACCAACCCTTTGCTCCAGCACACCCCAAGCCTACATTGGGAGAAAAGTTGCTATGGAAAGTAAATATCGAATTATGCAAAGGATCAAGTTGACACAACATTTATCATATGCATGCGTGTCACCTGGAGACACCTGGCAGCAGTTTCACTATTTAGATCAATGGATAACGTCTTTTGGTATAATTCTCTAGCCGTATTCAAGTTTCCTTCCTTCCATTCCATCCAACCCCAAGCCTACACATCCCCAAATTTCTGATCAGGTCATTCTCTTTACCACAAAGTTACATACCAAATGGGAAAAAAATGTAAAATTATCTTGCACTTGAAGAAGAGCACAGTGAGGGAATGGCATGATAAATATATGTCATGAATAAAAACCAAATAGAAGTGGCGCATTCTGCTCCTCATTAGTCTTCTTTAAAAAGAAATAGAAATTTGAGTTATGATATTTAAGATAGCTAAGATCAGAATGAAAAAACTTACAAACCAAACAGGTTGATGCCTTGGATCCAATTCAGATGCTCTCCTGAACAAAATTCGGGCAAGGTTTGCAGTTGAGTGTTCGTATTCTAATAAAGCAAGAGACTGAAGGAGAACAGCATCCCTTGGATTTAGAGCATGGCCTATCTTCAGAAGTTTTCTTCCTTTGTCAACGTTGCCCATGTTAGCTTCAAAAACGCCCCATACATGCCAAGCAAACCTATTTTTAGGACTTGCCTGTACTGCTTTCTATAAATTACAAAGAATAAAAGAAACATAAGTCACACATTTACAGAAATTAATAAAAGTAAATGTCAAAGGAAGATGCTCAAACTCTTAATAAGTATATAATCCGCCAAGAAGATTCAAGGGTCCAAAAAGAAAAGAAGATAGAATTAGTAATATGAAGTACAACCTCAAACAATTTCCTAGCAGCACGGTAGTTTTCCTGTTCCATCTCCATTTGTGCCCAAGCCTATTTCAAAAAGAATAATTATGATTTGATAGGAAAACAAGCATTATATTTACATTCAAGTTTAATTAAGAAATGATATTTAGGTAATCATGACTTACAAGCCAACTAGCACAGCTATTAGGATTACACCTAGTGGCCTGACTGAATAAATATCGAGCCTGCTGATATCTATTTGCTTTAGCTTCAAGCAGTGCAAGTGTTTGGTATATATACTCATTCTGTCCACAATACTGAAGACCTTTAGCAAGCAGATTCCTTGCCTTTTGAATATTTCCCTGCTTTAACTCTAGCACAGCCCATCCATGCCAAGCAGCAACATGCTTCTTATCAGCAACCGTGGCAGCATCAAACAACTGTTTTGCTCTCCTGATATTTCCCACTTTCATTTCAAGAACAGCCCAACACTGCACAAAGAGAACTTGCACTAGTTAACTTCAGTACAATGCAAGTCAAAATGCAATAAATCATAGTATTGGAAACAATCACTCCCATTCCTAATGTTATTGTCAGCAGCTGAAAGGTCTCTACATCAGGTTTAGCAGTAAAAGCCTAAAGGCCTTAGGCATGCCAGGGTGTGTAAGATGTAAATTATAGCCATGTCTAATCTTAACCGTGATTTTAAATAAGATGAAGGGGCCTTTAAATGCACGAAGGACTCTTATGCAGGAAGTTTATCATCGAGTATGAACTAAGTAAAAAACTTAATATGTTGCTAAGTATCGCTAGCCAGAGGTAACATGCACCATGCATCAGTAATTGTCAAAAGTTTACTTTGAAAAGAGTTTAGTCAATTTACAGATATGCAGCCTTCCTTCACATCAAAGATGTTCTTTGAAGTGGGAAATTTCACTAAACCATATCCTCAGAGTGGGGAAAACGAGGATCTGTGATCATTTCCCCTTGGGTCGAATGATCACATCCTTCTCATCGCTATTCACAGTTTCATGCTCATAATGATGGTGTAGCTAGAAATTTTTGCTAAATAAGAAAATTATCGTCATCCAAATCCAGGTCCATTAAGATGCCATGATTAATAGTGAGAATTGCAAGCACTACAAAACTAAGTAATTCTAAACTCACATCCTTTAACACACTCTTTACTAGGTAACTATATGTTTGGGAAAGATTATATTTCCACAAATACTCTCTTATTTTTCAAAACTTCTACCAGACAAAATTAAACGATTATTTCAACAAAATAAGCCGAACCAAACATGGAGAAGGGCGTGAGGGTCCAAAAGAGTAGTCAATCAGCTTGAGGGTGTGACGAGTGATCATCACACGCAAAATCACATTCCAACACTAACCTGCCAAATGTAGGCATTTTCACCCTGCATAGCTTGGCAACCCGTCTCGTATATCTCTCTGGCTTGACCTGTTTTGGATTGCTTGCTCAAAATCTTCCCAAGTACCACGTAAGGTCGACCATCTTCCGGCCAATAGCTTATACACTTTCATTCCCATTCAAAATAAGACATGAGAACCAACTATCAGAAACACAACCGAATTTGGCACAAAATTTCCAGAAAAACAACTTAAGAAAAAAAGTTCACATTTTCTAAAGTGTGTTCGTAAGTACATGCGGGGAAACTAAAAATGAAGGTATTTTTTTTATTGAAATTAACATGTGACCATAAACATATTAAAAAAACGAGATAAGCACAATGTTTCTTTTTATTATTAAGATAATAATATAATGTATTGATATCATTAATTGCTAAACTTTCTAAATTGATCAGACACCACACCTTCTGAAGTATTGCCTCTGCTTCTTCATAGCGAAATTTTCTAGCCAAAACATTCGCTCTATATATCGCCAAGTCCAAATTCACTGCCAGAGGCCTCTCTTTGGATTCGACCCTCTTCGGCTCAAACATCGGCATCTTCTTCGCAACTTTCGCTAGCCCGGCTACAATCGAAGAACCCTTTGGATCATTGTTCTCCGTCTCACACCTTTCTTCCACCTCCTCGTCGGAGTCTTCGCCGGAAAAATCTGTCATCGGCCTGCGAACCACGAGCGCTTCCTCAAAGCTTGAGTCTTTTGGTAAAACGGCATTCCGGGAACTTAGTTCGGAGGAAAGGGCATTTTTTTCCAGCAACGTGGTTGATGAGTCACCGAGAGAGCAACATGGAGCAGGTGCAGTGAGATGGGAAGGAGAAGAGTGTAGGGGTAAATTGGGTACTTTAGGGGTGAATTTAAAATGATGGCTAGGGTTTTTGGACTGAGTGAAGAAAGTGAAGTTGGAAGAGGAAGAAGAAGAGAGGGCGTTCATTTCTGGTTAACGGAGTAAACTGTTTCCTGGTTTTACGTACAAAGCAATTGCGGAAGAAAGAAGAAGAAGCAGGCGGAAATACTATAATAACCCTATATTAAACCAGTAAAATTTTCAAGTGGAAGGGTATTTCAGTAACTGTACATGCTATGTGTCACTGGACTGAAACTATCCACGTAACTATATGGCTTATGTGGCTGAGCCCTTCATCCGAAAAGCAGATTTCAATGAAACGTGTGGCTTCATGATTGGCAACTGTAGTCTGGTTCGTGATTTTACAAACAGATATATCAGAAACGATGAGTGAAAGGGGAATAACAAATAAAAAAAATCAAATTAGTGAGTTTTCTTACACAAAACTACAGACAAACAACACGAAAAATGATAAATAGAAATACTTTTATTATTAATCATAATATTTTATTACATTAAATGAAACGATGAGTGAAAGGGGAATAACAAATAAAAAAATCGAATTAGTGAGTTTTCTTACACAAAACTACAAACAAACAACACGAAAAATGATAAATAGAAATACTTTTATTATTAGTCATAATATTTTATTACATTAAATACGATTAAATTAAAAAATAAAAATATTATAAAAAATTAAATTAAATATTAAATATAAAGAAATTACATAAAAATCTGAAAATAATAGTTTTTAAAATGTTTTTGTTTAATATATTTCTTTATTAAAAAAAATAAGAACAATACCTTTAATATATCATATTAGATTTTACAGATTCAAAAATCAAATTGAATAAACCATTTTCCTATATCATTATTTAATTTTGAATTTTTACAACAAGATGATAAGTGTAGTTAAATAATTATATATCAATGTGAAAAAACCCTGTCTTAAAATTAACATATAAATAATATGAAAAATAACCTCTAATTTGGTCTTTTAAAAAAAACTTTTCAAATAAAAATGATTTTTAACAGATTATAAAATGTAACAACAATTTAAGTGTGAAATTTCCAAGCGTTTTTCAGCTATTAAGGGGTGAGCTAGTTCTTATCCAACACCTTAGGTTGCTGTAAATTGCACAGTAATAGATCACGTTCATCGCGATACTTCTATCAACCAGATAGGTCAATGCAGAATCGAAACGGTGTGTGAACCCCAGCATGTGTGCCCCCTGAGAAGCATCAGAAACAGAAAGATATATCTAACGATTCTATAACCTGTTCCTTTATTATATCGTATGTCTTTCTTGCAATTTAATAGTGACGTCTACTGCTGATTAAAGACTGAAAGAGGGTTTGATTGTAGTTCCAGATACAGCTTTGATGTTCCATTTGCCACTTGCCCGGAATTGTTTCTCCTTTGTAGACACTCCCTTTTCTACCATTTCACTTCTGTGTAACAATCTAATAGACAATCAACATTGTGAATGCATGTATACAAAAAAATTTTAACTTATAATAATTATAAGGCATCGTATAGTGACTTTTCCTAACACAAAAATATCACATGGGACTAAAATAGTGCAAGTTAAAGGTTGGCATATTGTCAGCAAAAAATGATTTTACAATTAAACAGGAAAAATGAGATGACATATGCATGCAACCATGTCTGCATATCCATGCAAGCCACTCACGAATGATTTACTTGGTGGAAATTTCCCTCTTGTCGAAGTTGGAATAGGCCTATAATATGTACGACAAAGCAAAAATGGAAATTTATTGTTATATTAGAAGATTAAGAGGGTATATATCCTACAAGTTCCTGTGGGATTGCCACTACTCCCCCATAACTTTTTTTTCTATAGCTCAGAAATTATGGTATTTTATACTATCTCACTGTCTCTAGATGCTAGTTCATCGAATTCAGAAGCTTATTAAAGAAAAGAAAAGAAAGCAGTGGAATAGAATTTTGGAATTTGAGAAAAGCATGAACTGAGGTTGTGGAGAAAAAGAAATGTGTAATTTACATTTTGACAAACAAAAGGGTATTGAGTTAAACTATCGAAGGAATTCACTTCCAAGAAAATCAGCTGCATAGATTAGACAATAGAAAGGACGCTCAATCAAATATGTAGCTTACATTAATTTTCGGTTTTTGAGGTCTATATATTAACTCTTTCAATAATCTCTTGATGGCTATGGCTACTTACTAGGAAAAAAAGATTTTAGGCGGTGTTTTAGCATGGTATTTTTCAGCGGTCCTTCAATTATTATTTATTTGCATTGCTTTGATTTGCTTCTTTGGTCAATTAATTATGGATTACTAGTAAAAATATAAATTTCCTTAGACGAGTTGAAGCATGTAATTTAGTACAGGGGTAAAATGTTTGAATATGTACTCTGTAATTTGCCCCGTGATGGGAAATAACTTTTGGCATTTTGCTATTGCAACGAATGGCTGATGTCTTCCTTTTACCCAGGCAAGAACAGGGTAATTTTGTATAAACAGTAATTCGAATTAAAAAATTACATTCATTTTCCCGCTAAGTTATTTGTCTCGACGTAAATATAAGGTGACATTGGAGAAGAAATTTTGTTTGATAAATTCTTAATATATAAAAAGTGCATCATAAATTTGGTCACGCAACTTATTGACACAAATTAAAGAAAATATTTTAACTAGCTAATTAAAAAAATTACAAAAATTAAAAGCTACTTTCATAGTCCCACTACAAACTTTTTTAAATACACCTGTCATTCTTTAAAAAAATTACCCGCGAAAAAGAGAGAGATGGGATGAAACTGTAGGAACTGATGACCTCACCCCCCCTCGACCTGTCTTAAAATATTTGTCTTGATGCATATATGGTCTTAAAAAGTTTTTTACACACACACACAGACAGAGATGGAATGACACTGTTGGAACTGGTGACGTCATCTCCTCAACCTGTCTCAGGTACTCAAAATCTCCAAAACCACATCATCGTTCTTGTACTACATCTCTCCTTCCCCTTGTTGTGTCCTATATTTTTTTTTTTCCATACAGTTAATGAGTTCTTGTTTGGCAAGAACATTGACAAAGACCATAGCATTCTACTACTAACATGACCATCATGAACTACTGCATTCTGTTCTTCCTCTGCTTCATAATACCCCTTGAATTTGGCAACGTGGAAACGCATTCAGGTACATAAGAAAAACATTGTACTCTTCTTTCTAATCCTTCCTTCAATCTTATTTTTACCATATTGAATCAGCAGGTCCCTCACCTCAGATTCTGCATTCTTCCCATGAAGACAAAAACAGGTCCATAACACTGCCTATGAAAGCAGAACATGCACACTCTACATCTAGAAAATTTCTATTGCATGGTATTTAAGCAGTTAACAATTTGTAACTTTTAAGTTTTACACCTGACATGAACTTTTTCTTGCGGTTCCTTTCTAAATCTATGTTTGACCCTTGTCAGGTTCTTGCACAAAAAGAGACATAAGCATTTCACAAAGTAGAACATCTACATCTGGGATTCCACTATACGTTGTGGAAATTGTGAATACCTGTGTTTCGGAGTGTGCTCCATACGACATTCACCTTCACTGTGGCTGGTTTGCTTCTGCAAGAATAATCAACCCCAGATTGTTCAAGAGACTCTCTTATGATGATTGTTTGGTGAATGGAGGGGAACCTTTAGCCTCTGGTCAGATCATCAGATTCACCTATTCCAATTCCTTCATGTATCCTCTTGCATTCAAGTTTGCCAAATTTTGCTAAGTCCAAAATTTCTTGTCAGATAAAAAAAAAAAAACTGTGTGCAGATTGAGCACGGGAATATTACTAGCTCCACTCAAAAGCGAGCTTATTTTTCCCTTGAGAATATTGGGCTTCCCAAGTTAAAAGCTTTTGTGGTGAGGCTGTGGCTGCATGTTGCATTCAATCTTAGAGTTCTGCTTATTCTGTAGGCTGTGTGTTCTTGTCTGTCTTTTGCTTAACAAGCGAGCAAGGGAGAGAGTTGTCCAGTGCGCACAGTTGTAGAAAAGAGTTTGACGATACTTTGTAAATCAGCATTAAACGTTAATTCGGTAGGGTCCTCAATATTCAGCCTAGTTGACGCCTCAGATTCTGTCAAAAATAAAGGATGCATGGAATAGCTAAGATGCCAAATTTGTCTCTTCTTTGTCACAAGACAAGTAGACAACGGGGAAAAGGGTAAAAAACAGGATCGGGATCCAGTAACATGACCTTTATCTTCTGTGTTTTTTCATTTTCGTTTAAGCGAATTATTTCGCTTAAACAAAAATACAAAAATAACTGCACATAAAAACTGTGTTCGCGCCAAAAAAATAAGAGGATCCCGATCAAAATTGCGATAAATTTTTCCAAAATCACTAATAATGCGACACGTGTATTTTATAAAAAAACACATGGCAAAATGTGAATGGCCGCAACTATATGGTCATGGTCAACTCAAAAATTTCTCGTATTGCACCATGGATATGGTACGAATGTCAGATACCATGCTATACAGTGAGTAAATGTAATTTTTTCAAAAAAATAAAAACTAATTAAATAAAATACAATTACTTTTATCAACTTATTTTTTTAGTATAGTAAATATTTACATTAATTTCTTGTTATTATTTGATTTTAACCTCTCAAGATTGTTGTAAAAAATCATAGTTAATTTTAAATAAAAATCATAACTTTAATATGTCTAAAAAATATATATTAAGAGATTTAAAATAACACATTGTAGATTTGATATTGAAATATTCATATAATATACTTATTAAATGTCTGGTATGAATTGTTAAATTAAAAATATAATAAATAATATAAAAAAATATTTATTAATATATAAGTGGACAAAATTTAAGGTGCTAAGTATGATTTGGAGAAACAATTTTGGATAGTCAACAATAATGGGATTAGTTTTTTTATATATAGTACTTAAAAATTGTACATACTGAAATATAGTATTTCTTGAAAAATTACAAAAATATAAAATATAAAAAATTGTTTATGATAAATTTTTAAAAAAATTTAAAAAATAAAAGTTGTTAATGACTATTTTAAAATAATAATTGAATATTCAACAAATAAAAAAAGCAGTCAAAAGTTAGTAAATTTTTTGTCGTCGTGAATGACAATTTAAAAAAAAAATCATATCTCTATATGATAATGATCACGATGAATCATATTTATATTTAATGACAATTTAAAAAATCATATTTCAAACAAACAAAAATTTGTAACTATGAATACAAAATGTCTTTCGAATGTTAAAAGAAAATGATAAGTTGTTAATTTTAATATCGGATGTATTATGTATATAATAATAAAATAAGTATATACTTTTAGTTTGTATATTTCAATAATTATTTACTTTAGTTATTTTGATTTTGTATTTTTGTAAATTTGTGTTTAGTATCTTTTGTTGAAGTAGTCCAATAAAAATTTGGCGTGTGATAAATTTTTAATAGATCACTATATGATAAAAACTAAAAAAGCCACGAAAACATAAAAATTAAAATTAAAAAAATATTTTAAAATAACTAAACTAAAGAATGCATTAAAATATAAAAATATATATATTTAATATTAATACACTTCATAAAATTCCAACTTGAGATGTAAAAAGAGAAAATAGTAACCATTAAACCGTGAAGCAATTACTGTAAAGTTATTTTAAAATACTTTGGTTTTTAAAAAAAAAAATCAATTATGACGTGATTTTACTCATCTAAAATATAATTTTTTACAGATAGTTGCAACCTAAACCAAAATAAAAAATAAAAAATGAAAGTGGTGCGTCAATCACTTTTCTTTAGGAATCTGAATTAATAAACTTCATTTGTCACTTTCCGGCAGGAATCTTTATTAACGAACACATGAGCATCATCACCACAGTTAAATTAATACCACTACCAGTTACCAGGTAGAACGAAACAGGGCACGTGACAGAACCGGTCATGCGCAACCCGATGGACTTCACATCCAACCCCTTATTTCTCATCATCTTCGCCGTCACCATCCTCTATGCGGCCTACACCTTCCCCAGGCCCCAACTGAAGCAAACCAACCTCGTTTTCTACGTCCACGACTACTTCACCGGCCACGACTCCACCGCTGCCATAGTAGCCGGAAAGGCTGGACCCACCTCTAAAATCCTACACTTTGGCACCGTGGCAGTCGTGGATGACCCAGTAACGGAGGGACCCAGCATCGAGTCAACGCTGATTGGTAGGGCCCAGGGCATGTACGTTAATTCGCGGCTTGATGGCAAAAGCTTGTACATGGTTTTCTCAGTGACTTTCACGGATGGTGAGTTCAAAGGAAGCAGCTTGGAGATTCAGGGATCCGATATCTACACGATGAAGGAACGAGAATTCGGGGTTGTTTCTGGCACTGGTTATTTTAGGTTTGTGAAGGGGTATGGGGTTATGGAAACAGAGTTCATCGACGTGGCTAATCTCAGAGCCATTCTTAAGCTCAGTGTAACGGTCAAGCATTATTAGGAAAACTCGTGTTAGGCTTTATGGGCTTTTATTTCTGCTGCCGAATAAAAGGGGAAAGGAAACTTCAAGTGGTTTGACAATTGATGGCAGTTTTAATATCACTGATCCGAAGCTCTATATGATTGTTCTGAAAAAAATATAGTGATTCAATGTTTTTTTATTGGATTAACTTGTTGCGAGATTATATCTTTTCTCAAATTAAAAAATAAAAGAAAATTTTCCTTGCAATCATACCCAAATCCAATGTGCAAAAGGGATTGGATGATGGCATTGAAAATCTTCAAACAAAAACCGGTATGTGATAAGGGGTCTATTTCAATTTCTTGGCCCAAACTATGCACTCCGCTACCCTTCTTTCACTTTAAATAAGAAACATATAATCACGACCAATAATAATAGTAATATAAATAACTACTTAAAAGATTGTGTATTTTCTCTTCTTAAGTTTGACAATTTAAATTATATCTCATAGTTCTTTTTTTTTTTTTTTTGTAATAGCTAAATATTCTTATGTCATAAAAATGACAATTATGATAATTATTTGAATTGTGTGATAAAGTATAATTAATTTAATTACACATATGATTATTGCATGTTCTCTCAAAATAAATTCGCAAGAGGATGCATCGTGTACTTAGATAGAGAAGTTGGAACCCATTGATATCGATGTAACAAAATATCAACTCCAAAGACGAATGAGAGATAACTCATCTCAATGTGATGAGCAACGTTTTTCTCACAATGCTTATAAAAAAAATATTTAATGAGAAATAAAATTTATAATCACATCAAATAAGATTGTGAACCCTTATCAAGCACAGAGTAAACGCAATCCATTATATGTCATTCTTATCAAAAGTCTAATATCCATAATAATAACTAAATTACTTTATTACTATATTTCACAACTAATATTGTGGAATTTAAATAATCACATTATTAATCTAAAAAACAATTTTGATAAAAATTTCAGCATCGTCTATCTCGAATAATATTAATTTAATTATTATAAATAAATTAAATATACAACAAAAATGTGACAAAAAAAAAACTCCCAACAATATATGTGTATAATTATAAGATTTTAATCAGTGCTACAATTAATTACAAATTTTTATTTATCAGTTTGTTTACTCAGTGATTAATTATTGCAATTATTGAAATTATTTTTTGCAAGTATTAATAATTCGATTACAATATATATATATATATATATATATATTAAAATTACAAATAAATATAAAATTACTTATTATACTGTTCTTATACATAAAATTAACTAATAATTTTGAAAAAAAAAATAGTAAGGATCCAATATTATATTACATAACTTTATTTGAAGAGTTAAATTGTTTTTATATCTCAAAATAGAGTTATTTCAGTTTAACTTATTATAGTAAATACAATTGTGTTAAATATTTTTAAAAAATAATATGATAATAATCATACTCAATTTAAATAAAACAATTTTATGTAAAAATATATAGTATAAATATTTTGTATATAGTAATAATAATAAATATAAGCTTAGTATTTTACATATATCACAAATAGCTAAATATATACACTATTTATATATTTAAATTAAATTTATAATTTTTATTTATTGATTCGTTGACTGCAACATATAAAATAAAATGTATATAATATTTAATTAGTGTTAAAAACTTGAAAATAAAAGGAAAAAAATTAAATAACTCAAATTAGAACTTAATTTATTACAGTTAATAAAAATATTTATATATTATAAATTATATTTTACTTATAAATATTTTAATTAATATATTATATATTAAATTATTAAATGCATCTACTTTCATAATAAAAAATATTTTTTATAAACACAAAACTTATAATGAAAAAGAATGTAAGAAAATTTAATAATTAATGAATTAAAAAAATTAATTTTATGTTTAAGAAAAAATTTAATAATTTCTTTTTATAAATAAGAAGAAACATAACATATAACAGAGATAGTATTTATGAAAAATATAAGACATAATAAAAAAAAAATCTCACACCTAATTCATCAGAAGTGAAGTAAGAGGTTATTAAAATGTAGATGCTGCACTGATGATTGGTGGGCTTAAAAAAAAATAAAAAAGACGAAACTCGTGCGAATTATTTTAATGAAAATGGGGGCCACTTTCTGTTTCATTCAATGTAAAAAAGCAGAGAAAAACAGCAATTTACGACGTTGTTTGGGATTTAATAATCTTCAACCTCCTCGCTTCCAAGGTGCGCCCACGCCAGTTTCAACAATGAGAACGTGTTTGGGATTTAAGTTCAACCAATAAACCCATTTATAGGCCTCACTCGTGAGCTAACTACCACCCGCCACGTCATCACTCTCTGCTTCTTACTTATTCATTCAATATATATAAAAAAGAAGAGTGAACTCTCACTAGCACCCACCCGAAATTCCAGCATTTTCTTCTCCTCAGTGAATCAGCTGCACTCTACTTCTCGCAATCTCCGATCTCCGTTCGATTCCAATTCCCTCCTACTGTGTGAGTTTTCGTTTTATTTCAACATTGATGTGCCTCAATTCGGTTCCTCTCTTTGTTGTTTCTTTGCCGAATTTGAAAACAGAGGGATTTTAGAAAACCCTGCTCATTCACGATGTCATTTGTTTCCCTTTTTAATAATTAAAAGAAATTAACGTTTGAATCGGAATTCCGAGCGATAGAGATCTGGCGAGTTACGATTATGCGGTGGTGGTTGTACATTGCTTTTAGTTCTTCTTCTAACTTAATGTGTCTTGTCGGAGTAGTAGTTTTGTAGTTTAATTTTTGTTTGGTTTTCGATCTCTTATTCTGCGTTGACAACTTGGTTTGGTGTTAACGATGCACTCTTGCATTTCCTTTCTTGCGGGTTATTTGATTTGCATATGAGAGTGAGCGATGTGGTTTGCCTTTCTTGGTAAGTGCTTTAGCTGAATGCGATGCTTTCTGCCCTTTCTCTTTGTGATAAATCCATGCCACGTGGATTTTGGCTTTTGATCTGCTGGTGTTTTGTTACATTACTAGTGCCTATTTCTTTTTCATTGTTTCTTATTCAGTCTTTGATCCTGGAATAGTTAAAGCACATCCTTTTGAATCCTTTTTTTGTGATTGATCCATCTTTTAAAATATAAAGTATTTATTTAGAAAATCGATAGTTTTTAATTTTATTTTTTTAAATTGACAAATTACATTAAGTGTGCTAAAAGAGTGTTTTGTTAGCATAGCGTGTAAAGTCAGTCGGCCTAAAGAGCCGTGTTAAAGAATTTATCGTATTCATTTACTACAAATTAAAATACCTTATTAATGTTGGATCCTGGAGAGTGATGTCGATCTGCATATGTGATTTTGACTGATAAAGAGAGTTTGTTTGTTTAATTTATATATATATTATTTACACTATATTTTAAATGAGTTTTGGTATGGTCCCAAATAGGCAAGTGTTTCTTTATACTCTATCTAGTTTCTACTTCAACCAAATATTGTTTACACTATATGTCATCAGATTGATTTTTTCTAAGTCATGGCCACTGGACAACTGTTCTCTCGTACAACACAAGCGTTGTTTTACAACTACAAGCAGCTTCCTATACAGCGGATGCTTGACTTTGACTTTCTTTGTGGTTTGTATCATCAATTTTATCATTTTAAATTCTTATATTATTCTTCCAGACAGACAGTAACAAATTATAGAGTTACATTACATTAATGTGTTTTTAATATTAATGGAAGATCCAATTTTTTATTCATAGGTAGGGAAACACCATCAGTTGCTGGAATAATTAATCCTGGTTCAGAGGGATTTCAAAAGCTCTTTTTTGGTCAGGAGGAAATTGCCGTCCCAGTTCATGCTGCGTATGTGTGGTTCCTTCATAGTTCACACGTTGTATTTTTTTTCTGCTTTAATTTGAATTTGGTGACTTGAACATAAGCAAAACTTGACTGTTTGTTGTCCTTCAATTTAGCGGTTTCTTTACTATTTGCAACATGCCGCTGAAATACAAAGTAACCTGTAATGAAACTTCTTTTGCAGTATTGAAGCAGCCTGTGCTGCGCATCCTACTGCTGATGTGTTCATCAATTTTGCATCATTTAGAAGGTCCGTATGTTTATCACATTATTATTCTTTTTGAGTCTTGGGTATCTTATTGCATGGTATAATGAGAATAGTATGATATACTTGCAGTGCTGCTGCATCATCCATGGCTGCTTTGAAGCAACCGACAATCAGAGTTGTTGCTATTATTGCTGAAGGTGTACCTGAGTCAGACACTAAGCAATTGATTGCGTATGCTAGGGCAAACAATAAGGTAGGAGAAATGAAAATTGAAATAAACTCTATAGTTAATGAGAATAACATGGAAATACTTAGTGTAGTGCTTTGATGTGCTAGGTTGTTATTGGCCCAGCCACTGTTGGAGGCATTCAAGCTGGTGCTTTTAAGATAGGTGACACAGCTGGAACCATCGACAACATAATTCAGTGCAAGCTCTATAGGCCTGGATCTGTTGGATTTGTTTCTAAATCTGTATGTAGTTATTCATTTTCCTGTTTATGTCATTGTCACCTTTCTCATGCTAAGGATAAATCGTTTTATTTAGTAGTAGTACTACTATGAAAGAAACAAAGAGATTTACCAATAAATATTTTAATGAGCACTTCATCTCGTTGATTTCAGACTGGAAATTGTGGTTGTAGAGTAATGTATCAATTTAATAGTAGTCGCCATTCCTGCACCTCCCCCCCCCCCCCCCCCTTTTTATCTGTTGACAAATAATGGCTCTAGCTACTATAGCTAAGATGGTGTGCTTTCATTCTGCTAGTAAATTTCTTCTCTCTTTCCAAACAGTGTTTTATAATCACAAGAAGTTTGGATTTTTTAGTCTTATTTCTTTTGGAATGGTTTAATGCATACACCAATGGTTTTGAGAGAAGAAAACATTATTGATCTGCAGGGTGGGATGTCCAATGAATTGTACAACACTATTGCTCGTGTAACTGACGGAATTTATGAAGGTACTGTTGAGTTTTATCTTTCTGTATTTCTTAATGAGATAGTTTTGAGTTATAATGTTATTATGTTACTGCTTTAGGCATTGCCATTGGAGGAGATGTATTCCCAGGTTCCACACTTTCTGACCATGTTTTGCGGTTTAACAACATACCACAGGTAAATTTTTTTCACTTTCATCTTGGGTGCTGTATATAATATCTGCAACTCATTAAGAACTGTCCATAATCAGGAGTATATCATTTTCTTGTCAATGATCAGTACGTATTCACATCAAATCTCAGGTTAAAATGATGGTGGTCCTTGGGGAACTTGGTGGGCGTGATGAGTATTCTCTTGTGGAGGCCCTAAAACAAGGGAATGTGACGAAACCAGTTGTTGCCTGGGTTAGCGGAACCTGTGCACGACTATTCAAATCTGAAGTACAATTTGGTCACGCTGTATGTCGCTGGCCCCTTATCTTTGACAAATTTCAATCAAAGCATTTTTTCATAGGAGGGCCAAATTCCTAATGTTTCATCTACACTTGTAAAAATTAGGGAGCTAAAAGTGGGGGTGAAATGGAATCTGCTCAAGGAAAGAATCAGGCACTAAGAGATGCTGGAGCCGTTGTTCCCACTTCATACGAAGCTTTTGAAGCTGCAATCAAGCAAACATTTGACAAATTGGTTAGTTTATCCTGAAAATTTTCATTTCTTTAACTGAGATTTTTACCTTGGCCCATCACCCAAAGGGAGCATTGTTTTATAGAAATTACTTCAGTTTCCTAGATTAGATATAATATCATAGTTGCCTTTTCTTTTGTTAGGTTGAAGAAGGGAAAATCACACCTATTAAGGAGTTTACTCCTCCACCAATCCCTGAGGACCTTAACACTGCAATTAGGAGTGGAAAAGTACGTGCTCCTACTCACATTATTTCCACCATCTCTGATGACAGAGGTATGTTGGGATCCATCAATATTGTAAGTTGTTCCTTGGAAATGAGGGGCCTAGACACAAATTTAATTGTTAAATTAATGTTCTCTTCCAATATTTTCCGAAGGTGAGGAGCCGTGTTATGCTGGCGTACCCATGTCTTCCATTATTGAAAAGGGTTATGGTGTGGGTGATGTTATCTCTCTTTTGTGGTTCAAACGCAGCCTTCCGCGTTACTGTACTCAATTTATTGAGGTATACTATCCATTCTCCAGTCTGCAGGGCTTTCCTTGAATCTTCTTATTCCTTCCTTTCTATGTATGTCCCTCTCTTTAAGTATGTGAAAAAACGTCTAAGCTCAAGTTTTTAAGATACATCACTGTGCAGTCAGCTTTTTATATGGATCTTGGCTTTCAAAGTAAAATTTTGACATCATCTTCTAGCTAATATTTTTGTGATACATTACATTGGTGATTGATCAGATATGTATCATGCTATGTGCCGACCATGGTCCATGTGTCTCTGGTGCTCACAATTCTATAGTAACAGCAAGGGCTGGGAAAGACCTTGTCTCCTGTCTTGTATCAGGTAAATACAGATACAGGCCCCCAGTTTTTCTACTGCTGAAGTATGCTTGGTATCTGACTAAGTGACCGTGTCTGTGCACTAATATTTCCATTAAATGGTCAGTAATGAGCTTCTGAAACAGGTTTGCTTACAATTGGTCCTCGATTTGGGGGTGCCATTGATGATGCTGCTCGCTATTTCAAGGATGCATATGACAGGGTATGATTTGGCATATTTTCAATTTTGATCATTCTACTACAATTCTAACGTGTGGTCCTATGTTTTTTTTTTTATACAGTCTTACACCTTAGTCCTATGTTTTTTTTTATATAGAGTCTTACACCTTATGAATTTGTTGAAAGTATGAAGAAAAAGGGCATCCGTGTTCCCGGAATAGGGCACAGGTAATGTACACTGTGTGCTCATTTACCAATTTATACCCACTCCGTTTTTCTTTAAACGTCTAAATGTATGAACCTCGGTTTTGTTCTGTAAATTAGAATCAAGAATAGGGATAATAAAGATAAGAGAGTCGAGCTGCTGCAGAAGTTTGCACGCACGCATTTTCCATCTGTGAAATACATGGAATATGCTGTTGAAGTTGAAAACTATACCCTCACCAAGGCAAATAACCTAGTTCTAAACGTAGATGGTGCAATCGGGTCACTTTTCTTGGATCTCCTTGCTGGTAGCGGAATGTTCACCAAACAAGAGGTTGATGAAATTGTGGAGATTGGCTATCTGAATGGGCTTTTTGTTCTGGCACGCTCCATTGGGCTGATTGGGTGAGTTTATTGTTGATAATATTATGTGTCACGAAGAGCATTTTTAAATCATGGATATCATTTTATGGGTGTATACACACACACACAAGTTTTAAAAACAATTCTCGGTGTGAAAACATGTAACTCTAAAGTGAGTAGATGTGTTGGGGGAAACAATTGGACTCAATCTCTACCTCCACAAGCACAAAGGAAAAATGCATAGACACGGTATCAGGACTTGGACTAACTCATTGTTCTTGAATTAAAAATTTCAGGCATACCTTCGACCAAAAGAGATTGAAACAACCACTCTACCGCCACCCATGGGAGGATGTTCTGTACACAAAGTGAGGGGCTTTTGTATGACTAGAAGAACTTTTCCATGCTTTAAATCAGCTATCGTTTAGGATATCATGCATTATGGCGATTTTTTTTTAGCTGTTAGACTAGTGTATTTCTATTGGTTTCAGCCATCTTCCATTTGTAAGTTGTATTAAAAAATTGTTTAAGAAATAACTTGGTTAAATTTAAAAAATTTCTTTTTGCCTTGACGAAGAGCATCTCTATTCTATTATGGATTCAAAAAGATCGTTGGGTCATTGACATTCCTCGTACACACGGTAGGTGCAGGTAGCAAAAGAAAATTGGCCATGCTAGTAACGAAGCTCAATTTTCTGGTATTAGGATTACATAGGAAGGAATTTCAAACCTAACCAAGCTGACAGTAATTTTGCTTGGATGTGAGGAAAATATTCAAGGTTGGATAAACATGGTATCCAATGTTGATGAAATGTTATAATAGTAGCAAAGAAAGGAGAGTAAGGATGGAAGACCATCAATTGCATTTACTAGCATGATTCCTCTAATAATATTATGGTCCATATTCGCTAGACATCATCATCGTTCATTTTCTTCTCCTTGTTTCATTAGATTATTACAGCATAAATTCACACGAAAAATTCTTCTTCAAGTGTTTGATCATTTGGTTTGGTTCAATAAATGGAATTTAAGATATATAACGGATATTTTGAAAAAGCTTGGACATTGAATTCTAGATTAAGGAAACATTCCACGTAAAAATATGCAAGTCGTACAGAAAATCAATTCTCATGTAAAATGCGACAAATAACAGTGTAGTTGTATATCAATTATCAGTTCCATTCTCGTGTGAGTAGATCTTCTCATATTATTTAATGGCATAATATAGTCATATTAAAGAGAGAAAACAAATATTTTTTTTATTAAATTGAATTAACGGCTATTACACCTAATTTTAGCGAGGTCTGTATTTTATAATTTTTTTCTAACATGATTATGTACCCATTTGATTTAAAGTTAAGTAGAATAATTTTGAGTCATTGCATATAATTAAAATATATTATAATTTAATTTAAACTACATATTTATTAAAATATATTTTTATTTAAAAATAGATAAACTTTTTTCTATTTAAATCAAATAAGGCCTTATTGCATTACCTTCTTTTCAATGTCAATTATCGTATTTCCTAAAGAGATGAGAATATCCAGATTCTTGATTTTAAAAAATTTGGCTTGGCTGTAAGACTAATAGCCCCATTTATAGCTCTTTTGTCCCTTCATTAACAGCAAGTTGCCATTTTGCCAGGTCTGCCACTGCCAGAGTCTTAAGGTCTCTCTGGTTTGTGCTACTTAACTCCTAAAGAGGCCATTGCTGATAACTGCAGAAAAAAATGCAATTCCAACAGAAAATTGTTAGCTGGTATTTTGAAGGTATTTTAAATAAAATTAAAAATATAAAAAAATTATTCAAAATATATATATATATATATATATATATATATATTTAGTATAGTTTTTAATACAAATTTAATATAAATTTATCTTTAGATTGGTTACCCTTTCCATTATCATAGTATGGAGCTTTCCGTTTCACGCAAAAGCAAACTTTCAAAGCGTGCAATTCAAACTTTATTTATCCTTAGAATGAATACATATTCCTAAACGGGGAAGGATAACCAGATTCCATTTCATTCATTGAATCTTTCACGCCTCCTAGAATTGTGTGCGTGCACTCATTGATGGGCGCCAAACCAAACGCTAATAATTGAACTAGACAAGATATAAAAGAGAAACAGAAAATATGAAGAATTTTCGTATGGTGTGAAAATTTTGTTTTTTGTTTTTATAAATAATTACGAAAATAATATTTTACTATAAAACATTAAAATAAAGTAATATTTTTGCGTGAAAAAATATAGAAAAATATAAAATATTTAAAATACTGAAGAGGTTTTATTAAGATGTTTACACAAGATATGGCCAATATATGATTTTTGGCTTTTTTTTCTGTTACAAGCAAACCCTTTTGCTAGTTTATTTTTGGTGCAAAACTCTCATATTTCTCATTTTTTTTCTCAAATAATTAAGGGTTTTACGTGAATTTAAGAATATAGTTGATTTTAAATGTTTAGAAAGCAAAAAATTTATTAGGCTTGAACAATTTTGTAGGCCAAAGCTTATTGTTAAGTATTCAGTCTCAACAAACTGAACACATTAAATCAATTAAAAATTTGACTTTCAGTAATCAAAATATTATTCAATAATGAAAAATAAAAGGTTTTTAAGTAGAGAAAAAAAATATGCTAAGATAGTAAACACGCAAAATTAATATTATTAGTTTAATGTGTCTTACGTTCAAGTGTAGATGACAATTTTATATTACTACAATATATGTATACATTACTGTTTTATGTTGTATGATAAAAATGTGTCTGTTCAATTTTTAAAATTCATGTACATATAACTCGTAACTCATAATGATAATTTATAATTTTTTATTATAATTTATTAAAACAATAACAGTTGAAATATCATATACAACATATTAATTTGATTATGTACAAATTCAAAGCATTTTAATAATTATTTTCATTAACTTTAATTTTTCTAAATTATCAAAAATTAATAATAATTCTTCTTATTTTAATTTTTTTTTTACTTTACTATTATTTTCTCTTCTTATATTTATGTATCTATATTAGAACTATAAATTATTTTCTTCATTTATTTAGATTGCATATTATTTTTGACGTCGTTAATTGTGAAACTTGCATCATCTATTTAATATAAGAGATTATTCTCTTAAATTCTCTAAACTGCATACTCTTTTTTTTATATCATTAATCATTAGAACTTTTTAACCATAAAGATATAATGTATAATATCCACATTGTTAAGAAGACTTTTAATACAACGATCCATCACGTTGACCTTTCACCAATTTTTAATACTTATATTGAGTCAGTCATTTAAGCGAATATTTTACTTTAATAACACTTATTATGATAAAAGTAAATGTACATCACATTCACTTGTTGAAAGATTTAAATAATAATATAACTGTATTTATCAAAACAACTTTACAAAGCCAAATACATTAATTAAAATTTTTTAATAAGATATTTTAAGATAAAAGTATTTTAACATTTTCTTTAAATTATGATTTTAATTAAATTATTTTTTATATATTTTAAAAAATATGATATTAGGTCTCTCAATTGAATTTTTTTAAAAAAGAAGATGGACGAGAGAAATAATTTTAAGTTTGCATAAATTTATTACGTATTAGTAAAAATTTTATGCTTGTTTTTAGCATAAGTGAAGTTAATTCATCTCTAAATATTATTTTTAAATTTATATTATTAAATAAAAATATTTGTAACAACATTCTTTCATATCAATAGGCTATGTGACTTTTCATTTGTTAAATATTTAATTTTTAATTTTTTATAATTTAAAATCATATAATGTAAATTTAATAATATTTAATACAATAATACATGCACAATGCGAAAAAAAATATCATTAGTAGATTGTAAATTACACTTAGTATCCATTTGGTTACATTTTATGATTATTTTTTTTATCCTTGTATTTTAATACACGTGTAATTATAATTATTTTATTTTTTTCTATTATAATTAATTTAAGTTTAACTATTAATATTTAGCTTTTATAATTTCTAATAATTCAAATAAAGTCTCTTATTTCAAACTTTATTCAATAATTAATAAAAAATAACAGAAATATAAATATTATAAATCTGCGTACATTAAAAAAATGAAGATGTAAAGTATATAAATAAAATTTATAAATTCCTAAAATTAATGAAAGCAATTTTTTGTTTTTGATTTTTTCAATTAACCTTTATATTTGTTTTTCAAAATTACAGAAAAAAATAAACGTAAAATATCCATTATAAAATCTAAAATGTAATTAAGGCCGTATCTTGGTATAAAATTTGTAAGTGAAATTAATTTGGGTATATATTTCACTCATGTTTAATGTTTTAAAATTATTTCTATTAATTTTAATTGCATAAAAATACAATTAATTTTCACTCTTTCTGTAACTCTAAAAAATTTCCCCTCTCGACAAATAAATTTTTTAAAAAATTGCACACTATACTATTGTTTTAATATTTGGAATGAAATTATGCAACCAATTTTTTTTATAATTATAAACAATATAAACGTGATTAATTTAAACAAACAAGTAAATATAGCTAGTTAAGTTCTGAGAAAACAATATATTAATAAAATTACAAAATTTAAACAATTTATTAATCTGACAAAATAAAGTACTAAGGTGCATGATAAAAAGAAAAATTTAACCAAAAATGAATATAATTATTTAAAGGGAGCTAATATTTTTCATATAAATTTGAATGTAAAAAAGCATTTAATAAATATTTAAATAAAATATTTATCTGAATAAACCTTCTATAAATAAGCAATCACTGAATGGCGATATAAAGTGATAAGCGAAAAAAGAAAAGGAAAAGTGATTCGATCAATTGAAAACGTAATTCCTCTCTCTCTCTCTCCATTTTTAGGAAAGAAAAACAGAGTTTTATCTCTTTTAATTAATGGGATAATTCTTTTCTGATAGTTAGATTTGCCTACCTAATAAAAAGTAAACGGGAACTGTGTTCGATTTAGACAGTTTCCAGCAACAAAGCCGTGATTTCCTTTTTGACACGCTTGTCCTTTTGATATTACTTAGCTTAGTTAAATGGCGGCTGTATATCCTTATCACCTCAAAACATTTATACTTTTACTCCACAAACAGAAATACAAGAACTGTGTGTTTTTCCCTATAAACACAGATTACGGTTTTTTCATTTGTTAGTTAGCTTATGGTAATCTTAAATTTATAAATAAGCTATTATTCTTATTAGTATAAAGTCATTAAGCATATCCATTAACTTTTTTATGGACATCGAGGAACAAATTCAATTATATTGTGTGACAGTTCAATGAACATGAACCAAAAATTATAATAAATTATCTTCTTGTTTTCCTTACTCAATATTTCATTAATTGATTTCATTTTGCTTTCCGATAACTGATAAGAAAATTTACAAACGAAGGAAAAAACCCGAAAAAATACGTCCAGTTTTGTCTGAACCAAACTAAAACAAGTGGAGTCTTCTGGAAGAGAAAAAAAACATGCTCTAAAGAATTAAAAAAAAAAGAAAGAAAAAGTGCTGCTGTGGGAATGAACCAATATGAATGAAGCGACTTAAAAGTTAAAACCAAAAAGACAGAGTACGTTAAAGAAACCGTAGCAAACGTCGAGAGGAAGTTGGCAAGGACGCGCTCAGGGGATTGGTCTACTCGAAATAGCAACAGGCTGGTCACTCACACACGCTAGCTCTCGCGTGGGAATTTCTTCCGTTTTTTATTTTATGATGTAATAATAATTAATAACTCATCTTTTGGTCCAAATAGCTGGATTCAGATATTAACGATGAGATGGAGAGCGGAAAGAGAGAGAAATGAAGTGAGAATAAGCAAAACTAACGGGAAGAGCATTATAAAAAAAAAAAATGAAAAATAGATTTAAAATAAAAAGTGAGGGTAAGAAGTAGAGAGAGCAAGAACCAAGAACTCGTCGTTGCTTTATTGACTGTGAAAGAATAAAGAGAGAGAGAAGAGCTTCAACTTGGATTGAAAATTTCTGCAATCTGTTGTTTGTCTAATCAATTTGTTTGTCAGCTATCTCTGTGTGTAGCTTTGAGAGAGAGAGAGAGAGAGAGAGAGAGAGAGAGAGAGAGAGAGAGAGAGATGAATGTTGTTGCTTGTGATTAGTGGAGAAGTTTGAAGAGAGAGAAGATAGTGTGTGTGTTGATAATGGGAACTCCACCAACAGATGAGCTTCTGAAGAAGATCCAGCAGCTAGAGGAGGGACACGCGCACCTGAAGCAAGAAATGTCAAAGCTGAAGCTCTCCGATGTGAGGCACGGCCATCGCCAGAGATCTCACTCCGTTTCTCCGCAGCGTTCAAGATTCGGTGCTCTCTCCAAGAACCGAACTGATGCACCAACCGCGTTGAAGAAAGGCTCGTGTTCCTTCAAACACTCCTCGCCGTTGCAGAGGGAGAGTCGCGGCGGCGATCCTCCAATTCAGGGCGCCGAAGAAGAAGAAGTACAAAAAGCTGGTCCAAACGGTGGTCCTTCCGCTGTTAATTTCACAGAACGCCAATATCTCAATATTTTGCAGTCAATGGGACAGTCTGTTCATATATTGGATCTTAACTCTCGCATAATATACTGGTTAGTCTCTTTGTTTTTAATTTCAAGAATCGAGATAGAAATTTGATATATATGTTGAGTGTTGACTATATAATGTTATATCATGTTGATTACATTAATTCAGGGAACCTACATTAAAACCTTATTCTTGAAAATATATAAATATTGTATATAATTGGGGAATGGTTTTGCAGGAACCGTAGTGCTGAGAAGCTTTATGGTTATACCGCAGAGGAAGCTCTAGGGAAGGATGGGATTGAGTTGCTTGTGGACCCTAGAGATTTTGTCTTAGCCAATGATACAGTGAATCGTGTCATGATGGGAGAGAGCTGGACAGGGCAATTTCCGGTCAAGAATAAGATGGGAGAGAAGTTTTTGTCTGTGGCCACTAATACTCCTTTCCATGATGATGATGGAAGCTTAGTTGGAGTTATTTGTGTCTCCAGTGATTTGCAGCCCTTTCTTGAAATGAGAGTTCCTATGTCAGGTGAGAGAAACTCCGAATCAGATTCAGATGCCCGACCTAGAAGTAGCATTACCAATAAACTTGGCCTTGATACTCAACAGCCGCTTCAAGTTGCTCTAGCGTCCAAAATTTCAAATTTGGTTAGTGCCATAACTTTATGCTTCTGTGATTTTAGTATACCGTGCTGTGTCTTGACATTGGAACCGTTAAACAGGCATCAAAGGTGAGTAACAAAGTTAAGTCAAGAATCTGGACAGGAGAAAATAATGGGGATCGCGAAGGTGGGAACGGTGAAAGTCGTCATTCTGAGCATAGTTTCTCAGAGAGAGAGGATGCTAATTCCAGTGGAGCTAGCACCCCTAGAGGTGATGTGCCACAATCCCATTTTGGTGTATTTTCACAAGTTGAAGAGAAATCCCAGGGAAAAGGTCGAAGAGACTCTGGTGATGAGAGCGAAGGAAAACCTATTCACAAAAGTGTACCTTCTAAGGCTGAGGCCTGGATACAAAGGAAAACATTATCATGGCCATGGAGAACAAATGATCGTGAAGGATCGGGGGCAAGGAATGTTTGTGTTGCTGGTTCCTGGAGACAGAATGATCAAGAAAATGAGTCAGTAAATCCTAAGATTCTTTCTTGTGGCTTGAAGCAAGAAGGCCAGGCAGGTGAAAGTAATCGCCCTAATAACAATGAGGCTTCAGGATCCTGGTCCTCCTCTGTTAATGTTAACAGCACAAGTAGTGCCAGCAGCTGTGGGAGTGCTGGCAGTTGTGCTGTTAATAATAGAGTGGATGTGGACACTGATTGCTTGGATTATGAAATTTTGTGGGAGGACCTGACGATTGGAGAACAAATTGGAGAAGGTAGTCACATTCTTAACTAAAGGGGCAAGCTTGATAACCTAATCTTTTAACAATATCTATGCTTTAACAAAAAAAAAGAAGGTATTTTTATGTTTGAACTGTTGTTCGTTTCTTTCTGAAGCTCTGATGATTTATAGAGCCCATGCTTGGAAACCCAAATATCTTTTTAATGGTGATTATTATGCTTTACCTGTAACTTGTTTCCTATTCACCTCTCTGTTCTTAAATTGCAGGTTCTTGTGGAACTGTATATCATGCTCTGTGGTATGGATCAGTATGTTCTTTTCTCTTCCTGTAATTTCTGGTTTTAATTTCATGCATTATAGAGAATATTTTTTGAGCAATTTACCCCAACTTAAAATTTCTTTGATATTTTTGTGGACATATTTGAGTTTCATATTTATTGATTATGTAAATTGTGAATGTGTTGCAACTGGAATTACTAGCATTTAGTCTACTAAGGTCCTTTATTGTGCTAAATTGAACATTCTTGAGTAAAGAGATCATAGGATTTCTGGTTGGCCTGTGAAATGAGGATGACAACTCTAAGTCTGACAATGTTAGAATGCATCTTTTTTACGTTTGACAATCTACATTTTACTGACTGCAACCCTGACTGATGTCAACTTGTATTCATGTTTTTGCAGGATGTTGCCGTCAAGGTTTTCTCCAAGCAAGAATATTCAGATGATGTGATATTGTCCTTCAGACAAGAGGTATGCTTTCTTTTTGTAGAATTTGCAGATCATGTTTGGCCACAGGTTTCATCACCACTGTTACAGTGGATAGAATCAGCCAAATATGGTATAAAGCCTTACATTCAGTATAAATGATTAGTTTTGTAGCTTGACTGGTCAAACAAAGTTCAATATGGTTGGCCACAGTGAGAATAAGGAAAATTAAACTGGAACAGATAATTATTTTTTATCTTAATCTCTTTTTTGATGATGAAAAAATAAGTTTACGTGGATTGGGGGTCAGGCATGCCACCATACTATTAATTTAATCTTTTATCTATATAAATGGAAGGGAAAAAATATGTCTTCCCTTTTGATTGGATGGTTTTATGTCTTCATTGGTGTATAAACCACACCTTTATCTATTTGTTTAGTCAGTATCTTTTTATTATCCACACCTTTATTCATGAAATATAATAAACCCCTAATGTTGATTTGGTACGGCCCGTGTATATTCTATTCCCTCAGATTAACTGACTTTGTCAGTACTGTTATTGTAACCTCAATTGCATTATATTTTCACGTTTGATAATTCTTATATCATCTTAATTAAAATAATTGGGAAAAATTTTGGGTTAGTGCAGAAACTATTAGTTATTGAGTGGAGCCATAGCCATCAGGATTACTGAGGGTATGATTTAATGTACTCTAGAATTTAGTTAATGTGGAGCTGTACCTTATTCTTCTATTTTTTCATTTCACCTCTTTGGTCACTTTTTTCTTCTGAATCTCCTGAGTTCTTGGCAGCGCCTAAATTTCTTTTGTCTAACATTGATTTGACAACATTTTGTTGAATGAAGGTGTCTGTGATGAAAAGACTTCGACACCCAAATATTCTTCTCTTCATGGGGGCCGTGACTTCACCTCAACGTCTCTGCATTGTGACAGAGTTTCTCCCTCGGTTGGTTCTGAAACTTCCTTTTGACCCTATCATGAGCATTTTTATTCTAGTTTATTATGCTGTGTATAACAAAGTATAGATCTGGGCTGATCATTATCACGTTCATTTGTACTTTATGACTTCAGTGGAAGCTTGTGTCGCTTGTTACACAGAAATACGTCTAAACTTGACTGGAGACGACGAGTTCATATGGCTGTGGATATTGTGAGTATTTGGTAATAGAATTATGGATTACATGATATCTTTTCCTTCTGAAAATAAGATAGACCATTGTTGTGCTGCTGATTTATTTCGGTAGAATAGTGGCTCATTTAGTTTTCTATTTCTTCCTTTTCTTTTTGGTATTATTAATTCATGGGCACGTGATTTTGAATCTGCTGTTGGAAGCGTAAATTCCATTGATATCTTAGAAACCATCTCTCGCTGTGCTTGAGGCATTTTGTTGTATGCTTACAACTTACTCTTTCCACAGGCACTAGGCGTAAATTATCTTCATCATTGTAACCCACCTATCATCCACAGAGATTTGAAGTCCTCAAATCTTCTAGTTGATAAAAACTGGACTGTCAAGGTCTGCTGCTTGTCACTTTTCTATTTATCCTACAATATTGGGTTGGACACTTGTCCTTGATTGCTTATGGATTTCTAGTATCATTTTTGTTAAGCTAGACAATATATTAATCACGTGCGAACTCAACAGGTTGGTGATTTTGGTCTTTCACGTCTTAAGCATGAAACGTTTCTCACAACTAAAACAGGGAGAGGCACGGTAGGCTCGTCTCTCTCTTCTCTTTTTCTTGGACCATAAGATTTTTGATATGTTTGAAATTGTCTCCTTTAAATTTTACTTCTAGAGTCTCAAAATATCTTACTTAACTAGCATTTTTCACTCTGTAGCTTCAATGGATGGCACCAGAAGTTCTTCGTAATGACCCCTCCGATGAGAAGTATGTCCAGGCCATTCTCAAATACTCTCTCTCTCTTCTTATCCACTCATGTTTTTACACAAATTTCAGACTTTGAAATTTGAATATGTTTTTTTGCTGCTTTTTGGGTTGTCAGGTCTGACGTTTACAGCTTTGGGGTGATATTATGGGAACTTGCAACTGAAAAGATACCTTGGGATAATCTCAACTCAATGCAGGTATTGCTTTCATTTCATGTGTATTGCGAACCTTTGAAGATATATTTAAACAAGCAGATGTGCAAACTGAAATGATAGTAAAACTGCAAGAGTGGTTTTCATCATTGTTCTAGCATTTTTTTCCATATTTGTTTTTCCAATACTTAAAGACAAACTATTACACCTTGGGGAATGCAAGGTAGGTTTTTAATCGTGTCTATGGTTTTCAACTTTATTTAGTTTCTGAATTACACTTACTTCAAGACCATAGTGACTGGAAATTTTTATATAATAAATTTTTGCCCCGCTTCATTCTGATATCACATACGAAGACTTTTTTTACGCAACTATGGAATATGGATCACTGTGGGTGCATATATGAACAACTTTTCCTCTAGGAATATTGCAGGTGATTGGAGCTGTGGGGTTCATGAATCAGAGGCTAGAAATTCCAAAAGATGTTGATCCACGGTGGGCTTCTATTATTGAGAGCTGCTGGTATAGGTGTGCATTCTCATCACTTTTGAACTTTCGTACTCTCTGAATTCATATCCAAGCATAAATGTTATCACCCAAAAAAACAGAGATCAATTTAAATTTGACTTGCGCCCTTATTATTGGACTGCTTACCGTTACAATCTTCATATTACTAGCTGTTTCATCAAAGTAAAAATATTTGGCCATTTTATTGCTCTAATATTTTGTATTGTACTTGATGTGGCCTAGGTTACTTTTTGTATTTGTGGTGGTGCATAAGAAATTAGCGGTTGCATAATTGACTTTGGATTGTACTGGAAATGATTTTTTACAGAAATCATTAATCTCATGTTTTTCTATCTTCTTTTGGGTAGTTTTACTCGTTAATATAGAAGTCGATAGGTGGTGCAATTACCAAAGATCTTTTGCCAACTTAAAATTTGTCTATTCCTACCAGTGATCCAGCTTGTCGGCCAACATTCCCGGAACTGCTTGAAAGGCTTAGAGAGCTGCAAAAACGGTATGCCATTCAGTTTCAGGCAGCCCGATCCGCTGGCAAGGAAAGCACCCAAAAGGAGTCCTAGGCTATTTTTTGTCACATGTGGCTGATACTTACGGATTTTTTTTTTATTTTTTTGCATATATTTTACCATAGTTCCTGGAGTAGATGAGTTAGTACAAACAGCTGGTCATGAACCATGTAGAATAGCTGATCTGAGTCCTTCATCAACATTTGCTAAGGCAATATAGAGAAGGGGGATAGACTGATAAAACAAGGTGGGGATTGCCAAACTTTTGATGGTGATTGGGTTAGTCATTTTATTTCTTTTTAGTGGCATCATAAAGCTTCAATTTATTGGTGGTGCTGTATGTTTGGAGTCTTGTCAATCGGATCGATTACCACCCGCATTTGTAATTTTCTATGCAAATGTTTGCGCCACTATTTTAAAGTTGTACAGAAGGTAGCGAAAAGGAGAGAAAATTTTCATTTGACTACATAGATTAGAATCACAAAGTCGATGTGCTTCAGTGTTTTTAGTTAATGTTGGATCTCTATCATTACCCACTTGAAGTAAAAAGTGCAGCTCAGCACGTCAGACAGCCTTTTAAAAGGACCCATTCAGGATTTGATTGGCCTGTTTCGGTTCAACTTATAGAATTAGTGTAGACAAGAACTCGGATATAGATCGTAATTTTCAATTGCAACTACATTAGATTGGCGAACCCTTTTATTAATATTAACGGAACAGTAAATTCTTATTTGCTAATGGATGCTATATTATAACAAGGTATAGGTTAAATAATCAGAAGTGAAAAGTGTTTATTAGGAAATGTTAAAACAGCAGGTTATAATTAAATAGTTTTTTGAAACTTATTTTAAATTTAATAAACTTTATAATTAAATTTATGAATGAGTTCTCGTTAAGTATTTTTGTAAAATAATACTTAATTAAACTCTTGTCAGATGTGTGTACATACAAATTTTCCTTGCGCTCCTCGTCTTCAGATCAATTTTTCTGTTAGGCCTTTTGTGATGAATTCGTTCCAACTCTCAAACGAAGCCTTGGATCTACTTAGGCATAAGTAGTTGAAATGAATACCATTTGAGCAAGAACTATACCATGCATTGCTCATGTATTCAAATTATAACGACTCTGCATTGTGCGCGTGGCTCAGCCAAACGCCCTATCTTACTTCACATGAAAAAGGAAATAGTAAATACCCCCAACACTTAATTTGTTACAAATAGTTTCTAATAGTAATAACATTGTCGAACCTTGTTTGTATAAAATATTTTTGATACCACACTATATGAGCTCTTTCAAGGAGAATATTATTAATAATTTGGATCAATTTTTCCTCCTACCATGTTCCTTGTTAACGAGTGGAAAAGTGACGTGAAGAATGAGATCGTGGAGGGACACATCTTCACATGCAACTAGTAGAAATCTGAAAGAACTTCACTGGTGGGGAATTTACAAAGCCTAATGCAGGACCGAGGTTACTTTTATCACTTGTAAAGTGAAATTATACTTTAAAAGATGAGGAAATTAGTGGGATTCCCCGACAAACAAATAAAAAAGATAACAAATTAATGGCTCTAAAGACATGATGGAGGTAAGGATAAAGAAAAGGCTGCGGTGAACTGTTGCAGCATTTGGAGCCAGCTATGCCTTTTATTGGAATCTCCTTCAATACGGAAAAAAGTAAGTAAAAACATAGTGGACGCTTACTTCCCAACAATGTCAACTTCAACTGTAACACCGAGAATGACTCTATCAACTTGGAAGTAACATAATGGAAATAACTAGTTGCACAAACTGTACCGCACAATAATTTACAAGAGCTTGTGAAGCGCAAGGCTTTCCATCTGACTAGTTGAGAAATTATTTTGCACTCAACTTGAAGATGAAGGTGCAACGTGCTGAACTAGCAAAAATGAACTTTTTATGTAAATGACAAACTTAGAGATACAAGACACCAACTACTCCTATGTCTAAGATAGCACAAACTATGCATAGATGATCTAGGGATCAAGATCATGGGGATCTTTTCACTAAATTAGTCTCAATGTTTTGTTGGATTTTTTTTTAATTTTTAAATAGCCCTTACTGTTTTTAAAATTATCTATTTATATAAGATTTTAAACTTAATTAAAAAAATGATAGCTTAGAAGAAATAAAAGTGGTATAGCACATATTTATGCAATGCTATAATAAGATTACGGAAAAAAAGTATTTTTATATGAAAGTATAATAAAAAAAATAGTACAAACATATTTTAGATGTTGTTCAGTTTTTATTATAATGTGAAAATTTTAACCAAACTATATTATAAAATAGTTTTTAAAATTTTAATATAATTATATTTCATTTTTTAAAAATTAATTTAGTGGTTTGAAAACGGTTTAAACACTCTACTCACTTTATTGGCTAAAATGTTTAGAAGAAAATCCCTATTTTAATTCCAAAAATCTAAGTGTTGGTATGTTTGTTTTTCCATTTTTAAAAGAGTTTTTAATTTTTTTTTTCTAAATATAGTATAAATTTATACTATATTTAGAAAACAAAATTGAAAACTCTTTTTAAAAGAGAAATCAAACATACCAAAAATTTGTTTTTTGTTTTTACTTTATTTTTTTTCTAATTTAGCTTTAAATTTTTAAAAATAAATTTTCACTTTAATTTGTTTTAGTATAAAATAACTATAAAAAAGACAATTTTTAAAATATAAATATTTTGTACAGTTAGAGTTTAAACTTACTAACACGTGTAACTTCGGGGATTAAAACGAGGGTTAACACGAAAATCTAGCTTCAAACTATATATGTAGGAGAAAAAAAAACTCCTTCTAAATCCAGGGTCCTTAGCCATCATGAGGCATTAGTTTACTGGTTCTGACTGCTTATATTAAGCTCAATGTCTGGCATAAGCTTGTAAGCTACAGTAAAGTCAGTGCCTAACATTCGATTGGAAGTAATAATGTAATCCTGTAAACATTAAAACGTGTTTCAATACATGGAACCTAAAAGATTTCTGAAGAAATAAGGTGTTGATATTCAGATAAGTATCATCTTGTGAAACATTGGCATTTGATCATTCCCACTAGGTCTAGTGAAACCCATTGTCATGTAAAAGCACCGTAAGGTATAACTAGCCCAAAAGTTTGGGCCTCATTTTTCGTGATCCATGTCTTTTGTGACAACGATAGATGTGTATGTTTTCAAAGCATAATGCTCGAAAAAAAAAGCGTATTTGGAAAATCAAACTAATTTAATATTTAGTTAATAAATTCATATCATGTGATATTTTGTTATACTTTAAACATCAAACTCATTAAATTATGTTAAACAGAAAATATTTTGATAGGTTATACTAAAAAAATTATTAAAATGTGAAATAAAAATTGATAAAGTCACGAGTTAGTTTTGTAGATTCAAATAATTTTCTTACAAGTTCCTACGAATACACTCACAAATAAACACAAAGTGTACATTTGTTTAAAGGGATATGTGCCACGTTGATTAAGTAACGTTTACATATACGGTCGTAATTCTTGATGAAGCTAAAATAAAAATGGCTAAGCAGAGTCATGTGACTATGAATATATAGTCCATGACGTACACAAGACACGAATGACAACGTGTCTTCTCAATTTAGATTATTGAATTATACATAATATTTTATGATAAACATTCTATCATGCATAGAGTCTGTTATAAATTTTACCATCTGTGCCAACACTGCTAATAATGGTATACTGTGCCTTTGCATTTCAATTCTGATGTTCATGTTCTCATGTCGTTTGCTGAACAGCTAGCTTCATTATGGATTTAGGTTTTCCACAGGGTTTGGTAGTTGATCACATGCCACTGCCTCCAGCTATTCTCAATTAATCAATACCATCTTTTTTCTTTCATGTTGAAAATGAAGGTAAGTGACTACTAAAATATGTATTTGTTTTTTTCTAATCCTTTTATTGGTTTATTTTGTTGTACTTGTAAGGTTACCTATATATTTACAAACACACACATGTCACCATTTAAATATACATACGGAGAACCATAAATCGAATAAATGTTAGGGAATTTGTATTATTAATTAATTATGTGCAAAAATTCAATAATTTATTTCTTCTTTTTGCCATTCAATAAAGCATTGACGACAGGTAAATAAAAAAACAGCGGTATGGACATTTTTAAAGGTTTTAACAACATTTTAGTCTCAATTTATTTGTTTTCAATCTCTTATTATGTATAACATATAAGAATAAATAGGGACTACAAATAATAAGCAGAGATTAAAAATAACAAATAAAGATAGGAACTAAATAAAAAAAGAAAATAAAAAGTTAGTCATGCTTTCTTATTTGTATAGCTTTTAAATCACGGGTAAGCCAAAATAAAGAGTACACTAATGGTTAATATTTATACATTTTAATCAAATAAAGTTAATTATAAGTATGGAACTTATAATTTTAAAAAAATATATATACATATATTTATATGCCCAGAGTAATTTTATTTTTCATCTAAATAATATCGCACACGCACTCTAAATAATTGTATGACCGAAAAAATATACATTGAAAAATATAAGAGACTATTATCATGTCCCTTTCAATAATTCTATACTCTAAATGTAAGAAATAAATAATTGAAACTATCTTTATCAACGGAAGAAATAAGTGAAACTATAATTTTCAACGGGATTTTATCATAATTTTCCAACAATTATATATACTTTAGAGAAAATTTTATATTCAATTTCAACTGTTTAATATTGTATATTTTTTAATATTGGTTTATCTAATATGTGTTCAGGAAAACACAATAAGAATTTATTAAATAATAAATTTTTATTAACAACTATAGTATTTAATATTAGCAATGCATTAAATCTAGTGATATTATATAAATTTCAATAAAATTTATAACATAAATATTCTTATTGTGTATTCTTTAACACACGTTGAAAAAATGAGTTAAAAAAAAAACAAAACGAGGGACATTTAAACTAGTTTAAAATGCTAGTATTTGATTTATAACGATATTTTTTTATTTGTCAACATTGTTATTTGTTTGATAAACAACTTTCTAAGTATCAATTTTGAATTCTTATACCTTTTTTTCTTATATTTAATTTCATCTCTATTTTTTTTCATATTCTTTTATCAATTATTTTACTCTTTGTTATATTTTTTTAAATTCTTTTTCACCTATTTCACGCCCCTGTATAAGATATGAAATTAATAAATTTTTTTTGTGATAATATATATCAGAATACGCCTGTTACTACGTATTTATGGTGAGACAACATGTACATGTGCTGGGGTGGCTGCAAGTCCTGAGAATGCTACTATGTTTATTAAAACAGGGTAAACGACTTCACTTGGATACTGAGATGGCTGAAAATGTAGCTCACATGCTAATGCCAATGCTAATGCTAATCCCATATATGGTTTTGGACTGACAAATCATACACATGGTGGGGGCAAGGTTGCCATTTATGGGTGACAAACACCGTATAAAGACGTGAGTTTATTGATCAATTCGTAACTTCGATTCCATAGTTGTATTTTTATATTTATATTTCTTGTATTCATATTTTTTATTTTATCATATCATCTATTGTATTTTCATTTTCATTTTCATTTTTCATTCATTTAACATTTAATTATTTAATGTGAATACAGGAAATGATTACGTAAAATCACTTAATTATTGTAAAAATAACAATAATAAAATAAATTGTTAAATTTTATTTAAATGGTTAAAATTAACAAAAGAAATATAATTTTTAAATAACTGTGATGACTAATTAATTTTTATTTTTAATAATTTATGTATAGATGTGTGATTTAAATTTAAAATTCTCATAGTAAAAATTGTTCTTACTGGACAGTTCCCAGTGAATACAATTAAGCCAATCACAGTAACTTGTACAGAATTTTGATACGTACAGCCTTCACTCGGACTAAAAATTAATGGCTCCGTAAGATTGTATCCTTGCCTCGACCAGTCACGTGGAGCATTGAATATTAAAATAAGGATTATGTTATTTACGTATCTTTTGTTTTTTGCCGTAATAAGTATTATATATATGCATATAAATGGATTTTAATAAAAGAAATTGAAGAATTGTTGTTAAAAATCTAGTACGTCTCTTCATTAATTATGTCCTCTGTATTATTCCGCTCCAATAAAATATTTTCTGCTCTTAATTTATAGTTTATATAAGTAATTATTATGATTATTTTATTGGTTGATTTTAATATGTTAATATTTAATCTTCTCGAAAAAAAAGGGCAAACTCCGATAATTAAAGCGCTCAAATTTTCCTTATAAGAGGTGTCTACTTATTTAGTGTTCACTCAACTTCCGTAAAGATTACTTCATATATATAGAGGATTCATGTGAGAAATTTAAGAAAAACATTTTTATTTAAATTTTTATTATGATATAGCGAAAGGACTTTCACTTTCTCAATGTTAGTTCTGAGCAATTCATTAACAATTCAGCTTGTAGTTATTACTGCTACTTCACTGTACTAAAAGACTGAAGAAAGTAGTTGATGGTTGGGACATGACAATTATGAATTCACCGGCCAATAGAATTGTCTTCCAAACAAGTTTGAAAATTTGATCATTCTTGATATATAAGACGCTCATAAGTCTACGTTTATTTATGATACGTGTGCTCTCCTTCTATTATAAATAAGTCCAAGTGAAGCTTTCTCACTACAAGCAAAGCAAGCGTTTTCAGTTCTATTTTCTCTCTTTGTGCAAAGATGGGGAAATTACAAAACTATATTGGACTGCTTGCTGTGGCATTTGTATTGGTGATTGGAGTAGCGGAATGCAGAAAAATTAAGGAGAATGAATTAGTTGATGGCTTTGGAGGAGATGGATTGGGTGGTGGTGCCGGTGGAGGTTTTGGTGGTGGTGCTGGTGGAGGAGGAGGACTTGGAGGTGGACATGGGGGTGGCATTGGAGGCGGTGCAGGCGGGGGTTTCGGAGGTGGTAAAGGTGGTGGTGTAGGAGGAGGAATTGGAGGTGGACACGGTGGTGGAGTAGGGGGAGGAATTGGTGGTGGTGGAGGCGCAGGAGGGGGTTTTGGAGGTGGTAAAGGAGGCGGTGTAGGAGGAGGAGTTGGAGGTGGGCATGGTGGTGGTGTAGGGGGAGGTATTGGTGGTGGTGGAGGCGCAGGTGGAGGTGCCGGTGGAGGCTTTGGAGGGGGTAAAGGTGGTGGCGTAGGTGGTGGAATTGGAGGTGGTCATGGAGGTGGAGTAGGGGGAGGAATTGGTGGTGGTGGAGGTGCTGGTGGAGGTGCCGGTGGAGGTTTCGGAGGGGGTAAAGGTGGTGGTGTAGGTGGTGGAATTGGAGGTGGTCATGGAGGTGGAGTAGGGGGAGGAATTGGTGGCGGTGGAGGTGCTGGTGGAGGTGCCGGAGGTGGCTTTGGAGGCGGTGCAGGAGGTGGTGCCGGTGGAGGCTTTGGAGGCGGTGCAGGTGGAGGTGCCGGTGGCGGCTTCGGAGGTGGAGCAGGTGGGGGCGCCGGTGGTGGCTTTGGAGGTGGTGCTGGCGGTGGATTTTGAATTTAAATATATTCTTAGTAGCATACTCTATATTATGCAATGTAATGGTCATTCATGGAAGCAGGCTCGTACGTAATAATCTAATATATAATATATAGATCATTGAAATAAATTAATGCAAGTTTTCTTTCCACATTTTCTGGTTGATCTTCTCCTCTGGCTTTCAACCTGAGTTAACCTTTCATAATTTACAGACTATACTAGCACTTTATAAAACGATAGGCTGGCATGTTTCTGGTTTGACACAAATCAATTTAAATTGTATTAAGCGCCCAAAAAAATATGGCACTAATAAACTGTACAAACTATAGAGAAATTATAATTATATAATAAATTTGTATAATTTTTTTATAAATTATAAAAAAATGTTACAAAAATTATTATAAAAATATCAACTCTAAATTATACGTACCCCTGAAACTGATCTTTTAAAACTTGAATTCCATCATAGACTCTGCATACAAAGGCATGGTAGAAGGTATAAATTACTCTGTCACGACCACAAAGCGCGTACATAATAATCGATGTTTATTCAAATGAAATAGTACCTAACATGTAGGGAAGCCTACTTGATATCTGCGTCTCACTTCACATATGCAGACTGCAGAATGTGATTATAGCCAAGATGGAAGCAATTATTTCTTCGCTCTATTAGGAGATTTTCATACATGCAAAATTACTTTTTCAATTCCCAGATTTTCAACATGTTCGGGAATATGTTTTAAAGGATAATAATACATATTTTACAGTTTAAAATATATTAATGTGATTAAGTGTGCACTTTTGGAGATTTTGATACGTTGTGCATGCCACCAGCATATGATGATACTAATGGAGAAAAATATGATGACCCTTCCCTTTCCTAGGTACACCCAACCAACGACATATACAAAGAATAGTCGTGTGTTAATCTAAATTATCATGAAATGTAAAGAGTGAGAGATTCTTGTTTATCATGAAATGTTTTGCACTTGGTTTGATTAAAGCGAAAATAAAACTACGGTTAATTTTACTGTTAATCTAAATTATCTCTTGTCTCTTTTCTTTAAATATATTTTATTTATTAATTAATACTATAAATATTGAAATAAACATTTTAAATGGAGGGTTGAGGAATGAAAACATTTCTTCTATACGTAACAATTGAGTGGAGTCGGACATTGTTGTCGCTCTCTTAAAACACGAGAGACCGCAAATAATTATTTATTAAAAATGTATAAAAATATAGTTCCGACGTGTCTTCGATTTAAAAATGGATTTTTTATTTAAATATTACAAATTTAAAAATAAATTCTTAAATTATGAGTATTTTAAAATTATTTTTCTATACGGAGTGATTTTGTTGATGTAACATATGTTTCATCAAAAATAATATATTTTTTTAAATAATAACAAATTTTATCACCATAAATATGAAATGACCATATCATAATATGTGTTAGTATTTAGATGCTTTTGTAATATTTATAAAAAATTAAAAATTAATTTTGCCATAAAAAGTAAAAATTCATAAATAATGACACGTGTTACAATATTATTGAATTTTATCATAAAAATTATATAACTTACCAAAAAATTAACACATGTCAAGATTTTTAATGCAAATTAAATATAGAATTTTTTTAATTTAATATAAAATTATAATCACATCATAATTAAATAAAATTAACTAATATTATACTTGATTTTTTTTATTTACATACAAATTTAAATTATATTTTAATTAAAAAATTAAAATCACTAACATAATTAAGCATAATAATTTTTATCATTAGATACTAATTTTAATTACATTAATTAAAAAATTACTAACATAATACCAGCAACAAAAATTTATATTTACATACAAATTACTAATATAATCACAATATATAATTTATTTTTATTAATTTTAATAACATAATCAAACAAAATCTAATTTAGATTTACATATAAATCATAACCACATTTAAAAATAAAAATTAAATTACTGATATAATACTATTTTTTTTTATTTACATACAAGTTCCTAACGTAATCACAATACATAATTTATTTTCACTAATTTTAATAACATAATCAAACAAAATTTAATTTAAATTTACATACAAATCATGATCACATTTAAAATAAAAATTAAATTACTAACATAATAGTAATTTGTATGTAATATATAATTTTTTTTTATTATATTAGTAATTTTTTTATTTTAATGTAATCATAATTAATATTTAATAATAAAAATTATTATACTTAATTATGTTGACAATTTTAATTAAAATATAATTTAAATTTATATGTAAATAAAAAATATTTTTAGATATGCTATTAGTTAATTTTTTTAAAATTTTATTTAATTATAATGTAATTATAATTTTATAGTAAAATAAAAAAATTTATATTTAATTTGTATAATGAGTTAAAATCGTGTTAATTTCATATAAATTATATAATTTTTATAACAAAATTTATTAAAATCGTTACACATTTCATATTTATAAATTTCTCATTTTTTATTATAAAATTAGTTTATAGTTTTATCATTGTAAAATTATTTAAATACTAAATTTAATTTAATGTGTCATTATCCGATTATTTCACACTTCTCATGATAATTTTTTTAAAATTATTTTTTTCTAGCTATTTTAACAAAATATTATGTCACGTAAACAAAATTATCTCAGCCAGAGAAATAGATTAAAAAAATTCATAATTTAAGAATATAATTTTAAATTTGCAATGTTTAAATAAAAAAGCCTTAAAAATGATACTCTGTTCAATCGAATCAATCCCTTAGCGTCACGGCCCTTCAACACCTTCCCCCTCCACCGTTCTTCAATCCTTCGTTTTAAGGCCATTGCATACGACTCAATCTAATAGCAATTCAACGGACGAGAGCGATTCGGGTCAAACATGGATCGCCAGAACCCTGATAACCTTATACTCGTCAACTGCGACCCCAACGGCGTCGCTTTGGTAACCATCAATCGTCCCGGTTCCCTTAACTCCCTCACCCGCCCCATGATGGTGGACCTGGCCCAGTCTTTCAAGAGATTGGACCGGGACGAGTCGGTGCGGGTCATCATATTAACCGGGACGGGCCGGTCATTCTGTTCCGGCGTGGACCTTTCCGCCGCTGAAGACGTCTTCAAGGGCGATGTCAAGGACCCGGAGAGCGACCCGGTCGTGCAAATTGAGCTTTGCCGCAAACCAATCATCGGAGGGATCAGAGGATTCGCCGTCACCGCTGGATTCGAAATCGCTCTCGCCTGTGACATCTTGGTCGCCGCCAAAGGATCCAAGTTCATGGACACTCATGCCAGGTTCGTTCGTTCGTTCCCGTTTTATTTATCAGAAGAAGAAATCGTGTATAATATAATTTTGGTGCTTGGTGAGGTGCAGTGGTACTCGGTTGTGGTTCTTTTAATATCTTTAAAAATAAAAGAGTATTAACCTTTAAATTATTAATTCTATTATCAATCCATCTAAAATTACCAATAAAAATTATTTCACGTATAAGAGATATGAAACCTTCTCGATTGCAAAGTTACTTTATATTTTACCTATAATTTTTTGTTGTCATTCTAAAATACGTTACGGTTGCAGATTTGGGATATTTCCTTCGTGGGGCTTGTCTCAGAAGCTTTCGCGCATCGTAGGGGTGAACAAAGCCCGCGAGGTGTCTCTGACCGCCACGCCGCTGACTGCGGAGGTGGCTGAAAGGTTGGGTTTGGTGAACCATGTCGTTGAAGAGGGTGAAGTATTGAAAAAATGCCGGGAAATTGCGGATACTATTATGAAAAATAATCAAGACTTGGTGTTGAGGTACAAATCGGTCATCAATGATGGCCTCAAACTGGATCTTGGCAGTGCTCTTTCCCTTGAAAAGGTGAGGATTCTTTGTATAGCTTTTCTGTGTCTATAATTACATGAAGTGGATCCAATGAAACACGTTGCTTCCTTTCTCTTCGCGATGTGCATGTTTTTCACTAAGTGTGATGTGTTAATGTTATGTAAGTATAGTTGATAGAAATACAGGGAACTTAAAATATGTACTGTGTATGTTATCACAGCAACACTACTTGCTGAAGGACAACAACTACGTGCGGTGTCATACATACTTTTGATGTTGTTCTCCCATTAAAATTGATTTGGAGTTTGACTTTGGTAATTCACATTATAGGTCGGTGTTAAATGGTTTTTGTCGTAAACTTGTTAGAATTAGAGTGAATAATCTTCAACATTACCCCAATTAATGATGGCATTTTTTTTCGAGATCCTGAATGAGCATTTAGTTTAACAAATTCCAGAGTCAGATTAGTTTACAGGATCCCTGGGACATCAGATTCCAGTGTAGTTACCATGAATCAGAGATTAATATTCTGTGCTTTTTCGTGGATTAATTGGCTGTTTATTCTTTAGAATTGATGGCAAATAAAAGAAAAAGGTTTTGCTTTTCGCTGGAATTCTATCTGGCGACTGCTTTCTTTACTGTCTCCTTGCCACTATTTATCTCCTAGTTGAATTTGTACTATCCGTTGTGTTGATATTGGCTTAGTAAACAAAATATAGAAGATTGATATAGGTGGAGAATCTTGCGTCGGAAGTTACGCTCTAGTTAGTTACAGGTGTAGACAATGAATATAAAGGATATTTCAATTTTGAGTAAAAAAGTGTGAAAACACGAGTGTGTGAGAGCCTGAATCTGTATATCTCTGAAGTTTTCTCTGTAATTTTGTGAGTCGTTTAAAACTCAGAAAGAAAGAACTTGATTTTGATTTGTTAATGTTCTAAAGGTAAATTTTTTGTGTATTTAGCTTCTTATTATTCTAGTTTTCTTGCGGTTTATTGTGATTGTTCACGATAGAGAAGGTGTTCTTGTTTGTTATTTCTGTGAATTTGGTTTAATTCCACAAAATATTGCATTCTTATCTTCTATGTAATCAATAATCCTTAATAATGTATTGGCATCTTCCTCCTCATTTATGCATTGTAGCTTTGAGTTGTACTGTACAAGCTATCTTACAAAATTTTCATCAAATTCTCTAACTGTATATGAAATTTAGGAGAGGGCTCATGATTACTATAATGGAATGACGAAGGAGCAATTCAGGAAGATGCAGGAATTCATAGCAGGTCGAAGTTCCAAGAAACTGTCCAAATTGTAGGTTCTTTCTTTTGCATTGTTCTCTCATGGTGTAAACGAAAATGTATATATATTTTGCTTCCAAATTTGAGGTTTTACGAGCATTAATCCTTACAAAATCCGCAGACATTGTTTTTCTTAATGAATTGTATCCGGGGATCGCAATTCCTTATTATCAAAATAAATGTCGTGAGTATTTAGTTTTCTGTTGGTCTTTGCTCCACGAGTGATATGCTGCTAATGAGGCTAGGCATTAATTCCCAGGTGGAACAGTAGGGAATGTGATAGAGACAATCTCAATGTCTCAAGTCTGTAATTATGGAGGTTGGTCGGATGCTGAATTTAGGTTGCATGTCATTATGGACGGTTTGGCTCAAGGAGGGGAATGGAGAGAAAAGGAAGAGAGAGAGAGAGAAAAAAAAAAAAAAACTATATTATATGAGAATCAAAAGTTGGGGGCTAGAAATCTTGACCCTTCTTTTTTATAAAGGAGTCGTGATAATTTTAAAATTTTGGATAACTTGAAGGCTAATTACGTAGTGTTTCAAGGTGATGTATTCTCAATTATTGAGTTGCCTGGATACATAGTGTTTTAGTTGATGAAAAATTTGCATAAGAATAAAGTTTTTGGTAAGGCTGTCTGTCAATGACAAATAAACTTAAAATTAGATGTTTTAGTCAATCTATATATAATAACTTTTTTGTTTTATATCTTTGTTTTGGTCCTCCGATTGTTCCTGCCCAATTCAACATTTATTATTATATTTAGTCTTCAAAATATTAGAGACATCAATAGTCTTTTCATGAATTTGTTTTGTGATTTTATATTATCATTTTGACTCTAATAAATAGTGACTTTTGAACTATTTTAATATTAAAGAAATAATATTTGAAATTTAAATTCAAAATTTGGTCTTTTTTTATTTTATGAAAGTCAAATGTTTCACTTAATCAAAATCCATTGATTTATAATGTAGTGTTTCTCTTAATCATATAAGAGATTAATTACTATAAGTGATGTTTATTTTAAGTATGTTTAATTATATTTTGTTATTTCATATCTTAAAAGAGTCTCAAATTACTTTTCAACTAAAGTTTTATTTATTTGAAAGTTTGAAGAGAAATAAAGTAAAAGAGTTTGAAAGGGGAAGGAAAGGAAAGGAAAAAAAAGGAGAATTAGAATTAAATCTATGTTAAAATCTTTAATATTGAGAGAGAGAAGAGTGTTAATGGTTTAATTATGTAAATGACAATATTATTTTTTATATTTTTATTTATATTTTTAATTTAAAAAATAAATATTTTCTCTTTTTAAATATTTAATTTTAAAATTAATATTTTTTAATAATTTTTAAAAAAAATTAATTTAAAAATTAACATGTTTTTTTAAAAAATAGAATTCTAATAATAGTGGGAGAGAAAAGAAAATCTTAAAGAAAATTTAACAAATTAACGTTAGAAGAGTTTTTAAGGGTTTAGAATTTTTAAACCTTCTCTCTATTTTAATTAAGTAACTTTTAAATAAGAGTTGTTTCACTAATTCTTCTCTTCCCCTTTCATCTCTCACTAACTCTTCTCTTTTAATTATTGTCACCGTCTTAGTACTTGCAAATAATTGTTAGTTGTGTGCTTGGACCTACACTCAATTTTAAGTTTAAAGACTTTTGACGAGACTCAGGTTTTTTTTTTTTAAATATATGCAATAATTTTTAAATAATTTTTTTTCTCATAACTATATGTAAGTTCATAAATATAAAAATAGATGAAAAAAATTCTCAGATATATATTAAGAGTACATGAAATTATTATTTATTATATACTTTATCATTATTTGTTTAGATAATTTTATTATTAATTTAATTAACATGTGTTCAGAACAAGAAAATTCACAATTCCTCATTTGAAAGTAACTTGTTTCATTATAATAACATCAAGTATTTACAAAGAATTATATTAATTCTGTTTCTAGCAATAAAATATTTTAAAATTAAGTATTTACAACATCCAGTTTTCAAATTATGAAATCATTATCTTGTCGCATATTGTAAATTGAATTTGCAAAAATTAGATATACACAAAAATGTTATTTTTAGCTCATCCACCTCTCATCACACTTTAATTCCTTGGATTCATCGAGAAGCAATCTTAAAAACATAAAATTATGGTAAGGAAGAATAGATTCTCTCGCTTAGTTTGTTCGGTCAATTTATGAAACATCATTTACGGATATAAAGAGTGAATTGTACAATACCATCGTGAAAGAATAAGATTCACGCCCAATTATAAGTTAAGAGACAAGTTACATTGTCAAGTAAAGCATATTTTTAACATATCTACGGTGTAATTGTTCTATTAACTTAACATGATTTATGAGAAAAAAAATAACAACAAATTTCTTTATTATGGTTGGCATATAAATGGATTGTATTGTATTTTATCAAATGAAACAAAATAAAAAAAACTAATTATTAAGACCAGTATACATACAGTACATTACTATGATATCCTTATAATTTGAAAGGTTTGGGTATCCTCTCTATATAATTAAATAGATTAATATATTAATAATAATAAATATGATATTTTTTAACAAAAAATTATTTATGTATTGTGAATTTAATTTTAAATATACTACTTTTTTTATACTGTCATTCAATAGTTAGACATTTTTATATTACTATATATATATATATATTACATATATTAAAAACATTAATTATATCATAATTAATACTAATAATAATAGCATTAATAAACATGACACTTTCTTTAAACTCAAACTCGAGTTATCGTATATTTCTCGTGGAAGGTTCGAAAGGTAGAGAAAAAGAAGTCATCGTACCATGCGTGAATGCTAGAGTTAACAATATCAGGATGTGTGTATTTTTGTGGATGGCTTTAAATCAAAATCCACATATTAAATGAAACTTATAAATGCTAGAAAAATACAAAAGTAATGCAGTGCAATAAAAGTATGTATACAAACGCCAAAAAAAAAAAATATATTCTCTAAGATTTTAACTATTTTAAAGTAAGATGTGCATAATTACATGAAATTATAAATATTGAATAAAATATAGTACTTGCTACAGTGCTTTAAATTTGATTGTGTATTGAATACTACTTTTAGATTATACTAAAATATTAAAAAATATTTATGTGTTTTTTATACACCACTAACTCTATCACTAAAATCAATGATTATGATTATTTCATACATACAAGAGTATAAAATACTTTTTCATTTTTTAGAGCACCATAAAATTTAATAAAATAAAATTTATCAACTTTATTATTTATTATAGATTTTATCATTGTTTAGACAAATTTATCATCATTTTAATTAAACTATGTAAAAAAAAATCACAACTCTAACTTTATTATTATTTTAATTAAATTACGTAAAAAACAACATAACAACTCCTCGATTGAAAGTAACTTGTTTTATTAAAGTAAAATACAGTTTGTACGCAAATCTTTGAAGATTATGTAGTTACAGATTCTAGTTTTCAGGAGTTTTATCTTGATTTTCAGAAGTCATTAAATTAAGTTTCAAATTAAATTTTAAAAAAATTGTATATACACGAACCTAAACTGTAAGAATTCAGTGTACTACTCTTTTTCCTCTGTTTTAAAGTATAAGAATGCTTTCCCCAGTTTTAAAGTAGTTTCCGATGAATGAGATAATTAATTACTTTGCTTGATCTCTCCATGAAACATCCATGACCGATCCAAGGAGTGGATTGAACGAGACCATCATGAAAGAATGGAAAGTTTTGGAACAAAACTTATAACAATAATGAATTGTACAAAGCCATCATAAAAGAATGATATTCATGCCCAATTTTAAGTTGGAGCTTTCTTGTAACCCAATGAAAATATTAAATTTTTTAAAATGGACACAAAAGTTACAAGTTATAACACAAGGTAAATGCACATTTTCAACGTTTAAAAGATGGTGATAAACACGAGCTAAATAAATTTTTTAGCCTGTTTATATAACTACTATTATTAACCACGCATGATTTGTGAGAAAAAAAAATTAACGACAACAAATTTCTTTAATTTGATAGAAATTGATTTTGGTTGGCATATAACCTGACTGTATTGTATTTTCTCAAATGAAACAAAAAGAAATTAATTATTAAGACAAGTATGCATATAGGACATTGTTGTTATATCCTTTTAATTTGAAAGGTTTGGGTATCCTCTCTACATTATTAGATGGATTAATATATTAATAATCTTAAATATTATTATTTGTAATAAAAAATTATTTATTATGAATTTAATTTAAATATACTAATTTTGTATACAATATCAGTAAAACTTATCAATTTTTATAATAAATAATATAAAAATTATATTCACGTAATATTTTAATTTTTTTATAATATAAAGATCTTTACCTTAAGTGTGTACTAAAATTAAACTTTTCTTATCATATAACTTTTTACATACATTAAAGCATATTAATTATATCATATATTTCTCTTTCAAAATTAAAAAAGTAAAAAAAAAAAAAAGGCCATAAAAGACGTGAATACGAGAGTTAACAATATCAGCAGGTGTGTAACTTATTTATTTGTGTGGGTTTCTATAAATTAAAACCTAAACATCAAGTTAAAATTATAAATGTGAGAAAACACAAAAGTAATACAAACAGCGAAAGCACGCGTTAAAATTGTATTTTTAATGTGAAAATAAATGATTATCTTAGAAATAATTATCATGTATTCAATTTAGATAAGAGTACCAAGACCCTTTAATTTTAGGGAGTATTAAATAAAATATTAATAAAATAAATTTATTCAAATTTATTATTTATTATATATCACTGTTAGATAACTTTATCATTATTTTAATTAAACTACGTACGTAAAAAAATCACAACTCCTTAATGGAACGTAATTTGCTTTATTATAATAAATTAAGTTTTTACGAATACATGTATAAAATGTAAAAATAAAATAAAAGAGCACCCATATTAATTCTGTTTCAACATTTTAAGATTTGGTAGTTACAAATCTAGTTTTCAAAGTCTGATATTGTTGTCTTGATTTTCGCATGTTGTTAACTTAAATTTACAAAAATTGGATATACACGAACCTAAACCCTAATAACTCAGTACATTTCTCGTTTTCTCCCCTGCATCTCTCATCGATCCTTCAACCTTAACCATGTGCAAGAAGAATGCTTTCCCCCGTTTTGAAGTAGTTTCAGATGAAACAGATCATTTCTTTGCCCGATCATCAGCCCATGAACCATCCATAACCACCGATCCAAGGAGCGTATTGAACAAGACGGTGATGAAAGAATGGAAAATGTTGGAGCAAGACCTACCTGAATCCATTTACGTTCGAGTCTACGAACGACGCATAGATCTAATGCGAGCTGTGATTATAGGTGCTGCTGGCACACCATATGAAAATGGTCTCTTTTTCTTCGATATCATGTTTCCTAGTGAATACCCTAAACAACCACCCCTTCTTCATTTTCACTCATTTGGATTGAGACTCAACCCCAATCTCTATTGCAGCGGCAAAGTTTGTTTGAGTCTCCTCAACACCTGGTCTGGTAGGAAGAGTGAAAAGTGGGATCCATCTCGTTCCACCATGCTTCAAGTGTTACTCTCAATTCAAGGACTTGTTCTCAACGAAAAGCCATTCTTTAACGAACCCGGTGCTGATGCTTTCAGGCTTTTTATACTGGAGAGGAAGTCACGCGCCTACAACGAGAACGTGTTTGGGCTTACTTGTAACATTTCCATTCATCTGCTTCGGAAGCCCCCTAAGTACTTTGAAACCTTCGTCAAAAACCACTTTCGTGAGCGAGCGCGTGTTATTCTCGGGCTCTGTGTCAGGTACGAGAATGGGAGCGTGGGCGTCGGGAATCACTCTCGCGGGGGGCATTCGTCTACGGTGGAAGTTTCGAAGGAGCTCAAGGAGTGGATGAACTCATCTTTCCCTCGACTTGTTCAAGCGTTTCGACAAAACGACCCTTCCTTAGGACTTTTTATTGAACAATTAGAGTCGCAAAGGAAGCAATATGAAAACTACAGCTGCGGACAAAAGGAGCAATCTGAAAACAATGGCGGTGGAATCTTGAGGAAGGCCTTCGAAAGGATCAAAATGGCTTTGGGGTGGAAGAAAGTAGAGAGAAAGAAAACCAGCGCCGTGGAAAGGAAAAACCGCAGTCTTCAACGTGCTTGACATTAAGCCATGGCTTTTTCATCGGTACTTCAGTTTTTTTTTACGATTCAACAAACAGTTTGCATTGTTTATTGTCGTTGGTCAGTTGTGGATTTTTCCCAGGATAAATTTCTCTACGATCATTTTTAAGGAAAGGAATGAAGAAAATAATTCTTTAAACAAATACTTTCGTGCAAGTTTTAAATTGGTTAAACAAATATTTCTACGTTCTGTGCTACTCAAGGTTCAAGTTTGGTTCCGTATTTTTATTTTTATTTTTCGTTTTTACGTCAATAATTCATTTTCAGCTTCCTTTCCAAGTGCATATTTGGATACAAGTTAAGTTAACGTAGAGTTACATTTACTTTACTGTAACATAATTTTGTAAAAAAAATAAAATTGACGTTTTAATACACTCTCTCAATCAAAATTGATTTTATTTTAAAATTCATGTTTGAACAAACTTCATAAATTATAACTTTTGCTTGAATTAAAAGTCTTATACTAGTTTTTACTACAAATTTATTTTTATGAAAAAAAAAAGCCAATATAAACCATGTTGAAACTCACTTATAAATAAAGTCATTTCAACTTCAATTTAGAGAACCTCACTCAAACACTAAGCAAACTATCATGACCTGCAAAGCCACATCGGTTGACGAACACAATACGCCATAATATGAATAAGTGTTCTATTACTTACCTATAATTTTTCTCATTTTTTATATAAGGGACCAATTTAGTCTCTTTTATATTAAAAAATAATAATTTATGGTGCTTCCTCCCGTGTTTGAGAGGGCATTGAATTTGGCTCTTAGGTAGATCAATTAGGATGTGTTTAATTAATTTAATATTTATTTTTGTTATAATTTTTTTATTAATACAGAATAAAAGTTCCTTTGAAAAAGGTCATTTAAATCTTCCATTACCACAGCGACGAAGGTACTGAGGTTACAACAAATAGTCATTCGAGTTGATATTTTGTCTCACCCAAAAATTCATTTATTATACAATGATTTCTAATTGTCTTGGACAACCAGGCTATCCATTGAGTTTCTTTGTTGCGTAGTATGTTCAAATCCGATAAAACATATATTTTAGGGGCTATATTTATATTTTACAATACATTTTTTTTTCAATTATCTGACAAAACAAATTAGGCATGATCGTCTAAACACACAAAGCAATATAAAAGTAATGAAAAAATTCACTTAAAATGAATTTGATTGGAGGAAAGGATACCATACTAGCAATGGAGGAATAAGGGATTATGATATGATATTAATTTTCAATTTTCAAATTAAATAACCATTTAACAATAATAATTAAAAATAAAATTTTTGTAAGTATTTAAATATAATATATTTTATAGTATTTTTAAGAGGGCATGTATGCCCTTCAATTTTCAAGATACATTAATAAATAAATGTACCTGTTTAGAGAAAGAATTTTTTTTTAAGTTATAAAGATCTTATCAAACTAAGGATCCTAGGCTAAAGGCTTGAAAAATTATCAAAGTCCTAAATTTATCTTAAAAATTTTAGAAGGAGTTTTAGGAGTATTTAGAAAGTAATTTTTTAGGTGTAATATATAACAAGCATGATGGATTAAAATCTCCATATTTACTTGGTCATAAAAATTCAATCATATGTAAGCATGTTGTTCAATCATAGAAATTACTTGATCCTATTACCAATTGTCTACCTTTGCATCACATGTTGGGTTTTAAAGAATGATCCAAATTATGTTGGGTTTAAAAGCAATTCCGCAAAAGTTTTTATTGGGTCTTAGAAAACTTGATCTTTTGAATAAATGGAATAAAACGATGTGAATTGTAAACCAAAAGATTTGTTTCATTGACTAAATTGTGTTTTTGTAATCTTCTTCTCCCCTACAAATTGTAATGTTATCTATATGATACGTATAGAAGTAAAAACAAGTGTGGAGCAAATTTTTCCACTCATTTTAAGGTGAGATATATTTGGCTTTTCACTACTTCATGGTTCACAGGCTTACATATTTCTTGGGGTATGTCAATAGGCTTTCAATTATTTTAATAAACTCGGTATTTTGTTTTTATTGATAGGTTTGTTCCATCGTAAATTGCATACTTATATTGGAATGTCTGGGGTAGAGAATAAATGAAACGTATTCGAGGTCATATGAATGGTTCTCTTCATTTATCCTTTGTAGTGGGCATATAACTGGACAGCCTGTCATCATATTAGAGTATGGGTTAAGATTGCTGCTAAAGTGAGTGGAACACTTTCTTCTTCTTTTTGCTAATCTTTTTCTTCTTCAATTTATGGAATTCCTTAGGTTGTGGCGAACACTGTCACGGGAATTGCAGTTTTCTATTGTTACACTTGAGGTGTCACGTGTTAGGCTTGATTGACAGTGTTGGGGTGGTGATAATAAATATGTGACTCTTGTACAATGTCTAAGTTATTATTATTTTTGTTTTTGTTTTCTATTTTGTGGATAATCAATTACATTAGGGAACGGAAGGGACTGGACTTTGATTGATTGCCTCATTTTTTACTTTGCAAGGGTTTAAGACAGGGGTAAGTATCGTTTTTTTATGCTTTTTGTTTATGTTTCCACTAGTCATTATAATTGGAAGTGAGTGGGGTTTGCATGTATTGTTATGATAATTTTGTTTGCATTGAACATCATGCTCGGCATCAAAACTTATATTTTGACTTCTATTGATGACATATTTCAGTTATCATCAGATTATGTGTAATTACTCTTATGCTTTTACTGTTGTTGACAATGATTAAATTTCAAGTTTAGTTTAGTCCTTTGCGTTCTGTGTGATTTTTTTTTTCAAGTTCGGTGTTCTTTCTTTAAGATGATAACCCAAAATAAATTTTCCAATCCTTTTTTACAGACCTTGAGATGAATGAATTCTTAGTATGTCACTTTTTCAATGAGACAAGTAGACATGTCTTTTTCTAAGTCCACAAACATGTTTTAACTTTAGCTTTCTTTTAGAATTGCTCAAAAAATAGAAAGTTGTCAGGAAATATTCTAAGTCTATAAATCTAGTTGAGTTCTAGATTCACTCAAAAGTTGCTAAAAAAATAAGAATGAGCAGAGGAAATATTCTAAGTACATGAGACAAAAAGAACTCTCAAATTCTCTAAAATTAGTCAAAAAATAGAAATCGAATGAAGAAATTATTCTAAGTCCATAATACTAAATAAGCCTCTTAATCAGAATTGCTCGAAAAGTAGAAAACAAAAAGAAAAGATTCTAAGTCTATAAGAGTTATGATAGGAATCAAAAGTTATTACGAGGCTCAAAAGTGGTTACCAGCAATTATCACCAGACGAAGATTCAACAACACGAAGAATGATTGAAGGCAATAGCAATTATGAAAGAAACCACAATCAAATAGCACAATCAGAGCCAGTCGTGGATAATGGGCAGCAGTTGAAGACAATTACCAAGAAGTGTCCGCGAAAAAAGGAGAACAATAGTGATTTTCCTTACCTATAAATACGTCAAAATTTCATTTTTCAAGGGACAATTTTTGGTACCCAAACACCGCATTTAAAAATCTCCACACATTGAAACATTGCCCCCAGAGACACATGGTTGTGGTTGTTTGTTGTTGCTAAGGAGTCATACATTACATTTCTACACATTTATGTTTCTGCATTTTAGTTTCAGTTCATTTTGCTTTTTTCTGTTCCTGCAATTTGGTTCTTATTTAGCATATTTTTGTAAAAGCCTCTACGGTTGATTAAATTATGTGTAACATCATTTACTTCTATTTGAACCTCAATTTTACAACGTCAATTTGAACATCACGTTAACAACACAATTAAAAAAACTCAAGATGACTTAAATCTAGACCTTAGATTGCTTTTAGATTATTTGTTTACAAAATGTCATTTTTCATCCCCTTAATATGATTTTTACTTTCTATCCTCTAAGCAATAAGATAGAGGAACCACTATTAAACAGTCACTAATGTGATTTCTATTTATTTATTTATTTATTATTACTATAAGAACTGCATTATAAAGGTTAAGCAATCAAATAGGCGGTGTAATGCCACTCCAAGTTGTATTCATTCTCAGTAAATTCCATGCATACTCATTCAACTTAATGTTAGCTACTTTCTTTCTTCTTCTTCTTTTTTTACTTGAGTTAAAATATAAATTTTTACATTTTCACTAGTACTAAAAATACTTTTTACAACAGAATTTTACATTGATTTTTTGTGAAATGAGGTAGTAAAAAAATGCAGTAGCATTTTTAAATTTATGCAAACTTTTCTATATCGGTTGTCAAAAGAACTAATATGAAAAGTACTTTCTACATCGGTTGTAAAAATAACCAATGTAAAAAAAATGCGGTGACATTTTTTAAATTTATGCGAACTTTTTTATATCGTTTGTTTCTTAAAACCAATGTAGAATCAATTCAAATTTCAAATTTTTAGATACGCGCCAGCAAAATAACATAAATTGGAGGCTCGAGCATATATTTTTCTTAAGTTTCTGAAACTTTTGTTCTATTAGATAGGTAGACAACGAACATGCAATGGTTTTTCAGGTACATCAATTATTTTAATTTCTTTCATTTTTTTGTTGTTTCACTTTTTGTTTCTTCTTCTTTCTTATTAAACGATTTAATAAACATTGCATGTTTTTTATGTTTCAGATTCAAACAAAGATAAACAATAATGAAATATGAAGAACACAATGAACACAACAAACACGATAAACAAGATGAATATGAAGAAATTGAAGAACACGGTGAACACCATAAACACTAATGTTTACGGATTTTAATTTAACTTAAGAAAATATATTAATAATATTAACGCGAACGTTAAAACTCTCAGAAAAGAGAAATACTAACATCATTGACAACTATTATCATTAAGAATATTTTTTATATCAGTTATTATAAACAAACGATGTAGAAAATGACACTCGATGTAAAAATTCTTAAACTTTCTACATTGCCTAAATCTACATCAGATATGGAATCGATGAAAAGGCCTCTTTTAACCGATGTAAAATGCCTTTTTTCCACTTAGTGGTTGAAACTAATTTTTAAACTCTCTATGTATATAATGTACTAATCAAGTGTTATAGTGTATATATAGCTTTTGGTTTGACTAAATTATTAATATAAGAAATTTAAAAAAATAATAGATTTCATTAAACTATAAATTCAATCTAAAGCCACCGAGTTTAATATATTTAATAAATACAAAAATTAATATCAGTACATTAAAATTGAAATCTATATTTATATGTAAAATTGATTACACATACTTATTACTTTATGCATTAAATTTTAAAATGTGTGACTCTATTTACTTATTACTCTATGCATTAAAATTCAGAACCTATAAAGTCACTCTTATGTGCACTCACTTATTATTCTATGCATTAAAATTTGAAACATATAACTTATAAATTGAAATTATATTTTATTCATACTTATTTATCTTTGAATTATATTTAAAGAATTTTTATTAGAATTAGTGAATTGTATTTAGAGAAATAATTCAGAACCTATAAAATCACTCATATTAACTGCATCTAATTATTACTTTCTGTATTAAAATTTGAAAAGTAAAACTTAATGATTAAAATTATATTTTATTCATACTTATTATTTTTAAATTGTATTTAAAGAATATTTATTAGATTTGATGAATTGTATTTTAAAAAAAATTATTAAAATTAATGGTTATATTATGTTACAAATGATGATATAATATTTTAATATATTTATATTAAAGTTATATTTATATATCTTTAAAATAATTAGAGACCTTTATTTTTAAATTTTATTTAAATTAATTGTTATTCTTTTAATAAAATTTTTAAAATATTATTTTATCATTAAATTAGTTTATAGATATATTTTTTTATTAATTTTTAATTAAAATGATAAATAATAAATAAATTGTATTAATTATTTTTAAAAATAAAAAAATAATTATATAAAAAATTAATAAATTTGTCATTTTAATTTTATGATCCAAATAGCATAATTTTATTATACTTAATTAGTTATTAAATAAAATTAATTTATTTATAATGTCAATTAGTATTATTTTTATTAAGTTATCAAAAAATATAAAATAATTTAATCATTTAAAAAAAACTCAATTCTATATTTTTTTTTATCAAAAAGTAAAATTTTAAATTCAGTATATATATTACATTATTATTAAATTTTATTTACAATATTTTTGTATAGTAATATTATTTGTATATATATAATTTAATATATTTTTATTTTTTAATATTAACATATAGTTTTGTGTATATTGATATTCAAAATAAAATTTTATATATTAGTTGAATAAATACTTTATTTTTTATATATTAGTCTAATAAGTTATTTTAAAAAAATATGATATCATGTTTTAATAATTATATAATAAAATTTTATTAATAAATTGAAATTATAATTATAAATAGATAGTTTATCATATAAATTTAATTCAACAAATATATAAATAAAAAATTATAAAGCTTTTTATTTAAATTTTATTATTTATATTAAAATATTCATTGTATTTAATAATTTATTGTTATAATTATTTATTTAAAATTTTATAATAATAAATGATTTATGATATCATAAAATAATATAAATTTTATTTTGTAATTTAAAAATAATATATTTGTATACTATTTTGTTTTATACTAAAAAATACTAAATTATACATATTTTAAATAATAATTTATTTTGACAAATATTTTTTACATTATATTTTTATATTTAAATTATATATTTTATATTTTAAAATAAATTAATTTAATAAAAAAAAAACCGTACAACACACGGACATATTTCCTAGTAACCTATGAATTTGAGGTAATGAGTTTGAGTTTAAGGCAAGAAATAAATTTCAAAATTCATTTCTTTTAAGTGTTAAGTGAAAAAATATAGAGAGTGACAACAGAAACTGAATTTATAGAAAACCATTAAAAAAATATTACTTAGACAATAATTTTTTACAATATTTTTCTTTTTTTTTATTATATCATTTAATCACACGGTTTCAATTGTACAAAATTTTACATTTACACACGATAATTCAGGCGACAAAAAATGCACGTCAACATGAACGCTGTTCCAAACATGGGGTGAAAGGCGAGGCCAGCAACATTCTCTGTCGTACCCACTATTTTCAATTCAATTTTCACATGTTATTAAGAAAAACCATTATTATTCAAACTAGGATCCTGCAGTAAAGAGCACGTGACAGGTAAAGCCATGCGTTGACAATTGAATCACGAGTATACCGCAGTAGGTCTTAGTATTGTTAGAAAACTCAAGTTCATAACTACAATTACTAGTTCCATTCAATCCTCATATTTTGCATCTGCTGCAACGTGGCGCCTCTTCCTTTTCCATTTAACCCCTCTATTCACACAAACCAATTCTCTCGTTCATTCTCATTTCTTCTAAGCCCTGTTCTTTCTATCTTTTCCAACATGGCAAACACCAACCACTTCGAACACTTCGACGTCGTTGTAGACACTTCAGACCACTTCTTTGCACAAGCCAAGAAGAAGATCAAGAGACAGAATCAGAGCGATCAACTAGGGAGTCCCATAGAAGATTGCTTCACCAACGCAAGGAGTGACGTGTACAAGAGGATCATGAAAGAGTGGAAAGTCCTTGCCCACAACCTACCCGAATCCATCTACGTTAGGGTCTATGAAAACCGCATCGATTTGCTTAGGGCAATGATCGTGGGCGCTGCAGGCACACCGTATCACGATGGTCTCTTCTTTTTCGACATTGCATTTCCACCTGATTACCCGAGCCTGCCGCCAAAGGTTCATTACCGCTCGTTTGGGTACAAAATTAACCCGAACCTGTACACGAGCGGGGACGTGTGCTTGAGCCTCATTAACACGTGGAGGGGAAAAAAGAATGAGAAGTGGGACCCATCAGGGTCCACCATTCTTCAATTGTTGGTGTCTCTCCAAGGCCTAGTCCTAAACGACATGCCGTTTTTCAACGAGGCTGGATCCGAGATTCTGGGACGTGGAATCTTCGAGAAGAAAGCAGAGGCTTACAACGAAACCGTTTTCATTCTCAACTGCAAAACCATGATGTGCATTATTCAACGGCCTCCGCGGAACTTCGAAGGCTTCGTCGCTAGCCATTTCCGTCATCAAGCATGTGCGGTTCTGAGCGCGTGCAACGACTACGTGAATGGACGCGTGAGAATTGGCTATTACACGGAAAGCGATGAGGGTGATTTATCAAGAGTCAGGGTTTCGGGGAAGTTCAAGGAGTCGATAAGAGTGTTGTACCCTCAGCTATTCGCGGCGTTTGTAAAGTGTGGGGCTACTTTGGAGAATGGGGCGGAAAACTTGAAAATGGAAAAGCGCGATGGCTCGTCTAAGAATTCTTCTGATAGAAAGTATAGAGTAGTTGTGAGGAAAGTGATTGGGAAAATAAGGAAGATTTATGCTTCCACGTTGAAGACTCGTGCAAAATTTGATATCAACGTTATTCGAGGACAAGCTGGTAATGCATCGCATCTTCACGGTAATACAAGTCTCCAAAGTTCGTGAACAATCTTGGCCTTGGATTGAAATCACGTCACCAATTCCTTTTTTTATTTTTTATTTTTTTTAGTAAAGCATCATAGTGCAATCGATGATATTACTTACAATCAATTAATAGTTATCTTAATTCTCGAAATTATGAGAAAATTAGTTTTTGAAATTTCTGTCGTCAATGTTAATAATCGATCTTGTAGTTGTACTCTTATGAAAATAATTCCTTTTTATTCTCATCAAAGGATTGTATTCGACATAGTTAAATAAAATGGTAAAACTCTATTCATACAAAACAATAATTTTCCGGGAAAATATAATAGACACAGAGCCGTTTGATTTACAAACGTCAATCAAAATTTCTTATTCTGACATGTGTTTTGATATAAAAATCGTGACTTAAATGAATTTAAACATGTGTTCTTCGATTATATTTGTTTTTCTAAAATTAATTTTATTAAAATTTAGAACAAATGAACACGTCGTTAACCATTGTTCTAACATTTGCACCTTTTCTTTTGTTGAAATATAATTCATTCTATTTATTTTTAACTTGTGCTCATTTTTTGTAGTTAGAGGTAGACAGACAAGTCAACTTGACTTAAATAGATTGACATTAATCAGTTCAGGTTGGCTGCGTTTGACCCATTTTGAAAAAATTTATGCACGAATCAATTCACATTTAAATAGTTTCACTTTTTGTTTGGTAAATAGATAGATCCACTTAACTCACAGGTTTACGGGCTAGTCCACAGGTTTAGTCTCGCAAACCGAGCCCTAGTTGTTGTTATAAGTGATGATGGTAAGAGATGCCAAAAAGGCCCAGAAGGGAGACGGGCAAGACCGTGTAATCTGCAATTGCAAAATCATATCCCATAAATCAACTATTTTAGAAAAATATTCATATCAATTTTTTCACATAATTTTAAGTAAAAAATAATAATATTTTTTACAAAATGTAAAATGTAATAAATATTTTCAATACAAATTTTTTTGTATATGTTTAAAAAATTATTAAGAAAATTAATACTTAATATTAGAAGTATAAAGACCCATTGAAGTTTAATAATTAATACCATCCATACTTTATAAATGAATTCTATCCATATTAATTGGCAATACATGGAGCTGATCGTTTCATTCTAATTGCAACCGTGTAAGCCTAATTAGCATTGCCATGTATCCTTTGACACACCGCGATGACATGCCAACGAATGTGAAACCCCGTGGGCCGTGTCGAATCTGCAGTGTTAATGTTTCGCCGGTCAGAGATCAGACAGAAGCAAAAGACAAATTTGATGTAGCGTTTAATTTTATTTAACACACCACACTAAACAGAATGATAACCCCAAGTCCACATATGTCTAATCCTTGTTTAATTGTTTGACTCAAACATATGTTCTAGAGGGACAAAGGCAAGTGCGTCTTTGTCCCTTTTCTCTGTTCGTATGATTAATAATCGATCATTATCATATGATATGCCGATTAGCTTATACTAGAAGTTTATGACTCGAAGGAAATGACTTGGTAATTAAAACATAACAAATGAAAAATATGGCTTAGGATGTGCTTGACCTACTCGAAAATTAATGAAACGGTGAAGCTAATTAGACTCTCCCTTGTACCGAGGGTATTAAGGTTATAATACTTAGTTATGTTATAACTTAATTGCTATTTGCTAGATAGTTCGTTTATTAGTTATTAAGTTGTGGCTAGCTTTAGGGTTCTGTTTGTAGCTAGGCAAGTAAGATAAAATAACTTAGGCTTAATTTAGTATGATGTTTTTTTTTCTTTCAAATTTTAAAGAAATCAGAACTTGCTTTTATATTTTAATTTTTAGTTTAAACATTTATGGTTTTCAATTTTAAAACGCCGTTGAATGTTTTATATCCAATGAATCCACTTCCACCATATTTTGGAATGGCTTTCGTATCGATGATGGGGTCGTAGAGCTTCTTGGAAAGGTAGAAAGGGGTGATTAAATGTTGAAGGAGCTTTAATTCTACTCTCTAGTATTTTTTATAAGAAATAAAAGACTGAATTATAAAAAAAATCAATTAATTCTGTTATGTTTTTTTATAAATATAAATTTTATTTTAAAAATACTTATGATATTAAATAATATAGTTAATAATTTATATATTTACTGATACTAACAACAAAAGGGTATAAAAAAAATTTAACAGAATCTATTATTTATTTCTTATAATAAAAATTAAAAAATATTTTATTTTGTTTCTTATATAAAAGATTGGAGAAATTATTTAATAAACACTTAAGAGCTTTTAATTAAATACATTTATTTAATCACTAATAAATATATTATTTAAAAATAAATTATGATTTTTTATATTTAAAATTTTTTATTTCAATATTCAACGGCAACATGAAAAATATTATCCATTAAAATTAAGTTGTTTAATGAAGTGTCAATCAAATTTAAATTATATAAAAAATATCTTTTAAATACTTAGATGGCTAAATTTTAATATGTATAAAATAATATTAAATTGAGTATTTAAACAAGTGTATTTTTGAGAATTAATTAACTTAAAGATTATAATCGATTTTAACTTGAATTTGTGGTTTTGTTTTGTCACCTAAAATTTCTAAAACTGTTGTACACGTTTAAATAACGAAAAAGGATCCTAATAACACAGTGTGTATACCTTTTAACTTGATATTGGCATGATGTAGAGCGTTGATAATATTATATCCTACCATTATTGCGCTTGAGAAGCCGGCCATGCATTTAAATTATCGTATTAAATGCTATTCCCATATTCCCATTAGTCTAAGTTAAGCATTCACAATAGAAGGCAAATCACTTCAAAATATCCCGAATCTGACCTAGTTTTGAAATGCACGATGCACGAGATGCAGCAAGTATAATAATTCGTCACCATAAATTTAAGTCAACGAAATTAATTGAAAAACCAATGTTGAATGCAGCGGAAGAGACGCATTTCTCTTTGACAGAAGGACACATTTACTCACAAAAGTGAAATGAATTAGGTTAAGTTAAATTTTATAAAGTGGATTTAACTTAATTTTTAAATTACAGTCCAATTTTAACTGGTTTCTTTAACTGTCATTCGAGCTTCATCTACTTATTTATTATAATTTTTCAAGGCCTCACTTGACATTTTAAAAATAAATACAAATAAATTTTTTTTTTGTGACAAATTTTTATAAATACGTTTAAAAATTATTTTCGAATGGATTAATAAACTGAAGTAAAAAACACATTTGAGAAACTAAAAAGAGCCTCAGAAGAATAAGATTACAATTTAAAGTCGTATATATATAGATAATACAATTTTATACATTGAATTTGAATATTTGTTCTTAAAAATACAATTTTTTTAAATTTATCTTAAATAAATTTATTTTAATTTATTTTATCATGTCATGTAATCTATCTTACACTGAGTATTTATTTATCCTTTAATTTTTTCTTTTAATCTTTAAAATGAATCTTAATTTGAATTATTAATTTTAATACTTTTTTTTAAAACTTGAATCCTTTTACTAGTAATGGTGTCATGCGATGATGCACATTTTTTTCACAATGATGCATGAGTTTAAAATATATTTAAATTTATAAAAATACAAAAATCAACATAATCTTAAATTTATATTCCTATATAATAATTTAATTGAATCTAAAATCATAAATGAATGCCAAAAAAATAAAAAATCAATACAATATATAGTTACATATTTTGATTTTTGTTTTGATGTACTCCCCCAATTTTAAATACAAACTGAAGTAGGATACTCTAAAATACAAACAAATTTTAATGAATTTCATAATGTTTAGTTAAAATTTTCCCATTTTTACCACCACATATAATTAATAACCATAAAAATATCTCACATAAAATTAGTACATGCTGAGTATTAAATATATATACTTAATAACGATAAAAAAATATATAAAATAGTTAATAGCAAAAAAAAATTAAAATAGTTATTGTTTAATTATATAAATATCGACAAACATAACAGAGAAAAAAATGTTGTTATTATTTTCTTGCTTGTGTAAATAAACTTGTTAAACTGTATACATAATATTTCGAAAAAAAGTTTATACGTAATAAATTAATATGTATAATTTAAATAAATAGTATTATAACGACAACAATCAAGCTAAAAAATCATAGTTTTAAGAACTCAATTTAAAATTATATGTAGAAAGGTTAATTGAAAACTGCATATAGAAAGATAAAATAAAAAAAAAGGGAATTGCAACATGAAATGGTCACAGAATGGAAGAAATGCTGAAAACATGGGAAGCGAAAATTCTCGAGAAGGCAGGAAAGTGAGGAAGGAGTTAGTTTGGGGGAGTGAGAATGAAAAAATGGATTATTGAAAAAAGAACAGGAAAAGGGAAGGCATTGAAAATAACATCAGCAAACAAAGTCTTCCCCACACCATCCTCTCCCCACAAGAGAATGAGCCCGTTCATGTTCCTCTACCACCGAACACACCCCGCCACCACCCAACACTAACGTGCGCCCTCTTCCTTACCCTGCGCCTTGCGCACCCTTCTCTTATTTCCCCTTCATAACCTCCGCGTTAACCCTTCTCTCTCTTCCCCACTCAGATTCCCAGGATCCCAGCTAGCCTGCGGGTTCCGACGTTAGGGTTAGGGTTTCCGAGAGATGTGGTATGCTTCTGGCATTGATGAATCTGCTCTCGCTTTGTTGGAAGCCATTTGGCCGCGATGCTGATCGATTCGATTCCATTGGAGTTATTGGGAGCAGTTTCGCTGCAAGAGAAGGCAAAGACGGCTTGCTCTGGTTCCGCGACGTCGGAAAATATGGCTCCGGCGATTTCTCCATGGCCGTCGTTCAGGCCAACCAGGTTCTCGAAGACCAGAGCCAGATCGAGTCTGGTCCTCTCGGCACCTTCGTCGGTATCTACGATGGTCACGGAGGACCCGACGCATCCAGATACGTATGCGATCACTTGTTTCGCCATTTTCAAGGTTCTTCATTCGGAACCCTCACTTTTTCACCGTCTAAATAAATAGGCCTAGTTTCATTCATTTTTTATTTTTATTTTTCAGGTTTGTTATGGCTTTAATGTGGTCACTTTTTTAGTTTGATCGTTTCCTTGCATTCATGAATCACGAGTAGCAGTAGTAGTTACTGTTAACCCATAGAAGTGGTTTTCATCAATTCGCTTTTCGTGAACCTTTTTCTAAAGTACTGTTTCTTTCTTTGGTCTTTTGGGTCTGAGATTTGCCTGGAACCAAGTACAGTTGAACATGCAGGGCATGTGTAGACACTGTTCCTGATATTTTTATTTCTTTTTCCCCTTACTTATTATAGGTGAATTGAGTGTAACTTTTTATTAGCCTTCCTTTAATGGGAACGGATTCGAGATTTCTGGGCGAATTCAATGTTATTATAATTAATAAAGTGTTTTGGACCCTCGGTTATTGTGCTTAAGGCCCATTGTTTTGGTGGAGCATTCTGCCTTTCAATTTTGGTTCCTTCATGGGGTATGAGTGTTGGGAGTTGGTTCTGCGTTGTCTTTTTGTGTTGGTGAAGGAAAACTTCTTATGCTAGCTGTCTTAGATTTCGTGTCTGTGCAGCAATATCAGCTGAGTCACGCGGGGTTGTGACAACTGAGACTATTGAAAGGGCATTCCGCCAAACGGAAGAGGGGTACACTGCCCTCGTGTCAGACTTGTGGAATACTCGACCTCAAATTGCAAGTGCTGGGTCCTGTTGTCTTGTTGGAGTGATTTTTCAGCAGACACTCTTTGTGGCAAACGTTGGAGACTCCCGCGTTGTATTGGGTAAGAAAGTTGGCAACACTGGAGGTGTTGCTGCAATTCAGCTGTCTACGGAACACAATGCAAATCTTGAGGCTGTTAGACAGGAACTTAAAGAGTTACACCCTAATGATCCCCAAATTGTTGTCCTCAAACATGGAGTATGGAGAGTGAAAGGCATCATTCAGGTAATTTTTATGCTTGTGTCCTTTAAAAAACTTTCATCATCCACATATAAAAAGCAGTGTTTGCATGAAGGTGGCGAAACATTTATTATTTCATTATATTCCCAATTGTCTGTTTACCCTTCTTGGAAGTGCTACACGTAAGTAACATAGTTATTGAATTAGGTGATGGTGAAAGGTTTTGGAAGCCACTTAAACTGTGCCCTTAAAAGGTCATTCTTCTGTTATGGTTTCTGAATCCATTTCTGTAAAGCCAAACTGCCAAAGTCATATATTATAGTCGTTATTCTGTGTCCTCTATATTTTCTATATATTTGAGTCATGTGTGCATGAATGAATCCTTCACCCAATTATTTTTTTAAGATGTTTCTTATTCTTGAATCTCATTATATCTTCATCTTCTGCAGTATTTTTGCCAGTATTCCTTTAAAAGTGCATTTTAAAAGGCTAATTTTCAAGAAGATTGTAAATTTGTAACTGTTCCCTATTCTATTGAATTTATTGGTGCTTAAAATAAGAACTACTTCTCCTGTTTGTATTTACCAAATACCACGCCTATACAAGCCCTTATCATTCTAACTTGCTAAAGCATTGTGCCATACAGCCTCCTTTAGTTATTAAGATGATTTATGCAGAGGCTTACCTCGGTTGTGTAGTAAGTGCTAAACTTTTAAAAATTATACGTATTTTTTTATTAAAGAAGACCAATCCATGTGATTAATGGTTAGATCCCTGGTTTGTGAGGCTACAAACAAAAATGGAAACAAATAATTTAATTTAAACTTAGATTGCTTTATTTTACATTTGATTTGTAATGCATTAGCATGTTAAAAATTACAGGAGTGCTCATATAAATGGCAGTCAATATATGCTTTCCAGTTCCAGTTTAATTCTCCCCACTTTTTTTATCTTATTTTTGAAGTCATACATATTTTGCTAAGTTAATGGTTCAGTTTCTCCAAGAAGTTTCTGCTGTCATTATTTTGTCAGTTTTACTTCTACTCTCCAAATTAAGGACAACCTCACATTAACACTATGTTGATTATATTTGGCGCAGGTCTCTAGATCTATTGGTGATGTATATATGAAACACGCGCAGTTTAATCGGGAACCACTTAATCCAAAATTCAGACTTCCTGAACCAATGAACATGCCTATCTTGTCTGCTAATCCCACTATCATTTCTCATGCTTTGCAACCAAATGATTCCTTCCTTATATTTGCATCAGATGGTTTATGGGAACACCTGACTAATGAAAAAGCTGTGGATATTGTCAACAGCAATCCACACGCCGTAAGATTCTTTTTCTCTCATGTTTGGATTTTCTTGTATTATTTCTGCAGTGGATTTTACCTGGTGTTTTTTTTTTTTTTCTCGTGTGCATGATGGCCATAAAATGCTTGGCTCTTTGGGTGTGTGTGTTTATTTGAGCCCTTTGGTTGCATTAGTATGGTGTAGAACCAAACTATTACTACATGGTTTGCATGCTGGTCTGGACAGAGGAGATTTTGAAAAATTTTCCACACAACTTTGATCAATTATTTCCTTTTTAGTTCCCACCATACCTCTATATCTTATTCTGATGCATGAGATTTAAAGATTAAAACTTTTGGTTGAGTTGATAGTGTTTTGAAGTATATCTAGTATGTAGCAAAAGTCTCTGTACTTTTGCTGAAGTCAGAAGTAATTCAAGTTATGGATGTTTACTTTTCATAGCGTCTCTGCTGCTTCACTTTTCCCTTATCATAGACCAATTATTGGGATGGTTATGCTTTATTGAGTCTTTCTGTTCATCCTTCTTGCGTTGACATTGCTGATTCGGTAGGTACTCAAATTCTGTTACTGCAGGGTAGCGCGAAGAGACTTATCAAAGCTGCGCTCCACGAAGCAGCAAGAAAACGAGAAATGAGATATTCAGATCTCCGTAAGATTGACAAGAAGGTTCGACGCCATTTTCATGATGATATATCTGTTATTGTTTTATTCTTAAATCACGACCTTATTTCCAGAGGCACAGTGCTAGACCCGGCACTTTCACTTCGAAGCGCTCTCGATCACTGACTTGTATGATTGTAAGCAGTCTTGTACGAGTTTTTGGCAACTGTATCGATACCTGAAGATACGCCATTGGTACCTGGCTAGAATATGCCATTGCAAATCACACTGCTGTGGCACGTTTGGCTTCTAGTACCGGCATCATTGATGAGGCACGAGAATTTATTAAAGTTATAACATATTATTAGAAATTTATCCATCAAGAGTAAAAGAAAATTTAATAAAAATATCTTAATCCCTTTTCTAACGTTTTAGTTTTTACCCAAAATGCTGGATTTTAATTTTATTTATTGATTTATTTAGTTTTGAGGAACATATATAAGCGATCAACATGTTGGCTGAATTCAAAAGTTTATAACAAATTATATAAAATTTCCGTTTGCAATACATCCTCAAAATGTTTAAAAAAAAAAAAAGCATCCCCAAGTTGAAATCTATGAGCGATTTGGTTCAGCGAAACTAAGTCCATAAATTAAATTACACTGCCCAGGTCAAAGTTTAAACATTTTTCTTGAGAAAAAAAATTTCAAACGTTTATAATACGAAATGTAAAATAAAGTTAGCCAATTAAACCCGCCTCCCACTCTAAGAATAAAGTTATCACTTTCTGGTGGCATACGAACAACGGAGTCTTTTGAACAAGAGAAAAGAACGCCGTTGTTCAATATAACTAATTAGTACAAAGTTACTATCAAATATAGTTAGTTAATAGATTCTAAAATTGTCGGAATTTGAATGATTATATTGGAGAAAAATTCTTTTAGTACCATTGAAAATGAGCTAGATATAGTCAATTATTGGCCAAAATTTTAATTTAATATAATGTCCCTAATTAAATATCATAATGCAAAATCAATATCGTTAATGATGAATTGCACTTGCACGTCAAGCCTCTGCATCCCTTTTATATAGTGTTTATTACATTAATACTTAACTAAGATATATTCAAACGCCCTTTTAAAAAATCTGCAATATACCAAAAAATATGATAGGAAAAACTTGACTTTTCGTGCATATAAAATCCCTTGTAGGTAAAATCAAAATATTATTTGATAAATATAGCGCTGCTCTAATACTTAAAATCTGCAAACTGTCATATCATAATGCACGGTGAGTTCATTTTGAATTAAATTAAGGCATTTAAAATTAAAATCAGATCAAGTTTAGTTTGTATTTCGAGTCAATATAATTTGGTTTATATTGCATCGCATTTTATTTTACAATTTACATTCTTTTAAAAAGATTAGTGGTATATTTTATCATGTTTTTACTGAAATTATTACTTTTTTGATGTGGTAACATTTTTTTACATTTTTATAACATGTTTTTATGTTTTGACTGACTACAAATAATATATACTTTTTTGCATCTTTCGGCTGAATACGGACTGGGCTGAGTAGGCCCGATCTGATTTAAAAGCTGAATTGGGCCAATAGCGTATGAAATTGGATCAAAATCTTCATCGCAGTAGTTATTGGGGAAATTTTAGGAAAAACCATTTTTGACATCCCCCCGCAGGCAGCGAGTGCCAGTGGTGTGGACTCCCAAAGCATAGTGAGCAGCGTTGTGCGAGCTTCCCTGCGAATTAATTTGTCATCATATTGCTATTGCAACCATACATGTTCTCATTTCATTCACAGTAATAACAATTCATACATTCCTGAACCGAATCAATTAACCCGAGCGAGGTGATGGTGCCTCGTTCTTTCATACTCCTCCTGCTGAGTCTTCTCTTGACTCAGTCCGAGTCGGCACCTCAAGCCTTCAAGAGAGAACCCGGTCACCCTCAATGGCACCACGGAGCCTTCCACGACGTCAGAGATAGCGTCCGATCCGACGTTCGCCGCATGCTTCATTCTCGTGCCGAGGTCATTCATTTTCTTTCTTTCTTTTTTGTTTTCATTCAACACAAAAATTAAAATCGCTTCGTGTAGGTTCCGTTTCAAGTTCCGCTTGAAGTGAATGTGGTTCTGATTGGTTTGAATGGAGATGGAGGATATAGATACACTATCGATGCGCATCGATTGGAACAGTTTCTCAAAGTTAGCTTTCCATCTCACAGACCTTCTTGTCTGGAGACTGAGGAACTACTTGATATTGAGCACCACTTGGTCTATAACGCATTTCCTGTAAGCATACCTTGTTCTCCTCCGTGTCCTATTCGGTTATTCGTTTGTTGCTTATATCTGTTACTGCTATTCGCTTGCAAGATCGTGCTTTCGTGGTTACTGATTGACTGAAATTAAAATGTAATTACTTTACTTAGAATGCGTTATTTTCATGTTCTTTATGCTGCATTAGACCGCAGTCAAACTTTTGTTTCTTTTTATTATTTTTGTCTAATCTGTCATTGCGTAAATTATCATTGTACATACCCTGTAGCTGGAAGTTTATAGCAATTTAAGTTTAATTCTCACTGTAGGCTGGACAGCCTGAACTGATAGCACTTGAGAAAGCACTGAAAGAGGCAATGGTTCCTGCCGGAAAAGCAAGAGAGGTAACTGTTTCTTTTCATCCCACTTTCTGCTGTTTGGTTGGGTTATAGGCAATTAATGGCTATAGCCTTCAATTGTTAGAGATGGTTTTAAAGTTTATCCCTATTTCTAGACTGAATTTGGAAGGGAGGTACCTTTGTTTGAAGTTGAAGCAACAACTGTGGAGCCAGTGTTTCAAAAGCTGTACTCCTATATATTTGACATGGATGTTATGGGATCTTCTGTCATGCAGATGGATAGACCAGTGCCAAGTGCAATATTTATTGTAAACTTCGATAAGGTATAATTGATATTCAATACCTTTAGTTTAGTTGTGAAATGTTAAATACCTTACTTTATTTTCTACAAATTTAGTTGATTAAAACTTAATATTTGACTGTTTGTAATACAAAATAATTGATAAGTTGATTTTCACAGGCTGCTAATTGAGAAAATATGAGTGACTGAATGCTTAGCCTCTTCATTTTGTTCAGTATCATTTTTCTCTAATATTGTGACAGTTCTATTTTGCTCTTATTTTTTTTACTGCTAATTTAAAGTCGTCTGCAGGTGAGAGTAGATCCTAGAAATAAGGAAATTGATCTTGATAGTTTAATGTCTGGAAAAATTCCTGAGCTAACTGAGGAAGATATGAAAAGGCAAGAAGGTGATTATATTTATCGTTATCGTTACAATGGTGGGGGAGCAACCCAAGTTTGGCTGAGCTCTGGCAGGTATAAAACAGTTTGATTCTGGACTTATTTTCTGTTAAACATTGGTTTCTGATATCTAATAGAGTACTATCAAATCTTGTAGGTTCTTTATTAGCAAAAATTGGTTCCAAATCCTATTTTGTATCTTGCAAGAAATTTTGTTAACCCATACATATATGCTAGCCTTACTTCTTTTTTGTTTCTTCAGATTTGTGGTGATTGACCTTTCAGCAGGGCCATGCACTTATGGTAAAATTGAAGCTGAAGAAGGAAGTGTCAGTTCTAGAACCCTGCCAAGATTGCAAAATGTGATTCGTCCTGGTGGTTTGAGTACAACTGCTCATCAGTCAAGCAATGATATTTTTCTTGGACAACTTGCTTCTTTGGTATCAACCACGGTGGAACATGTTATAGCTCCTGATGTGAGGTATTGTTTTGTCAACTAAAAGCATATAACAATCAAATCTTATTCCACTAGTTAGGGGTTAACTACAGTGATCCTTTGAACTCTGAAACTCAAATTTCTGTGAAATCTTTTAGAGTAAGGTCTTTCATATTAGTTTCTGTCAAGGCTTTCTTTAGTCCTTCCTCTACCCCTTTTAATTGAACTGCATTCCATTTGGTTCACTTTTTTGGCCAGTGCATTTATTGGTCCTCTCACATAGCCAAACCTACATGAGAAACTTCCATCATTTTCTTGTCAATTGGTACTTTCTCTGCTTTCTCTTGGGGATACATTTGTTCTTAATATTGCCTTTTGTTATTTATCCACTCACCTATCCCATAATTCTTATCTTTGCCTTTTCTTGGTTTTTGTTGGCAACCTAGCATCTCACTGCCCAAAAATTAACACCTTAAAGCATGACTGATCTTATTGTTGTCTAATAGAATTTTCATGAGTTCACAAGTTCTTTGCTTACACTTGAACCATTTTACCATTTCTATTGTCCAGCTTGAATTTTATATATGACATCCCAATTGATGCCCCCATAACATTGTAAATTGTGTTATAGATGCCTAAGCTGTGAAACTGGTCGTATTAAGCGATCCTTAATTTTCACCTCCAAAACACTGCTATCCTCATGCCCCCCTTTTTCATTCTTACATTTGTTTTGAATGCTTTTCTGAGTTAGGCTGTCAGTTTAGTATCTAGGATTCAAATTATAAGAGCACTTGAATATCTCTTTGACTGATTACTGATGTGTTATCTCTATATTTCAATAATATTTTTATGGACTTGTTCAGGTTTGAAACTGTTGATCTTACTTCTAGATTGCTTATACCAATAATTGTATTGCAAAATCACAATCGATACAACATTATGGAAAGGGGACGTAATTACAGTATTAACATAGAAGAAATTGAGGCAGAGGTTTGTAATTTCCTTTGGAGCAAACTGCCAATTTTTTGTTAACTCAGTTTGGAAATTGCTTGATGGTGTTCTCTAGAATTTTGTGCAATTTAGTAGTTTATTCTTTCCTCTTAGGTGAAAAGTATGCTTCATGAAGGACAAGAATTAGTAATTATTGCGGGTGCACATTCACTACATCGTCATGAGAAGCTAGCAATTGCTGTTTCAAAAGCTATGCGTGGACATTCCCTGCAGGAAACCAAGAATGATGGTCGTTTTCATGTTCATACCAAGACATATCTAGATGGTGCTATTTTAAAAGAAGTGGGTGCTGTCTCTGTCTTGTGCTTTTGTTTCTTAAATCTACAATTTTTAGTTTTACATTAACTTGGCATGGGTGATGTGGTATCTTCCTTTTTATGGGCTAATTAATTGAGAATTTTTTACTAACTTTTTTAAGGTTTCAACCATGAGTATGACTTTGCAACCCCTTTAGGTAAATAGACAACATTGAATGCTTAGTAGACCCATTGCTGCTCTTATCCTTTTAGCCTAAGTGATCTTCTGGAAAACCTGGCAGAATTCACTATTCACATAGCTGAATTAAAAATCTCCATTTCTAAGAAGCTAAATGCAAATTATTTTCATTACTTTCTTGATTATTTCTATATGGTCTGGAAACTGCATTTTACAGGAGATGGAACGTTCTGCTGATGTGCTTGCTGCTGGATTACTTGAAGTGGCCGACCCATCTCTTTCAAGTAAATATTTCCTCCGCCAGAATTGGATGGATGAAAGTGAAGGGTCAACTGATTCTATTCTTAAACATAAACCTCTCTGGGCTTCCTATAATTCAAAGCATGAGAAGAAAAAAAAGAGAAAAGTAAAGAAACAAGGGGATCTGCAGCCAACCTATGGAACAAGAGTAATTCCTGTGTGCGTAAACTACTATCCTTTGCCTAGATGCTCATTGAAAATACAACTCTTACATTGTAGTGTCATTGTACTTGTATATTCATATTTTTCTAATGGGTTTATAGAACAAGTTAATGTTTCCTCCATTTATTATTTCCAACTGCTTTCTTAATGAGGTTAATTAGGGTGGGTGAACAAAGGCAATATTTGGTGGTTAGATACTTTGGGCGTTGTGGACCCGTTTTCCCAGATTTTGTGACCTTTTGCAGAATGAAAGGGAATGCATGGATTACTTAACTTGAAAAAGTCAGGAATTACTGTTCAAAGGAAAAGGGGAAATAGTAGTTGTCTCCTAAAAGCAAAAATTATATTGACTATAGGTAGCACTTAACTCACCGAATTATATTGAGTTGTATTTCAACAGCAATTGATCGAAGTTGAAAAATGTTTGTACAAAGAAATTTCACTTTGTTCAAAACTTGAAATACTTGTGTATGAAGTGCACTATTTTGCATTAGCTTTGTGAAAAATATTTTGATTGGTGGTGGTCATATTATTATGTTTCAAAACCAATTTAACACTTAAATTTCTAAGAGTAATGTTATTCATACAACAATTTTTACACTCATCTTTTTCTCTACATTTCTCCATCTCATTACCTGTGTTATCTCACACGTTGCTGTCTTCTCTTCTTAACTCTCTTCCTTGTGTAGAAATTGTTGTAAGAATTTGTTGGATAAATAACATGGCTCAATTTCTATATGCAATTCTTTTTATTGTGCAGCTTTGTGCTATCATTGGCAGATGTGGATCCTAAGCTTATGATGGAGGATGAAAGTATGGTATGGACAAGCAATGATGTTGTAATTGTGCTTGAGCATCAAAATGAAAAGATTCCTTTGAGGTGAGCATAATATGATGTCTGGATATCCAGTACTTGCAAATTGAAGATTTATACTTGCTACTGTAGACATTTTGACATGTAGACGATAAAAGAAGGAATAAATGGGTTGTATTTTGCTTATTATGACTAATTGCTAATGCCAACATAATATGCTATTGTAGTCTGTATAAAACCATCTAGTATTTCTACATGGAACCTCTAATCCGTTTTTTTCCATTTGAGTTTTCACACCTCAATTTAAATAGTGACAATGACATACTTTTCCTGCTCTCAACACAGAAATGAAAGAGAAAAAGAAGCCATTGCATCCTGATTATTTTCACCTTGTTTTTTAATATGTTTATGTCTGTCTCTTTGAGGATTTATTGTTCATGCAGCATGATATAATTCATTTTCAGTTAGTTTTCTAGAATGCAAAGTCTGCTCCCCTTTCTTGTTACTGTCTATATGCCTTGATTTTAGTCAAAGCTCAAAGGAACCACTTCCAAGTCCACTTTTAGTTACCTTGGGTTTCCTCATTACGTATCAGTTTTGTCTTGCAAAAATTCATCACTCATAATTGTCTTGTTTGACAGTTATGTTTCAGAAACAAAGAGAAGGCATGCTCTTCCATCTCAGGCTCAACGGCATATATTGGCTGGTCTTGCTTCAGTTGTAGGTGGTTTGAGTGCGCCATATTATAAGGCTTCTCATGTACATGAAAGGCCTGTTGTGAATTGGCTTTGGGCAGCTGGGTGTCATCCATTTGGACCATTCTCGAATACATCTCACATCAGTCAAATGCTCCGTGATGTTGCTTTGGTAACTGTTCTCTTAATATGCCAAAGTGAATTTTATCTACCAAAGCAATTTCTCAAATTAGCTTTTTGTTTGTTGACAGAGGAACTCAATATATGCACGTGTGGATTCTGTACTTCGTAAAATTCGTGAAACATCGGAGGTAATTGCTTCATTAATTTATATAAATGCCAGTACTTGAGTCCCTGATGATGGATCCCTGTCAATTCTGTGCAGACTGTTCAAGCTTTTGCAGCAGAATATCTGAAAACTCCTCTTGGTGAACCAGTAAAGGGAAAGAAGGAGAAGTCAACCACTGAACTATGGTTGGAGAAGTTCTACAAGAAAACTACTAATTTGCCTGAACCCTTCCCACATGAATTAGTTGATCGCTTGGAAAAATATCTTGACGTAAGCAAACTTGATTGAAGTTCTTGACCTAATTTTGTGGGCATTTCTAGCGTTAACATGTTGCATTTTAAATTGCATACACCAGGGCCTTGAGGAGCAGCTTGTAGATATGTCTTCACTATTATATGATCATCGGTTACAGGATGCCCACTTGAACAGTTCGGATATTCTGCAGAGCACCATGTTCACCCAACAGTAAGCTACCTTGTATTTTAAAATTTTTTATATGTTGTCAAAGTGGGAAAATGCTTTTATTATAGTAAATTGCATTTTCCGTTTACCCCCGTGATATTGTTATGATAGTTATTTTCAATTTTGTTTATTCCAGATATGTTGACCATGTTTTGGCCACCGAGAGGGATAATATGAGATGCTGCAAAATTGAGTACAAGTACCCCGTGCACTCTTCTCAAACTTTCATCTATGGGGCAATACTTGTTGCTGGATTCGTTGTGTACTTTGTTGTAATTTTCTTCTCATCTCCTGTGCGCTGACTCAAGATTTTGAAGCCAACCACAAAAAACCACCAAACCTCATCACACTAGATAGAGCAAATATCAGATATATACAATTTTGAATGCATAGCGATCAATGCAGGACAATTAAAAAGCACAAAATTGCTGGAGTAACGTTGACTAGATTATGTATTTTGGTAGCTACTGCCTGAGGCTCACTTCAGAGCCTGTTTCTATCGGCGTTTCCAGCTTTGTAAACTCTGTTTCATCACTTTCAAACCACATCAACCATGGTTTTCTCAGAGTAAAAAATTTTTAATACTTAAAAATGGAGTTTTCAACGCGGAATCAAACAGACCACTTGGTCTGCTTTGAACTTCATAGTGGTAATACATCGATGGAAAGACCTAAATTAAAAGGAGAAATTGACGTCGCGAGACTGGGAAGACAAACCGAAACCCCCGCTGAAGATGCGAATGGATTCGGTAGATAAAGAATAATTAATCATGTTTATTAAATGAAGCAGATATTAAATGGATTCGGAGCTAAATAATACATTGATATTTTTATTTGACATTTTTTAATAACATCTTTTAAGAGGGAACATTACTCGTTAACCAAATGCTTTGGGACATTTCTCTGTAACAGTTAGTGTTGTTAATAAAGGATAGTTGTGCAAATTATTTTTCTATCTTTTTTGAATTGATAAACGCAGACAATGATACTGTTCCCACGAATCATGGCTAAGGATTTAGGAATCGAAGTTGATAATCTAACTTGTTCCACTACTGTAACAAGCCAATCTTGCGTCAACCTCAACCACCAAGAAATATCATCCAGTACGCAACAATACGCATGGATGATAATTTATCATGCTTTGTCTGCAGCTAACATCGAACCATCATCATGTATTCGATAATCCAAGAGCAGTTTTCTCATATTGGTCTCAAATTCCAGTGGAGTCAGCAGTAAGCAGACACTACTTAATTCAAACAAATGGCAATAGCATTTAACCTCAATAAACCTGTATTTGTGCGGACAGCATACGAACTAAAACACTTAACAGTGAGAGACGTCCCGTCCCAAACCTTACAATTCAGTATTTCAAAGCCTTTAAATTGCCGTAAAGTATTACAATGAGTAAGGGCGTATGAAGAGATTAACCTTGTAAAAGTGAGAGAAAGGAATAGGGCTAGCTTTTAATGGTACCTAATAATTTTGTTCCCACAAAATCCCATTTGAAAATTTCAGTAGTCTTGTTAAAATTAAGCGCCCACATTTTGCAAACTAAGTTTTGATCTTATGTCCCTTTTTTGTTTAGCTTGATTGTAATCTTACCTTCAACTGTTATTTAAACTGACACAATTTAATTATTATTAACATTTAAAATTATCATTAACGTTGAAAATGTCTTACATATATCTTTTACCTATAAATATTTGGATTTTGACCAATTAGAATTTATATTTGTTTACTTAAATTTTACATTTATATTTTTGTTTCTGATCACTGTGTTTGGCATTGTATCCTGCAAAGACGAATATTTTCTTGAAAACAATAGTGCTATCACTTTGATTTTCCTGCGCGTCTTTCATCAAGAATCAATACTCAACAAACAATGTCACACTACTCCTGCATTGATATTTAAAACAGCAAACGAAGGATTTGGTTGTTAGTACACGTTTGATATGAGATTATTTTTCGCTTATTTTTAAAAATAAGCAAAAAAGTAATGAAAATAACTGATTTTTAAAAAATAAGCCATAACAACTGTATTTACTTTACTTTCTTTCAAATATCAATTTTCTATGTCGAGTTATTTTGATCAAATCTATTTTTCACTAAAATAATTAAAAAAAAATACATCCCTAATAATCTTTGAGGAAAGAGTAACAATATGCGCACTATACTCAAATTTCTAGGTAAATAATTTTCAAAAGCAAAGTCCATGAGTTTCGCAACTAATTTCATTTCCCATAACTTTTTTATCCATATTAGTGGAAATATTAGGTTAGATTTCTTTTAAAAATAAGGGAGTAAACAAATGGGAATCACAATTAACACATCCCATGTTTCAAATCCATAACTTTTTATCAGCCTTTCTCAAAACCACATTCAGTATTTTAGAGCAGAAAAACATTCAAGACAGGTGAGAAGGAAAAAATAGTCAGACATAGCTTTCTAGGCTAGCATTGTGCATCAAATAAAGCAGTTCATTTGTCAAACTGCTCAGAGCCCAGTGCTTATTTCATCATTCATATGTTCCTCTTTCTCACCCAACTTGTATATCTACCCAACACAAACAAAAAATAACTAATAGTTGAAGAGGATCCTCAGCAATAATGCTTATAGTTGTCATCCAATTAGACAATCAGGTCTCAAAGATTCCATGCCATCATAGGATCCCACAATTCTTAATTAAATCCAAAAAATAAAATAACATAAAAAAGGTGATTTTGCAGCCTAATATTCACTGCAACTGGGGTGAAAACGAAGATGAAGTGACTCAACATAGCTGCAATATATCTGTGCCTCTTTTATCATCTATGTGGAGATAACCCATAATACATGGCATATGAATCAAAGGCACCTCAAGAGGCATATGAAAATGTAAAGAGAGAGAAGAAGAAGAAGAAGAATACTATACGGGATCGTTCGTACTGCAACCCAGGGCCAGAGGAATGCGAGTTTCTGATTTATATAATGGAAATTTTAGAATTAGGGTTTTACTATCTTAAAAGACTGCAGAACCCTTTTCATTCTTTTAATTACGAGTTTGCCCTTTCGGCCTATAAACTTTGGAACCCAATGGCCCATTATGTGTGAGCCCAAAACTGAATTCAATGTAAACGAGTTTCTGTTAACAGAACTAACCCAAGTCCATTTATAAAAATAAATAAGGACACCAAAAAACTGTTAGCAGTTTTTACTTTGAGACTTAAACAAATCTTCTTCTCTAATCTCTACCTCCACACCTAAGTTTGTGTCATCATCACTCGGAAGGGCAATGCTTAACTTTGACGGTGACACAGTGATGGCGATTCTTGTTTGTGGTGTATGATTTATTGGGTGACGCACCGATTTCATGTGCAGTTTTCGATATGGCAAAGTTTGTGATTGAAGAAGTAGATGAGTCTATTGGGGGCACGGAACAATGTCGCATTCTTCTAAATTATTTGAAGTCAAACCAACTTTTTTTTTTATTCGGTTTTCAAAAACTCATTAAAAATAACTTAAAATAGATTTGAAAAAGAAAAAAGCATTTGAAACAGACCCTTAATTCTTTCATTTTCCTTCTCAAGTCAAAACACGCTATTAATTCCATGTCCTTATTCTTTTCTTTTCAATTTTATTTTCAAAAGCATTAATTAATAGTACATCCATATTTTCAATATAAATGAATATATTATTATAAGTTGTTTTTTAAGGCAGACAACTATAGAAGGGAAGAAACAAGTACAAATAAAAACAATCAATAAATACGAATTTAAAAGCTCTTTACATTTATCTTCCCAACTGAAAAAAAAACCTTCGCATTTAGATTCTTTAATTAAATTGATTAAAAACAAACTTTGTTATATCTTTCTAATATTTTCCTTATTATTTTATAAAATAAATATTAAATAAAAATATTTATTTATTATTACGTTAAAAATGTCAAATATATTAAAAAAAATTCATTTAATAATTAAAAACATTTATAAAAATAAAATACAAAAAGTATTTAGAATTATTTTTAAAAATATATAGAGTTTATAAATATATATATATATATATATATATATTGACATGAAATATATTATTTTATATAAAATTATATCACTAACAAGGATAAAAATGAAAAAATAAAAAAAATATAGAAACAAAAGAATGTTAAAAAAAAGCTAAATAAAAATTTCTTAAGAACATATTTTTTAAAAATTGATCTCATGATTTGAAGCTAAAAAGGAAACGATAAAATAGAGGAAGTACAAACCTGCTATGCTAACGTGCCGAAGTCCACGCGTAAAGTAGACACACAGCTCATTAATCGTTTAAGTTATTAGGATTTTTATTTATTTGTTTATAATTCATCTTATGCACCTAAATCGTTTTTAATACATTGAAATTCTTATAATTTCGACGGAGTATTTATGGAAGTAGTTTAATAACAAGTTGAAATTTCCCATATCTTTAAAATGATAGGTTCAGAATTACTAAATAAAGGCGCATATGAAAAAGTCGGTCAAAGCTCTTCATTTCGATTCTGGTAGGATTTTGGCACTGGGCCACACTCATAAAGAACAAGCCCAATGATGTCACCACATACGTAACCCAAAACCAAAACCTTGTTGCCCAAGCCTCGTGACCAAGAATCTGATTCACATTTCATGCACTGCATTCCAAATAATGTGGGGCCCAAAATTCTGGAGATAGAGAACATTCGAAGAACCCTTCGTTCCACTATTATTTAACACGCATCTCATTTGCATATCAATAGCCACAAAAACCCAACACAAACACAAAACACAAAATCGCATTTCCTTAACACAACAATATGTGCCCCTCTGGTCGCACCCTCCGTCCTCACGCGCTTTCCTCTGATTTTCGACCCGCATTCGACGTTCTCGACACCGACCGCGACGGAAAAATAAGCCGCGATGACCTCCGTGCCTTCTACTCCGGCGTCCACGGCGGCGTCCCCGGCGGAGACGACGTGATCGGCGCAATGATGACGGTGGCAGACATCAATAAGAACGGGTTCGTGGAGTACGATGAATTTGAGCGCGTGGTGACGGGTAACGCGGAGAGAAGAGCGTTGGGGTGTGGGGCGATGGAGGATGTGTTCAGGGTTATGGACAAAGACGGTGACGGCAAACTCAGCCACCGCGACTTGAAGAGTTACATGGCTTGGGCTGGGTTCCATGCCACCGACGAAGATATCAAAGCCATGATTAGGTTCGGTGGCGGCGATCAAAACGGCGGCGTCACGTTCGATGGTTTGCTTCGTATATTGGCCCTTGATTCTTCCGCTGCTAGTTATTAATGATTTAATTCAATCTCTTCCGGTAATTTTGGCCTCTATATAATATAATATGTTGTCTAAATTTGAGTGGCTGATTGTAATGAATGCAAATCGGTGTAATCGAGAATATACATTCTGAGCCTTTCCAAAATGGGTTTGTCTTGATTTATTAAGTAATTCTTCAAGGTTTATGCATGTGTGGTCAGTACTGGAAGCATCAATGGAGTAAGGAAGGATTTTTATTTTTTTTTTTCTGTATGATCAGGATTTTTTAAAACTAGTTTATGATAAACCATTATATATTAATTTTATAAATTTTAAATTTAAGCTAATCTTGAGTTCTTTTTAAGTGAAATTTAATTTTTCTTTATAATGTTTATTAGACTAGTAATTTATTTTAACTTTTTTATTATTTTTAATCGTACAAAATATTACAGTGGCAGGCTATAGCTTTGCATTAGAAAAAGACACGTTCTAAAATCTGCTTAACGCCACATGTCTATTGTGAATGGTGCGTTGGAGTACTAATGGGGATAGAATTTTGTTTGGATATAAGGAAGAACCGGGTAATACAAATCAGTGAAACCACCATTTTTGGCATTATCCGTCTAACGACGCGTATATTAATCAAAATGATTTGGCTTACATTATTATTTTATTTTCACCAATTAAAAACATTGTACAGCCTAAACCAGTAATAATCAAACTTTTGTCCAAATTCAGCTTCAATATTTTCAAATTGGGGTCGCTATAATAATGCTTTACATGCGGCTTCCCAAGTAACATTTTTACATTATTTGAGATGTTGAGTACTAAATAAGAAGTAACAAAAAAACACTTATTGAAGAAATCTATATTAAAGAAGACTTAACATTTTCCTTTTTAAGTAGTAAAAAAATATTCATTTCATTATTACTATTTTACATCAATCTATTAGTAATGAAAAATATTTTTTCACTTATTCTTTAAAGAATTGTAATAGCATTTCATTAATTGCTTACATTATATTTTTATTTTAGAAATTTTACATGTAAAATTATAAATGTTGAGTAATTTTTTTCCTTATCTAAGACACGTTTAAATTACAATATTTTTGTAAGTGATGAATCAATTATGTTTTAATCGCTTCCATTATAAATGAATATCTTGATATGGGTGAACAATTATGAATATGTTGGCAAATGATAGTTTTATTTTCCACAATTTTTAATATTGCTAGCAACTAATTTTGAATATATAATTGATTTTAGTATATTAGAAAGGATAAAAATTTAAATATCTTTATCAGTTTTTTAAAAAATTTCCATCTTCTGAAGTCGTGAAATTAACTGTAAATATTCCAAATTAGCTCCTAATCCTGTCGAGAATTACTGAGATAAAAGAAAAACCGTTCAATTACTTAGCTGCGGAAGAATCCTGCAAGAGCTGATACATCAAGCAAACCATCAAAGGTGTGACGCTGCAATTTTAGACTTTTTTATTTAAATAATACTTTTTTAAAAATAATTTCTTAAAATAAGTATATTTTAAAACTAATTCTCTGTTTATTATTTTATTTTTACTAACTCAATAGTAATATTGCATATGTATAGACACTTGTCAAAATCGCATAAGTATCGGATAAAATAAAATGATAATATATTTTTATTATTATTTTAATAGGATATCATTTCAATATTACCGATACTACACCAAAAATTAACACTTGTCAAAATCGTATAAATATCAGATAAAATAAAACAATAATATATTTTTATTATTATTTTAATATATTATCATCGTTCAGAGTTTAATTTTTATATATTTTTTAATTAATTTTAATATTATCGTCACAAATTAATCAATATTTATTTATTTATTTTTATTTTAAAATTCTATCACTTTCGATACTCATATTTTTAATATGGTTGATGTTTATGTGTTGACGAGGAGCTGCATCCATTTTTGTTACAAAATCGCACGCCTAATTTGCGATTCCTCGAACCTATTGGATTAGACATATCATAATGCATTTGGAATAGCACCTAAATGTGGATTCATCTGGGTCATACATGGATCTTCCCTGCGACGCAGCTGCACCACACATCACACTTCATACATGGATATATTTAATTATTTTTCTTTCTCTTCGTATGCATATTGATCATTTCTTATAGTCTAAACACAGGATGCATAATATTAATGTTTGCTGTCATTTTTTTTATTAATTTAATTAATCAATAAAATTATTTTATATAAAATTATTTAATAATAATAATAATTTTAAAGTCACAGTAGACTCTTTCGTAATAAAAAAATTATGCTTTTAACGAATTAGTAAAAAAAATACATTTTGAACTGTTGTGCAGCTTTGAAGTGTGATATTTTATGAATATATATTTTAAAACACACTCCTTTAATATTTTATTAATATTACAATGCTAATTTTGTAAATTAATTAATTTTTTCAAAAATTTTAAAATCAAATAATTACAAAAGTATGTAAAGAATATATTACTAATTTTTATTATCTTTTTCTTCAAAATATTTATTTATTCATCTTTTCTAAAAAGAGTAGATTTTATTGATGAATATTTTAATAATAGGAGTTATATTTATATATTTTTTATTTTTTACCTTATTTGACTTTTTGTCTCTTTTTTTACATTATATTTTTTTGTCTTTTCACCTATTTTTTTATCATCTTATACATTTTAAATATTAAGTGTACAACAGACAATAAATATTCTTTAAGCTTAAAAAATTAGCACGTGTACTGTGATATATTATTCTTGTGTTTAACTTCTGCAATTAATTTTTCTTTTATGTAGTTGTATGTCTAGTGGAAGAATTGTTGGCTACTCCTTTCATGAAAATAATCTCTCGTGATACAATTGCAACGTATATTATATTTTAGTATTATATATTACTAATGGCAAATTGAGGATTAAAAATTTTTAGGCGATAGAATTTTAAAATAATAATAAAAAATAAATATTGTTAATTTATCACAATAATATTAAAATTGATTAAAAAAATGTAAATATGGACAATAATAATATATTAAAATAATAATAAAAATATATTATCATTTCATTTTGTCTAATACTTATGTGTCAATTTTTTGTTTAATATTAGTAATATTAGAATGATACTCTATTAAAATAATAATAAAAATGTACTATCGTATGTATAAGATACTATTGCTGAATTGGCAAAAAAAAAAAAATACTAAATAAAAAATTAGTTTTAAAATATACCTATTTTAAAAAATTATTTTTAAAAAATATTATTTAAATAAAAAAGCCACAAATTTATTTTATTTTTGGCCTGTTAGAGATATCCTTCAGTTTAAGAAATACTATTTTATTTCTTCATTTTAAATTTTATACAGAAATTTAATAAATTAAAACATGAAATAGAAATAATTGAAGTAACTTCCATTCTTATCTCTTGAGAAATGCTTATATTACACTTCATTATAATTTTAAAAGATTCAATTGTTCATTAAATTATGCTATGTATAAAACATTACACAAGCAATTATATACCTCGTTAATATTGACAAGATGATCCTTAATCCAACTGGCACCGCACAGGCCCCACAAACTTGTATGTTTAAAGCACCAAGTGGATTGTTTTTGGTTAAATTATGCAAAACTAATGAATAAAATAATGCAACTACAGCCATGCTCTAAAACACAAAGTTCCTCCCAAATTAATAGTATATAGACGATAGTAAACATCCACAGATGCATTCTACTTCATCTAGCAAGATGATGTCTGATCACTCCTCGTTCTTCATCCAAAACAAAATTGGCCCTTGAAAAGTGGCCACTACTGAAGAAGTGTTTAAGATCATAAATTTCATGCTCTTGAGCCTGCACGATGTCAAACAAACTCGAGTCAAATCGCTAATAATTATCTCAGATCGAAACAAACACAGTGGACAGATGTTATTACCTTGTTGTAAAGATCATCTACTTTGACATCTACATACGTTAGACCTGATGCAGATCCAGAGACAATTTCTTCGAAATGCAAAGCATTCTTTACAAGCTCGCGGAGAAGATAAAGAAGCAATTCATTATAATCCTTCTTGAAAGTCATATACTTTCTAAAGCTCTGCAACAGAAGGCCACCGTTTAGGGGAAGGGTATTTCACCGGTACAAATTTCATGACTTGTAAACGCAATTACTATTACAAAAAGTAGCCAGCGCATAAAAACAAAATGCCAAAGTTTTTAATGTAAATCTTTTTTCGATGTACGAAATTAAAAATTATCACAAAATAAGATACCAGGGAATATCAGAATTCAATAGAATTCCGAGGTATATTCAGAATATTCTTATGTACCTTCTGAAGTGCTTTCTGCACCCCAAATTTTTGGGTTGAAATGAATGAATCAAGTAGAACGCGAATTGCCATGTCCACATCCTCTTGGGTGACATGCTGTCTGAGATGCATTCTCGCATGAGCTTCGGACATCCTTATCATTGATTCAATGTGCCTTACGGCAATGGGAACTCCTTGTCCGTGCTATATTTAAGAAAGCAAGTGCAGCACGTTAGTCAATCCAATACAAACACCTACAAAGTACAAACTATTTTGGCAAGAAAGGAGACAGGACATTACTGAAGATTCCTTCCGCAGTTCGGCATACACGTGTGTCAGTTTATCCATATCGGCATCATGTAACCTTGGAAAAACATTCAACTTGGCATACGTAATGTACTTTTTGAGAAGCTCTTGAGGAAGTATCTGCAAACACGCCAAATATCTCTTAAGACATAGAACCCATAATCTAAATTCACCTTAATTAAGGTTACTAGCAATGGTAGGATCTGAGTAAGGACCTCGGGATCTGCAGGCATGGCAGATGCATAATCATCTTGGGACTCATTCACGGACTTATCATCTTTGTTAGCACCCTTGGGTTGTGACTTGAAGTGACTTTCAACAACAAACTTTGCAAGCATTTCATCAGTGACCGGATCAACAACATCCTGAAAAATCAAGAACACCCTCAATAATAATAAATAATTAAAGTGTTAATCAAAGAAGCGGCAAATTTAAACGTAACCTTCACAACGCAGAGGATGTCAAAACGAGAAATAATAGGATCCGTCAATTCAACATTTTGAGTAAATATTTTTGAGGAATCGTATCTGCAAACCCAAGAAAGTTAAACTTAAGAATAAGCTTATGCATTCGACGCATGGAAAATGAAACTAAACCATATATCAGTACTCGGTAGAACATCCCATATCTTTCAATATGTATGCCATAGAAGTTTAGGTCGTAGCTGGGACACTGATAAACAGTAGCAACTTGCAGTCAGATACATGCAACCTTAGATATTTGCTTACCTTCCTCCAATGGGGTTTGCGGCAGCAATAACGGAGCAACGTGCCTGAAGAGATGTAACAATTCCCGCTTTCGATATGCTTATGCTCTGCTGCTCCATGGCTTCATGGATACTTACCCTGGTATCATACATATATACAAGTTATTGGTCATAAGATAACAGATTACTTTTAACGAATTGGCAATCTGTAATTAAGAAATCTCAAGTGATTACAGGTCTATTATCTACCTATCCTGGTCATTCATCTTGTCAAACTCGTCAATAAGACAAATTCCTTTATCAGCTAGAACAAGGGCTCCCCCCTCAAGAGTCCACTCCCTTGTGACTGGATCCTTGTGAACTGCAGCTGTGAGACCCACAGCAGAAGCCCCTTTGCCAGTAGTGTATACAGCTCTCTGCCCAGTTTTTTCAACGTACCTTGCAGTGGATTTTGAAATATTTATTAATTACTTGATCACCATAATAAATTGAAAGACGTCTACAAAATAAAATGGATAAACTTATACTTGAGAAATTGAGACTTTGCTGTTCCTGGATCACCAAGAAGAAGAACATTTATGTCTCCTCGCAGTCTATGCTTTCCTTCAACATTTTTTTCTTGACCTCCAAACATTGCTAAAGCTATTGCAGTTTTAATGTCCTCGTGACCATAGATTGATGGGGCAATAGACTTGATAATCTGAAATTCAATTCATAGCACGTTACACAACAAAATAATTAAACGAAAAACAAAACAAAACAAAAAACCATAAATATTTCTTAGGAACAAACCCTTTCTCCGATTCGGGGGTCTTTGCCCAAGTTTTCAATCTCCTCTTTGTCTTCCTGTGTAAGTTTGTAGGCCGAGAAGAGGTCGTGCCTCTTAGTAACATAATTTGCCTCAACAACAGTGGCAAACACTGGAAACCCATTTTTTGTGTTTAAGGATAGGTCGAAGTTATTAGTGTAGATACCGGTAACCTCCTGAAACAATAGAATATAAACAGCATAAGAAAATCATTCTATAACACCCAACATTAAAAAATAATGAGTCTGAGTAGAGGATGATACAATCTCTTCCCCGGGGCGAGCACAGTCAATCAAATCATTCAATAGTATCACTTCCTTGTATCTTGGAAGTCGACCTGCTGGAACTATTCCTGGGCTCTCTTGCAGTGTAAGCTTCTGAAAATTCCTATAAATTGTCTACGGGCATGAAAGAAAGAGTTTATTTGCCAAAAGCTCTATCATTTGCCAAAACAAAAAGGCTTAATTGAAAAAGCTTAATGCAGTCATTTGGCCAAATCCAAGAGAAGACCAAGGACAAATAATATGTAGGATATGTTCATCCAATGTTTTAATAACGACATCCTCATTCCCAACTTCTTGGGTAAAACCAGGTAAAAGAACAAAACCATTTGTAAAAGTTGTACCTGTTCAATATTGACAGTGAAAGGTCCCTTGGATTGGCACTCGGGACAGGATCCAACTTTCACTTCTGAATAGGAATTCTGGAAAAAAGGTCCCAAAATTGCCCCACATTTGTTACAATCATACTTCACCTGTTGCAACTGGGGGAAAACTCCAGAGCGCCGGGTTACTACTCCCCCAATTCGGATCATAGTATTCAAATGGATCTGCCTGCTCCAAAGAATTCAATTTTTAATTTTCTATTCAATGGAAAAAATAAGGGAGACGGGAATTGAGTAACATATCAGTTTGGTTTTTATACCCTACCTTATATTTCGAATCTGATCATAAACTGGTAAGTTGGTTATGCGAACATAAATCTTTTGATGTATATTTTTGTAATTTGGATGTAATTCAAAGACAACACTTTTGGCAACATCTTCCATTACTTCTAAAACGGATTGTGGCGCATCAGCCAGCCAAATAGCAATGTTGGGATGGACATAGATAAATTGTTTATAATCTATCTCCAAACTGCACTTGTTAGCTGCAATTAGAAAGCGATAACTAAGTTGATGCAGAGAAGATATTGCTCACGGTCGAAAGTACAGGAGTGTATAGGAAATATATTACCTGACACCATCTCATTTATCAGCCACACATATTCCTTGTCACGGTGTTCATTTTTGGGATTAACATACGTGAGTAAGAAATCCTTGAATTTCCTGGCTATGAATCGGCGCACTTCATCTCTTGTAACCCACTCTCGAAGTGTTCCCTGAACATGGTACATCTCATACCCAGCTTCATCATCAAATTCATCCTACATTACATGTAACCATGTTAATTGTGAAATAAATCGATGGTGCAACTTCCAGAAGATTAAAAACAATAAAGAGGAAATTCAAAGCACACAGTACATCATCTCGATCATCCTCAGTTTGATCAGTCATTGGAACGTCCTCTCTTGAATGCCCTCGTTGTGACCTTCCAGGCGAACTTTGCATACCATCAAGATCATCATCGCTTGGAACAGGAGCCCTAAAATCAGCTCGAGCCCTCTTAGAAGGCCTGTAACTGTCATCATCTGTATCTGCAATAGAATCTTCACCGATCAACACCGCATGTTTCCCACGTTAAAAAACTTTACTAACAATAATAATAACCTGTTAATACAGTGAAATTCTCTCTCTAGGCCCTCTTAAGTTCGTACAATAGGTCAGTAGTTAATAGAAAACCATGTGCATCCGTTATTTATAAGCTCGCACAAACGAAATAATTGTCACCAGCAATATAATCAACTTCCACGGCATCAATATCAATTCAGTTGTTTGTTCTTCCACCCGATGGAAGGGTGAAATTGTATTTTCACTCAAACATTTTTCATCCGTTTACAAAACATTACAGTGGTCGATCAACTTCCATTGCATATATAAGACTTGAAGAAATTTCAGAATACAAAAATAAATAAACAAATTATGGAACCACTTCAGTATAAAGGAGTTCGGGACAAAACATTACCCTGGTCGTGGAGGAGCTGAGGAAGCTTGCTGCGATTGGTAACGCGACCATCACGGGCGTCGAGTTCAATCTCCGCAGCCCGCCGATCCTCCATGATCTGATCAAAATCTCTCTCATCCTCCAAAGAGTCATCAAGCCCAAGCGATTCGAACTGGTCAGCTTCCTCCATCCTCCTATAGTCACTGTTCATTCATTCAAGTAACAAGTTGTGAGTGGAAGAAGGACTAGGGTTTCACTGAGAAATGAAAGTAAAATATAAACATAAGAAAGACTAACTCCATGAAATTGTCATTGTAAAGATCCTCTCCATCGTCTTCTTCGTCGGGTTGTTCCTCTTCGGCATCGTCTCGTATGATATCGGGATCGACGGAAGCCTCGTCGTCTTCAGAAGCACGGCTTGTGTGAGTGTGAGGAAGCTGGTCAGTGTTGAAACCAGCAGAAGGAGAGGTCGGAGATTCGGGATCTGGCGTAGATGAGGGATTCCCTGGTTCCATGATTTTACGTCTCTAATCTCTATCACTCTCTCGCTCTCTTTCTCTCTTTCCCTTGCTTTTGGTGCTCCTTACATTTCTGTTTGCTGTCTTCTTAGGGTAAAGATATCAAACCGCTCTCTGTGGGGTCCCTCCGTTTGGCGGGAAAACGTTGGCGCCAATTCTCTCACTTGTTGGGCTGGACTCTCCTTAATTATGCCCAACCCAACTCCGCCTTTAGGTAGATGGTGCTGGATAGTAAATGCATTTATTTGGGTCTAGAAGTAGCTATTTAGTTTTTGGGCCACTGATTTTTGTTGTGGACACTTTTTTTTAATTTAAGTTTTAGAATTTTATTTAATAAACTAATACAGTTGATATCTTAGTGCTGCTAGGCACTAGCTGCGCTGGATGTTATATATATATTATTTTTTTATTTTAAGTAATTAATACTATTTATTTTATGACTTCAATTTGTTTTAACTTTGGTGTCAATTTAGGAAATGTAAAGTTATTAATTGTCCCTACAAATACTATTTATTTTAATGTAATTAAAGTTCACATTTAAAACAAAAATAAATACATAGATAGTATAAACATTTTTTTACACTATCATCCAATAAAAATTTGTCACATTAACAAAAATAGTTAATTTTTATAAAAATTATATCAAAATATATTTTAATTGGTTAATAATGTAAGGATTAGAAAAAAAAATTTAGTGTATTTTTCACTTATATTTACTATATTCTTTCAAAATCAAATTATATAATTTTTAATGAAAATTAAAATATATAAATTCTTATTTTATGTCATTAAACATATATAAGATTTCTTCTTATTTAATGGTTACGTTTTAATCAATAATCCAAACACATGCTAAAACTGATGTCAGTACCGTGTTTTGTTGAATTATATTGGAATCCGCCGTCTATATATATAAACATGGTTCTCCTTACTTCCATTTCCCCATATTAAATTGAACTTGGCAAAATTCTCTCAACTCCCGCCAATGAAAGAAAATCAAACGCCTCAAAAGACCTATGCTCGCTCATCCGAGAAGCGTAATCGCAGATTGAGGCCTTCCCCTAACTTCAATAAGGCACAACATAATTCGCAAATCCTTACACAAATTTTTTCCGCTCTGCTTTCTTCGTATCCGATTTCTCATGCTTATTTTTGTTTTATCTTTTGCAGACTACAAACAAGTGCTTGAACGCAGCATTTACATCCGTTTCTGAAGATTTTGTGGATTTTTCTCCAGTATGTGAGATATCATGTGCTGATCGCAATGAAGACGATACTGTAAGTTTGAATTTGAAACGGTTATTCTGATTTTTATTTTCCTTGTTTTTTATTCAGCTCATATTTATTTATTTGAGATAAAAATATAGGATCTACGCAAAATGCCATAAAGCATCGTGGTTTTGAGAATCACATTGATCGTTTATATAATTTATGCTACAAAAAATTTTTAAGTGACATTCTTCACTGTTTGTTCGAGAAAATTTGCTGCGATTCTGGTGCAAATCGCTAAGCAATTAAGCTGTATTTGGTATAATTATGTACTGTTTGGTTTCCGAAAAGAAAAAGTATAGAGGAAACCTTAAGTCAGTTTACGGATTCAAATGATTTTTGTATTTCAGATATCGTTGCTGGAAGAAGCTTCGCCGAAAGCCTTGATTCCATCTGATATAAGTCCGTCGAAAAAGAACACTGACACTGAGGAAGCAAAAATTGATTCCATTGACTGTTTGAATGCCTATGAATTGGACACTTTCATGGAGGCTGAGATTGCTGCAATTTCTCTGATCAAAGATGCAAAACCTGAGGTCTTCAACTCCTGCAATGCTGCTCCTCAATATAGGAAGCTTATGGATGAAATAACCAAGTATGTCATAGAAGATCCCTATAGAAAAACTGTGCCAGAGGACTTCGATCGCGTTTATCAAGTGCTGTCAGCTAAAAATCGAATGCTGTTTCTACGTTTCTGCATTTGGATTATCGGAGTATTAGCGATAATTTTCTTCACTTCAGATATTCATTGCCCTTACAGTGGACCATTTCCATCTTGAACCATTCCACCATGGTTGATGTACATTTAAACTGCTGGGAAAAGAGGTTAGATATTCTGTTACATGGCTTTGTAAATATATATCGGAAGTGAAATTCCAAGACAATGCAGTGTCACTTGAACTAGCTTGAATGGCCACGAACTCGTGTAGTTTCATTCAACTTGATATAAACGTATGAATATTTGGATGTTGAGCTTTATTATTGCTTTAGTGAGCGATGTAGATCTGACACTTCATGTTAGGCGGTCCTGATAATGTTCGGGGTGTATATATGTGCATGATTTGTGTGGCATATACAGGCAAAAATATCTGAGAGTTAATACTAGGATACTATTGTGACTTCACTACCGGTTGTCATCATCCTGTATCTACCAGTTGCCCTTGCTTGTGTTATAAACAATTTCTGATCCAAAAAAAACCTCGTCACAAAGGGAAAAAAATAAGCATGCTCGTGGGGGGATTAACTAAAATGAAGAAAGGGTAAAGAAGAGAAACAGCTCCATATGCACAGACGCGAAGAGACCTTAAATTCAGGTATTATCTCAGCAAAATTCACTTGTACCTAAATAATACCCAGCAAATTTCTTATGTATAACCGATAAGGATTAAAATCATCGTTCTCCATTTTTTGTCATATTTCCTGTTATCGCAATTGAAATCGTGCCACTCAATTATAAAAACAACTCTTTTTTCTGCGTCGTGACCACCTTTTATACGTCTTTCTAGATTTTGGTCGAAAAATCACGTTTTTCTTCTTACAAAAACCGTAGTTTCCCTTGGGCCCAAGTGTTACTAACTAGCAGCCCAGCTAGAATACTTTACTTCTCTGACAAAAACAAAAAGATAGAATACTCTACTTCGTGGAGGCAGCTCCATTAGCGTGAAACTTATTTCCAACTTCATAAAATTAGATCCTTGACAAACCATAGCAATACACTCTTAAATAAACGAGGAGGGTTAGCAACCACTTTTAAATCATTTTTAATTAATAATTAGAATTTATTAATTTATGAAATATATTATTAATTAAAAAGAAATGATATAATTTTTAATAGCTTTTTGTCAATAATTTCTTTAAATTTATTTTTCATTATTAATTCATTTTTTAAATAGAAATGTTTATTTCCTAAACCAATTTTTAATTTTTTTAACTTTTAAATAATAATCGGTTACTGTAAGTGTATTAAAGAGTATGGTTAAAAGAGCTTGTTTCCAAATGGCTTTCATAACACCTGAGCTTCATGGGGACATACATGTTCCTCGATGCTTCTTCCAGTATTTTGGAACTTGGTTGAGGATTATCGGTTAGCTTATTCCACTTTCTCTTCCATTCTGTGTATTTGTTCTGGCCATCTTTATACTAGTTGCTATCTTCAAAATCCTTGAAGAGCTTAGCGTCCAGAGTACCCAACTCCTGGGTCATGTTGTAGTCAACTCTTAGGGTTTAAATTAACACTATTTTATCAGCGTTTAGTAAATGAATGTGCCAGACAATGAATCCACATTTTTAAATAGAGATATTTCAACTTTTTATATGTTCAACTCCTGCGTCATGTTGAAGTCAACTCTTAGTCTAGTATAAAAACAAACGAATATATATATATTCGATATGGATAATAATAATCTTTCATAAATATATTTGATTGCGTGTTTGAATTTACGTTTAAATAATTATGTTTACTTTATAATTTTTTTAGTTGATTATTTTATGTTTAATGATTTTTAATATACTTTAGATACACAGTAAGAGAACGTTTAAAACATAACTCGTGCTACCAAAATCTTGCGATCCTGAAAACATAATTGAGGAAAAATAAGAGGTCAAATTCAGAAGAATCGAAATGTCTGAATCAAAATTATTTATTTTTCTAAAATTAATGAGAGAGAAGTCGAACAAATAGAGAAAACATGATTGGATGGCTCTGTTATGAAGCATGGAAGAAATAAAATAATAAAGAATCATAGCCAGTCGCATTAAGAAGCTGAAATATCATGCAAAAGTTGGTTTATGGTAAGGATCACGCATGAATTATGATGTAGCTCATCTTTTCTTAGGGCGAGGGGAGTACTGGAATAGAGGGATGGGCAAAATGAGGGTCTTTCAAAAGAGTAATCATTGATGAAATCCTTCTCCCAGCTCTTTTTGTTTTATATATGAAAATGTTTATTAGTACAAATTCGTGTGATAACTGATACGTAAACCCCATAAAAAGTCACTTGTCTTTGATTTTTGTCAAAGTATTTGTTTTTTCATTTTTTCACATTTAATGTTTATCCAATATATATATATATATATATAAACCCTAAACTATTATTTATTCATGTAATAATTTTTTTAATTAAATAGTATTACAAGCAAAAGGAAATTATTCTGAAATTTTAAAATGTAAATAATATGAATAAAGTATATTTTGCAGGTTAAGTGTAAGAAATTAATAATAATAATTTATAAATGTTTAAATATTTTTAAAAACAACCCAAGGTTGGGTTTAATTTTGTCTGAATTTAATATAGTAATTCTTTTTTTGGACCTTTTTCTATCTCAAAATTTATCTAGCAAGTTATAATTTGACTAACGAACAAATCATAAAATGTAAATTTATATATAGTTAAGTTATAAAATTTTAAAGACGGACAACTGAAACTAAAATATGTTTTATAGTTTATTTCAGAATATATTAATATAAAAATGGTATGTTATAGAAAACATTAGTTCAAATTATGAAGAATTGTAACTTATCATTAGTTTTAAAATTTTTAAAATATTCTGACATCGCGCAGAGTAAGTGTGACCCAAAGTTTCCGATCGAAAACTCATCACCTGCCTACTTGGGTTAAGATGAATGGTTATTGCATGGATATAGTTGAAATCTTATATGAAATATTAATAATAATAAATTAATAAATGCTGATTGAATAATAATAATAATAATAATTAATACATACATACATATACTAGTTTTACTAGAGTGTTTGAGTGGTTGCTTTAACCATATGTTTATGTTTCTTTGTTAGAACCCAGGGAGAGTGGGAGACGAATATTAGGCTGTTATTAATCACTGGTTCGTGTAAAGAGGACTATTTTGATAAAATCATTTAGGACGGTCAATTATTATTCATCAATATTTTTGGAGAAGAAAAAATGATTCGCTTGCACTACACTGTACGTAACGTAGTAGAAATCTTACCATGTTTACGAGCATGTCTAGTCCCGAAAAAATGGCACTCCAATATTAGCTAGATGTGACCATGGAAGTCCAAATAGTGCTTCGTATGATTAACTATATATGTATTACCTTAGCTTCGAAGCAACGTTCCCAGCTTCGTTTTTTCTGTCCAATTCGTTAGATTGGGTGAATTTTCCAAAATATTTGATGTTTTGGACTGTAGGTCACCATTCCAAGGTTTACAATTTTTCTATTCGCACTCTAAATGCTAATAGAATATAAGTATCATTCACTTGAAACCATAGATCAAACCTTAACTGTCTTTGATTTAATAGGTAATCATATTTCACTGTTGATGTGCAGTAAGTACCTTGTTTTGTTCCTTTTATCATCCCTTCACTTTGGTGCTCCCTGTCTTATTGTGTCTCACACAAGGTAGACAACTATGCTGGCATGTCATAATGCCTTGTAGTGATCATTTAGCTTTTCAAAATATAGTTACTCTTCATAATACCGGTTGGGCTGTTGTTATAGACATGGCACCATGATTTTAACTATAATGAGGAGTATGCTTATGATTGCCACTACTGTAAGCATAAACTAAATCATCCATCATAATAATAATATTGGCACTTGGATCTAGTTTTATCTTTTCGGCTTTTACTTTTACCCCTAATTAGTATTGGCAATTTTATTACATGTGTAGCTTTATATTTGTTTTGGTATGTCTCGAGTCCCGAGTTATCATCCAATGAAGTAGGGACAAGGAATTTGTGCAAACATTATGATATAGAACAAAGAGCTAAGAAAAAGCGAATAGGAGCATGTTGGGAACCTTGCTCTATAATAAAAAATTAAAAAGAAGCAAACATCATTGGCTAAATATGAAATTATTGAGAATTAAATTTATATAATATAATATTATATCTATTGTGCATGAGACTAGGCCCCCGTCTCAGAAAATGCGGAGCATCACTGTCCCAAAACTCAGAAAAGAATAAAAATCCAAAATCTAAGCTAAAAAACAAAACAAAGTTGAGGATAGATAGGAAAGTGCCAGAGGAACACTCCACAAGCACATGCATCCCCCTTTTGTTTATTGTTCATGTTTATGGATCATCACACCCAACAATCATTGCACGGAATGAAAAGAAATGAATTGTGGGGCCTTAATTTTCAGTCAATAAGAGGAAGCCAACATCATGCGCCCATGCAACGCGGATCCAGTTGCTCAATGCTCACCTATTGTCAAACCAATGCTCTTCAGATAGCAATGGCTTGCAACATGCAAAGTTACATGGATGGAATACACAAGAGCTTGTTGTTAAATATAACTATTGTTATTGTGTATGCTAAGTGACACATCTTTGCCTTCATAAAGCACGTATTTTGCTTTCTGATCTATACACACTAATCAAACTATAAATTAGGAAATCAAAATATAAAATTGAAGGATCCTCTTTAAAGATAAATAACATAATTAAATCGAACTAATAAGTCAACTGAAAATAAATAAAAACAATCCTCTTTTAACAAAATATAAATTTAGAATAAAAGCCCAAGAAAAAAAAATGGCTTTCACACATTTTACTTATGTAGCAGTGTGACACAGAAGAGAGAGCCTGACCCAAGTCACCATTTATTCCATAAAAAAATAAACTTCTTTTCGGTCCTAATAAGTAGAAAAGAAATGCTAATAATTTGTAAAAAAGAGAAAAGATTACCTGTATTAGATGCGTTTGATTTTTTTATTAGAGAAAATAGGCTTTACAGCCTGGATGGGCTTTAATTGAAACAAGTGCCAAAAGCTGAACCCAGTCCAAGAACAAATGTCCAAACGGCCCAAGAGAGAATGTAAAATAAGAAGAAAAAAAAAAAGGGAAAACGACGCGTGCTTTGGCAGTCTCCTTCTTTGGTGATTGTGATCCCTTTATAACTCTCCACCACCGTTTCTCTCACCCTTCAACCTCACCTCTGAGTGCACCCAGGGAACAGGGACACTTCACCCACCCCGTTCCGTTCTCTTCTCTGCTCCTCCAACCACTCAAACTCTTTCTTCTTTCTTTTCTCCCTCAAACAACAATTCTCGATCATCCTTCTTTCTCTCAAGGGAGAATCTTCAATTCTTCAATTCAACATTCTCCAAATGGCATCATCGTCGTCATCATCATCATCATCTCTGATCTCAAACCCGGTACCGAACACGGAGCGGTCACGTGACTCAAAGAGGCGAAGAAAGAAGAAAGCGCAGCAGAGACACCAACACCAAGAGGATCAGAGCCACCCAAAGTGGAAATCCCAAGCGCAGCAACAAATCTACTCCTCCAAGCTGCGCCAAGCCTTAGCCAGACTCAACCTCGGCTCATCCGGCTCCGTTCCGCGCCGAGGCAAAGCCGTCCGCGAAGCTGCCGACAGAGTCCTCGCCGTAACGGCAAAGGGGAGGACTCGGTGGAGCCAAGCCATCCTGAGGAACCGGCTCAAGCTCAAGTTCACCAAACACAAGAGACAGCGAGTGGCATCACCGCCAACACGGTCAAAGAAACCCCGGGTCAGCGTTTACCGGCTGAAGGGGAAGAGTTTACCGGGTGTGCAGAGGAAAGTAAGGTTCCTTGGACGGTTGGTTCCCGGTTGCCGAAAACAACCTTTACCGGTTATTCTAGAAGAAGCCATTGATTATATATCTGCGCTTGAGATGCAAGTTCGAGCCATGAACGCTGTGTTTAACCAATTCTCTGCCGCTTCCTCCACTTCTTAGCTCATAAATACACACTTCACGCTTTTCGAGCTCTATGTATGTAATTGTAATGTATCCCATCTCTTCTCTCCATTTTTTAAATTTTTATCAACTTCCTTATTATTATTATCATTATTATTTTCCACTTTTTCTTTCACTCTCTGTCTCTAAAGAATATTTCTTTCTATTTATGTTTTTAAGTACATATCTCTCTCTTTCTCTTTAGTTTGAATCGTTTATGAGTGTCAACGTGGTCTTTTAACTTCCACCAAAGAGCATAATGTTAGGTACAGGTTTACGTGCCGTGTGTTTTTCTTTTTTCTGCTTGTGTTATGTTGTGAATTTTATTTGCGTCCCTGTTTTCATTGTCAGGGAAGATTAGTTAAAAAGTATATCATTTCAATTAGAGCAACATAAAGATTTTATTAAAAAAACCATTTATTATATTGTTAATATCATAAATATTTGTTGTTTTTAATATTGCTAAAGTTAATAAAATCGATTTTTAAAAATGGTTGGGGTTGAGAAGTGTTGATGACAGATTATGACTCTTCAACAAACGGTGGGGGAATCGGGTTCAAATACCTCTTTTCCCTTCCCAGCAAATTTTAGTTTTACGTCCCTTGGAAAACAATAAAGTTATAACATTCATTCCTTGCCCTAACAGTTCATAAATCAAAATTTAAGCAGGTGATTTATGGGTGAGAGAAGCTTGCAAAAAGACCGGCTTTTATTTTTTCGGGGATAACAATGTTGTTTGGGAGAGGAATTCACGGTGTACGATGTAAGTGAGTGTCGCTTGAATTAGTATAAAAAATGGTCAGAGTTGTAAATTTTGATAGTTGGGTGGGTAAGTTTGTCATGGCAGCAAGCGAATGAAGATTTGATCAAGGTCATAGCAATCTTCGGATATATATTATTTACTGTGTGAGGAGGTTGATAGAGGACAAACATTCATATAGTTGCGGGGACACTCATGTACTAGTTACTATTGAATGACAAATGGTTTGTATTGTATTTTAACCTTTTTCTAGTTCTGAAGTCTACCTGGTTGCTGATGTCTCAAAATTTATTGGTGTTTATCTAAGCTGAGAACAGAGCAATAAGAGACTACGATACTGTGGGGAAAGTAAGTGTCATGGAAATTGAATGGACTGAATGGCTAACTCCACTTCTCTATAAAGTTTTCCCGAAAGCGCCAAAAACACGATTGTTGGACACAGCAGAGTGGCCTAACACGCCATGTGACTTGTCCCCCACACCTTACCGCACTTACATTTGACATCATCTACTTCGCCTCTTCATAACGCCATGGACCCCCATTTAAAGAAGAAAAAAAAAACACAGATTTTGAAGGGTAAAAATGAGAAAGGAAATCCGAGATTTTCAGCTTAATGAATCACATGCCCTTCTAGATGATGAAATGGCCTGTTTATGTAAGTTTCCTAGAGGAGTTATGGCTCAGTTGAGAAATTTCTCCTTCTCTCTCACACACAGAAAGTGGCCAAGCAAGTTACATAAATAGGTCGCTTTATTTAGACTCACATAATAGGCTCCTCTCACTTTCTGTGGCTGAGAGCCACTTAAGGCACACGAGTGCCCATGTTTTATCGCTTTCAGTTGCAATACTCACCATCCCACAACCCTTACTAGAATCAAAGAACGACTTAGAAAGAAAGGTTTGGGTTAATTTACCAGAAGACAACGCAAAAATAAATTGAAAATTTGCGGCTTTGTCGTCTGTGTATATACATAAAGATTGATTATCAAATGAAATTATTATTATTATTCAATAATTATTTATAAAAATATAAAGTTTATTGTACTATTTTATTTTGTTTATAAAAGAATGTTAAAATATAAATAAATATTAAATAATAAATGATACACATAAAAATGTTTAAATTTTATGAAATTTAATATAAATAATATTATATGATTAAACGGTTAAATTGATAAATTTTATATTTTAAAAAAGTTATTAAATGATATAAACATTTAAGTTTAACGTTATATATATTAGTAGCATTGATTTTGAAACTTTCAAGTGATAAGACCTGAATTTAATGCCTTCCCATCTGGGCATCGAATCCTACTTTCACATTACGAACTTACGAAGAGTAACAAAATTCATGACACTGTAAAAACAACACACAAAGGAAGAAAACCAAAGGAATTTTGACAAAAACTAAAAATAAATAGAAATAAGTTTTCAAATGTGTTTACACAGACAACTCAATAAGTTTTAATTTAAAAATATTTTTATAAGTTATATGAAAAAGTTTATTAAAATAAACTAATTTTCTTTAAAAAAATATATGTTATTTACATAAGATGTTAATAAATTCTTTTAAAATTGATTGTATCTGTCCATGTCCAACACTAACATAAAAGTAAGATAATTTTCAAAGCAAATGGCAATGGTCACTAATGAGTCTGGCATTTTCTTAATGAAACTCGTGTCACCAACTTCCAACACAAATGTTACTATCACAGCGAAAACACATACATTCAAGAAAGGTAAGAAAAGGGTGAATAGCAATGTAAAAATTATTCCCTTTGCGTTGTCCTTATGCGCTTCCCTGTAAACGTTTTCTTCCGCCGAAGATATATTCGATTAATTTACTGAACAGAGGGCCACTAATTATGAATTATATGCTTGTTCCTTTGTAAACTTTGGTCGAGTAATATCATATGATAGCACTGTAAATTAAAAGAACAAGCAATGTTGCGATGGTGCTAAAAATCAAAGTATTTTGATTCCATTATGTTTTGTCACCTAAATGAATGAATTCAACGTAGATATACAGTGGTGGATCATGTTGGGATCTAACTCATGTAAATATTTTCGAAAGCAAAGACATAGCAACCTTTTATGTTTGTTACTAACATGCTCAATGCAAAATGTTATCATATGTAACATTATCCTAATATGATAATTATTTAAATCAGGTTGATAAAAAATATATTAAGGTTAAAATAATTATCTTTTACAATGATTATAAAAGAACAAAGTACTTAACTTTTTAACGGAGAATATAATTATTGATTTTGATAATTGATTGCTATATCTTTGTGTACCTCGAGATATTTTTGAAGAATATAAGTTAATAATTTAATCAATAATTTTTTCATTAAAACTTATAATTATAATACTAGGATTAATTAGCAAAAAATTACTCTAATTTAGTGAATAATTTTGAATTTTAATTCTATGTATGAGCTGCTTTAAATATTTAGAGAAATAATTTTAAATTTTTTTATCATTTACAATTATTTCATTTTATTTATTATAAAAGATATTTTGATTAAAATAAAAATTGTGATAAAGTTATATTAATAATATTTTAAATATTTTATTTTATTTTTTATTAACATGATATTAATTAATATATAATTTTTTTTATTATTTAAAATACCAAGCAAAGTAATTTGTTAAGCAAAATAATTGATAGATCATAATAACATTTAATATTTGTTGAATAGATTGATATAATAAATTGTCTTATCCCATTCTAATTGTTCACATTTTTATTTTGAATAGGGTGATAGAATAAAAATCATTAATATATGATAAATTTTTTTCTTACCCATACTTAATATTTTTTTAATATTTTATAAAAAATAATCATTTAAAAATATTTTTTAATTCTTTTATCAAAACATATATACAAATATTATTTTAATACAAAATATTTTACCTATTTTATAAATTATATTTTTAAATTGTTTATACTTATATCTATTTTAATTATAATTAACAAAAAGAAATTTTAATTTTAAGAAAATATAAACTTATTATAATATATTTTAAAATTTTAATACTATTTGTACAAAAGTTTACTTTTTATTTATTAAAAATTATATTAATGTTAATAAATAGTAATTCTATCTTTTAAATATAATGTATGTCTTGTTATATTATTTTTTGTTGATATTAAGTATTAAAGATGATAAAACATTGTGTTATATATTTTACTATTTTATATATTAAATATAAAATATAATAAAAGTCTATTATCTTTTTTATATTTTATAATATTTATCAAATTTACCTTCGAATTATATCAATAAATTAAAATTATTAATACTTTAAATTTTATAAAAAAAATATAATTTATTTTATATTATATATTAATTATGTCACTTATTTATTATTTTTCATTAGAAGATGTAAATAAAATATTAGTTGTTTATTGATTTTATAAAATAATAATAATAATAAAATTAAAAAATAAGTTTCTAAAATACAAAATAAATAACCAAAGAAGTATTGTCGATTAGTCTTTATTTGGAAATAAAAGATCTTGATAGATCATTGAAAATCGAACTGCACTTGCTCTTCCAAATATAATCATAGTTAATAAGAACAGGTGGGCTCCACAAAGCATCAAATTATTAATGCTCAGCATGTGACACACAACGGTGGCTCAAAGCAATTATCTGTTCGTGCTTTATCGCTACACTAATTACATACAAAAGAAAAGTTAGCTCAAATTAAGAATATATTGCTACCATTTTAGTTTGTTTATGTTTGTAAAATTTAGATGGGTGACGTGGTTGCGTTAGTTTAAAATTTTAGAGAATCTGATATTAATATTGAATTATATTTAAAAAGTGAATAAAGTATAAAAAATTATTAATATTTAAATTTTGTGTAAAAATACTTAAATAAAAATTTAAAAAAATTATTTTATTATTCAAATATATTTTATTGAGAAATTAAGAATTTATATATCTAAACACAAGTTTATTGACTTCTCTGATATTGCCGTTCTTGATCATTTCATTTGAGCATTGGACAAAATATGAAAAAAAACGACGAAAAAGCATAAAGATAGAAGTATATTTAATAAATCATAGTTAAAATATCCCATATCCAAATGTTTTAAGTTATTTTCAGTAGATTATTATGCTTAGTTTCAAGGTCCAAATATTTCAATGCATAAAACTTTAGACCGGTCCTCCTTAATTACACCTATTTTTTTTAGTGTAAAAAACAAAATAAAAAAAAAGGGAGAGAGAGAATTGAAGTCATTGTTTTTTATCATACGTGGTGAAAGTACAAAGAACACGTATGCACGTTTAAGTGTATATAGTTAAAAAAAATTATTAATACTGGCCAGTGTAGCAAATATACGTGTCCACTTTTAACCCAATTGCCAGAGCCTTGAACCAAGCGAGGCGGTTTATGATGCAAAGGTTGAAAAATCATTAACTAGTCACACTTCACTGTGTCAAGCCTCACCCCCCAACACCTTAAACCATATATGCAAGGCAAACCGGCTCTTAAACCTATTTTTTGTCCTTTGATTTCTGATACACAAACACACACTATTATCATATGGCATGCATGCGCTATGTGAGCCCAACAAAAGCATTTGAATAGTTTATTTAAAAGCCTTCTCTAAGTTTAAGTCACATGGAGGGGTCCTGGCTTGTCCATTAAAATCAAAGAAAGCATAATAAATTAAAGTGGTAAAAGAGAAAAGAAAAGGTACTCTCTTGTTGGCATCCCCATATACATGGTCATTTTGTGGAGATGGAAGATAAGAGGAGTCCATTTTGAAGCAAAGATCATGTTGCATATATTTGGTTGCTTCGTCTTCTTCTTTGCCGACAAAATTTGCAAGTTTGGATTATACTTCGAAAACTGGGACTTTTCTTTTTCTAGACAACTTTGTAGGATAATATCATCGTTTTTATTGTTGTGTTACAGTTGGATTATATCCTTGGTTTCATATCTTGTTTCATAAAAACATGTCATCTACACATGTGAATGAAAGTCTCATAAAAATGTATTGACATATACGTATGCAGTACGGAGTAATGCAACATCTTGTATCTGATTGCTTATTCAATTTTAATTTTTAAATCATTCAAAACCATTCGTGGCGTTTGACATTGCAAAATTTTCGATATTGGGGATAGAATAGTGTATGGGCTAGCAAGGAATGGTGTTTTGACATGTCACTTTACCTAATTAGCCTTAATTCTTGAATTGTTTATTTATTTATTTAAAAGGCACACGTGAAAAG